AGATATGCACTTGAATGGGCATGGATTTTGGCAAAGTTGGGGATTGGGATGAAAAAAAAAAAAAAAATCATGCCAAATTGTCGTCGGTGGACGGGCTTCAAAAAAATCCTCTTGTGCGTGTTTTGCTTTTTTTTTTAATTTTTTTCTTTCTTTTTCTTTTCTTCATCCACTTTTTTTTTCCACATTAGGTGTCCTCTTTGTCTGTGCGATCTTTTCATGGTAGGTTTTATTGGATTTGGAGGATTTTGAAAAAGGGATTTACAAAATAGATGGGGAAACCCTTTCATTTTGGATGTAGGATTTAGTACAGGTAATGGCAAAAATATTTTATAACAGGATGTGAATTACTTGGCCTGGTTTTATTTTACTAATAATGCGAACAAAAAACTGACTGGATGACAAGCTTCTTTTGGTTAGGAAGAGCAGCTTGTTGTTAGGATCTCGGTAATGGACGAATGCTTCCGGTTGGTACTATAATAGATACAGTAGTGATAGTATTAGTTAGTCAGTATGTGGATTTTTTTTTTGAAATAAAAATTATATTGCTTTTTGTGATACACAGCAATACACTTCCATGAACCTTTTTTTTTTTTTTTTTTTTTTTGATGATGATGATAATCATTATTAATTGATTGAGGGATGACTGAATTGACTTTTCATTCTTGGTTTACCTTATAAATTGTGAGGCAAGGTGTATATTGCTATTAATACAGCTGAAAGAGAATGTCATCAGGCATCTTCAGTCCAAATTTGATACAATGATGATAGGTTGCGAGGGAACTACAGAAGTATAAAGAGGCAGGAAATTTGACTGATGATCATGATTCATAGCTTTCATTGTTGCAGTAATTGATTTAAACCCACTGGTCAAGCGTGAAGATAACTCAGGTAAAGCTAACTGGATTTTTTGACTTGAAATGAAAGCTCATTCATCATTCTCTTGTGCTTTTAGCACTTGATCTTCGAATTGATTATATAAAGTTGTGGAAAAAAAACATATCCTGACCAAAGATAATAGTCAGGATATATTTGCTTCAATAGTACAGAATCATAAAAGTACAAAAAAAAAGTGAAGATAAGATTACAAAAAAAAAAATCATCATCCATCATCCAACATCCAACATCCAACATCCATCATCCAACATCCAATATCCAACATCCATCATCCAACATCCATCATCCAACATCCATCATCCAACATCCATCATCCAACATCCAACATCCATCATCCAACATCCAACATCCAACATCCATCATCCAACATCCATCATCCAACATCCATCATCCAACATCCAACATCCATCATCCATCATCCATCATCCATCATCCGTCATCCATCATCCAACATCCAACATCCAACATCCATCATCATCTTCTTCTTTATTGTCCTTTGACTTAATCTATTTTATTGTGTATCTTTATGAGGATAGAGCAGGATATGCAACAATTGGATATGTTGAATTGTGTGTAGATAAAATAAAACAAAATAAAATAATGTGGGACTAATAATAAGTCAGTGAGATTCTTATTCTTTTCATTTAAAATAAAAAGATAAAGTTGATTCTTGTATCTGCACTCGAAAAATTTATATCTCTTTTATATCTGTTTTGAAGATAAAATTATAATCATCATGTAATCATCATATGTATTAAATACCATGTAAACTCTTTGTTGGTATATCTGGTTAATTTGAATGATATTCATAATTAATTCCTTTGATGATTATTATATGGTAAACATATCGACATTCTTCATTCATTAAATTAGAGTTCTTTACTCATGGGTGAATTTAGGTTAAGAGCAGAGGAAATTTCAAAGTCCCCTTTTTATTATTTTTTTATTTTTTATTTTTTATTTTTCATTTTTTCATTTTTCTTTTCTTTTTCTTTTTCATTGACTTTTTTATGATTTTATTATATACCTTAGTGTAGTCGTTAGCTTACGTACTTTTTTATTCAATAAAGTTTTTATTTTATTACAACTATTTTTATTACATGTCAACGGGGTCATTTCCATCTACAGGATGTATTACGTATGTATGAATGCATTCTTTTTATTTTTTATTATACGCTTATATTACAGGTACGAAATACGCTGATACCATAGGATAGATATGATAAGGATCAACTGGGTACTACAGGGTCAATGAGACGGGAATACGACAAGGTTATCGACTGTACAAGTAAGGAAAAGCAATTGAATAATAGGTTCTATCGATAGTCCCGTATATTAGCTTCTTTATCAGGCTTCTCTCTCCCGCATTTATCTCGGTGGAATTTATTTATAGATAGTAATAGCATTATTATTCATAGGATGGATATGTAATGGATCCTTTTGAATGACAACGAAAACCAGATAAAAGAAAATTAGTTCTTCAATAGACGACAATCAATCATCAAGACCATCAATGATTATGCCCAACAAAACAATATCACCATCACCGTTAATCGTACTAAAGAAAGCCGTATTCGACTTAACGTCTAGCTCCATTATCTTTCGGGAAACAACGGTATGATCTTTGAATAGTTACATGCAAACTTAAGTTTATTCTTCTTTTTTTTTCACCATTAAATGATAAAAACATTGTCTTTGTTTTATCGGTTATTCTTTTTATCATTTGAATAAATGTATTCTCTTTTCTTAACCTTTGAGATACGCATACGGATTTGCCATTATTCCATATGAACATTATATCATATATCGAGTATATGCATTGGTTGTTCATATAGACATTCAAACCTCAATGTGATCATATATTGGAGTTGCCGTATCTTTCAATTTACATATTTCTGATAACATTTGAAACATTTGATTTAATAGAATGGTCATGAGATCGAAATCTTCTATGTGATTGTGATTGCGGAAACTATTTAAAGACCCTTGCTGTTAATCAGTGTTCTTTGCTTTTTCTTTTCCTTTTTTTTGACTATGAACATGCAGTCTAATGAGCATATTTTAGACGTTCGAAATGAAAACGTGGACTTTGCCAAAATATTGGCGGCTGTACGTGCTGAAAGCTCACTGCCGAAAGCTTCAGATGAAGTCGAAACACCCTGCCGTGCTTGCCAAGCAAAACAAAGACGAGTATCCAAAAATACCAAAAAACGCAAAAAACGTTATCCAATTACAAAGGCTCCTAAAAAGAATCATTTATGATGACCTCCATTTGTGCTAACCCAGTCTAATTTGTCGTTAGTATAGGGGACGAGTAAGGGAGAATCAAAGGAAAACAAGATTTTGTATAAAAGAATATTTTGAATAAAGACAGCTTTTTATTTCTATTGATGATGCTTATTTCTATACTAAAAATCTATCTATTGAATGTATGATAATCGTGTTGTATGAGAGAAACATAACGCCATTAAAGTGTTGTGATATGGTGAGGTGATAATGTAAAATAAAAAAAAAAAAAAAAAGTTAATGACATGACATAGCGGACTTCGAAACCACTGTTCAAGTCTGGTTGCTGCTAAGGAAGATGTACATCAAATGTCAAAACACTCTTTTATCAGCCAACATGATAAATCAATATAGTAATAATAATGATTACCTATGGAAATTAAAAAATATCAATACTAAGTATCCTGTGCACAATCATACTATCATTTAAAATAGAACGATAAAAAAAAAGAAATCTAGTCATCAAACAAAAACGCGGCAAAAACAAGTATCATGTATCACTTAGTACATAAATATTGTAATAATAGAATTTAATGTAGAACGTCTATGTAATTAACTTTATTATTAAGAGAGAAATGTTGCTAATACTAAAAAAAAAAAAAAGATGAAGCAGATACTAAAAATAATAAAGTAGATGATGAATTAAATACAATAGAAAGAGAGAAATGTTGCTAATACTAAAAAAAAGTGATGAAGTAGATACTAAAAATAATAAAGTAGATACTAAAAAAGACAAATGATAAATTAAATACAATAGAAAGAGAGAAATGTTGTTAATACTAAAAAAAAAAATGATGATGAATTAGATACAATATAAAGATAGAAATGTTGCTAATATTTAAAAAAAGATGATAAAACTTGCTTACATCTTGTCTCATCATTTTATCCACTAAAATTAGCTCATAATTGCAGGGATGATTCATTTTCTTATAAAAGGATCTCTTTGATTTAACTTTTTTTTTTTTTATTTCTGTCTATCTCTTTCTTTACAAGTATTCTTTAATGGTTTAATCACCGTTGGTTCAATCACTCTTTTTTTTTTCTGTCTATCTTTAATGGTTTAATCACCGTTGGTTCAATCACTCTTTTTTTTTTTCTGTCTATCTTTAATGGTTCAATCACCGTTGTTTCAATTAATTTAACAATTTAACAATTTAGCAATTTCCGGGATGGTTATCGCCATCCTACTTTCACTACGGTGATCTCGTTACACTTAAATGGTAAGCTAGTGAAATATTTTTATCTGGATAAGTATTACTCATTTTTTATTTTTTTATATATGTTAACTTGGTGAACTCAATTGGTGGATTTCCTTTTTTTTTTTTTGATTGCTCTTTTTTTTAATGATATCTATTTTCTTATATTTTCTATTTGATTATGCGACAATTATATTTTTTTTTCTTCTGTCATTTATTTTCTATCCTTACGATATTTTATTTCCTATTTTTGCGCCATCTTATTCTTTGAATTCCGTCATTTTTTATTGAATAAAGTGTATTCAACAAAATCGTGATCTCTATCACTCATCTTCAAAAAAAAAAGATGTGACAAACGAATTATTGTTACCCCTGAAAAAAGGCAAAGATCTTTTCTTTTTCTCGTCGCAGTAAGTCTTTTCTAATGATGTCATTTTTTTAAATGGTGGGTTCTATGATGATGGATTCTTTATTGGATGATTATGAATGGATACGTCGATTCTTTTTTACATCCTACAGAAACGGATATGAAAGATGGGCTAGTCAAACATGGTTTATAGAGTTGATACATTATATAAAGTTTATTGAAACCGACAAATATGTTTGTAAAAAAAAAAAAAATATAGATATTTATTTCATTTTGCTTGTATATACAGTTCATTTAAAATAAAAAAAGAAGTAATAAAATTATTCTATAGTGTACAATAAATCGAGATAATAGGGAATATATATATAAGAGGGAGCGATAATTAAGTTTCTAATAAACACCTTCAGGATCATGTAGTTGTAACAGATTGGATTGTTGTAAAGCCTGGTGTAAATGATCATCCAATAATAAATCTTTGGTCACACCTTCGACTGGAAGATGTTGTTGCTTGAGTACATTGATGGCATGACCGGTCATCAATAATCCTGGAGGTCGACTACCACCCACACTTTCCAATACCTTTGAAATGGTGCCTAGAGTTCCATATACCACACGTTGATCATCACAACTTGCCCGTTCCACAATGGCACAAGGAATATCCGCAGGATACTGTTGTTTGTTAATCAAATCGTGTACCAATGCATCCAGTCGATGAATCGCCATAAGGAAAACATCTGTGCGAGTAGGTTCAAAAACGGGAAGGGCCACACTAGAATTCTTTTGTCCTGTACCTGTTGTCACTAAGAATTGAGATGCTACCGACCGATGGGTCAAAGGAATACCTGCCAATAAAGGAGCTGCAATGGCTGATGAGATACCTGGAATCACTTTGGCTGAATAACCATGTTTTCTAAAGAATATCACTTCCTCTCCACCACGTCCAAATAAGTATGGATCTATAAGATACAAAAAAAAAAAAAAAAAAAAAAAAAATGAATTCTCTATCCAAGATTTTTTTTTTTTTTTTTTTTACTTCCTTACCTCCTTGTTTTAAACGTACTACATTTTTGCCTTGTTGTAAAGCAATCAAAGCCAATTCATTGAATTCTTGTTGAGCAGCATCAGCATTTCCAGGGAACTTGCGAGCAATTTTGAGTTCACACTCGACTAAAGCCACCACACCAGCAGGGACGATTTTATCGGAAAGAACAAGATCAGCATGTTTGATAGCTTGATGAGCAGCCAAGGTCAATAAAGAAGGATCCCCAGGTCCAGAACCCACCAAAGTGATTGTACCCTTTTGATCATGTTTTGTATAATGACTATCCAATCCAGTAGTTGACTCTGGACTATGATAACCTTCATCCTGTTGTTGTTGATACGTTTCCAGCAAGTTGCTCATATCCGTTTCTGACAGTTGTGCCAATCGATCCATACTCCAGTATTCACAAATCTGAGCAAGCCATGCCATGCGTCGCATCTTTGCCGCTTCACTTGGATCTGATTGTCGAATTTTCTTGCGTAGAACACCCACTCGTTGTACAGCTTGACCCAACTTGGCAGGAAGTCCACTTATGATATGTCTTCTGATCCGGTTGGCCAGTTTGGATGCTTGACCATTGGTAGACACTGCGATTTGTAAAGATTGATCACGATAGGTGGATGTCATGAAGAAATCGCAAAGGTCATTTCGATCTGTGACATTGATGGGTATACGATAATGTCGACATTGTTGTGCCATCTTGTTGGTTTTTTCTTCATTCGCTTGACAGATAAACACCATATGCGTTTCAGACAATAAAGCTTCGTCCCATTGACTACCAGCATAATGAATTTGACCTTGTTGAATACGATATACTAATTCAGGCACCATGGTTTCTTGATCGCCTATAAGGACAACAGCAGCATCCGCCTCAAGTAATGTCAACACTCGACTGGCTGCTATAGCATTGGATCCAACTACAAGCATTTTTTTACGTTGACATTGAAACGCTATCATGAGGGAAGCTCCTCCTACAGGTGTAGGCACATTTGGAGTAATAGGCACAGACGAAAGCATAAGTATAAGAATAATGTAACGAAGAGAAAAGGGAAAGAAAGAGTAAGTTTGTTCTTGAAAATAAAAAAAAAAAAAAAAGATGTACTTTTTTGAGAATTGCGCCATCATTGCGATAGATAACTGATTCCTGATTGGATCATTCTTATCGCCGCCAGCATTATCAATCATCTCTTGTTAAGAATATAAGATAAATGAATTGTAAGATAATAATAATAATGATAAGAATGGTATAAACTTTTTTTTTTTGGTTTTATTGATACAACTAGAAAAAAAAATAAATAAACTAAAAGAGAGTGTGATTCCAAAAATACCAGATTCCATAGATCAAAATTAAATAAGGTAAAACACAAAGACCAGGTTGAGCTAATTTCCATACTGGATTGGCAAGTTGAATAGGTACAGTGATCGAATGAGGATGAACCAAAGATCGATCTACGGGTGAAGCTACATTAAGATCTTGAATACCATCTTGTTGATGTTGTTGATCATCATTTGTTGGAAATCTTCCTTCTTTGTAAAAATAGGCCATCATATTGTCCTTTTCCACCCATCGTTGATAAATCCATTTACTGAAAGCTGTATCATCGTTCACAGGGATATCGTTTACATGGAACCGACGTACATGTATATGAATATGTTTAGGTTGTTTGTTGAAGAAGAATATACTTTGAATCGTGTAGATGTCTTCGGGATTTTCGCCTGGTTGAACGCCGGGATAACCAATGGTGAAATCGTAAACCCAATCAACACTGTTATCTAAGGTTTGTAAACAAAGCTGGAGACCTGATGATCTTGGTAAAAGCGTGTTCCGAAGATCTTTCTAAAATATGAGACATCAAATTTTATTAGCATGTCATCACTTTTTTTTTTTTTGTATTACCAGATCATTCTTTTCAGCATAATCTTTGGATCGTTTCCTTGTACAACTAGAAAGAACTTGACATAAAAAAAAAAAAAAATTAAAAAAAATTTTGATCCAGTATTCATCATTCCTTTATTTTACCTGTGCCTTCTGGAAAAAGGACTAACCAAAGAGGAATGGCATCTTGTTTTGATCTTACCAAATTGTTTACTATAGTTTCACGATCATGTACCATTTTTCTCTTCAAAAAGATAAAGTCAAAGAATTGCATACCTCTATATTAAAAAAAAAAAAAAAAATTAATAAAAAGAGAAAGAGAGAGATTATGCAATCCAAAAAAAATAAAAAATAATTGTACTCACAATCCATATACAGGCAAATGTTTTAAACTATCTTTAAGAATGATTTTCATTGCACCATGAGCCTTGGCCAAATAAGATACACACCAGATATATGCCCAATCTGCATTAATCTATAATAATGAATAAGAATTTAATCTGTATATCGTTCCTTCTTTCTTTTTATTATTCCTTACTTGATGATTTGAGGTAACAATGATTCTATCAGGTAATACCAAGTTTGTAATATCACCATTCTTGTTGCGTTTGACTATATTGTCCAAAGTATAGGATGAGGTTTTATCATGTAAACAAGAGTCGTCAAAAGTAAGAACCAAAGAAGCAGGAGCAAAGTATTGTACCACTGCTATAAGACTTTGTGACCAAATTCTCATAGTATAAGCAATGAATTCAACATAATGAGAACGTTTGTTTAAATAATAAAGAGCAAGTGCATATAGTTGTATTAAACAAGTACAAGTCGATTGAAAAAATAAACCAAAGTTAACAACAAAAATGCTAACTAGAGTTTGAAAAGACCATATTGATGACATTGATGAGAAAATAAAAAAAAAAAAAAGGAGTGAAAGAAAACACAAATAAAAAAAAATGAAAGAAGGGGGGGAAGAGAGAAAAACTTAACAATCATCAAGAAAGCAAAAGAAGTTTCAAATACCGAAACGTTGATGCGCATCATATGACAAAATGAAGAATGTAGAAAAAGACAAGTAGATAAAAAAGGAAATCATTTTTTTCACAATGGGTAAAGCAAAAAAAAAAGTGTTTTTTTTTTTATTCATCTTTCTATCGACATGTGAAGTGAAACCCATATCATTATGATACTTTTCAAGTAACAAACCGATCACTACCGATCAAAAAAAAAAAAAAAAAACGCCTCATCTCATTTAGGTATGATGGCTAACATTTATTTTTTTTTTTTTTTTTTTTTTTTGGTTTTTGGTTTTTATTTGAACCGATCAATCACATACAAATAAAATGTTCATCATTTTTTTAAAAATAATAATAATAATAATAAAAAAAAAAAAGGATTGTTTCAATATATATAAGATGGAGAGAGAGAGTGGGGTTCGAGACTCTTGAAATGCCCAGTCATCATCGGCACCTAAAATGAAATAGAAAAATGCGGGTACCTTCAAGTACCTTGAAAGATGCCTTCATCTTCTGCGCCCGCCCCACTTTCTTTCTTTCTCTTTTTCTTTTTTAAATTGTCCTACTACCCAAAATAAGAAAGAAAGAAAAAAAAAAGTTTGTTGCAGGGATCCCCTATGTGTAACTATCAAAGGTACTGGGTAATTCTTCTTTATGAATAATCATCACAAATCTATTATAAATATCATCATCATCATCATAATAGAAACAACTAACAACATATTGAATAATAATATTAAATAGTTGTCAATAAAAATAACAATTACAAATTAAAAAGAATTAAAATATATTTATTTCTATTTTATTATTATTATTATTGTTGTTGTTTTATTTATCCCTCGTGTCAAAAATGGCCTAAGCGCCAGAAAAAAAAAAACTTTAATGGATCGACGACTGCCAAACTTCAATCACCGATTTTAACTTTTTTTTGATTATAAATATGAACAAACCTTTTTTTTTTTTCTTTCTTTCTTTCTTTCTTTCTTTCTTTCTTTTTTTTTATTATTATTTTTTTCTTGTTGTTACTATTCTATAGAATGTCATCTATTGGTACAAAACATCAATTTCCATTAACTGAGGAAAATCTTTCCAAAATCAATGCTTATTCTCCAAAATACGATATCCTATCCAATTTTTGTATGGCTGGTAATGAGGCACCTTCTCATGATCATCATCTTCGAATAGAAACACAAAATCATCATCATCGATCATCTTATCAACGACGTGTTAGAAGAACATCAAGGGATGTTGTTATGGAATCACCTCGACTTTTACCATTTCCATATCACAATGATAGTCATTTCTTACCTACAGCCGAACGGAAACAAATGGAACATCAAAAGAAAATAGCAGGTTCTATCTCTGATCTCAGTTTAAACTCCCAAAGAACACATCGAACAACATCTCATACAATCATGTCTTTTTCACCTCGTCGTGCTGCTAGTGTTCCTCCAACTCTCATCACTACTAGAAAACCAAGCGATACTTCTTCTTATTCCATACCATTATCATCATCGCCATCATCATCGCCTTTATCATCGCCTTTATCATCTTCACGTAGAATCGATTCTCTTTTGACACGACTCATTAGCTTTTTCAAAAAAAGAAAAAGACAATCATCAGCATCATCAACAACGACATCTTCATTATCACCATCAATATCATCATCCAAATGTACTCGATTACCAAAAAAGTCTCCTGTATGGTTTAGTGAATTCTCTGTCAATCCTCCTCCTCCTAATGGTATGACCATGGCTGCTGCTTGAATGATTTTTTATTTATTGTATCCACCTTTTTTTTTTTTTTTTTTTTGATGTACCATTTACCCCATTTTTTTTTTTTTTTTTTTGTTTTATTGTCCTATATCTCTCTTCTTATTTTCCTATATGCACATATATATATATATTATATCTACTTTTATGTTTGTTTTATTCCACTTGTACCTATATTTATCCAGTATATCTTAATCCACTCTCTTTTATATATATATCTATCTATCTATTGTCTCTTATATTTTTATTCACTTCTATATTAATCCTTTGTACCAATAAAAATTGTATCTTCGTTTTTGTCAAACAATAATGAAACAGTATTGGCCACAAAATCCAAAGGTAGATTATACAATGACTAAGGATGAGACGGATAGTAGATGATTTTGATAACCACAACATAAATTAGAAGAGTTGATATAATTCATCATCAGCCATCTTTCTTTTTTACTTCCGGATTTTCCGGATTTACCTTTTAAAGGACAAGTCGTTCCTTTTTTTTTTTTTATTTTTGGGTGGGGTTGCACATCCAAATAAGGGAAGCCGCACGTTACAACAGATTTCAAATAGTCTAGATTTGCACTGTTTTATCATCTTCCGATCTTTGTGATCCTTCTTCTTCTATTTCATTCTAACATTGTCATGTATCCATCTTCTTGATGATAAAAAGGAATGTTCGGCTATAGATTCAGGAGATATATAAAAATACATGAAGATTAAGCAAAAAAAAAAAAAAAAAAATGGTTGTGTAAAATATAAATAGAGAGGCATATATGTTTTTTTTTTTTATTTAATAGTAAAGTATGCTAAAAGAAATAGAAAAAGAAAATGAAAAGTTGTCAACTGATAAAAAGTATATATACAAATAATAATAAAATAAAATAAAATAAAAAATCTAAATCTAATCCTCTTCAAATACATAATTGGGATGTAACATGATAATAGGATCATTTGCTGTGGATGGTTCCGCCTGAGAGGATGCATCGTTTCCTGTTGAAGTTGCTTCGGGCTGATCTTCTTGATATTCACGTCCTTCGTTGATGGCAATCAATACTCGGTCCTAAAAAGATATATGATTTTTTTAAGTTTTATTTTCTAATCAACATTCCATCCTATTGATTTCTTTTCTTTTTTTCTACCTTTTTAATTAATCGATTGATGACTCGTTCCACAATGGTTTGCTCCCGAGTATAATCTTCCACGGTTTTCAAATCATCTTCCATTGCTTCCAAATACCACATGACAAGTTCACTTCGAGCCACACCCGTCTCTATAGTATCAAATATAGTTAATATATTTATTCTACATATGAGTCTCTTTTTCTTTCTTTGGCCTTCTCTTCCTTACCTAGTTTTCGATCAGTTTCTCGAAGATGATGTACCAACATTGATTGGATTTGACAATACTTTTCATAAGTAATTCGGAAATTTTGTTGATCAGTTTCTTGATTCACATCCATGGCATCTTGGTTTGATTGTTGATCATCATTGTCATGAATACGCAATCCTTGTAATCCACCATCAAGAGCTTCAGGTCCATCATCGCCTCCAATATCCACATCATCTTGTTCCACTCGAATAATAGACTTTTGTAACAGGTTGTATGCTTCAATCACATATGATTCAATGATCTAACAAAAAAAAAAAAAAGAATGGAACGTTAATGCATCAGAATTATAAATATATATATATATCATTTTGTTTCTTACCTTGTCGCTGCAGTATACTCTAGCAATGGCTTCGGATAATCGAATCATACTTTCCAGTTGACGCACTGTGATACGATAAGAATTCATGTTCATGCCTTGAGAATCACCTTGACGAAGATCACGATAACAACTAGCCAACTTTTGAGCAGCTTCAGCAGTTAACTGATAAATAGATAAAGTAAGTCACCAAATTCAAATTCTGTTTTTTTTTTTCTATTATTTACCTTGGGTTTGTAAGTACGAGCATAACGGATATAGTTTTGCAGTTGTTCAGTAGTAAATTCGGGTTGAATGAATTCATCCTTCAATCGATGTACGTTCACAATATGACGAGCAATGTTGTAATCAGTCACTTCATTTCCATCATCTAATACCACAAAGAATAAATCAAATCGAGACATAATGGGTGCTGACATGTTGATATTTTGCTATTTTTTTTTTTAAAAAAAAAAAGAAAAGAAACGGTAAATCTTTGTAATTTATTCTTATATTCAAGTCTCTTTTATATATATATATATATATACCTTCAATGTCAACTTTTTGTTGTAACGACCGCCCACAGGATTAGCAGCAGCCAGTATACTTGTTCGAGCATTCAAAGTGGCTTGAATACCAGCCTTTGTAATGGTAATGGTTTGTTGTTCCATAGCTTCGTGAATGGCAACTTGATCCTTAATATCCATCTTATCGAATTCATCAATCGCACAAATACCCTAATACGAAAAAAGAAATATACATTCTTATTGAGTTTCACGAGATACTAGATTTTCTATCTTACATTATCAGCAAGCATAAGAGCACCGGCTTCAATAGAGAATTCACCAGTTTCTTCATCCTTGACAACAGAAGCAGTCAAACCAGCTGCACTAGAGGCTTTTCCAGATGTATATACAGATCGAGGCATGATTTCACAGACGTACCTATATTTCAATAAAATACAATATTCAGTCCTTCTGATCTTTATTTTCATCCTATATACTTACTTGAGGAATTGACTTTTGCTAGTACTAGGATCACCCACTACACAGACATTAATATCACCACGAAGATTCATTCCTTCCGGAGTTTGCTTATGAACACCACCCATCATCTGTAACAAGATTCCCTTTTTCACAGTTTCATGACCTAATCCACCAAAAAAAAAAAAGTATTCATCAGTAACCATTTTATTTATTTTCTATTTATAAATAATAACGCTTACCAAAGACATTGGGAGCAATACTACCGACCAATTTGCTATAAATCGCATCTTCCGTATTAAGCATTAATTTAAGATCATCCAGTTCTTTGGGAGTAAGGTCGTGTAATACTTTAGTTTGATCTTCTTCTTCATAATCATCAGCATGAAGATTGGAAGCAGAAGTCTAACAAAAAAAAACCAATTTTCAGTTAGTATTCATCGGATTATCTCGGCTCATCTATCTTTTAGGTACAACGGGAAGGAGATTGTTAGGGATTTTCTTGGGGGGATAGATATTACCGTATGGATAGTTGTTGGTTGCACCATGCAAGATAAAAACGAGAGTTTGTACGTCAAATCACGAACACCTAAAGATTTCAAACCGGTAACACCTTCATTTGCCAAACCTTCCCGAGAACGAGTATTGGTATCACGTTGGGCCTCAACGGAAGTTCCTTAAAAAAAAAGGGGGGATTTTAGAATAAAGTGAATCACATCAAAAGAAATAAAGTTTTTTTTTTGTTTACCTGGTGTTCTAAAGGCAGTAATATCAGGAATAACAATAGGAGTTCCAGTAAAAATACATTTGTCACCAGCTTTTGCACGTTCCACCATTTCACCTCGGACAATCACATCCAAACTAAAATGAATATATATATATATATATAAATATCAATTTTTTTTTCATATGATTGTAATTAATTTACCTTCTGGGCATACTACCAGTAGGGATTTCATCTGGATTTTCTTGAATTCGAACCTTTTGCCAATCCACAAATTTTGATTCTTCGAGATTCAAAATCCATTGTTGACGATTGAAACATTGAATACCAGGACACATGGAAGGCTAATAAATAATAATAATAATAATATGATTTATTCATGAGTACATAAAAATAATAATAATAATAATAATAATAATTCATTTTGGTTACCTCAGTGTATTTGAATTGTTGTTCAACATCATTAACAACAGCATTACATTGAGGACAAGTAAATGAGCCATAAAGAAGTTCAGGTCTAACTTCAGTTGTTCGAGTAACAGTACCACTAATAGTAATCAATTGACCAATTTTATCAGTTCGAAGTTCACGTACACGTTCCAACTGAGACATATTGTAAAAAGCTACAGTAAATTCACGAAGGATAGCACCAGCTACAGAGTTTGATGAATTAGTATTAATATACATAAATTCAGGAAAATGTTTGCGAACCACATTTTGAATAGCCATTCGAATATAAGGAGTAAATCTAAATAATAATAATTATGTTTTAGTTTATCTGTATATTCAAAAAGATGATAATATTTACCTATAATATTGTTCCAATAAAGCATTAGCAAGAGTTTCATCACTTGATTGAATATGAGAGAAATCAATATAAATAGTTTGTAGATCTGTAAGTTTAAGTTGTTCGAGTTGCATCATATAAGGATAACCGATCCAAGTTGATTGAGTTGTCAAATAAGAAGAATTTTCGTCTTGATACCTAAAGAAATAAAAATATATGTAAATAATAATAATAATAATAATAATGAAATCATTACTTTTCAATAAATTTTTCAAAACTTTGCATGACTACCATAGCAGTTCGATCGATCACTTTCACAATATTATCAGGGGCAAACGCGACTCTATTGGGATAAGAAGTGGGTTGTTCTTGATCCATTTCCATATTAACAGGAGTAGAAGGAGGATAAGGTTCAGGTACAGCTTGAGAATCAAGCATAGATGTATATAATTGGTCACTTGGTATTTGATCAGTCATTGTTTAATTAACAAAAAAAAAAAAAAAAGAAAACACGAAAAAAAACACACCACAAAAAAAAATTGGCGACTTTAAAAGGGGAGTCGTGACTGATCCCCCCTCTTTCTTCAAAAAGAAAAGAAAAAAAGCGGAGATTTGGAATCATTTTTGCAATATCAAATGTTTTTAACATATATTATATATAAAAAGGAATGAATTATTATTATAAAAGAAGAAAAATGAATAAAACTATAGAATTTATACAAAATATATAATATTTGATGAAATAAAAAATATCATTATAAAGATAAGCTCAACACAAGTACCAATAATAGAGTTACACACAGCAAAAGGGCTTTGTTTTTCAAACTCAAAAGTGAGCAAGCGAAGAAAAAAACTAAAAAAACTTTCCCAGTTGGCCTTTTTTTTCTTTTTTTCCTTTTTTCTTTCTCTCTCTCTCTCACCTTTTTTCTTTCTTTTTTTTTTTCCCTTCCGTTCCTTTTACTGTTCATTGTTTCTTTTTTCTTTATTCATTCTCTTCAAACTATATTGACAAGAAACTTGATATGATGGATGACCAGCAACAAACTGCTCCTGAAACTACAAGAGGTCTTTTTGATCCTCCTGGAAAGGTATAAACCATTACTTTAAATAGAACGGATATTCTTCATCCCCATTAGTTTCAAAAAAAAAAAAAAAAAGAGATGATGTTTTATAGATGACTCATCTATTTATATTTATTAGGTGCAAATGACTACTGGTGATAAACGTCGCTCATTCAATGGACTTAGTGAAAGATATTCTTTACCTATTCAACAACAACAACAACAACAACAACGTAGACCTAGGTCTAGGTCATCTGTTACTGCTGCTAATACTATGGATATTGGAACAAGAAAAAGTTACAATAATAATAGTTTTGGTTTACATACTTTACCTGAAGAAGTGGCAAATGATAGAAAAAAGGAAGGTGGTTCAATGACTGTGGATTCTTTACAAGATATGATCAATACTTTGAAAACAATGCCTTCTAGTGATACTAATCGTCGTAAAAGTGTCAATCGTCGTTTATCTTCCGTGATGGCTCCTCCCAAACAACATATTCAAGATGAAGAAGATGAACTCTCACGTGAAGCTGCTCTTGCTGAAGCTGAAGCCAAATTGATGGGAACTTATAATCGAATGTCATCATCATCTCAAGTGGATAGTAACAATAGTCATCTTCGTCAATTGGGTTCTAGACCTTTCAGCTCTGGTGGTGAAGATCATCGTCGTCTTTCTTCAGAAAATCTCATAGTACCTTCAAATTCAAGCTCCAAACGTATGTCGTTACAACAACTACCAACCTTGAATGAAAATGTGGAAGATGGAAATAAAAATACAAATAGGAATAGTCGACGTATTCAATTCAATAAACCTCTCAACTTGGAAGAAGCAAAGAAACAACATCGACGATCTGCCTCTTATTCATCCTCTCTTTATGCAAATGAAGCAACGAATAGTGGTTGGCGTTCAAGTGCTCCTCCTCCCAATCGTCATTCTACTGGTAACTCAAGTACTCCTTTGAACTCATCGGCAATGCATTCGGGCTCTTCTCTTTCTGTACCCTCATTCAATTTGGTCCCTTTTACTCCTACTCGTGTCAACTTTTCAAGAGATGACGCCAATCCTCATCAACGTCGTCAATTGTTTATTGCTCATTTACCATTCTCTGCTTTGACTCCCTTGTTTCGATCTCGTCAATTGGTTCGTGGTACTTTACGTGTGAACAAGCGTAACCGTAGTGATGCTTATGTGGCCTGTGAAGAATTGGATGATGATATCTACGTGTGTGGCTCTCGGGATCGTAATCGTGCTTTGGAAGGTGATGTCGTGGCTGTGCGTTTAGTAGATGTAGAAAGGGTGTTACGTGAAAAGAAGGAAAAAGAAGAAGCCAAAGTGGTCCGTAATGGAGGTCATGCTCGTACACGTCAACCTGATGAAGAAGATGAAAATGAAATCATATTTGGTGGTGATGAAGATATTGATGTGGTGAAGCCTAAATATTGTGGTGTGGTTGTAGCCATTCTAGAACGTGCTCAAAATCAAGTTTTCTCTGGTACTCTTACTTTGCGTCGTCCCAATAACAAACGTGCCCAAGAAGAAACACAACAACAACAAGAAAATGGCAACAATAACAAATTATCTGAAGCACCTCGTATTGTTTGGTTCAAAGCTGTTGATAAACGTGTTCCTTTGATTGCCATCCCTATTGAACAAGCACCTACTGATTTTGTTGAGGATAGTGAATCATATGCTGAACGATTATTTGTTGTAAGTAGATAAAATTTTATATTATAATTAGTGATTGATTTCTTTTTTTTTCTTCTTATCATATTTGTAGAGCTCAATCAAACGTTGGCCTATTACTTCTCTTCATCCATTTGGTACTTTGGAACGTGAACTTGGTCATATATTTAAGTTGGATGTACAAACCATGGCCATTTTAGCAGATAACAATGTGACCCATACTGATTTCTCAGAACAAGTCAACAAGTGTTTACCTTCTATGCCATATGACTTTACTCCTATACCTGATGATCATCGAAGAGATTTCACTGATATTCGTGTATTTACAATTGATCCTTCTGGTTCTGATGGTAACAACTAAAAAAAAAAAAAAAAAAAAAAAAATACTATTAATATTAATATCAATACTTTTTTTTATTTGTTTACATTAGTTCTTGATGATGCTTTATCTATCAAAAAACTTGGAGATGATATTTATGAAGTGGGTGTCCATATTAGTGATGTGACATACTTTATAAAGGCCAATTCTCCTCTGGATAAGGAAGCTCGTGCTCGTGGTGTCCGTGTTGATTTGATTCACAAGTCTGTCCCTATGTTACCTATCTCTTTGACCCAACAAGTAACTAATTTGATTCCCAATCAAACAAGATTTGCCTTTTCTGTGGTATGGAAACTTGATTCTGATGGCAAAGTATTGGATACTTGGTTTGGAAAATCTGTTGTCAAGTAAGTCATCCAAAATTACTATATATATATATATATATTATATGAATTAATATTCCTTTTTTTTAATAATGAAATAGATCATGTATCAAGTTGACTTATGATGATGCTCAAAGAGTTTTGGATGGTAAAGGACTTGAACAGACATCAATGGATCAAACTCTTGTCTCTGGAATTGAATCGGATATTCGTATGCTTTATAAGATTGCCTCTCAACTTCATACAACGCGATTTACAACAGGTGGTAGTATGTCTCAACAACGCGAAGAACTTGGATTTACATTCGATCACCCTGTGGATAATGATCATAGCATACCCTCTGGTGTTTATATTGCTCAAAAACCCCGTGCAAGTATCACTGTCAAGGAATTCTTATTGTTGGCCAATCAAAGCGTAGCGCAAAAGATCTCAAGTCATCTCCCTGAACTAGCTCTTTTACGACGACAAGCCAAACCTTTGGAACGTAAGATGGTGGAATTAGGTCAATATGCTTCTCGTTATTTGGGAGTACAACTGGATACCTCAAGCGCTCATTCCCTGGAAAAATCCATCAAAGCCATTGAAGATGACAAGGTTCGTAAAATTGTATCAGTATTGGTTCTCAAAACAATGCAGCCTCCCAAATACTTTTGTACTGGTGTGTTGGATATTCTCAAGTTTTCTCATTATTCTTTGAATATGCCCTTATTTACTCATTTCACTGCACCAAGTCGACGTTTTGCTGATATCATTGTTCATCGTCAATTAGAATCCGCTTTAGCCAATGGTATAAATGAAGAAGAAGAAAAAAAAAAAAAAAAAAAAAAGAGAAATCATGATTTAACCTTCTTTTTTTTTTTTTATTTGATAGATCGTCACTTTTACTTGGATAGAGATACTGTACAAAAACTAGGTCAACATTGTAATGTCAAGAAGGAAGCTGCCATCATTGCTCGTGAACAAAGTGGATTATTGTTCATGTCTCTTTATCTTAACGAACGTGCAACCACCGATGAAACTAATAATATCAAGATTGTCTACCGTGAAGCTCAAGTGATTGCTGTGTTTGATGATTACTTTGATGTGATGATACCTGAACTCAATATGGAAAGACGAATTCATTTAGCAAATCTTCCCGTCTGGCGATCTGAAATGGATAGCTCTCGTCGTGCACTCACTATGTTTTGGAAAAAGGGAGTGGATACATCTACTGGTAAGCAGCATCGCTGGAGTTTATCAGATGACGAATATGAAGATTTGTTGGATGAAGAATGGGATGATGCTAGTGATTCAGCCGTGGTGAACAAACTGTCCGTATCTCCTTCACTTGTGGAACCAGAACCCTCCAAATCATCCAAACGTCAATCCATCATTCAAGCTCGACTATCCAATAGTACTTCCTTCAGTGCAGAACAATCATCACAAACTATTCAGGCTTTGGATAAGATTAGGGTCATCTTGACTATTGAAATGGTTCGAACTCCTCCATTGATCCGTGTCTTGGCTGCTAACCCATATGCTTAGGTTGATTTCTTTCTCTTTCTCTCTTTTGTTTATTTCATCCCTCCATTCAGTCTATTATATCTCTTCTTTTTTTTATATATTGTTGTTACCCATAGTATACAACCCTTTTTTATTTTTATTATTATTATTATTATTATTTTCTTTTTTTTCTTTTGTGTGTTTATTTTTTTATATATACATATTTCTTTTACTACACTCCCATCACATTTCCTTCGCTCTGTACTACTTTTTTTTTGTTGTTATTCTGCTATCTTTTATAAATAAAATCTCTTTTTTCGAAATGAACAAGCTCCCATTAATATTCCGCACAGAACTCTCAATAGCTGCATAAACGTTAGTTTACCAATGATCGTTGACTTCAAAAATAAGTTTCATTTTTATTATTTCAAAAAAAAAAAAAAAAATTGATAATGAACCGTGCTAAAATAAATCATTGAGAGGCCAAGAGTTTTTCAATTTCGGGACCAATAGATTTGGGTTCAGTGGTAGAAGCATAACGTTTCACGACCTTACCTTCACGATCCACCAAGAATTTCTAAATCATAAAAAATAAAAATAAAAAAAAAAGATGAATGATCTCCTATATCTATTTTTTTTTTTTTTGAGAACTTACTTCGAAGTTCCATTTGACACGCTTCAAACTATTCAAAACGAAAAAAAAAAAAATTATTAATTCAGCAATATACATTGTTTTTCATCAAAGTCATTTACCCAAGGATACCAGGTTGACTTTCTTTCAAGTACTTGAATACAGGAGCTTCATTATCACCATTGACATCACTATATAAATAAGATAGTTAAAAAAAGTCATCTTTCATACACACACAAAAGATATATATATATTTAAATAAAAACTTACAGTTTGGCAGTCAAAGGGAAAGTGACATTCCAGTTCAAAGTACAAAAGTTTTGAATATCTTCTTCGGATCCGGGTTCTAACATATATATAGAAGGGGAAGTCAATGAAAACCATTCAAAAAGCGTCATCTTATTATATTTTTACCTTGACCAGCGAATTGGTTACATGGAGCACCAACGATAACAAATCCTTGATCTTTATACTTTTGATATAGTTCTTCCAAACCAGCATATTGTTTAGTGAAGCCGCACTTGGAAGCCACATTGACGACAAGAACAACCTAAAAACACAGAGTTATGAATTCATGACAAATCCAATCTTTTTTTTTTTTGATTACTTTTCTTTTATATATTTTTATACCTTGCCCTTAAGATCATTAAGATTCCAATCTTGGTTTTTAATGTTTTTCACAGTAAAATCAAAGAATGATTTGGTAGCCATGTTTTATGCAATAAAATTATGTGGGAATAATAGTTAAAAGAAAAGAAAAAAAAAGAAAAAAAAGAAATAAAAAAAGGACCGCGCCAACTTTTTTTTTTAAAAAAAAGAAAATGGTGTCACTTTAGGAAAATGCCTATGAGCCGAGTGGGAGTGAGCGCCCATTGGCTATGGATTTTCTTTTGTCAGCATATATTTTTAGCCCCTCTCTAAAAAAGTAAATCCTCGTCAACGCGTTTACTGGATTTGATCAAGAAGATCACAAAAAGAACGTTTTTTTTTTTTTTATTTCAAGAAGACATATCATATAATCTAGATTCATAAAAAATTAATCTACCATGTAAATCCCGTTCATCGCAACCTATCATACGAGAAGCCAAGCGTAATACAAGTTCATATTCCTCACTATATAAGAATTTGCCTTCTGCCTTGTATCGTTTTGGATGTAATATATAATCGTTACCAATCACTTTTTTATGTTGACTATGATCCATTGTTGAAGATAATCGAGGAATATCGGCCAAAAAATCATCATATGTTTCCAATCGATGTGTCAAATTCAAATCTTCTTGCATTTTTAAAATATGACGACGAACAATAGATTCTATCATAAAAAAAAAAAAAATTAAAAGTTATTAAACAAATATAATATCATTCATTCTACTTACTTTTTTCTTTTTGTTCATGTCTTTCCCCTGTCACAGAGTGTTTCAAATAATTCACAAGAATATCCAAATCAACATCAGGAGAATCAATCAGTTTATGTCGGTAAATGTCTTCCCAACGTTCAGCATTTGCACGAATATGTTCCATCCAAATTCCTTTCGGTAACGGTGGTGCTAAATCAGAATTATCATATTCACAATCCCTAATTCAAATATATACATATATAAAAAAATTAAGTGTCTTCTTTCATCACTAAAAAAAAAAAAAAAAAAAAAAAAAAAAAAAAAGAGGGAGAGAGAGACTATGTACCTATTTTGATCATCTAAACCATAAGCAGCTTTGATTAACATCAGAATGACCACCATCACTTGATAACCTTCATTGACATGTCCATCATCCTTTGTTTGACTCCAATGTTGATAAGGGTATCTTTCATACATAGTTTGAGCACAAAAATAGAATTCCACTATAAAAAAAAAAAAAATAGTGAGAAAAATGACCATCTATTTTCTATTTGTTATTTACCTGGTAAATACAATTGAGTACAGAATCGATGAATCAATAAGGATGTATTGAATTTTGGAAGTTCAAGGCCACATCTATGAACGAATGCTGATGTAAACTTAACAGTATCTCTTTCCAAATCTTCAAGTCGAGGGAATTGTAACATAGATGTCAGATATCGTAAATCTACTAAGCGAAGTGATGCTTCTGGGAACTCCTTGAGTATATGAAGATATGGTAGTCGCATTGTCGTACACCATCTATGGATATCATTCAACATGACAGGCCAACCAAGGTAAACACATGTGATATAACAAAACACCAATGCGTGCCGAAAGAAAAGAGGAGGCCATTGTACTGATTTTGTTTCTTTCGTCTTATTGTATTGGGTAGAATGTCCATTGTCATCATTATCGTTGTTATTGGTATCGTTATCATCATCATCATCATCAGTATCGGATGCTTCCAAAAGTGTATCAGGATTGTCATTCATAGGTCGTTGTTCTGTAGGACCATTTTTAACATAGGCGTCTACTAAGGTAACCTTGCTGTCGTTAACATACAAAAGCCAGAGTTCGCGAGCTACATACTATTTATCATGTATAAATGATTTAAAATAAATTCCAGTTGAATATATATCGTACTTACTTCAAATTCAGCAGGGAATGAAAGTTGTTCCACAAATGCACGGGACATGACTTGAAGTACGTATTGATGAATTCGTTTCACAGCATCTTGTAATTCGGCACCGTATAAACCTGTAAAAAAAATAAAATAAAATAAAATAATCAGTTTCAATGAAATAGAATATAATATTATAACCGTACGAGATTCTTTTTGTTCAGTTGTTACTGCCTTCTTTCTAGCCGACATTTGTACACCAATAATAGCATCGTCATCACCCGCTTCTTCTTGATATCCCTATTAAAAAAAAAAAAAAAAAAAAGTGAATACAATAATATAATATTCTACAAATCATAAACTTACCACCATTTGATGACCATATTTACACACGTAGTAACCTTCAGCAGCTTTCTTATACTTGACAGTTCCACAGATAGGACAAGGATGTTTTTTGAATGTAGGCATAGTTGATAATAATTGTTGAGATAGAATAAAAATAAAATAAAATAAAAATGAAAAAAGTGGAAGGAGGTATACAAAATAAATAAAATAAGATAAATAATTAAAAAGATAAGAATTAATCCTTGTTGTTGTTCTTTTTGTTTTCTTCGTTGGTAATAGTATAGGCGTTTTCGTCCAAGATTTGATCTAGTTGTTGTTTCAATTGATCAACCCAAGAAGCTTCAATAAAAAGGTGAGTATCGTCAAGATCTTCAATCACAAAGTTGTTGCGTTTATTGAGATTCAATACGATCTGCTTAACAGTAGTGTCACACTCTATAAGAACCCCTTTAACTGCTTTCACCATGGATGGACAACAAAAAAACCAAAAAAAAAAAAAAAAAAAGAAAAAAAAACTAAAATTTTATTGGACTGTCGTTTTTCCCCCCTCAAAAAAAAAAAAAAAGGAAGCGCTCATTCAAAATTATGATAAAAGTACAACTGTCATAAAAGAATCATATAAAGAAGCATAGATAACATAAACATAACATAAAACATAAAAAAAAGTTTGACTAATAAAAAATAAAAATTATAAAGTACGCTTCATATCCATCGGATTTAACGTTTTCCAAGGTTTAGATTTTGCACGTATCTGACGACGAACAGTTAAAAATTTTTTGTTCTTTAAAGTTTTAAATCGACCCCAACAACAACCACGAGATCGATGTGGAAGATAAGTGGCTGCAATCATAGCCCAAGAGAGACCTTGTTCATATCCTTGCTGTAATAACATATCTTCGGCTGGTGTCCAAGGGACTCTGATTTGACTATTCATTTCCCCTGACGAATGACTACGACGCCGTCGATAAGGTAATATAGCACGACAATGTAGTTCATATAATCTACTAGTACTGTGGATGTTATTGTCACTATAGGCTCTTCGATGATGATTGTAAAAAATAGGTTGCTGAGGTGATTTTACTTGAATGTCCTCCGTATCATATGATTCACCATCATCATCATCATCATCACTACTACTATTACTATGATATGATATTACAGGACTAGGTATATAATGATTAAATTTAATTTCACCATCTAGATCATTGGATGAGCATAAAAGATGTTTGATGGACATAGGATTCATTTGAGTCATAATGAATTACTATTACAATATTAATAAATAATAATAAAAAAAAAGGATGAAAAGATCAAATAAAATAAAAAAAAAACCAAAAGAGTCTTTTATATTCTTTGGATTTATGTTTGCCGATTATCCTCCATCTACTAATACGGTTTCTAAGGGATAAAAAAAAAAATAAAAAAAAAAATAGGGGAATGCAAAGATTAGCTGCTGGATGATTCAATGTATTACCATATTAAGGATAATATCTCCATACCAGGAAATGATTATTCACTTTTCTCCTTTAAAATAAACAAATCACTTTTTTTTTTTTTTACCCCCTTTATTTCTTCATTTTTGGTGAATTTATCATATCATCCTCAAATATTGATTGGTGGGCGTCGTTTTTTTCTTTTTTTTCTTTTACCCTGCATTTGGATCATCCTATAGAACTGTTTTTTTAAAATACAACTGTTTCTAAATACAAACAATTTACTTTTGACACGCCAATCCCGATGAGAGTGTATAAATAAATAAAATCATGTTCATCCTTTGCATCATCATTTGTTCACATTTTTACGCCATCTTTTTTTTTATCATTTTCTACCCCCCTCTCTCTCTCTCTCGTTCTCTAGTTACATCAAACAAGGATGATAACATCACCAATATCCTTCCTTGTCTTTTACGGCCAAAGCGTTTTTTTTTTTTCATTCCCAATGTTTGGGCAAGGATGATCGTCATCATAAAATATCATCAAAAGTCATCATCATATGAATATCTTCTTTGCAAATGAAGACATAACTCCTTTGTATCCCTTCTCGTTTTCTTCTTCACACATATTCTCTCTCTCTCTCTCTCTCTTTTTTTTTTTTTAATTTATACCTCTCATCCCTACTCCTAATAGACCAAGCGACACCAATATAAAATATATATATGGATTTGAAAATATTTTCTTGATGCCACTTGTGCATCCATAGCTAAAATAAGGATACGGAGATTTTTATTGATGAAGGCGCGGTATGTAATGTATATATAAATATAGATGTGTGCATATGTCTAATAGATGTAAATATATATATAAAACTATTCTAAGTGTTGTTGCTGTTCCCATGGTTTTGGCCGTGCTTTCAATTTCGGTTGACTTGGCTCACCTTCATTCAATTTATTTGGAATCTGTCGAATACCTATCATCCATCAACACATAAAAAAAAAAATCAATGTTGTATCCTCCAATTTTTCATTTGTATTCTATTCAAATGTGTACCTGGTATCTCCTGTCCAGTTTCAATCATTTCAACGATTTGCTGGAAAGAGAATTTCGGTGGTATTGTCACTTTTTCTCCGCCTTTGGTAGTTTGTTCTGTTGTAGATGCTTCCAATGTTGTTGTTGTTGTTGTTGTTGTTGTTGTTGTTGTTAATTCCTCATGTGTGTCTTGCTGGTTCTTTGCTTTCCAATCTTGATACTCGTTAAAGTCGAATGCTTCAACAAACCTGACCAAAAAAAAAAAGATAAGTTTCTGTTATAAAATAACACCCAAAGATAAAAAAAAAGTTACAGTGAGTTACTTTGTATAATAAAACCATTTCGCTTTTTCAAGCATCTCTTCTTTGTTGCCTTCTTGTTTCTTCATAATGGACGAAACACCAGCCTAGACAAAATATAAAAGTGAGTACAAAAATAAATGATTTCTGTTAAAAATAGATATTACGTTGAATCGTTCGTCATTGTCAAAATCATAACCAATAAAAGACAAAAACACGTCCTCCTTGTTGGCCATTGGAAAAGTTGGGTGCAAAAAGTTCAAAAAAAAAAAAAAAAAAGAGAAACGACAAAGAAACGAGAAAAAGAAAAAAGGTAAGTATTTTTAATCCCAGACAAAACATTTATTATATAACTAATCTATTTGCACTGAGAGTTTCCCTTGAATAAAGTCTATGAATTGTTGGACTAACCAAGTATCTTCCATATCAGGGCCAGCTTGATCCAATTTGCCTAGTTCCAGATCTGCGAAATCCCGAGATATGACACCAGCATCCGCTCGTAAATTCAGTAAAATTCGTACAGTATCCCTATTGAATTCCGGATGACCTTGTATAGTGATACATTGTCCATCATTGGAGACCATGGAATGAATAGGTGTATGAGGACTAGTTGTTGCCAAACATTGGAATCCAATGGGTAATTCAGTAACATGATCTTGATGAACTTGATTCAATCGCTATATAACATATAAAATGATAAAAAAGTTTTCGTTCATCATCATCACTTTTTTTTTTAATATATCTTACCAAAACTTGTTTATCCGTATGGAAAAATTGTTTACCAAAAGGAGTCAAAGAGATTTCATAATATCCAAGCTAAAACATCATCATAGGAGTCAAAAAAAAAAAAATTAAACGAGAAGGATATATAAATGTCAATTGATTCTACATTGTCAACCACTTGTTTTTAAAATATGTACTTTACCTCCCAACCCTTTGGATTTTTGCCACACTTGCCACCAGCAGCAAGAGCAATGATTTGATGACCAAAACAGATCCCTACGAGTTTTTTCTTATTGGGTTGTTGCATTTGTTCTTGAATAAATGAGATAAGTTTGAGAATCCATGGTTCATCTTGATATGCTGTAGCTGCCGAACCTGTAAGCACAATGGCATCAAACCGACTAGTGTCAGTAGGGTATTCTTGCTTGTGAACAACATCGAAATATTCCCAACTCACTTGATCTTGTTGTTGTTGCTTGGATACAGCTTTGGCGAATGCTTGCGAAAACATATGAGGATAATCTCCATGCTTTTCAAGTACTTGAGGCTTTGGTGTATCACAAACTAAAAGAGCAAGGTGAAGCTTTGTCATGGATAGGGTCGATTTAAGGAAAAAAAAAATAAAAAATAAAAGAAAAAGGGAAAAAAGATAGGGAACGGAAAGAAAGATAAACCTTTTTGATACTCTTTTTTTTTTTTCGCACGAATGACAAATTTATCTCACTGGTGCTACTGTTGAGGGCGGGATTCAAAACCTTGTCTACTAATATGCATCTTTCGAACAATACTCATTTTTCACACAAATCCTTTAACAAAGATATTTCAAAAGAAGGAGAGGTTTATTATTAAAAAAAAAAAGTATATAACAATTGATATAATCTTATCTTAACTAAATAAATATCTAATATTTTCAATCATCATCTAATTCTTCATCCCCTAATTCAGCTTTGACCCTATCTTTCAATGCGTCTACACATGCTACTTTACGTTCCAAGATATCATCCAAATCATTCAAATAATTTTCGTATTCAGTGGTCACTTTCTTACCATTGTCAGTCATCACCTTGATAGCATTCAAACGGTCATCTTCTTCATTGAAATCATGGTAGCTGGATACTGTCAATGTCAATCTGGCAATCATCCTCTTTTCTTGTTTGATGCAATCTTCCAATTCTTTGATTTGAGCTCGATGTAATCGGACAAAATCACGTATATGTTCCACAGATACTTGATCATTGCCATTAGAATCCGCAGTAGCAGGTGTAATTGATGGAGGAGTGAATAATGATGATGATGATGATGATGGTGGTGGTATTGTTGTTTTATTTTGTGGTGATTCGCTGGCATCGTAATATTCCTCGTTAGATGTACCAGAAGGTCCAGGTATAGATGCTACGGTAGAGGTTTTACGTGTAGCAGAGGGTGATGATGGAGGAGCTGATTTGATATGATCATTTGAGTAACGATAAAGTTGTTGCGGACTGCCTGGTGAAGGAGAAGTATTGGAATTTTCTGATTTGAAAGGACCATCTCCGGGTGGTTGTTTGAAAAATTCCTCAGGTGGTGATGATAACCTTCGAAGATAGTTTTCCTGTCGATGTGGTGTTGTTGATCCAATCCAAGTTCGTTGTGTTCGAGGTGTTCCCATTGCTCCGTTGCTGGTTGTATCCAAGGGAAAATCGACATCCATTAGATTTTCCGTCACATCTTCATCCCAAAGAGCATCGTATGTTGCCACGCTTTGAGCATCGTCCCGTTGACTACTGCTATTTTGTCTTTGATATGAGTCATCTATATGTTCATCCTGCTGTGTATCTTGTTGTGGTGATGATTCCGCTTGTAATCTTGGATCTGATTCGCCTTTCAATTCTTTCACACGATCAGCATATCGTAAAGTATTGAGTGTATGTTCACTATTGGAATGGTTTGGTGAAATAGTTGCTATCATACATGTTCGAGAATCACCGACAAAAGAGTCCCGTAAAACCTAAAGCAAAATGGGAAATAAAATATGAATTTCAATAGAGATGATATTTTTTTTTCAACTATATAAATTATTACCTGGGTAAGCTTACTTCCTCTGAATGGTGTATGTTTTTTATCTTGATCAAGAGCACGAATACATTCTTTCAAAGCTAGAAGACTTTTGTTGATTTCTGCACCTTCCAACCTAATCGATCAACAAGAAATAAATAAATAAATAAAATAATAATGGTTGAAAGTTTTTCAATTTTTTTTTTTTTTTTTTTTTTGCTTTTGACTATATCTACCTTGTCTTTGTATTGGCATCACCTCGGTCCACCCCACGTTCACTTCCTGCCAAATCGATAAAACTAAGTTTGCCATGGATACTATCAGCTAATGTGTCCTTCAATAAAACTTGCAATACCGCATGAGACCGTGATGAATTGTCGTTGGCACCAGTTTTTCCCGTTGTTCTTGATCGATTTCCAAAATCAAAGATTTGTAATAATCGATCTAGGTCGCAAATAGGATGTTCACGTAAACCAGCAATCACCACATTACTGTTACCATCGTCTCGAGGAATAAGTTGTTTGCGTTGATTTAACAAGTCGTAGAGTTTACCTTGATATATTTCATAGAATCCAACAGAGGCTGAAAGGTGTTGATATTCAGGATCTTCCAGCATTTCGAAAATATCTTTGGCAGCCATAATATAAAGACCATGTTCAGGGTCCAACATGGTATAAGTTTTTCCCGAGCCAGTTTGTCCACTATCACACAGTAATGTTAGTAACCTATTATCTGGATGTCAATTCTTTTTTTTTTTTTTCTACTCACAATGCAAAACAAGTTGCTTTGCCACCACCAAATACATAGTGTACCAAAGGTTTTGCTGTCCGATGATATATCTAAATTTGGGGAAAATGAGAACCAAAACAACATGTCATTGCATTTCTTTTTTTTTTTTTTAAAAAAAAAATCTTACCTCAAGATTGGATGAATCCGAGTCAAATGCTTCATCAAATGTGAAAGAATGTTGTTCAGTATATCGAGTAAGATCCACACGCGTTCTATCATGTATGTATAAAAAGGGAAAAGAATCGATGAATATAATCTTGTTTAGATCTATTATTTCTTTATATTTTATACATACTTTGGAGCATTCAATTGGATAGTATGAGCACCAACAAGTTGAGATATATCACTTTCACCATTGGATAATTCTTTCTTACTGAGTGGTCGTTTACGAACACATACACGTATTCGTTGTTGCAAGTCGCTTGATAAATTTTGATGGAAGTTGTTACGTATTGTTTGAAGGTTGTTGCGTACTGGTGAAACTTGTTGTGTATGTTTTGAAGACGCATAGGAAAGTTGTCGATTGAGATTAGGTGAAGTGTCCTGTCGGTTGATGGTGTTTCTTGGTAAAGTTTGCTGAAAGTTGTTACGTAACGGTGAAACTTGATGTGTATGTCTTGAAGGTGCATAGGAAAGTCGTCGATTGATACTAGGTGAAGTATCTTGTCGATTGATGGCAGTTCTTGGTATGGGAGTTGTCAAAACTTGTCGTTGCTGATGATGTTGTACCTGTTGTGTAGCTGGTGCTCCAAGTGTCAACCGCCTAGCTTTTCGATCAGGGCTAGGTAACTTGCTGGGAGCTCGTTTCTTTTGTTGTTCAGTTAGGGATATTGGTGAACGCTGTTTCCGTACTTGATGTTGTAACTGTTGTTCCTTTTTCTGACGCTGCTGGCGTTGTTGCTGTTGTAATTTCACTTCGTGAGCAAGTTCCATAAATTTTCTCTTATCATCTATGGAGCGTACACCAAGCTTTGAATAATCTTGCATGGACAGCTTGATTAAAATAAATAAATAAATAAATAAATAAATAAGAACAGTATGATACCTTATAAATGGTTCTTTATCTTTTCCTTTTTTTTTTTTTTCTTTTTTCTGTACCTGTGATAAATAATCGAGTGTGGGTACGCCTTTGGATAGTAAACTAAATAATGTAAAACAATTCTACAATAAGTAAACCATATTCCAAAAATAAAAACCATCGTTTTCAATATTTATATAAACTTACTCAGGATAATACTAATAAGAAAGGGGGAAAAAAAGTGCAAAGATAAAGGCAAGTGAATATTTTGCACATTCTTTTTTTTAATACAGTTTATTCATTAAGTCTTACCTGTTGTAAATCGTATTTTTTCAATGTATTTAAAAAAGCTGTTGTACTCATCATGTGTGAGTAATTGGTAGAGTAGAGTCAAATAAAAGAATACAGTCAAACACTGTGAATGAAAAAAAAAAAAAAAAAAAGGAAAGGGAAAGGTGCGATAATAACTGTCGCGAAAAAAAAAAATAGGTGGAGACGTGACTACACGTTTTTCGGTCTAGAAACGTTGAGGCATAAAGCGGCAGTTGAATGAAATTGAAGAATGAACAAAACGAAAGAAATGAGTCAAAGCAGTCTATTCAATGTGTAAAATAATAGAGAACAAGTACAATTTTTTTTTTGTTTATTTCTTAAATATAAAAAGGGAAAGTGAGGAATGGTTATTTTTTTAAAAAAAAAGAATACTAAATTCAAGCAGGAGTAACGGAGGTTTGTAATATATATCGTTCATCTTCGTTGAGTTGTTGGCATATTTCCAAAAAGTGATTGGTATTGTGAGCCGAGCAGTTGCGGAAAAAGTCAATCAAGTATGTCTATAGAAAAAAAAAAAAATACGTTTAGTTCCCTTTTTAAATCGAAATCATAAATTTTGATATTTACCTTCATATCTGCTTGATATATGGGATCATTCTTCAAATCAGGATTATTTTCTTCATCATCATCATCACCCAAATTGTCCAACATATCTATAAAATAAAAGGATCAAATAATAAGTTTTAAGTCATTGTATCTTGTTCAGAGTATCTCAGTCTTAGTTACCTGATAGTAAGTTGTAATCTAGGCGAGAAGAGTAACCATTATCATCGCCAACATCTTCCCAATCACCATCCTAAACCGCATTTATAAGAAAAAAAAGGGCCATCACTATTCTCTTCTTCTCTTTTTCTTTTTTTACTTTTTTTTTTATTTCAAACTTACTTCATCTCCAATCGATTCAGCATCTTCTTGAGGACCTTGAGCAGTAGGCAAAGAATTTCCCAAATCAGCTACAAGCAACTTGATAATCTTCATTGGTAAAGGTATGAGAGTGTATTGATCAGGATCTATAACCAGAAAGAAGAGAAAAAAAAATCCACAAGTTATTAATTGTATCTATATCTTCTATCTATATATATATATTAAAGGACTTTACTTTTCTTAGATTTTGATCTGGTCACAATTCCAGCATTTGGATTCACAACAATTTCACCCTTCACTTTCATATTTTGTAAACGAGGATCATTGATGAGGAACACCTTGGATAAAGCGATTGCACTATAGTTTTAAGAGGATATTAAAAAAAAAAAAAGATCAGAAAAACCACAAAATAAATCATATTATCTAAATAAGTTACCTGACTTTGAGAGTATAATAACCAGAGAAACTTTCATAATTATCTACCCAATGAGTCATCAATATATCCAATCCACTCTTTCCATTGATGGTTGTTGTAGAGAGGAATTCAAATACAGAATCTTGTTGAGAGTTGATAAGTTGTGCAAAGATAAGGACAAGAGACTAGATAAAGATATGAATATAGTGAGACAATTATCTTATATTTTATCCTAATGTTTGAATTTACCTGAATGAATGGCTGATAACTTGTGGATTCTAATCGAACTAGAACAGCGTTCAAGAGATCAGGCAAAACAGGGGCGATGCTACTTCCAGTCTAACAAAGAAAAAAAAAATATTAGTTCACATCATCATGCTATATTTTCATGCTTACTTTTTGGATCATTGTCACAATCAAGTCACCAACAAATAAAGCTTCGGATTCAGTTCCAGTTGGTTCCAAGAGTTTGGCCACAAAATGAATAACATAGTCCAAACCTGATTTACCAGATTGATCACGCCTAAAGAAGGTCCTAGTTAACTATTTATTCTATTTTGTGAAATGCTCTTCATTTTTTTTTTTTTACCATCTAATAATATGATCACTATCCTTAATGAGGAACTGCTTCAGGCATTCTTGAGTACTCTAATGATATGAATAACAAAGTTTATGAATGAATGTAAATCATCGATGACTTATAGATAGATATATATTTATAAATGTATTTACCTGCAAGACTTCATTATCAGGTATTTGCCAAGCAAGCTGCATCAAAGCGGGATACATTTGTTCAGTGAATTCATTGGGTAGAGGTGAGGGACCAAAATGAATCAGGGCTGTCAATAAATCGATGGCAGACTATATAAAATAATGAAGATTAAGCTACCAATCACCAACAATCCGTCCTTTCTCTTCATTTTATACTTACTGCTAAAATAACTGGATCAGTGTTGGCAGTGGTAAAGACCTCACCAATGAATGGAAGTGATCGAGTACAAAGAGCAGGATAATAAAGACTGTTTTTCGCAAATTCTTCAAATACATCTAGGACGTAACTTGTAATGATAGTATCCGAAGGGAATCTTCTCCAAACATCCAATACAGCAGAAGTTAATGTTTGTTCATATTGAGCCGTCACTTCCTTGTTGATCTAATAAAAAGAAGAAGAAAAAGAAAAAGAAATGTTAATCGTATCTTCTATACCAAATCAAAAAAAAAAAAAAAAATTACCTTCACACTTGATCCTAATGTATCTAAGAGCAACATTAATGATTCTTCAGTGGTCAAAGGTAATAGTTGGCAGGTAAGTTCCATGATAGTGGCTTGATAAGGAGTAACATATTGAGCATCTAAATATTTGGAATAACTAGATTATTTAAGAGCGTATCAAATTAGTAAAATGTTAGTTCAATATTTTATATTTTCTTACTTGTTCAGAGCACGAAAGGCAGAGATTTTGACGGGAACTCCACTTGTTGGATCTTGAAGAGCATTAACAGCAACAGCCACATATTGGGAGGCCATTTCCGCAGGTAATACTTTAGCAAATTCGGATGCAAAAGTAAATGCACGACCTTGTAAAAATGGGAAATCTAAAAACAATATTAAAAACAAATTAAAATTCACATCATCCTATCATTCATATTATTCTACAATTCTTTCTTTGTTATACCTGTAGCTTTCATATCTTCCAAAACAACGTTATCAAATAAACCCTTCAAATCAAATAACACATGTCGATATTCATCATTCTGGGCTTCCACCAATTCTTCAGCTACACGACCAATAGCTAAAAGAGAAGCTTCCTGGATCTTCCACCTAAATCATAATAATAATAATAATAATAATAATAATAATATTAATATTAATAATAATAATAATAATAGTAATAATAAGGTATACGCACTATTATCCATTTATATCCAGTACTCTTTATGAAATGATACTTACCAATCACTATTTCCAGCAGCACGAGATTCATTTGATTCTGTAATATGTCGTTGAGCAGTTTTTGACAAGGCATTGAAGAAGGCAGTAGGATAGGTTTCTTCCAAGGACTAAAGACCAAGAATAAATGAATAAAAAAAAATGAATATATAATGATTATTATTATTATTATTTTACCGATAGAGCATCAATGGCAGCCACTCTAGCATTGAACGAAAAGGTATGTTCTTCTTCATCGGCAACATATTGATTAATATCAGCTAACCAATTTTCAGCTTGTTCTTGGGTGATTTGCATATAGATGATGAGTACATATAAAAGTTGTTCAAAAAAGTCGGTATGACCATCAGGAGTGACGAATAGATGACGAACGGATTTTTTGTTGCTGGAAGCTACCACGAAATCAAACAGAGTATATAATAGACTTTGGAAACCAATTTCATTCCCATCTGAATCTTGGAATGATTCAGCAACATCACCAGAATCACTAACAAATTCTTGTACATATCGATCCCGTAAATTGTAAATATCATTCCAGATTGGTTCAAACAGTTTTGGTAAAGCCTCGATAATAAATTTGGGATATTCATCACTAAGAGCACGGATACACTTGATATAAAATATATATTTAATACAAAATAAATAAATAAAAAGTAAATCATGTTACCTTTACTACATCCATTTTGAGACCATATTCTTCAGTTGCTTTTTCTGCATTGTCTTGAACATGATGACTGAGAATAGAGTTGAAAGCTTCCAACCATTGAGGAATAAGAGGACCAACATATTGTTCCGCCAAAGTAGGATTTTCTTCCCGAAGAGTAGATAACATTTCAACGCAACTACTAAAGATATTGACAGCTCGACCACGAGTACGGAATGAATAGATCTATTTCAAATACAATAAAAAAGAATGGTGAGTTTCCACTATAATATATCCTTAAAACTTACATTATCAGAAGTTAATATTCTATACAATTCAGGAAGTAAAACAGGGCCGACTTGAGGTAATTGCTGGACACTAATATCTTGTTTCACCATTTCAAGTAAGACACGCATAGCACCATGAACACTATCAGCACTATTCGACTTTAAGTAAGCAATCAAGATATCCAGTAAATTCGGCCAGTCTTCTGGAAAATCATCATGAGCAATCTTGGATACAACATAAGCACTAACTACACGAATCTTGGATTCAGAATCGGCCAATCCATTAACGATAACCTCGCGAACCATTTTCTTGCTCTGACAAAAAAAAAAAAAAAAAAAAAAAAAAAAAAAAAAAAAAAGAAAAGAAAGAAAGAAAGAAAGAAAGGTTATGGTTAATTGACTGCGGTCAATATATTCAACAAAAGTAAGATTACTTCTTGGGGAGGTTCAGGACCAATAAACTTGTCATCATGCTTGGGAGACCAATGAGTAGTAACATAACTTTTCAAAGTCAATGCAGCTAAGTAATCAATAAAAAAAAAACCAAGTTAAGAATAAATATGGAAAGTTAAAAAAAAAAAAAAGATATTTGCATATAAAATCAAAAAAAGGATATTTGACGATGAGGAACACTTAGTTCTTGAGAAACTGTTAATCGAGCCAAACTGACAGGATATTCTAAGAAAGAAAGGAAGTGAAGTAGGACACGGTTAAAAGAGAATTAGATAGAGTTTTTTTTTTTTTTTTTTTTTTTCTGAAAGTTTACCTGGAGCATTGGCGAGCTCTTTCAAATGAGCTTCAGCAGCAGACCGAATATCATAATTACTATCTGCAACTCTCAAAAGAGTTTCATAAGTAGCTTGATCCATTAAGTAAAAATGAGTAATGTCAGATCAAAAAGTAATGGGAGCAAAGAGAGAAGAAAAAAAAAAAAAAAAAAAAAAAAAAGAAAAAGAAAAAAAATGAGACGCGATACCAAAGACACCAAAAAAAAAAAAAAAAATTGAAATTCCGTTGACACGTTTTCTTGAGATATTTACCTTGATAGATGATGAAACAGTATAACAAGGATTAAATGATGATAGATGAAAGTGGATTATACTGTAGATATCATTCTGGAAACTTTGTTTAAAAAATAATATCTTTATATTCTTTCCAACAAAAAAAAAAAAAAAAAAAAGCATTATGTTTTGCAACCCCATCGCCATACTCGCATATGATTGGCCAGAATTTGATCCCCGAATCGAGCCAAATTGTAGCAAAAAAAGATACTGAGATGAGACTACCAGGGGTCGAACCTGGAATCTCCTGATTCGTAGTCAGACGCCTTGTCCAATTGGGCCATAGTCCCTCAGCTGTCGTTTAGACCATGATCATCATTATAAAGCCAAACGGCTGGGTTTGAAAAATTCCGGCAACTCCAGTTATAAACGGAATCAAGTTACACCAAAAAAAGTTGTATAGAGATTTTATAGCTGATTACATTGTGTTTACTTCGATGAAAATGGATGTGAAATCATTTATTAATTCTCCTTTACGATCCATCAAATTTTATCAGTGTTCTATCGCATTTATTAATCAGAAATGGACGGTTTTTCACCATAAATAATGTTCAAGCCCAGCCGTTTGGCTTTATAATGATGGTCACGGTCTAGACGTCAGCTGAGGGACTATGGCCCAATTGGACAAGGCGTCTGACTACGAATCAGGAGATTCCAGGTTCGACCCCTGGTAGTCTCATCTCAGTATCTTTTTTTGCTACAATTTGGCTCGATTCGGGGATCAAATTCTGGCCAATCATATGCGAGTATGGCGATGGGGTTGCAAAAGTTAATGCTTTTTTTTTTTTTTTTTGTCTCTGTCCCTTTCCTTTTGCTTTCACTTTCACACATGATTTTAGGAATGTGGTAAGTTTGAATTAAAACGATAGTGATAAAAAAGAACTGACGCGTGATTTTTTTTTTTTTGTTCTCAACTATTTAAAATATCTGATTCACTTCTGCATGGTAGCAGTTTTTTTTTTTTTAATGGAAACAAATCTATTATGACACAAGAAAAAGTACAATGGATATTGTACTGTTTATAGGTAATGAATAAAGAATAGGGAATGAATTATGCAATAGAATGGTCTGGTATAACATGAATACTTATTTTTTTTTTATTATTATTATTTGTTTTAAGGTAGAAAAAAATGGTAAAAGGAGAAAAGGTTGTGGGTTTGCTGAACGATGGAAAACAAGAAGTGTTTTATCTAGTGAATATTTTCTTCTAGGACTAATTCAGTTTTAACATATAAATTGCCATGACTTTCTCAACATTGTTTCAACCATCATTACCAAGGACTAGCCACGACAACTTTTTCTACATTGCCTTCCAACAGATTGTATTAAAAAAAAAAAAAAAAGTAACTCAACAAATGACAATGACTATGTGATAATTGGTTCAGTGTGAGTAATATATGTGTGAGAAGGAATAGTGAATTTTATCGTTTTTCGATTTCTCTATCTAACCACTCCTTATTTGTTTTGTTTTAGGGTTGCTTACATAGAAGAATCGTTATTAAAAGGAAATTCTATTATATCCTATGGTTGAAATTGCTTATACTTGGATACTTCGATCATCACTTTCACCCTTACCCTCTCTATATTCATAGTTTAATTCTCTTTACTTCTGATAGTGATATTGTATATTAATCTCGCATAAGATTGTCCTTTGCCATTTTTTCATTAAATAAAAAGAATATCTACTTTTATACCCCTGCTTTTATATTTTTGGAAATGATCTTTTTGATGATGAAGGAATAAATAATAGATAGACGAGAGGATAATAATACGTAAAGGATGAATGGGTAATAATTTTTTTTTATTCAACTCTGTTTTATTAATTGATCCAATGTATGGTCATTAAAGGGGTAAAAGAACAGGATTTCGTACTCCACTCCACTTTTGGCATATGCTCTTTTCTTTTTTTTTTTTTTTCTTCTTTCTTTCTTTCTTTTTTTTTTTTTTTTTTTTTGTTGCTCTCCTCTTTTCTTTTTCTTTCTTTTTCTTTCTTTCTCTGCTCCTCTCATCATCAAAATACCATTGCAATTCTCTTCAGTATACCAAAAAAAGGTAAGTAACATTAGAAAACTTCGTTTGGGGTTTGAACATTGTGATATTCATATACTATATATCGCTATGCATTTGAAATGATTTTAAAACTTGTAGGTAGAGCAACGTGACAATCGGATGCTCAAGGTGGGTAGTTGAACAACTACTCTGATACGATCTCGAAAGGAAGTAGAAATAGTATTGGCATTATAGTCCAACTGTTAGATAGCAGTGAATAAAGGTAAAAAAAAAAAAAAAAAAAATTATGATATTAAAAATCAAATGAAAGATCAAGAATCATGATTGCAACAACTGTAGATCAGTGAAGGGTCAGATTTATAGATTGTTAGTTTGAACTATTGTACTCACATTGTATTTTTTTTTTTTTTTTTCGTAGTGGTCAAGGCAGTGATTATTGTGCTTGTCTGTTTCCAATAGAATTCTCGATAAAATATTCAACACTCTCACTAGTTTTAGCTTCGAGCATCTGGATATACGTGGCGATTTAGTTGATGTCAATTATTATTATTATTATATTGAATGCTTTTTAATGGAAATAAATTGTATTTATTGATATATCGACTAGTTTAATGAATATCTGACAAATGAAATTGTTTTATGGTATGATGACTTTGTCTATAGAGCGTGAAATGCAGCATCCATCATTACATATAATCAATCATTATATATAATCCGTCAAATCATCATCAATACATTGAAAGGTTTGTCAGCAAGATATATTGTTTCAAGAACGGTCTCTCTTTTTTTTTTTTTCAACCTTGATTCACTTTTTTTTTTTTTTTTTTTTTTACCCCCATTACATCCATAACTATCAAAAATAAAGAAGCACACGGTAGTGATATAAGAATGGGAAATGAGTATAAAAATAGAATCAAATTGAACGCATGCATACAATGAACGAGTAAAAAAAAAAAAATCTTATAAGTAAACATATGCCGTCTACTTTTGCATCCATAAAAAAAGAAACACAGAGTTAAAAATAGTTGATTTATACATAGTAGGTAACATTATGTATTTTTTTTTAATAATAAAGTTTCGTATTTGGTTGATCAAAGATGAGAGAGAAGGATCTTTTTGTTCTGATTATGACCGACATCAGTCTATTACAAAAAGAAAAAAAAACAATAAAGCGGATGATGGCGAATGCTGCTTGTTCCCGAAGCATCGTTTTACCCCTGGAGCGTTTGGATGACACGAGGAATAAGGGAGGCACATTTTATGAATCCATTACAATTGAATAGGATTATCTCCCTCTATATTACTACAATAGAAAAAGTACCATATAAATATATAGATATATATATATATATTTATAGATTGTATATATTCAGATGCATTGGTTTATTGATTGATAAGATTTCTATGCTAAAAAAAAAAAGTACACATGTGAACTAAAATAGAGTAAAAAAAAAAAAAAAAAATGAAGCTATATAAAGTTTTACAATGTAATGATGGAAAGAAAAGCAGGACGAAGTTTCATACTAGAAGGATTTTTGACAAATATGGGTAATGGAGGAAGAGACTTGTAATTACGACCATCATGCACGTGTCTAAATAAAATCAAATAAAGTTCAGTTTAAAAAAACGTGAGATAAAGTACTTTTTTTTTTGAATTGATGATCATGCATATACTTACTGTTGAATGAGTTGCCGTAAACTGGTCAAAGTGCAGGCCCCTATACCAGCACCACATCCTTGGGTCAAAGAGAATCCAGCCGTTGTCATATAACCAATTGGATCACAAGGTACGCCATTGTCATCCGTGTTTATCGCATGAATGGAAGCATTCTGTACAGGTTTTCCTCCATCAGGCATAACAACGTGTACTTTCACTATTGCTCGTTTCCAATCCCTGTCAATCGTATCCTTGTCTAATGATATATTTCGTCGTTGGAATATTGTTGATAAATCCATAGGCGAATTCGATGATAAACCCGCAAGTAGTAGTCGTTGTTCTTGAATAATCCAGTATTTTGGTGAATACGATGATGATGATGATGATGATGATGATGATGATGATGATGATGATGATGATGATGATGATGAATCCAAAAGTATTTCAAAAGGAGCCTCAAATGGATACTTGGTATTTGAGATATTATAGTTAACCCGTTTTGCTGGAGGTCTTTTTAGCCATACTTGTTCCGCCTGTTGTTTGTATTGTTGTCGTAATTCTTCCCATGCTTGAGTACCAGGATAATCATACGGAAATGAAGCAAGCCCACTTTCAAAATGCATAGAACGAACATCCCGTAAACCACCTGTTCTTGCACCTGCAAATATAAAAGATTTCCAAAAAGCCATTCCCCATCCACGTGGTAAAATCAATGACCAGCCTTCACAAAATTCTTTCGAGTTGTTCCCATTGGTAGCGTCCAGAGAGTATAATCCACGTTGAATAAGTAATATGGGTATTGATGAATCAGAGGGTGTAAAAGGTACTACTGTGGTTTCTTTTGTTGGTTTATCCCCTTGAAGTTCTTGTCGTTTCAAAAGGAGCAAATGATCCGATATCCTATTGTTGTGTATATCATTACAAATCTCTCGATCCCAGATATTGGAAATAGCAGCGTTGTTTGGCCAATTTCTGCAAAGGTTTTGAATCTTGATATCTGCCAATGGATCATCAGCATCGTGTCTGGATGGTACTTTTTGTGGAAACCTATCGAAAAATAATAATAATAATAATAGATAAATATACGATGAATTTTATGACGTTATCGTAAATTCTATATAAATACAAAGTACATACGCAAATCGAGGATCCTTCACAGTAAGACCAATGACAGTCCCAAGAGGTAAGGATGAAGATGATCGTAAAAGTTTGAGATCACGCCAAATTTTAGCATTTGTTGAATTCTCCGTTACTGGTTCAAGTATAGTTTGTAACAATGAAGTTGATCTTGGGCCGGTAAAATCAAATCTAAGTAGTTCATTTCGTTGATCCAACAATTTGATATCTATAACAAAATAAAATGAACATAATTTAGTATTGTTAATTAATTCTCTTTTTTTTTTTTTTTTTTTTGCGATTACCCTCACAATCCTTCGTAGCAGACTGAAAATGAGAGAGGACATCCTGAAAAACCGAAGGATGAATCCACATCCATAATTGAGTTTGCTGATTTTGTTCCATTTCATCTTGTCGCCATAAAAAGGTGATCGGACAGAAGAATTGGGTTGGGTAAGATCGATATAATAATCCATGACCAATACGTCTTCCTTTCGTATATCTAATAGTTGAATATAAATTATAAATGAATATTAAACATTTTCAATTTTTTAATAATTACCTTGCACTTCCAACTGAGGGCATAAAAGGATCCATGAATCGATCAAGTATAGATACAATGGATTGACGATTTCCAGACCATTCCAAACAACCATAATAAGAAGCATCATGTAATATGGATAAATGAGAAAATGCACGATAACAAGGTCTTTCTGCTTTCACATTTGGATGTAATGCCTATTGAAAAGAATATGAATCAATATCGATTTTTTCTAAAAAAAAAAAAAAAAAAAAAAATACAATAATATTTTTCCTTACCAATCGATAACCCCATATATCTTTCATTTTCATTCGCTTTGTATGCCAAATGTGAGTTTCCATCCACTTTTTGTTTGCTAATATATATATCATAAAGAAAGAATAAGTAAGTTTCAATGTATACATATATATATAGAAGTCAATATTTCTACCTTGTCGTCGAAGATATTCTAATACTAATGATTTTGGTTTTGGTTTTCGCATGCAACGTTTAGCTTTCCGTTTGACAGGTGGTGATTTTGCCATCTAGTGAATAAAGATATAGTGAGATCAATGCACTCCTATATAGAACGCGTATAACCTACTTCTTTGGCAGCACGTTGACGTAGTCGTTGAGGAAGACGACGAACATCATGACTTGCTGTTCTACGACGAAGATCCTTTGGAACCGATTGAAAAGTCAAGACATTGATGGCATAGCTTGAAATATAAACAAATAAGTAAGTTGTTAGCAAAACGACTGATAAAGGAGGATTAAAGATAAGAAAGAAAAAAAAAGTTCAAAAGGTTTACCTTGCATTTTTTATTGACGTTTGTAGAGTATTGATCTGTTGTAGTCGAGCAGTAGCGTGTTGTGTGCATGTAAGAGATTCACCTAGTTGAGCTTCTTTAGCTATGATCAAAAAAAAAAAAAAGAAGAAGAATAGTAAGGGACTCTGATAAAAATAAAAGATATATTCTTTAAATATATACATTTGAAAGTTCCTTTTTCGATGATTCGAGCGTGAATATTTTTGTCTAGATGAATGAATAATAAAGATAAGAGACTGTCTTTTTTTTTCCATATATACATTTATATTACATTTTCGTTTTTCACGTCCTGATAATTGTTCAGCAGCAGGTCTTTTGGTTCCAGGAGGAGTCATGGTTACCAAGGGGGTCCAATGGAGAACGAAGAAAGTGAAAATAATAGAATAAAGTAAAAAGAAATGACAAATAAACAAAAAGCACCGGTAACCCACTTCCGAATCAAAACAAAAAGGAAAAAGAAAGGCGGTGTTTATAATGGCGAAAATGCAAAAAGAAAAAAAAAAAAAAGTAACCAGACTGGAAGATTTTTACGCCCATAACAAAAAAAAAAAAAAATTACCGCCTTCTTGATCCTGCTTCTTTAATCAAACATCATCCAATGATACTGAATCATTCTTTCCATGATTTTGTATGATAAGTATAATGATGATTAAATTAAAAAAAAAAAAGAAAACTTTATTTTTTTTCCCCCTTTGTCAATTGACAACAGAACATTTAGACAGGAGAATTAGTATATAGTAAGTTAGATAATGTTTCTCATCATGTAAAAAAAAAAACAAAAACAAAAACAAGGAGCTAGGAGGGAAGGGGAGAGAACTTGAAAAAAAAATAAACAAAGGGAAGTAACAAAAAGTATGATTGTTTGTTAGAAATTTTTTTTTTACTATCTTCAGGACTTGTAGTTAAAAGAGGGAAGTTTGACTAAAAGAGAACTAAACTCCGAAATCACTATGATGATGATAGATAATAATACTAATATCTAATAATAATAGTAATAATAATACTGTAATAATAATAATGATGATGATGATGATTGATTTTTATATCATGATTTAAGTGATGAATGATGAATAATGATGATGATGATGATGATGATGATGATGGATGATGGAACTATTGCCACAAAATGTGTCCCTTGAACTTACTTGCCCCTATCTCCTCACACTTGCCTCCTGTTTTTTTTTTTTCTCTCTCTTTCTCTCTTTTTTTTTTTTTTTTTTTTTTTTTCCTCTTCTATAAATTTTCTAATTTCTAAAGACAGCCAATTTTTAAAATTACTTTGTTTCTCTTTCACTTTCTTTACACTTTTTTTTTTTTTTATTATTATTTCGAAATGACTTTTGAGATTGATCGCTCTGAACATTTATTATCTCAACCTGGTTATATAAAACAAGATATTGGTTATTCTACTGTGGATTTTACTTCAAACCAACACACTCAACAACAATATTCACCAACTTATAGCGCTTCAAGTAGTACCAATGGCAGTTATAACATAAACAAGCAAAATTATGAATCTGAAGAAGTATTTGTCCTACCTTCATCCTCTTCTTCACCTTATCAACATCCTTCTTCTACTGTTGGACCAACTTCTTTAACAGCACCACTTACACCTTTGTACCATCTTGGTTCTCCTTATCCTGATTTGGATAACAATAATAACACACCATCATCATCCTATGGAAAAGAAGAACAACAACATCATCAACAAAGGGAAATCACATCTCCACTACCAAGCAATACTTCCACAATGTACGACACACATTTTACACAAAAAGGCGGAGTAGGAGTCAAGATGCCGACCTTACCGACATTGCCAACGCCTCCTATTGATATGATCCATCATCACCATCCATCTATGGTCTGGAAACAAGACTTTTACTCAGGCTCAGCAAATTCAACTTGGTCGCCACATCAGGACGATATATATTATCCTGCTACACCAACTCCAAGATCAACATCAGGTAGCCCATCTCCACCTACTCCACATCATCAACGTCATAACAATATCAACTCTACCAATATGCCACCATGCAACTGTGTTCCCATGATGCAGTATCATCCAATCTATGATCATCCCAATAATATATTACCTTATCACGGTGATACTGCTTCCTTGGTATTGACATCACCTCAACCTGTGTTACAACCTCATTCATCATCATCATCGTCATCATCATCATCGTCATCATCTTCATCATCATCATCTACTGGAAATAACAACAACATGATACATACTTCTCAACGATCAAAGGTTCATCAATATCTATATCAACGAAATTCTTTGGATATATCTTACGATCCAACTTTGGCATTATCATCATCCTCTTCATCTTCATCATCAGATGATCATTCACTTCATCGTCGTCAAACAAATAACAATAAGACTGGATCCAATATGACAACAACATCTACACCTAGAAGATACAAGTGTACTGTTTGTGTAAAAAGATTTACCCGTCCCAGTTCATTGGCAACTCATATGCATAGTCATACTGGAGAGGTAAAATAAAACAATAATAAAAAAAAGATATCTATGCATGTACTTATTGTTGGTCTTTTTTTTTTTTTTTTTTATCATTAGAAACCTTATAAATGTATTGTAGATGGATGTGGTCGTCGATTCTCTGTAGTAAGTAATCTCCGAAGACATGCAAAGATTCATCTCCACGCAAATTCAATGGTTGGCTCTGGAAGGAAATTAGATATGACTTCATGATTTAGTATTATTAGCGTGTGTTTTTTTTTTTTGTCTTGATTAGTATTGATTAGTATTACCTGTTTATTATGTTGTTATTTGTAATTACTCGATTCCCCCTATTATTATCCTATTAGTTTATTATTACCCCTCTTTTTTTTTTTTTTATAATCTCGGTTGTTGTACCTATTTGTTTACTTCTCTAGTAGTTTACCCTACCCCTCCTTTTTCTTCTACTATTATTTGATTCTTTTCTTTTTTTTTTTCAACATTGTTGTCAATTTGTTTATATAATCATTCTTTATCTTTTTATTTTTATTTTTATTTTTTGTTATTGTGTGAAATATATTATATATACAATTCTTCTGATATAAAAAAAAAACAAGGTTGTTGGATTATATTTGTTTCGACTTGATTAGGTACATTTCCTTTTTTTAGATGATTATATATATATATATACGAATGATTACGTCGGGATGTGAATTGAGGTGCATAAAAAAGTTGTTTATCCTTTGCATACCTCGGGAGCCACGTGTGTGTGTAAGTTACTTTTTTTTTTTTTTGACAAACTAAGGAGTTTCTTTTTTTTTGCCACCATTTTTTTTTTTTTAACTTTGCCACTCCTTAGTTGTCGAAAAAACTCATTTTTTCTATAAGATATCATGGTTCTACCCCTTGAAATCGTGCCAACGTAAAGTCATCATCATCATCATCATTATAAGCATCTTTTTTTTTTATATTGAATAAAAATAAAATGTAAACAATTTGATCACTATCTAATTCTGATGATGACCGAACCCGTGGTACACCTTATTCAACACACACACAAAGAGAGAGAAAGAGAGAGAGGGAATACAATTTATATTTTTATTTTTGTCTCTCTAGGTGGTATACGCATAACAGGAGTGACGCCCAATTCCATTTATCTTCATCATCTTATCAGTGCTCAGGTCCCATGTTGATGATGATGATGATATACAAAAAAAAAAAAAAAAAGACGAATGATTTAATAATGTTGGCGCTCATGGCACACTTGCTTGCTTACAGGAGAAACGGTAGAAACGAAACACAAAGGGGGTTAAAGAAGGGGTTGTTGCTGCTGCTAGGTACAAGATCACTGTAAAATGCATCTTTTTTTTCTTTTAACCCCTTCATTTTCCTTTTCAAAAAAAAAAAAAAGTAATATGGATTGAGCCCCCAATCAAAAATCCTTTCTTTTTCTATTGATCGGAAAAAAAAAAGTAACCTTCCCGCCATTTTTGCTCCTTTCCTCGTCATCTCGAAATTACTTCTTTTAAACCTATTGACATGTGTCGTTCTACATGTTATTCTCTGTTTTACTTGAAAGATGAAACTCGATGACTAGGAAAAAAAAAAAAAAAAGGTGATGTCCATATTTGGAATTCGGCATTTCAAATTGTAAAAGAACAAGTTCCTTTTTGCACAGCCTTCTTTTCTTTTCTTTTCATTTCATTTCATTTTACTTTCTTTCTTTCTTTTTTTTCTTTCTTTCTTAAATATGTCAGTTTATTCTCCTCATTTGAACTCTTCTATTGGTTCAAATGTCATCCCATCAACTCCTGTCACAACAACTTCAGCTTCCGCCTTTTTAACCACTTGTTCTCGCGATGTATCTGATTCTTCTGATTCAGAAGATGATCTGAATGAACCTGTCTTTGGTTTCCGTATAGCCAATCCTGATCCAAGCAATAGAAATAGTCAGTATATTACTACAAGTGAAGTAGACTCTCTTCATATGACAACTGAATCTACAAAAGACATGATTCCGTCAGTACCACTTCAAAACTCCACCATTCCTGCGACAGAATCTTCCTCTCAACATGGTCAGCAAGAAGAGATATCAATGCTTCACGACAAGAAAAATAATGAAGATGACGGCAACAACAACAGCAATAATAAAATATTATCTTCGAATATTTCTATACCAAAATCTTTATCACGATCAGCATCCAAAACACTTCAAAATGATAGCTTACCATCAAGTCGTATCCAATATCAAACTGTTGCTTATACCCCATCCGAATCAATGGAATCTCAATCTGCTAGACAACGTGCAAGTATTATTGAACCTTTCATCACGAATACAACATCAAATACCATCCATACCGCCAATTCTATGTTGGACAAACCATCATCATTGCAACCTCAGCCTTCACCTATCGTTGTACCACCAGCCTCATCATCCTATCGTCCACTGTCTACTTTATCAGCCTCATCTCCAAAATTAGATATCTTTGATCCTACAACTTCTAATATTAGCCAATCAAATATCAGTAGTGATAACGATGCACAGTCAAGTAGAGGATCAAAGGAAGAATTTCAACATTCAAATCAGCGTCAACAATACCAAGGTGAAACACTTGATATCCAGCGATCTTCTACTTGTTCTATTGACAAAAACGATTTTTTCACACCATCATCATCATCAGCAAATCCAGCTTCAGGGACACGTACTTCTATATTGGCGACATCACCAAACGTCAACAGCACAACTCGTATCACAAAATATAATCAAGCATCATATAGTCTAACTAACAATCCTCAGGCTCTCAAAATGTATCGTGACATGGCAGAAAAGACACAAGACGAAACAATCCAATTATCATATGCCAAGTATTTACTGGAAGTGGCGGCACTTTATGAACCAGCATTAGGGACAATGACTAGTACAGATGGGAAAAAGGAAGAAGAACGACAACGAAAGAAGAAGCAATTGGAACAGGAAGGTGTACGATGGATCAATAAACTTTCCAAAAAAGGAGTTGGGGAAGCCGCTTATATGGAAGCAACTTGGTTGGAAACTCAACAATATGGATACAAAACAAAACATGCCTCCAGGATCGATCGACTCTATCAAATTGCTGCAAATGCTGGTGTACCCGATGCTTCTTATCAATTGGCCTCTCGTATGGAATCCACTGGTCAATCCTCTTATAATACTTTTCTTCTTTATCAAAAAGCAGCAGATCAACAATGTGTCAAGGCCATTTACGTAAGTAACCAAAAAAAAAAAAAAAAAAAAAAAAAAAAACAACTAAAAATGGATTCTCACTAGAGAAAATGTCAATCATCATTTTTACATACATTTAGAAAATGAGCAAGATCTATTTACATGGTGAATTGGATCAACCGCGAAATTTGATCAAGGGAATGGATTATCTGGTTTCAGCTGTTAACAAGGCCGATACAACATGTAATGAACCTCCTTATGTTTTGGCTTTGATTCTTACCAACAAATATTCCAAAGTGATTGTCCCAAGGTATCCATTTAAAAAAAATAAAAAAATCAAGATAATATCAAATTGAATCCTCCTTTTTTTTCAAAGTGAAATAGTACAAACTTATGGAGGAACTACGGATGTGATCAAGTATTTGGAACAATCGGCCAATCTAGGTAACGTGGGTGCAAAGAACCGGGCAGGACATATTTATGAACATGGATCTTATGGGGTACCGATGAACATGGCCAAGGCATTTCTTTTTTATGAAGAGGCGGCAAAGAAAGGGACTCATTTACAATCAATGCTTGCACTCAGTCGGCTTTACAATGGAGGATGTCATGGTCCTTCAGATCAGGATGAACAATCACGACTGGCTAATGATGTGTCTGGATGGTTACAGGCTCATCCCAAGAATGAAGAATTATCGTTTTATTGGTGTCAACGTGCTGCAAAAAGTGGATTACCAGATGCTTTATTTTTACTTGGGTGAGTTTCAAAACATCATCATCCACTTATCACTCATTTTTTTTTTTTAAATAGATGGTATTATGAAATTGGTTTGGGCGTTCCTCGTGATTATCAATATTCAATGGATTGTTATCAAGAAGCGGCTAATAAAGGTCATAAGGAAGCAAAAGCCCGTTTTCGGAACACAATAGATGATGACACTATCGGCAAAACGTCAAGACATTCTACTGCAGATCGTCTTAGCAAACGTAGTGATGATTGTATTATTATGTAGTTGAGATTAGTTCATTTTATTGTCAATAAATACTATTCTTCGACATCAAAGAGTTTTTTTTTTTTTTTTGGATCAATCATCATTTTTCGAAAAATCGACAACATCTTTTGATGGACAACATCTTTTGATGCCTATTAGGTAATGAACAAAATGGGATTAGATAATATTAAGTTACCTTTTTTTTTTTCTAATGGTGGTTATTTTATTGGATGAGGATATTTATTTTTAATGTTATAAATTGGGAGGTATCAATTGTTACAAAGAGAATGTTTTCATCTCATCATATGATGATCGATTTTTATTTTTTTTTTTTTGAGCGATAAGCTTGCTTTTCCTGCAAGACGAACAAAAACATCATCACAATGACAATTTAAAATAGATAAATAAAACAAGGAAATGGCCGAATCATACTATAGCGTGAACTCTAGTCGTTATTACGTGTTCTTTTTATCATTATTATAATAATACGTATCAAATTCTATCAATATCATCTTTTATTACAAAATGTAAATCCACCTTTTTCATTTTATTGTGTAATCTTTTTTTTAAGGAATACCTAAATATATATGTGTTTCTTTTTTTTTTTTTCTATCTATAAACCAATCCAACCGATATACAAATCACCAACAACAATAAAAAAAACACTACTAAATATGTATACAATAAAATATATATATATGGGAAAGAGAATGAGATCTAACTAACGACGCTTTTGATTTGATTTTTTGCTTGATTTGCGGGAAGATGAGCCTGATGATCCGTTGTTGATGTATTGAAGCACTTGATCAATCGGTAATTCGCCCTTGGCCACTTGAGAAGTTTTGTTGGATTGTTTGGATGGATCTGATGACAATGATTTTTCTTGTTGTTCTTGTTGTTGCTGTTGTTGTAATTCACGCGAACGTTGAGCCTAGAGAATAATAAAAGTTAATATATATATAATACTTTTCAATCTTTTTTTTTTTTTTTTTTTTTTTTACCGTCAATAATGCATTAGAGGTTAGTTCCTTCAACCAGGCATCACTTTCCTTTGTACGATAATCATCCTTTCCGAGCTATTCATCGTGAGTTACAAAAAAAAAAAGAAAAAGAAATGAGCATCAACATATTTTTTTTTTATTCTTACCTTTGCTTCAAATACACCATAAGCAAGACGTTCAGCTGATAATGCTTGACTGAAATCACCCAAAAGAGTATATGATTTTGCAAGAACGTGATAACCAGATGCAGTCAACACATGTTCTTTTCCAAAGATATATTCTTGAGTAGCACAAGCTCGTTCAAAGAACTTGGTACTTGTCTTGTAATCACGTAGAGATTGAAGCATCACACCAGCATTATTCTATATAGATAAATAGTATTTATAATCAATATTCCCGTTTCTTTTGTATTTAAGTTAATCTTTGTACTTACGTCGGCAGTAGCTGAATCAGGGTGACCAGTACCAAACAAGAGATCCCAATAGTACAATGCATGACGCAAGTAACGTAATGCCAATTTGGAACGTCCAGCGGCATGTTCGAACAAACCGAGATTCAACTATATAAAATGAATAGGATGAGTATTTCTATAAAAGTGAATCTTGCTCCTTTTTTTTTTTTAATTTATACTGACGACTTACATAATGATGGACAGTTTCAGGATGATCCACGCCCAATGTACGTTCAGCAGCAATGACAGCTTTTCGTTGTAAATCCAAAGCAGCTTCACGATCTTCTCCATGATGATAAATCATAGCCAAAGTAGCATAACACTTGCTTGTTTCTGGATGTAAGAAACCATATGTCTGTTCATGTAAGGTTAAAGATTCCAATAACAATTCCAAACCAAGTTGACGATGTCCTTGTGCCAAACTCATTTTTCCAGCTTCAAAAGTTTCTTCAGCAAATAAACTCTGATATATATATATAAATAAAAAAATAAAAAAAAAATAAAAAAAAGGTAAGAGTCATAGTTCATACAATAATTGAAGATTCAATTTTACCCTTGATGATGCTTGTTTGACAGTAGGCATGATATTCAAAATATCATCAGGAACAAAGGTAGTCTTTCGACGAGGAGTCATCAATAAAGAGTCGACAGCTTGTTGATGCTTCTTTGTCTTGCGAGAGCTCTTTTGTTGTTGTTGACGAGACAATAATGTTTCCAATTGAGCATCAGCAGCAGCGTTGGCAGCCACTTCTTCAGGAGTATATGGATGGAATCGATAATCACGAGCTTCCAATTGGATTCCAACACGAAGACAAGTTTCACGTAAGATAGGAATAGATTTACGCTGAGTCCAATCGTCATCAGTCAAGGAATAACGGAACCAAAGTAACACTTGTTCTTTCAAAAGTCTTTGAAGAGATGAAGGTGTCAAATGTGCCCAACTATAATCATTTTTGGTCTTGCCAGCAGGTAGTACAGGAGCAGGTTTGGCATTGACAGCTTCACCCAATAAACAGTTCAAATAATGGGACAAACAGAGGCGGGATTCTTCCAAATCCAAGGTAGCCAGATACTTGCGTAATAATTTCTTGTTGACACGGACGATCATTTCTTGAACAGCTAATGAATGAATATGATGAATACGCTTATCTTCACTAAGAGATACCAAGTTAGCCAGCTTGCCCAAATAACGCATGTTGATACCACGACGATGCATAGCTTTTGTTAAAGCATCACCATCCAAAGGAGAAATAGCATAAGAAGCAAAGTCCAACACCAATGTAGGGATGATTTCATCATTCAAAAACTTGGATGCATCTCGGATGACCTTTTCTTGTTCCTTGATATGATCATCTTCCTTTTGTTTAGCAGTAGTAAAAACATCAGGGTTGAATGCAAGTTGGAATTCATTGACATCAATCTTGAAATCTTCTTCTTGCTCTTCTTCTTGTTGTTGAGTCTTGTCCACACCGTTTTGTTGTTGTTGTTGTTGTTCCAATGATTCATCCTTCTTCTCTTCTTGTTCCACAGCACCAATAGCATCAGCACGTTCCTTTCGAATAGCATCTACTTTGGCCTTGTACCATTGTCTAAACATATGTTCCCAGTACATACTCATCAATTCCGGTCGAAGTAAGGTCATCTTATGAGGATAGGCAGGCTTGTGTTTAGTAGCAACACATTCAGCATCTTGGAATTCAATATCGACAGGATTCAAACGGTATAAATCAAGAAGATAACGACGGCCATCAGCACCCAAAAGACCTTTGGTTTCCAAAGAAGTATAAAGATTTGTCGATTCACCTTGACCATCCACCAGAGAATGTTGGGATAAATGAAGAGGCTTGGCAACATTTTGTTCGATAGCTTCATGGAATGTCTTGTCAGCTGTAATAGTAGTACCATTATCCACAGAACCATACACAATGGAATTTTCATCTTGACGACGGAAAATACCAGGCACAATGCTTTGAGCTACCACACGAATCCCTTTGTAATCCACAATAACGCTACCCAAAGTATAAAGACCATCCATATCAATACTATTCAAAATCTTGACACCTTCTAAATCCTTGCCAGTGGCCACATGAGCAGCTTCATCAGCACCTAGGGTTTCAAAAGTACCACGACCATCATTGCCTTTGCTGAAAAAGATGTTGTTGTAGACGTACATATGGGATTCTTCAGGTTCCAAAGGATTCAAAGGAATAACCGATCCATTCACTACGGCAATTGCACCACGTACAGCAGCTTCAGTAAATTCAGATTGTACCTTGGTGATAAGACGTTCACGCAAGACACGTTCTTGAAGGTTGGATTTGGGTAATTCACGGTGGGATTGTAATTCATCGTTCCAGTCGCGTAAAGAATCTACAGCGTCAGGGCCATAATTGAGATAAGGTTCAGCAGGTCGTGCAAGATCAAAAGTAGGTTCGGTAGATTGGACAGCCCAAGGATGATGAGGGAAGTATGTATTGACAGGTAAAACTTCAAGCATATGATGTTGCGTAATAAAATCTTGGACCTTAGCAAAGTTGTTTGCAAATTGAGGCGAGAGTGTTTGTAAGAGACGAATCAAAGAGTGAGCACGTTTACCACTACGAGGACGAGGATTGAATTCAGTAGCGGTTGAACTGTTGACAAAGAATCCAGTAGTTGCAGCAGTAATGCATAAAGTCTCGTTTTCTAAGGTAACCACATTCAAATATAGCAAATCACCAGCAAGACGACGAGAATGTGTAACAGGATTCCAACCAGACAAAGAAAGACTCTTGAGACATTGAGGAGCTGTTCTTTGAAAGGACTTGGGGACGAATTCTGATAGTTTTGATGGAGCATCCACATCTACATTGGTAAAGGCATGTTCTGGAATAGGTTCATCCGAGAAAATATCTTCCATTTTCTTTTCACTTTCGGCAGTAATTTCTTCATCTAAAAAAAAAAATCATCATTTTCCCACAGTACCCAAAAAAAGAAATCAGTCATTTTTTTCAAGAGGAATAAAAAAAAAAAAAAAAAAGAAGAAATCTGGGGGAGAAATATCTTACCAATTTCACCAGTGACAGCTGTCAAAAAGGAGAGAGAAGGATCAATACCAATAGAAGAAGGATTCTGTTTGTAAGGACCACCCAAAAGATCACGAAGACGAGTAATATGAAGACGAACATCACGTTCAGTATAAGTATCTATGTCAGATATTTTGTTAATTACAATGAACTAATCCAATCTTTACTCTCTTTTACCTTCCACCAAATGAAGTTCACTTTCAGTAGTAATGCCTTCTACTTCACCAAGTTCCATAAAGTCATTAATACGTTTGCCATTGAAGGATAAGTAGAAACAAGAATGAGCACACGTTTCAGGTGATTCCATAATAGATTGCTTGATATCATGAATGGCTTCCCGAGGACTTGCCTAATATAAAACATCAATATAGGTAAAAAAAATAAATAATAAATAAATAAAATATATATATTATATTATATTAGAAAGATCAGTTTTTACCAATATCTTGATTTCAGGAAGTTTGCCACCAGGTAACTTGACAGTTAGTTGGTAGGCTTCTTCAACAGGTACTAGAAGAATAAAAGAGTATCAGTATAAATTATATATAATATATTCTATTTGTACCTTCTTCGGTAGTGTTGACAGTAGATTCAGGTTGTTGATCAACCTTGACTTGGTGATCTTCTTCAGTCATATCTAATATGCGTATAGCAAAAAAAAAAAAAAAAAAAAAAAAAAAAAAAAAAAAAAAAAAAGGAAAAAAAAAAAAGAATACAAAAGTAAGTCTGAGAATTATCACGTCAATATTTAATAATGTAGTACCTAAAAAAGGATGACAGGAATGGTTGATAGGTAACAAGGAAGGAGTAAGAGAGGGAAAAAAAAAAAAAAAAAAGAGGGGAAGAAGAGACAACGAATATCCCCCCACCCTAGTTCAAATGTTTTATTTTATGGCTGCCGCCCAAACCTCTATGTACACACACACACATACTAAGCTGTGAGTCAAAAAAATTCACAAACACTTAAATAATCCCATTCAAAGCCACCTATGATAAAGACATGCTCTATGATCTTTCATCAAAGTAGAATGATTAATAGTTTATCATTTCGATCATAAAACATATTATTCAATCATCAACAAATATGTATAAATAAAAAAAACAAAAAACATAAAATAGTTATTCATAATAGTTGACATAGAATTTAGATACCCGAGTCCATCATATCAAGATATGCATCAAAAAATATTGAATAAAACAATAATATTTATTGATCAAGTCATATAATTCATCAAGTTTAAAGAATAGAGAAAAAAGAAATGGTTTTATATCAAATAATCTAGTGAGTAGGTTGTTCAGCTTGAGGACGGACGAATTTCTATAGAGTCAAAAAGGAATGATATATGTTAGTTTTTCAATGCATAATAATAATATATATATCTAAATAAACTTATTTTTCTTTTCCACACACACACAAAAAAGAAAAAAAAAATATTCCACCTTATTGCTATCTTTCTTCAAATGAATTCAAACAATAATCACATTTTTTTTTTCTTTTCTATCTCTCACTTTTTTATCCATCAAACTAATTCATTTTCTAACTTACGGATTCAGATTGGACACCCTTTTCCCATTTGACAAACTTGAGACCATTTTCGTTACGAGCGAGAGCAGGAGTACGAAGTTCATCCTTCAAAGCATTGCGAACAGCACGAGCGCAGATGTTGGCGTATTGAACGTAACTATGAAAATAAAATATTAGATTAATATGGATAATTATAATGATTTCTTATTTCTTTTCTAAAGTATGATTTATTCTTAATATAGTCACGTACGAGATACCAGCAGCTTTCCAACCAGACATTGTTTAAAAGGTTTTGTATAGTAGAAAAAAAAATAGAAAAAAAAAGAAAGAAAAAAAAAAAAAAGGAATAAAAAAACAGGTCGAATTTTGCCGCTGTGTAGTCAACCCCCCTCCCTCTCTACCTAGTTCTAAGTCCAAAAAAAAAAAAAGTGAAAAATAAAGTCACAGACTCTCATTTTTTTTTTATTACACTATGACCAGGGCTCCATTAGCAGAAGTTGATCGGATATTGAAACATACCATTTTTGGAAATACTCATGAAAATTTGATTTCTTTTAGATCTTTTCATCGCAGTTTGTATTAGTTTTTGCATGGTAACACTGCCAACAAAAAAAAAAAAAAAAAAAGGAATCACTTGAATCTTCTGTTGATATGAAGAATAGAAAGAGAGAAAATATTTGATCATTTTGGTTTTGTCCTTTACTTTTTTGTTCTTATCTTTTCTTTATAGAGAAAAGAGACTATCACACTCGGGTCACGTTACCACTCAATTGACTTTTAAAAAAAAATTCCACTTTTCTTTCTTATTTCATTTCTTTTTTTTTTTTCTTTCACCTTTTTTTTTTTTCTAACATTTGATATATCGATGGAACAATCATTACCCAACTTTGCCAAAGGTATATACTCAACACTTCGGAATAGTCGTATATTAGAACCTCCTAGTTGGCGTTCAGCTTATACACAAATGGATGCCGAGTCGGAAAATGAAGACGATGATAACGGTACCATGTCGCATAGTCTTTTTTATTCTACACAACAACAACAACAACAACAACCTGGTGAAGAAAGTATTCCTTTAACTGATTCACATGAATATTCTGATCGTAGTCAACTTATATTCAGTCAAGATTCTATGGATGATACACATCATAATTCAAATTATGAAGAAAGTCCAGTAAGACACTCTTTTCTTTTTTTTTTTCTTTCTTTCTTTTTTTTTTTCTTACATCATTTTTTTTTTTTTTTTTATTTAGAAACCTTCTGCCATTTATTTAGATATACCTACCAATAGTACTCCCAATACCAATATTACTCAACCAAAACTACTTTCTGAATCTCTATTACCTACTACAGCTGCGGTATTAGGAAAAAAAAATCATAACGATAACAAATAATGCAATCAAAGAAACTCAGACTGACGTACTTCTTCCTTTTTGTATAGATTCCCTCGGGTATTACAACAACCAAGGCAGAACGAAAATTAAGGGATCCTTTTTTTACTTTTTTATATGGAATATGTCTCATTATCTTTATCTTTTCTGGTATTATCATTCTATTTACAACCAATGTAAATATATATATATGTCTTTATTTAAAATGTTTATAATTAACTTTGTTATATATTGAACTTAGTCTCATTCCATTGAGGATTATGCAAAGGGAACAACATTTAGTACCATCAAGGATAGTGCAGGTAATTCATCATATAATAATATCTAGTCATTCATTCATTCACTTTTTTTTGGGGGGGAACTCTAGGACTTTTGGCGATTATGATGACAATATCTTTGATCACTGGTACAATATGGATTTATGTTCTTCGTACAATTACCAAAGTAAGTCAAATTATCATCAAACTTTATCAAAAGAAGAAAAAAAAACATTAACTTGAACATTTGTTCTTTTTGATTTTTAGACTATTGTTTGGGGAACCATCATTGGCATTCCTTTGACATTTTTGGGTCTCTTTCTTTGGACTATGATCGAATCTTTACACAAGCATTATATATACCCAAATGATGTTACAAATCATGATACAAGGTAATAAATAATAATAAAAGAAAGACTGATTCACTCATGTGATTCATATTTTTTTTTCTTTAATAGTTTGACAATGATGTCTTTCATACCTCTTTTATTGGGTATCTTTTATGCATATACGATTTACAAGAACCATCATCGCATTCAGAAAACCATATCCATCATAGAAGTATGAAAAAAAGAAAAGATAATATTCATGTATGTATTGTTTACTGATTGTGTGATTATCTTTTTATAATGTAGCTTGCATGTGATGTGCTACGTTTCAATCCTGGAATCATCTTGGTGTCTTTGATTCTACTAGTAGTTTTTCTTCTATTTACTATTGTATGGATTGTTCTCTTCAATCGACTTTGGTTAATTGGATATTTGGTCAAAAATGGATCATCTTCTGGTAATCATCTCCAATTATGAAAAGTGAACTGGATCCATTCAAATTTATTTTTTTATTTTGTATTTTTTTATTTAGGTATGTGGGTTGTTAACGATAATGCATATTTATTCGCCACATTTTATATCTTTATGTATCTTTGGACAGCGGCCATTCTCATCAATATGCAAAGGTAGTCTAATAAAAAGATACACAACATCAAGGTTAACTTTTATTATTATTATTATTAGGTTTGCTTTATCAGCGATTACTGCGCAATGGTATTTCCACAGGTAAGGACATAAAGAAAAAAAAAAAGAGAGAGATAGAATATCAAAATTGATATAATTCACTTACTTGTTAATAGGCATGAAGCAAATAGTCAGCATTCTGATAACGCATGGCAAATTGCTTTAACAAGGGCATCAACGACATCTTTTGGAACGTTGGCTTTTGGTGGACTTGTCTTATCCATTGTCCAATTTTTACATTTAGCGACACGATATATGAAGAGTGTAAGTTGAAAGAAAAGTTGAAAATATAATATTAACAACATTTCTTTTATTACTTTTAGTATGTCAAGAAAAGTCGACCTTTTGTGTCCATCGTTTCCTTGATGCTTGCCTATATTGAAGCTTGGATCAATCAAATCAATCATTATGTTATTGGATTAGCGGGAATTACAGGTGATGGGTTTTGTATGGCAGCAAGATCAGGGACAAAGATCTTTCGTAGGAATCTGATTTCTGGATTGATTGGTGACTTGATCACTCGGTTAGTGCTTTATGTGGGTGCTTTGGTTATCTCTCTCGCTTCTGGATTTGGTGCTTATATCTTTGCTGGTCATCAATTGCATTCTTCTCATGGTTTGATCATTGGATTGATTGCTGCTATAGTTCCCATGTATATGTCGCAATTCTTTTCTTATACGATGATGAGCATGTAAGTGAGAAAAAGAAATGGACTTCTTTTTTTTTTTTTAAAAAAAAAAACTAACCTTCTCTCTTTTTCTCTTTTCTTGTAGCGTGGATGCTACCTTTTTATGTTATGCCATTGATCTGGATACTGGGTCAGTTCATCTGTCAGCAGCTCATGATGTCTTTTCTGGTTTTGATTAGATTCTTCTTTGGATTATTTTGTATTATGTTTTATCCATCCTTATACATATATCTTTTTTTTCTTCACATTCTTTTATACATACACTCTTTGTTTTTATTATCATTACTATTATTTGTTCCTCATCTTTTGATCTATCTTTTTTTTTCCCTTATCATTCCTTTTTTTTGATAGTCAATATCATATCCACTTTTTATTCAATAAACATAGACGTGTTAATGTTATTTTGTATACAGAAGAAAGATTCAGTTGTTGTGTATGGTTGAAAACATCAATGATGTTTTTTCTTTTTCAGAGCAAAAAAAAAAAAAAAAAAAAAATCCATATAAACCCTTTTAAGCAAAACAAAATCAAATCTTTTTTCATTATGATTATTGATTTTTTTTTATTAGATTCAAAAGTGTCATTTACAACAACAAAAAAAAAAAAAAAATACGATATTTTAGTGAGATACAACATGGATAAGTGATAAAAAAAAATGATGTATGTAATATGAGTTAGGATATGATAATAGTTTGGGAGGACAAGTGAGAGGAATATATGTATATATTAATGAGATCTTACATAAGTATATATGTAAATAAAATAAAAAGAAGCATTAAAGTGTAACCTTGAGTCTTTGAACTGGGAATTTTCTTGACAACCATTCATGAACAGGACCTAACACGACAAACTATAAAAAAAAAAAAAGAAAAAAAGAAAGGATGAGTTATCTTTTTTTTTTTTTTTTTTTTTTTTTTTTTGAGTGAACATGTTACCTTTTCCCAAATTAAAGCAGTAGCCATATTACCAACACAAAGTCCCCATAATTGCCATCGGAAATAAGTAGGCATGACATTCATACCAAGAGGCGTATTGTAGTCTTCGATATAAGTAGGAGGAACAGGATAACCATATTCTTCCAAGACAGATTTCGTACCACAGTTGAAACGGAAAAGACAACCAAAACGATTCGGATCAGCCAAGGCCCAATGAGACACAATAGCAATATACAGAAGCCATAAAAAGACCAAAGCATAGTTACGGTAGAAAGGTTGACGGAATTTGTAGCCAAAGTTCAAGACAGCAGCATTGTTAATGAATTGGAAGAGACATACAATGGCTAATACTTCGCCTTCATAGTTATCAGCCAAAAGCCACCATTTCGAAATATCAACAGCATTAGAGTCAAATTCATTGCATCGGAACCAGCTTTGTTGGAATAACATGTAGAAAGCACAACACACGTAAATCCAGTTGATACCAACAATACCTAGACAAGACGCCAAAGTTTGAGGACCTAAAATCTGAGCTGTTGGACGGATATTTTCAAGACGATCGGCAGCCTTTGCTCTTGACAAGGCGATGGTTAACAAAACGGTAATCAAAACATCAACTGCAATCCAAACATTTTGACTTATACTAAATAATTTTTTTTTTTTTTAGAAAAAAAGAGTTAATCCTTTTCTTTTCTTTTTTTTTTTTTGTGGAAAACTTACGATGTATTGAAATAAAAAGTAATAATTTTAAGCATCATCATCACTTGACCATAAAGAATAAGATATCGATAACCAGTGATTGAAGTAGCCAGAGCAGCACGACCTTGTCGAATCAATTCCACGCATGATTTGACACTACGAACACTTGTACTAAAAGGAGAGACAATGGAAGCTTCAGCATCCGACATAGCGATACCTACATGAGCCGCTCGAAGAGCACCACAATCATTGCCACCATCACCAGTCATTGCCGTAATACCACGTTCCATATGAAGTTGAATGCATTGTACTTTGCCATGAGGAGTCATACGTGAGAACACACGAATATCCAAAAGATAGTTGCGAATCAAATCATGATCAATGAGCCATTGGAAAGCCTTGCCGGTTACTGCTAATTCCACTGGCGTATGTGTCTTGTTCAAAAGATAATCATCGACATTCACATCACCAAAAGTGTCAGGTTCATCCACATCCATCCATTTCACACGATCTGTATCCTTGTCATAATCACCAAGAAGCATTTTTGCTTTATCCAGAGCCATACCACATTGTCGTGCAATGTATACACCCGTAAGAGCTGTATCACCAGTAATCATCACAGTTCGTGTCGCCCCACGCTTGAGTTCAGCAATGTTTTCTGTCGTATCCGGTTTCAGTTGATTTTTGAAAACAATCAGACCCATAAATCGAATATCTTCTTCCATTTTATCACGTTTCCATTGTTTGAATGCATCCATACCACCTACTTTGTCCAAATCAATTTCTCGATGTGATAATGCAAGCACCTAAAATGAATTATTACAAAAAAAAAAAAAAAAAAAAAAAAAAAAAAAACAAACCCATCAATATCAAATTCTTTTTTTTTTTGGTTTCCTCTCATATACTTACATAGCAACCTTGACGCGCCAAATCAGAAGTCACTTGATCATAATTATCAGGAATGGATGATGGTACGGACAGATCCTTGATTTTTTCATAAGCACCTTTGACAAAAATATGTACCTTGTTGGTAAGAGAATCCAAGATGGCTACTGACATGGACATACGGGCATGGACAAATTCAAAGCGCTGTAGAACATGAATAGGGGCTTGACTAATGGAACCAGTAATATCATGAGGTGGGATCAAAGTATCAACGTATCCTTTATTATCATCCGCTAAGGTCCATTTTGATGATTTAAACATTTCGATATCCACAGGGTTACCAATAAATTGATCGTTGAGAGTCGTTACTGCATGACAAGTGGCCAATCCAATTTGCATCAATCGAGGGACTTGATTCACATCGTGTTTTAATCCATCAAAATCAGGTTTATGTGTTTGTTCTTGATCCAGTTGTAAATGTTGCATAGGTTGAGCGCCAAAGAATTCAAGTCCTTCCTTTGTCAATGTACCAGTCTTATCAAAACAAAATAGTTGTACTATCAAAATATATAATAATAATAATAATAATGTGAATTTACTATAGTTTTAAAGATTATTTGTAAATTTTTTTTTGTTTTTTTTTTTTTTGTCTACCTACCTTTGCCAGCCATGAGAATGCGAGGTAAATCAACACAATAGATTTGTTTTTCACGTAGTCGTCCAGCAGCCACAGATTGTCCTACTACCAAAGCAGCAGGAAGTAAAGGAGATAACAATTGACAAATGGCAAACATGGCATAAAACCAAGCACCTAATCATAACATTTCAATTCAATAAAAAAAAAAAAAGAATAATCATCATGAATAAATGGCCCAATTATCTATAAAGAGAATCACTTACTTGTTCCTTTTGCATAGAGCCAAATAGCCAATCCAAGACAAAGAAGACCACAACAAAGTAAAATCAAAATCACAATTCTAATTTGTTCATCAAAGATAAAGGAAACTTGAGTAGGAAATAAGATTTTCTTGATAAGTTCTCCCTTATCTGTGGCAGTTCCAGTGTGAGTAGCTAAAGCAATTACTCTTTGTTGTTTTTCAGTAGGTTGTGCTTGAGAGATAGTGGTACCAGCAAAAATAGTAGAAATCTTTCCAGAACCCATACGATCATATTGACTAACGTCATCCACACGGAGAGGGAATTTTCGAATAGGCAAAGGTTCACCAGTCAAAGAACTTTCATCCACAACAATATTACCAGATAGAATCACTGCATCACATGGAGTATTTTTGCCTTCATCTACTTGGAAGATATCACCTGGTAATAAATCTGCCGTTGACCTTGATTGCCATTCGCCATCGCGTAAGATGAAGACAGTGTCTGTGAATTCAGCCATTTGTTTGATACGTTTTTCGGATCGGATGCGTACAACCACCTTGACTACAGCAGAAAGAAGAATGACAAAAGTATCTGCAATACCCACTTGCCCTATAGTTTAGTTTCATAGAAAAAAATAATAATAAAGAAAAAGAGAGTGAGAAAAAGAAAAAGAAAAAAAAAATAGAAAATCAACTGAATTTTTTTTTTTTTTATCATGTTCCACAACAACTTACAATAAGCAAAGTAATAAAAGAGCCAAAGAACCGTAAACTGATAAATATAGAAGAAGGAGGTGAATTCACGTAGGAGGGCCATAAGATAATTGGGAACATAGACTTCAATAAAGTTGGGACCAATCAATTCTTCACGACGAGCAGCTTCTTCTTCAGTTAAACCTTGGGTAAGTTGAGCCAGATCAGCGTTGGTATTTCCAAGTTCAAAAGCATGAGGGACGAATAATCCTGATTCTGGATGATAGACATAACGAGTACATTGATATACAAAGTATGATGTACCATTTCTTGTTCTGTTCAATTGTGAGGTAGTGACCGAAACATCCAATCCAAATATATGTTTTCCAGTTGCTTCCAAATAACGTACAAAATCCATCACCTTATTAGATTGACCTTGTAAAAAGATGATACCTATATATATATATAAAAGAAAAATCAATCAATTTCAAAAGATAAAAAAAACACATATATACACACACATATATAATGCTCACTCAAACTATATGAATTCTTTTTTTTTTTTTTACCTTCTTGTTTTCTTTCAATTTGCACATAATGACCTTCAGCATAAGAACATTGAAGGCGGAAGTAATTCGGAAGACGGAAGCGGAAAATCGTGATACCAGCGAACCAAAAGAAGAAGATGTACCACATGCCCATAAAAGTACTTGATTGGACCAGAGCATTACCATTGAACAGTGCGTAGTTCATATAGTAGTCCTTGGTCATCATAATCATATACGCCACTTGACCAGCTGTTTGGATTAAAAAGAGGATCGTCATTATTGTACCTACAAAGTCTTGCTTGTATGCTTTGATGACTAAAGGTTCTTCTTCTTCTTCATCATCCTCTTCTTCTATATCCACTTCCACTGCTTTGATCGACGTCCCTGATTTTTCAATGTCCTCAGATGATTTCAATTTCTATCAATAACATAGATAAAGAAGGAGGTATGATAAGCATCGGATCCAAGTCCCGTTTAATTTTTTTTTTTTTTTTTTTTTTTTTACCTTTGGAGAGGATAACTTTTTTTCTTGACTGGTTTGATTAAATTGATCTTTGGTTTTTGTGAATTGATGCTTGATAACCTGTAATAAAAGAAAACAAAAAGAAATTAGAAATCAGAGAAACAATAATTATGATCCTGCAACAATCCTTTGACTTCCTCCTTGATCCCCCCCTCTTTTTTTTTTTTTACCCCGTCCTCCTTTTATTTCCTGATATGATTCGTTCCTTTTCATCACCCTTTGTTCGCCTCCTCTTCCCCTGTATAACTTAAAGATGTTTTCCTCCCTTCTCTTTCTCACACACACACACACCCTTTCTCCTTGATTTTTTTTTCCTTCTCTCTTCTTTTCTCTTTTTTTTTTCATTTTTCTCTTTTTATCGTTTACCTTTTCCCGGATAGATTTGTAAAAGAACCAAGATATCAAAAGAGCCACACAAGAACCATAAAATACATAAAGGGCCAAGAAGACAGGTTCAGTAAAAGTCAAAGGAGGATGAATAACAGTAGGACATTGACCCCACATGGGTTGATCAAGAGGAGGGAGACCAGTATGCCATTCAGTAACATTTTTTATTTGAGAAGTGGTCATGATATTGGATTGACAAGCAGCCAAGCCTAGACTTGTTTTATTGGAAGCTACAAAGTTGGGGATTTTGACGCGCTGAGTAAGACAAGGATAAGTTTGTTGTTGTTCACCACCATCTATACCACTACAACTACATGCGGATACAAGATTGTTTGGACATGTTGAACCATCATGACACTGACCATCCACACAATAAACTTGATTGGGAGCACAACTTGGTCTAATCTGTTCTGGACATGTGGATATCGCTTGTACACATAACGTAGGACAAGGATATGAATTGTATGTTGGTAAAGGACATTGATTTCCATTCAGATCGTAGCCATTCACTGTTTTTTTTATATATATAAAGTATTAAAATAAAAGGATGAGCTGAATGATGATGATCTTTTTTTTTTTTTGATTACCTTTATTGAAAACAGGAGTAGCTTGAACGATCCATGGTAAAAAGGATAACACAAACGTTATCATCCACAAGTAAAACATCTTTCTTTTTTTTTTTTATGTGTTTTACTTTATGATAAGTGAGTGTGAAAGCAACTAAAAAAAAAAAAAAAAAAGGGCGAAAGAGAGACAAAAAAGAAAATTAGAATCTAATAGAAGAATAAAAAAGGAACCGGAGATTCAATCTACTTCTTTTTGACAGAGTCTCTTCATTTTCTCATTTTTTCTTTTTTTTTGCTTGGTCAACTACTAACAACAGTTACACAACATCGGCATTTATCTCTTATGGATTTCTCATATGCAAACAAAAACAAAAATAAAGACATAATACTACTGTTGTCCATAATAATGTACCCTTTTTTTTAAAAAATAAAAATAAAAATGAAAATGAAATATATGATGATCCATAAGAATAAACTGTCAAAATTGAATGATGAGATCTTATTGGCTGGTAAGAAGAAAAATAGGATTTTCTTCTTTTTTTTTTTCTTCACTTTTTGAAATTTGTCCTACCAAGGACATGCTATTGAGCCCGCGCTGGTGAAGAAGAAACTTTATTGTAAATGATCAACTCCCAATTTGGAAAGGTGGATTTTTATCTTGAAAATCAGAAATAGCCCCTCTCTGTTTTTTTATTTCATCATCCTCTTTTTTTTTTTTTTTTTTAACCCCTTACCTACATTATACATATTACTTCTTAGTTTCTAATAAGAAGCAAAAATTTCTCTCTATCATTGAAATGAATCATTATTATCCGTCAAAAAAAAAAAAAGTTAAATAGAGGAGAAGAATGAATATCTTTTTTTTTTTTTTGTGACTCTTTCCCACTCATATACACATGGTCAAGATACAGTTTTCTGATTTGATTCTTCAATTCCCGCTCATTGGGTAACTCCCTTTCTATATCATCATCATCATCATTTCATCTTATGACATAATATTCTCCAAATATATTTAACTAGAGTAACCTTGAATAAACTTTAATCCATTCTTTTTATTGTTATTATTATTTGAAAAAAAAAAGGTATGGTAATAAAACAAAAAGATCAAACTAACTAAACTAAGTACTATGATATAAATATATAAAAGAATTTAAGCCATATATCCCTTTTTATGTCTACGTCTAATCTTCAATCTAATTTTTCGCATTTTGCTATCAACTTCATCCAATCTTGCTTCTAGTTCTTCTCTTCGTCGCCGACAAATAGCATTACCACCGCTAACTGGGACCTTACTATATTCTGCTTGTAACTAAAAAAAAAAAAAAAAAAGATTACCCCATGAATCCAACTTAAATTTGAATATCCGACTTTACTTCTTTGACTTACAAGTTCTTTTTCATGTAATAAACGTTGTAATTGTCCATCTAAATCAGTAGATGATACTGTATTTCCAGGTACTGCATTGGTATCTGTATAAGAATGATGATGATGATGGTGATGATGTCGACGATGTTGTTCAGATTTATCAGAAGCATTGATCAAAGTTGATGTTGTGGTTGTTGGTGGTGGTGGTGATGATGATGATGATGTTGTATTGACAGTATATCGAGAAGAGGATGATCTAGATCTACTTCTCATTCTTGTTGATGTTGTCTGAACGCCAGAAGTATTTGAAACAACACTATTGACACGTGTCATTGTCTTTGTTTCATTATCCTTTTCTTCATCCCTACATAAAGAATAAAATAAGTCCTTTTTTTTTATTATTATTATTATCATGATATTTACCTTTTTTTTTCTTTAGGCAAAGATGTGGGTGATGATTCGAATATATCTAATTGTAATAACTGTTCCATGGTGGTCTGAATAAGTTTGATTTGTTGATCATGATGTAAAGATGTTTCTAATTGTTGTTCATTCAGCAAAGATGTCGTTGTAACATTTGTTAAGGTAGGTAATGAAGGTGGTGCAGATGCTCGTTTTTCCGACATTGTCAATTGATCTTTAACTTGATCCAATTCCTTTTCAAGATATTGTTTTTCATTTAATAATTGTTTGATTTGTTCTGTGGCTTCACTAAATTTGGTCATTGCTGCTGCTAGATCATCTTGACATCTTTCCTTTTCCGCCTTCATAACAAAAAAAAAAAAAAAAAAAAAAGATTAGAATCGTATATGAAGTATATCAAGATTATTTTTACTTTTTCTTGTTGATATTTCGTTTTCCATTCTTTTCCTTCCTTGGATAAAGTGTCCACATTTTGACACAAGTAACTGATATCCTTGTTATAAGCTAAGGAAGTAAAAATTCAAATAAATAATAATAATAAAGGAAAGTGAACATTTTTTTTTTAAATCCTATATACCCATCTCTTTTTTTTTTTTTTTCCTTTCTATAAATTTACCTTCTTTTTGACGTTGTAAAGCATGGACCACAGCACGTTCACTTTCAAGTTCTTGTTTTAATAAATCTACACTAAGATGATGTCGTTGAGAAGTTGATTCTTCCTTTTGTTGTTTTGATCGTTGTTGTTGTTGCATTGAACCTCGCTTATTGAATTTTTTATTGAATGAAACTGAATCAGGAAATACATACATTGGTTGTTGATGTGGTGATTGATCATAATGATGATGATGATGATGACGTAGAGAAGACTCAACCAAAGGACTACCACCAGTAAGAGAAGCAGAAGAAGAGGATAGATAGCCATTTGTTGATAAACAATCGGAAACAGGACGTCTTGAAGATGAGGAACCATCAGTACCATGAGTGGGAATAGTATGATTCCCAAGACGATGATAACTTTCAGAAGAAGTAATACATAAATCACCTGCACCAGCTACAGTCACAACATTAGGATGACGTCGCTGTTGTTGATGTTGTTGTTGTTGTTGCTGATGGTGGTGATGTTGAAGAAGCTGTTGCTGTTGTTGATGTTGTTGTTGATGATGATGATGATGATGATGTTGTTGTTGTTGTTGGTTATGAGAGGAGGAGTCAGTAACATAAATGGGATCTGGTAACCTTTGACATATCATGGACATTGGTCTTTTTACTAAACGCCTGGATGGTGGACTAGATGGAGATACTTTAGCATCTATAGAAGCTATACTATTGGAAAAAAGAGTTTGATCATCATCATCGTAATAATAATCTACATCGTATTCATCATATTCATTATCTTGGGGAGTAATCAAGCTATCTTCCAAAGTAGATTCAGAAGATCGACGATATGCAGAACAGGATGGAGAAATATGATTGACAGTGCTGGAGCGTTTGATAGTATAGGACTGTTGAATTTGTTGATGATCAGAATGATTAGTGGGTATGTCATAATAAGCACTGACTGGTCTTGATTTTGGTGATGGTGGATAAAGTGTTTGATGAAGAGCTACTTGGCGTAAACTGGTACATGAGGTAGGGCGTAATAATTTTTGCTGTCGAGGTCGTGATGATCTTGGTATGACTGTCATTGATTGATCATTGATTGTTGTTGTTGTTGTTGTTGTGGGACGTGATGAAGAAGATATATCATCATCATCATCAATTACTGGATAGTCTGGTGAAGAGACAATGACTGGTGTAGGAATAGGTGAAATTGATGAAGGTAAAGGAGGAGATGGATCCATAAATGAATCTGTTGTTGAAGATACATCATTGGTAGATGGAAGTAAATCTAATTGTTGTTGTTGCTGATCCTTTTTTGTTGGTTTGATGGATGATCGACGACTGGAGATTGGTGGTGCATGTTGTTGTCTCGCTTCTTTTGTTGTAAACGCAGTAGTAGTTGTGTTCGTTTGTGATGAGGATGATGTGCGTTGTTTTGATTTTTGAATTGTCATAGGAGAAGTGGTAGGCGTAGTACAAATAACCTGTTCTTGTTTTTTAACACTGGTTGATTTTTGTTCAGAAGAGGGAGGAACTTGATCATCTGAAGAGATAACTGATCCTATACATAATGAAATATAAAAAAAATTGAGTGCCACTGAAAAGTTATATGTAAATAATAAAAACAGGTTTTTATTACCTTTTTTATTTCGCCTTTGTTGAAGAGAACTACTAAAAATGGATACTGGTTTAGTTAGAACAGCTTTTATGCAGGTGATGTAAAAAAAAAAACTTTTTTTTTTTAACCAGCCGGTCTTGCAAAAACAGATATTTGAAGACCCCCCATCTAACATTAACTTAAAAAAAAATATTACCTTGAGACAGTAGTTTGTTGTTGTTGTTGTTGTTGTTGTTGTTGTTGTTGTTGCTGTTTTGATAGTGTAACAATAGTTGTTGTAGACGTTGATGATGTGTTTCTACTATTGGATGTCTTTTTATCCCCTGATACTATTTAAACCCCCCTCGAATTGTAACAGTTAATGATATATTATATACTTTATTCATTTTTTCTTTTTTTACCTGTGGATGTTTTCCGTTGTAATGAGGCGTTCGAGTTGGCGTTTTTCCCTAAAGCAAATTTTTTTAAAGGCCAAAACTTTTGATTAGCATGAGGTGGATGTACAGTTGCTGACATGACAACAAAAATAAAGAAAGAAATAGAAAGGAAGGCAAGGGGTAAAGAAAGAAAAGAAAAGAAAGAAAAAAAGAAAAGAAAAAAAAAAGAAAGAAAAAAAAATATAAAAATAAAAGGAGTGTTTAAAAAAAAAAAAAAGGCTTTACGTGGAAAAAAAAGAAAGAAAAAAAAAAAGGAGTCAAAAAAAAAAAAGATAAATAGTTAGTGCATATTACAGTTTGGTCAATGGGTCAAAGAGATATGGATTGAATCACAGACATTTATGCATGCCATTTGCAACGTTTTTTTTTTTTCACTTTATTAGAACAACAGGATTCAATAAAAAGCTTATGACTTTTCTATTATTAAGAGCATAGTAGTATTGAAATAAGAAAAAAAAAAAAACAATGCATTTTATTGATCATTATAATTCTTTTTTTTTTTTAGTCAGACATATTATAAGATAAGATGTTTTTTTTTCTTTTTAAATAAAATATCCATTCTTTTTTTCTTTCATGATTGAACCTCCTGCTTCATCTTCCCCTTGCTTTTTATTTTTCTCTTTGGAAATCACCACCGTTACTATCACAATAATATATAATAATATGTATTAATAAAAGGAAAAAAAAATTCTAATCTTTATTATTTCCAATAGATTAACTAACTAAAAATAAATTAAACTAAAAAAAAAAAAAAAATTCATCATTCTTCATCACTATCGACTTCTTGAATTTTATCACTACCAACACCTTCACGCATAGCTTTTGCAATTGGATTTTCCACATCAATAATTCCAGTTTTCTTTAATCTTTCAAATAATACAAATAGCCTTTCAGCTTCACGTTCTTTTTCTTCATCCGTCATATCCGCTAAACTTGGTCCTTCATCTTGTTCTGCTGATACATATTGTCCAGTAATAGGATTGATAATATTATTTTCATTATCATCATCTTCTCCAGTTTGATGTTCTTGAGGTGGTTCCATAGCAATTCCTTTATTCACTAAAAATCCAATGGCATTTCCATAACCTACTTTTTGGGTAAACCGAGTAGCTGGAAAAAAAAAAAAGAAAAAGAAAAATTGATTCATAAATAACAGGATCATATGTTATATTTTTTTTTTTTTTTTTTTTTACCTTCTTCATCACAAAGTACAAATAGAGTTTCACATACTGCATCTCTTGTTTGAGGTAACATAGTACAAGTCATCAGTCGAATCAAATATGCAGATAATCCTTTTCCTTGATTGACAGGTTTCATTCGATCACTATATATATATATAAACAAGATGAGAATTTTTTTTTTTTTTTTTTTTTTTTTTTTTTTTTTTTTTACCTTTGTTGAGGTAATAAAGCATTGGCAATCAAAGGTCGTAGATGAATATCACCATGAGCCAGATTTCGTATGACAAGAATAATGGGAGATAAGATAGCATCAACGTTATATTGTTGTCGATCAGGAGGTCCTTGTTCATCAGGATCATCATTGGGTATCAAAAACATCAAGGATTCTTGTAACAGTTCCGTCATTTTCTTGGTCACAAACGCACGTCCTTGTTCCACTGTAAGGTCAGGTGAATTGAAAATCGCATTATTGTGTTCGCGCCAGATCTGCAGAATGACTGAGTATGGATATTGCATTAGAGCATGAATCGCATGCGAATGGGGTGGTGATAATGGTAATGGTTGAGGAGGTGGTATTTGAAAGATGATTTGAAAAATAGGTAAAAGACATTGACTAAAATATTCAGGTGCTGAGATAGAAGAAGATGATGATGATTGTTGTTGTTGTTGTTGTCGACCATAAGCTAACATCATATTGAATAACATTTTCAAAGCTTCATTAACCACTGAAACAGGATTGATAGGAGCAGACATATTCAAGTTTTCTCCAGTCTTGATCTTTTGTACATTTTCTAATAAAATCTAAATAAAATCATAAAAAAATAAATAAATATATATATATATCTATATTATACATCCTTTTTATTTAAGTATTTTACCTTTTCCGTAGATTGAGCAATGTCATAATCCATTAATTGTTTCACGATATCACAACGATTAACAGTCATGAAAAATAAAATACGACAAATCAAGAATTGAACATCCATGGTATAATTTGATTTGATTTGAAGAAGACGTCCACAGTTGGCTACACCATTATTATTTTCTAAATATAATTTTGTTTTTTCATCAAGTAAAATGCAATTGGCTAAACATTTGAGGGCTTCATGTGCTAACACAGTATCTTGAAATGTATCTACTGAATCTAATCCAGACATCTTCAATAATACTTTGGTACCCTATAATATATATATATAAATGAAAAATCAGTCAATTACTATTTTGATCAATTATTATTATATTACCTTTTCAGAAAAAAGAGATTCTGAACCTTCAATTGTTCGACCTAATAGTTTGAGTGTTTGTAGTCCAACAGTTTTGGCTTTTTTTTTTTTTGTATTTATAAAAAAAAAAAAGAGGTAATTTAGTTTTTTAAGTATAGAAAAGTTTTACTATTGAACTTACTTTGTTCTGACCAATTAGCTTTCATCAATTGTGTCAAAAGAGAATCCACTAATGTTGACTTGTCATCCAAAGATAGTACTATATATTGTAATTATATATATAAAGGAAAACATAGGTTAATATTTTTTTTTTGTCTCTGTTTAAGGTTCTCTTTTTTTTTTATTTTATTTTAAAATGTAGAGTATATATTGACTTACCAGTAGGATCTTTCTCGATGAGTTTAAATAAACTGATGATATCATCTTCATTACTAGAGTTCAAAGTAGAACTTATATCTAGTATAGACATGATGGATACAGAAAAGATAAAAAAAAAAAAAAGATGGTATAACAACTAGGAAGAAAAGGAAAAAAAAATAAGAATAAGAAGGAGAAAAAAAAAAGTGTGAAACCCGTCAACCACTAATTCCCCTTTTTTTTTTTTTTGTCTTGCCGTTGCATATTTGTAGAGTCACTTCTTTTTTTAAACAGCAGCCAGTAGAAAAGAAAGTTTCCTTTTCTAACAAATATCATCACCTTTTTTAAGTTAAATATGTATCAGTATAGGATAACCTCATTTTTCTTTTGCTATGCAAGTAAATCTTTTTTTTTTCACTTTTTCTTCCAACTTCCGGTTAAAAATTTAAAAATACCACACTATACAAAATCAAAACTTTTATTTTTTTTAGATCATTTGATTTTTGTTTTTTATTTTTTTTTTAATACGCCGAACGATTTTTTTTCTCTCTTTTTTTTCTCAACAGTAACCCCCCTTTATTGATAGGATGACAAGTGCATTGACTTCGGTTGTTGTTGGTGCAAAGGCAAAGCATACTGCAACCGTACTTTTCTTCCATGGTTTAGGTGATTCTGGTCATGGTTGGTCTTTCCTTGCTGATGAACTTTCTGGTCTCTTCCCCTATGTTAAATGGGTCCTCCCTAACGCGTAAGATATACCCCTTTTTCCTTTCTTCTTCTTTTTTATTCATTTTATTATTATTATTATTATTATTAAATCTATTCATCTAGTCCTGCAAAGCCTATTACTTTGAACGCTGGATTCCAAATGCCAGGTATAGTTGACTTTCTTTTTTATTTCATTGTATGATTATATATTCATAAGGACAACGATACTAATCTCTTCTTCTTCTTCTTTTTTTATATATATATATATCTAGCTTGGTTTGATCTTACTGGATTGGACAAGTCAAGTTTGAAGGATGAGGATCAAAAGGGTATGCTGGAATCTTTAGCTTCAGGTAATTGGAAATAGCAAATGTTGGATGGTCATCATATGTTATATACTAATGGTTTTTATTATTATTATTATCATTTATTACTTGTCAGTCAATCAATTGATTCGTCAAGAAGTAGATAATGGTATTCCAGCAGATCGAATTTTAGTTGGAGGATTTTCTCAAGGTGGTGTTATGTCTTTGTTAACGGGTTTGACTTCAGAATACAAGTTATCTGGCATTATTGGTTGTAGTTGTTGGTTAGCAATGGCAGATAAGATGAAAATGGTAAGAATGAATGGTAAATAGGAAGATAATTTATCATTATTATTATTATTATTATTATTATTATTATTATTTGTATAGATGGGATCGGATGCCAACAAAAAAACACCTATTTTGATGTGTCATGGAGATATGGATTCTGTAGTGCAATATCAATTTGGTGAAGAATCAGCAGAACGACTTCAACAATATGGATATGATGTAACTTTTAAAAAGTATCGAGGTCTTGCCCATTCTGCTAATCCTGAAGAAATCCAAGATATTGCCAAGTTTATCAAGGATAGATTACCTTCACAATAGGTTTATTATTGACTATAGATTAGAATCAATCTTTATCTGTATATATATCCTGAATAAAAAATATATTATTGATGAAATGTTATATTTTTGATAGCATTTTTTTTTTTTTTTGTTCATCTCGATCAGTTTATATAATATAGAAAGAAGATACAATATATATATATATATATATATATATATATATAATATAATTGGTATTAATTCATGATTTAATACCAAAGTAATCTGAACAATAGAAATAATAATTGGATTAAACAGGAAATACCTAAATATTTTTATATAATCAAAAAGAATTCTATTGTGCTACGAAGTGTATCTATAATTTTGACATCTCCTTTCAACAATATATGTTCATTTTTGTTACCAATATTTATCTCACTTTAAAAAAATGTATATTATCTATTGTTAGTACTTATTAATAATAATATTTTATGTATAAAAAAAGATATTATTTATTGTTTAATAACAATATAGAATAAGAAGTAAAGATCTCTTAATGTATATATATAAAGGTGGTGACTATGTTTTTTTTTGTTATTATTTTCTCAGACAAAAGTTGTGTATTCAGTGAAAGCTTTGAAGTACTGTTGAGAAAAAAAGGTTGGGTCAGCATACATGAAAATGAGCCTACAAAATAGAAATGGGACGTTAGTATGAAATCACACAAGTGAAAATGGATTCATCTTGCCAAATTGGGTCAATCATGCACTTACCAGATATTTCCAAATAAGAGAGCCTTCAAATCCTACTTTTTTTTTTTTTTTTTTTTTTTTTTTTTACTTACAACGTGAGCGTTTAACCGTCGCGGATGTTTGTTATCCGGATTATTGATCCAACCGAGAGAACACCGAAGGTCGAGATCCACCTTTGATAAAGTTCATCGCCAGAGAATAGATGTTGCGAGCTGCGTTATGATCCCGTTGCCATACACGTCCACAACTTGTGCATGATTGGACGGCATGCAATTTAGATTCACCAACTTTTATGTTTTCCAAGGACTTAGTACCACAATTGCTGCAAACTTGACTAGTGAGATATTCATCGATGTTAGCCACTATCAATCTTCCTTGTTGTTCTGCCTTGCGAAGAAGCTTCCGAAAAATATTTGCTAGACCATGTATTTTCCCTCTGAACATGCGTCTTCCAAATGATCCATCCCCTACACATACGACAGTGGTTATATTGCTTGGTGTTTGGCTGAAAGGAAGCTTTTTCCACTTGTTCCTAAAAAAAAAAAAAAAAAAAAAAAAAAAAAAAAAAAAAAAAGGTGTTTGTCTATCTGTCCTCGATCCTACCAAAAAAAAAAAAAAAAAAAAAAAAAAGATTACTTACAATTTTGGTTCCTTTGCTGTAGATGGAGCCTGCAGCTGATCATCAGATGAGGATGGTGGTAGTTGATCGTCAAAAGAGGATGGCGGTGGTGGACGTCTTCTTTTTCTTCGTGTCGTTCCATCTGTTCTAGTTCGAGCCATGACAACTGCTTCACTTGGATGATGATCAGGATCCGGATTGTATTTCTTGCCGCCATTAACGAAGATATTTATCCTTTCGTCTTGTACCTTTTGTTTCCCGATGTAATTGAGGAATCGCAGCCGTTGTATTTCAGTGCCATAGAATTGGACCAATTGGGGTAAAACATCAAGTAATCGTTCAATATACAATTGTATACCATCCATACTGCTTGTTTTGGGCGACGGTAATGAAGATTCAAGTCGATCGATATTTTGAGATTGTTTCGTTTCACAAATAGTGTTGTTCGTTTTCTTATATCCAGCTTTCATGTAATACTCTGCTGAGGAAAACTTTCGTACCTGGTGTCGTTCGGAAGGATCGCTATTGTCGACAGCCACGAAGACTTCAGTAACCCCAGGGTCTACCCCCCATACCTTGCATTCTTGCATATCTTCACTGGTAATATCGTCAATCGAAAGAGAAGGCAATCGGTCTTGATTCACTATTTTTTTGAAGGGAAAGGAGGTTGCATAGCCATCTGTCGTAAAACTGTTTTCGAAAATTCCATGTCTAGTTCAATGAAACAAAACCAGATTAGTACTAGATCATTCTTCTCCTTTTTCTTACCTTTTAAGCTTCCGCAAGTCAAACATATTAAAATTCGGGTGAGGCTGGTTTGGTGGGATCGGTGTAGAAGATGGACTAGCCAAACGTCCTAGACCAAAATGTTTTAGTATTGTTCCAAGAGATTGATGATCGATGTGTATATATTTGCGTGTGAGTCTTGGAATGGGTATGATAGTGAATAGTCTTGCTTGCTGCTTTGTCAGATATACTGGTGGTGCAAATCTTCCTTCGCGAATCTCTGTTTGTGCTGTAGTAATGGCGTTTTGTATATGCATAATAGATTCATCGCTGAAGCCAGCAGGTAATTTCTGTGGAATAAATCGTACACCTTCATTGATAATATTTGTAATAGCGCGAGTCAACGATGAGCGGCGGCGATGGTTTAATCGTGTCCATTCAGGCAATCCAGATAAAAGATGATATGTCCACGTGCGTTTTGCTTCATTCTGAGGTATGGCCGGTAGTTCAGAGTCTATTTGATTCCATTGTTCCATCTTGCGTAAGATATCAAACATGACAGGTAAGAAAAATTCTGGGTAGGAGGAGATTGTTGCAGTCGTAATAGATTTCGCTGAATGTACAGGATCTGGTGCTTCAAGGTCCAGTTGTGTCATACCTATACTTCCTACACTTGAGGCTGGAGACGGGATGTCCATTGACTCCGGGAGTGGGTCTGTCGATGAGCTAGCTATAGACGAGCCACGAGATGCTTGTACACTTCGACGTCGAGCTTCTTCCGTAGTAATCAATTCATGTATATTGTTCCATTCGGTACTTGCTTCATCCATGATGGTCAACAGTGATTCATTGAGCTTGTCGTCAATAGCTGAATCGTATTCAATTTCTGGCCAAACTGGAGGGAACTTGTCATCATTGACGGTGGATTGGTAAACAAAGTGAGCAAACCGCATAGCATGATTTTGTGCCAGTTCCTACACACGAGGAAAAAAAAAAAAAAAAAAGAGAGATGAGAAGGAGAAGATTTGTACTGATTTGCCTTTACTGTTCTTGTAGATATACTTACAGGAATCATGCGTCGAAGGCGGCCTTGTAAATATGCTATATAGAATCCATCAAAATTTTCGACAACATGAGAAAGGAGATGAGTTGAATAGGTTTGCGCTGTTGAGGATAGAATACCACTGAAAGCAATTGGAGATCGACCAATAGGGGAAGACACCTTTTCACATCGTGCCAGAGGAAATTGCTGGATAAATCGACGAAACACAAAATTGATATTATCACGTGTTGCAGCATCGAAAGTCGACTGATTGGTGAATTTGCCACCTAGTAGTAACTGGAAGATACCATAGAAGAAAGCTTGTTGAAAGAAACATGAGAGCAAAGGTAACCCGGCATCAAGACGATATGTGAAGAAATATAATAAAAAGAGATGACCCTTGATCACAAGTTGGCGATTGAAGTCCACAACAGTTTCCACACCTTGAACAAACTGAGTCTTTTCGTCATCGGTCATATCTAGGAGTAAACCATACAGGCCATGTTTGATCGTGTGAGTTCGGAGAGGAGCACCAGAAAGTTCTTCGTTCTTGACCTTTTGTCGTTTTTTCTGATCAGGACATAAATTACTTGAGGAGCGTGAATGAGTTTTTGCCAATTCATGACGCCCAGCAGCGATACATGTGGGACACGGTTTGCGATTTGGGTTTTCTAGTTGAAGAGCTTCTTTTCGACCTTGGTTGGCAGTTTGCTTTTCTTTCTTTTCGTCCTTAGACTGGCGTCGTTTGGTAGTCTGTTTAGAAATAGCTTTTTTCTGTCGCTTGTTCGCTACCAAATAATGGGAAAAAAAGGGCAAATGATATTAGTTGATTCAGAAAGAGAATTATAAAAAGTAACATACCTGGTTGTTCATCGTCTGTATCAGCATCTTGCTCTTGTTGCAGTAATTTTTGTTGTTTTTGTAGTTTTTTATTTCTGATGAAATTTTGTACGGTACGTGCCATGATAGATATAAAGATAAGAGAAAAAAAAAAAAAGACTGATGTTAAGAAGAAGAAGAAGAAAAAAAAAAGACTGAAATACATCATGATCTTGGACTCACTTTTTCGCGGAGTTGACCCACATTGAAAAACTTGACCCAATTAAAATTCATTTGACCCATTTTCCATTTTGGTGACCTATGTTTAACTAACCTAAGCCGACATTTTCTCGACTGTAAAAAATTGCATTGCCCCGCTCTGCAGTTGAATTCCGTATCTCCTCGTGTGTGAGTGTTTTTTTTTTTTTCTTTTCTTTTCTTTTTTTTTTTTTTTCTTTCTTTTTACCTTTTCTCTTTTTTTATTCCTTTCATTATATCATCCTTTTGTCCTCCTTCCTCTATTTCTCCTCCTCCTGCTCCCCCTTTTTTTTTCTTTTTGTTATTTTCTTTGATTTATTCTTTCCTTACTTCATTGTTTCTTTCCATCTATTTTTTTTTCTCTTTATCTTTTTGTTTTTATATTACCTTTTTTTTACATTAACAACTCATTTTTTAAAGGGAAAAAAAGAAATCAACGACTTTATTCGATTACCATCCTTTTATTCAATATATCATGTCTCAATCTATGGATTTAAGAGTTGGAAACAAATATCGTATTGGTCGAAAGATCGGATCTGGTTCTTTTGGTGATATTTATCTCGGTAAAAAAAAAAAATTCATAATAGTTTTATATAATTATATAGAAAATAATAATAATAATAATAATTCATCTTTTTTTTTCTTCTTCTTCTTCTTTTTTTTTTTTTTCTCTTTCTTTCTTTTCTTATAGGTACCAATATTGTTACAAATGAAGAAGTAGCTATTAAATTGGAATCAGTCAAAGCAAAACATCCTCAATTAGAATATGAAGCCAAAGTATACAAATCATTATCAGGTGGTGTTGGTATTCCTTTTGTTCGATGGTATGGAACAGAATGTGATTATAATGCTATGGTCATTGATCTTTTAGGACGTAAGTCAAAAAAAAAAAAAAATCAATTATATCAAACAATTTACTTATATATATTATTATAGCTTCATTGGAGGATTTATTTAATTTTGTCAAACGCAAGTTCAGTTTGAAAACTGTACTTTTATTGGCGGATCAAATGGTAAATTTTTTACTGACTGACGATCGGCAGGACATTATCGTGATGGATGTATTTTCAAATGACCGGCATTGATTGAATTGATACCTTTTTTTTTTTTTTTTAAATTCTAGCTATCTCGCATCGAATATATCCATTCAAGAAACTTTATTCATCGGTAAAATAATATCATCAAATGTATTATAATAGATAACTAATCTCTTTTTTTTTTTTAATAATAATAATAGTGATATCAAACCTGATAATTTTTTGATGGGGATCAGCAAACGTGGAAATCAAGTAAATGTCATCGATTTTGGTTTAGCAAAGAAGTTCCGTGATACTCGAACACATTTGCATATCCCATACAAGGAAAACAAAAATCTGACAGGAACAGCTCGATATGCAAGTATCAATACTCACTTGGGCGTAGGTAAGTTTTTTTTTTTTTATTTTCAAAATAATCAAATCTTATTAAATTGAATGATTTTAATTATTTAGAACAATCAAGACGCGACGATTTGGAATCATTAGGATACGTATTGATGTATTTCTGTCGAGGTTCTCTTCCTTGGCAAGGATTGAAGGCTGCTACCAAAAAACAAAAATATGATCGTATTATGGAAAAGAAGATGACAACTCCAACTGAATTGTTATGTCGTGGTTTTCCAAGTGAATTCGCTATTTATCTCAATTATACTCGCTCCTTACGATTTGATGATAAACCTGATTATGGCTATCTTCGTAAACTCTTCCGTGATCTATTTCTTCGAGAAGGTTATCAATATGATTATGTATTTGATTGGACAATGTTCAAATTAAATGTAAGGTTATACAAATGGACCCTTTTTTTTTTTTTATTTATTTTATTTTATTATAGGAATCGGATGAAGCTCGCAAACAATCGGAATCAAAGATGAAACAAGCTAAGGATAATAATAATAAGGATCAAGAACTTGTTGATACTGCTGGTGCAACCGGAGGTGTTTCAAGTAGTCGTATGTTGGCATCTTCATCACGTGTAGTGACTCCTACTTTACCAAATGAACCTTCTTCATCCTTTCGTCGTGCTGTAGCTACCAACAATGTCAAAAAGACCCCTGCTATTGGTGCCTCTGGAAATGTCTCATCGGCAAATGTAAAAAAAAAAAAAAAAAAAAAAAAAAAAAAAAAAAAAAAAAAAAAAAAAAAAAAAGAGGATGATTGTGAAAATAGATGATTAACTTGCCTTCTTTTATTATTATTAGCCATGATTTTTCAAAACTTCAAGATATCAAAGACTTATGAAATGCAATCACCCCTCTTCTACATCTAGTTAGTCATACTTTTTTTTTCTTCCTTTATCATTATCTATTTTTACTGTTACAGTATTTTTGGCAATTGTTTCTTTTTTTTTTTTTTTTTTTTTTGTGATCCTTCTTCCATTTACATGAAAACAGTTAGTTTCATTCAGCTTTATTTTATTTTTATTTTTTTTTATACATATTTTTCTTTACCACTTTATTTTATTTTTTTTTCTTCTATTTTTATACTCTTGTTTTAATAAACATACAATTGGATTTATCATCATATCATTGTTTATACAAAGTAATCATGTAGAAATCTACTTACAACATGGATTGAAAATAAAACTAAACGGTCATCCAACTTTTTTTTTTTTTAATTACACGTTTTAATAACTAATATAACAAGATATATATATAAATAAAACTAAAAGAAAAATCACTATACTAAAGTCCCTCTATAAAAACTAGCATACATATTAACTCGATCGATAGATTCGCCAGGTTTTCGTACACCAAGAGCTTCTACATGGAAACCATTCTGTTCAAAGAGTCGATTGTACCATGGTTTTGTGCCCGCACTACGCCAGTAGACTTGACCTCCAGGTTGTAACGCGCGAGCCATGTGTTTAATTTCTTGGACCAATTCGTCATGAGACATAGGATCAAACCAATCCATATGATCCATCACTACCAGTCGTGTCAAATAAGCATCAGGGAATGTCTGTAATACGTTCAAGATCGAATCAGTATGAAGTCGGAAACAGTCCAATGCACCAGGTTGTTTCAATTTATCAAAACCTTGACGTGTCAGGTAGGAAGGACAACTATCAGGATGGTACCTTTGCATCATACACAAATAGTAGAAGTATTGATCCGTACGAAGAAGACTACGTGAGGAAATAGGGTCCAATGTGTTTTCAATATATTCTTGTGTTGTGCATTCTTCCAAAAACATGTTCATTTGATTCATAGGAACTACAATAAACGAGTCAATACCCTTTTATAATATCTTTTTTTTTTCTTTTTTTTTTTTTTTTTTACCTCCAAGAGCATTCCACATGAACATAGGATTATTTAATATTTTTCGAATCATAGGAGAAAACATGGCAGGACGAATATGTTGTAACCAGATAGCTTGTTGTTCTTCAATGGTAGCAGCATGACATAAATCATGAACTGGTTTGGATAATCCATTCATACGAACCCACCATTCAAAAATGGATAATGCCAATCCAGAATAACCTGTCTTGTAAAACTTGTGAGAAAACCGGTCACTATGTTGAGACCAATATTGGAATGCATAGCCACTAAGATGAGGTGAAATAAGATCATGGAGGAGAGTTTGGAAAAGAGGATGACGACCTTCACCGAACATACGCCAAAAGTCTTCATAAGGTAATGATGAAATACTGGCCAATTTGAGTTCTAACAAATGATTCTATAAAAAAAAAAAATAAATAATTGATTTGCCTTGCCTATTTAAATATTTTACCTGACATGGATTCATATCAACACAATGAATACGTTTAGGTTGTTGTAAAGCATATTCCAAAGCATTATCACCAGCAGAAGAAATGACAAAAAGTACATCATCTTTAGATAAATGAAGGAATTCCAAATCAACACGAGGATCTTCCCAAGTAAAAGCATAAATATAAGATCGGAATTGGGTATGACAAGCCAGTTCGGGGTCATAATCTAAACGCCATTGTTTTTGTTGATACGCCATAGGAGACAAAGAAGGTGATATTGGTACTAAAGGTGACGATGATGATGATAATATGGGTGATGTACTTCCACTTTTGCTACTAGTTGAACTACAAGTATCATCTTCATATAATGTTGTTGTTGTTGCTGATTTTGGACAGCCCAACCAAATATAGTAAGGGATTTGAATCAAATAAGGTACAATGAAATGGTTGCGTCGATTCAAACTTTTGATGGTACCAAATTTGTATTCCAAATAATCACGACGTCCAGGTCCTAATTGAATATGATCCAGATCAAACCACATTTGCCAAAAGTAACGAGTAAACCAATTGCATTGTCGATTGTAATGAGCCACTCCATGATGATTGTTTTTAGGGACAGTTCGACCTGATACATAAAAATCACAAACACCTACAATCCCTTCAGGTGATAATAAAGATTGTACCCTGTCCACTACAGGGTAATACATATCCATCATAGATACTAAGAAATACATCATAAACAAAACAAAAAAAAAAGTCAGTATTTAAAAAAAAAAAAAGATGAAACTTACACGAATAAGACATGGTTACCAATTGAACACGACCTTCCAAAGGAAAATGAGTTTGAAAAGTACTTGCATCTTGACATAAAACAGTGACATTTTTCCATCCACGTAAATCAAAACGTCTTTGAGCCACTTGACAAAGAGAAGGAGTCAAATCCACCAAAAAGATATGTTCAAATTGATCCACAGGAAATGATTGATGCATTTGTTCAATATTCCAACCTTTTTATAAAAATAATGATGATGAATATATAAATATTAAAAAAAAAAAATAGATTTTTTTTTTTACCTGTACCACCACCAAGATCAATCCAAATAGGTTTTCCTTGTGTTGTTCCATTAGCAATTTGATCCTTCAACTGAGCAGCACATAATTTCAACATAGTCTTTCGGCCTCTAAGTAATGGTCCACGTGAATGATCATATACTAAATATAATAAAAAAAAAAAGAAAAGACGCGTTCATCACCAAAAAAAAAAAAAAGAAGATTTATAAAACTTACTAGTAGCTTGATCATGATAAAAGGATTCCAATCTACTTTGTTGATTTTGATGTTTCCCAAGAGGTTTAAAGAAACAAGAATACATAAACATCAAAGGAGTTCTGATATTTTGCCATGCCACGATCATAGATATCAAGGTACCCACCACACTAAGCATCAAAGCATGTGCCCAACTATATTGTTCAAAGAAGGGTCGTAGAATATGCCCTTTTAATGTCAAATGTGTCAATCCAAGACAAACAGGGATCCATACAAATCGAATAGATGATTTTTGTTGAGTCATTATTATAAAAAGTTTGAATAAATAAAGAAAGAAAAAGAAAAAAAGAAAAAAAAGAAAGAGAATGGAGATTAAGGCGTAAAATAAGGGATTATTTTTTTTTGTATGACACAAAAAAAAACCCACTTACATCAAGAAAAACAAATAACAAACGAATGATGATTCTGCATGTCAAGATGATTGCACTGGACTTGATCGTATAAAAAAAAAAAGAAAGTTAGTTTCATTGTCAAGTGAGCATATCTTTTTTTTTTTTTTTTTTTTTTACCAATAAGATGGGATCTTCATATCAACGTTTTGATGTATAACTGGATCATGCTTAATTTTGATAGGTTATAAAAGAAAGAAAGAAAGAAAGAAAGGCCGATCATGCGCTGGTCTTCAAATAAAATGATTGGACCAAAATCTTAAAGCGATCTTTCAAACAATTTTTGTTGTGTGTGTGTGCGCATGCGTGCGTGTGGGGCAGAGAGAGAGAGAGATGGGGCGAATCACAAAAAAGAAAAAAAAAAAATTGAGGGCAAAAAAAAAAAAAAAAAAGATTTTCTTTTTTAATTTTTTTATTATATCATTTTCGTGTATGTTACAAGAAAAAAAAAAACTTTTTTTTTTATCTAACTAATATCATATGCTTTTTTTATTATTATTATTATTATTTATCAAGTCATTATCCGCCATGTCTTCCGATAAACCATTTTCACGTCGCCATATCAAAAAGTCATCATAAGTTTGAATTCTCCCATCACTTTCCACCAATAGTTTCTTGAACAATTGCAAGGCAGAATGAAACCGACGTTTATGATTAGAAAACCAATAAGTGATATTCCTTGGCTTTAACCCAGTATGTTCTACTACTTGACGGCGTTGTTCCTTGGTCAATTTATCTTGGCGACTATAGATACTGAAGAAAAGGGTTTTCAAGTAATGGGTGGTTTCTTCATCATACGATGTGGCTGTTCTTCCTCCTCCTGATATTGTTTGTTTGGCAATGGTTCTTTTAGTCTGTCTTGATGTTTTTCTATTTGGTCTTCTTTGTTTTTTCTTTTTTGGGTCAACAAAAGCAAATTTGGATTCTTTTTGGGCACGGCATTTATCCATATTCTCTTTTTCTTCTTCTTCTTCATCATCATCATCTTGACTATATTGATATTCACTATCATCATCATCATCATCTTCATCATCATGATATTTTTTGTTGGTGATGTTGCTACTACTGGTACTGATGTTGCTACTGATTTGGTAATCTTCCAATTTGGGATATACAGGTACTTCCAATTCCATAGGAGTGATTGGTTCTTCTTCATATTTAATGGATGGTGATGAATTGCTTTGTATACAATGGTTATTACGATGGTATGAAGGACTAACAGGACAAGACCAAAAGGTAGTAGGTGAAGTCATGGTGGTGCCAATAGGTGTGACTGGTGTGGACCAAGGTAAAAGACCATAATGATCATGATATTGTGGTTGTTGTTGTTGCTGATGAGGGGATGGTAAGACCAATGATAATGGATGGACATGTGGAGAGGATGCACAAGAATCATTCAAGTATGGAATCATTTCCAAACAAGACAAGGATCGAAACGAAGATGTGGTAGTCAATGGCATGACATTTGAAGAGGTAACATATTGTTCCAATGAAGGAGCGGATATTGGACATTGTTGATTTAATTTGAATTCAAGGATTTGATTATAGAATGGCAAAGCGACTTCTTGTGGAGACTGACCAATGATACGACCTTGTTCAAATAGATGAAGCAGTTTGTGTAGGACTTTGATATGATGGATCAGACGTTGATAGGCTGCCTTGATATGACGAGTGGATGCTTCTGGATCTTCTTCTTCTTGTGGATAATCAGTAGGGTACCTTGTCACAATGGATACTAGTTGAGTTGACATGGATTCAAGCCAGCATATCACTTTGGGTCGACAAACGAAATCTTTACTCACAACAAGATTATATTGGTATTCCATCCAACAATACGCGAAATGATCAAAATCTGGGTGCTTGACAAACGATGGAAGATCTTGGAAATGGAAATACAGGTCAATAAGTGGTACTATAGGCGAAATGGAGAGCTTGGATACCATGGATTCTTCCCATTCAATAGGATCAAGATTATATTGTTGATTCGACTTGTATGGATCATGATGAAGCATGTTTTGAACATTGGAAGAGGTAAGATGATTGATGATGGGTGACAACATACTTTGACAAGATGAAGAAGGTGTTGCTAGCGTTGTTAGCTGTTGTATGAAAATATCAGGTGGATGGAAAGACAAGAAGAAGAAGAAGGAAAAAAAAAAAACTACTAGGGAAAAAAAAAAGGAATGACTTTATAGTTTAGTTGTTATGTTCTAGATTAGAATACAACATAGATGATCCCCCCTTCCGACAACAACAAGTATCAAATAAAGTATTTTTTTTTTTTTGTAAATATTATCTATCATCTTTCATGCTTATGCTACATTATATATATATATATATATATATATATGTATGTGTGTGTGTGTGTGTGGGCCTCCAATCCTTTTTTATGATAAAAAAAAACCTGTATCATACCTGATATTTTTACGAATAAATGGATATTGATTGCGTTTTGATACGATGTCCAGCGATTAAAAATCACGAATCAAGGAGAAAATCAAAGATGGACATTTTATTACTGCTGTATTTATACTGCAGACTTAAATGAATGACGATTGCTTTTTTTGTAGAACAAAAGACAGGGGTTTTTTTTTTTTAAAAAAAAAAAGAAGATTGACCTTTTGGACGATGTAGGAAGGAATGACTATTCGGAAATGAACAAAACAAAGAACAAAGTTTTTTTTTTTTTTTGACATGATTGAAGGATCATCATCCGATACCATAAAAGGAAGGCGTATGGGTTCATCAAAAAAAAGGGTTTATTTGAATGGTATGAAAATAGTTCCTAACATAATAGGTAAATCAATAATAATAACAACGCGAAACAAACAACAAATAAATAAATAAATAAAAACAGTATAGATGAAAGATGCTGATAAGAGAAGATACAATCAACAAATAGAATGAGTAAGTATGCGCATGAACGGATAGTGAGAATCAAAGGGGTTGTCAATCAAATAAAAAAAAATTATGGCGTATCTTCATTTTTCAATAATTGATGTTCACCACGATTGTTTCTTCTTTTCTTGATCCAAAACAAACCACCAGTCACAGCCAAAGTCATCATCAGCAATAGAGGAATCCATAATCGAATAGAATGTTTCTTTTCTTCGTTGTCGATGGATGATTGAACGGGATCGTTATGAGGCGTATCCATTTCATTGATCAATTGCTTCATCATACCAGTGTTGGGTGGTGCGCGATAAATAGGAGATCGGATATTGGATTCTGAAGCAAAAAGAAGTTTTTCTACCTTGATTTTGTTGACTGAAGTTGGAGGATAATATGATCCAGCATTCAAAATACTATTCCCAATAACATGATGGACACCTATAATAAAAAAAAAATTGAGTGAATGAATGATTCATTTTGTTGAAACTTACGTCCAGTTAAATGTGTACGATCCCACCAAAGATAATCATCCATTTCCAATCCTTTGCAATCTCCTTGACAATCATCCCAATAGGCGCGATCTTTGTTACTAATACCAAATGAAGTAGGGTCATTTACCATATCGGATAATAATGAATGTATGTCCACCAAATCCAATTCCAAGGTACGATATTTCTTGTTTAGTTCTTCCACTTGTTTTTTCAATCCTTTATTCACCATTCGAACGGCTGCTCCCCGACTGGTTGCCATGGTAGATTCCACAAAATAAGGCATGAATTCCATTGGTGGTAAATTGATTAACATGATTTGATTGGCTTTGAATATTCTATGTATAATTTTCTATAAAATAAAAAAAAAAAAAATAAGAGATACACATACTTTTTTTTTATTTATTTATTACTTACAATTTGTTCAATCACACAATTAGAGATAATATTAAAGTCAGGAACTACTATTCAAACAAGAGAGTTAATATATAAATGAGTAAAAAAAAAAAAAGTAGAGTTACCTGGTTGTTCTTTGAAGGCATGATGAATATCATTGACTCCCACCCAAAAAGCAAAAACAGTTTCACTAGGATCCAAGTTCATATGTTGTTGGTAATAGAATTCAACTTGATCTTGAATACTTGGTGTATTGTAATAAGTACTAGTATTGTTTGGAAAAAGGGCATTATCACAAACAGCACCACTATAAGCAAAACTATGTAATGAAGCATTCCATCCAGCTGTTACATGTTCACTCCATACTGGTCCATTCGTCCAACGTTGAAAGTTACCAACATCTTTTTTAAAAAAAAAAAAAAAAAAGAAAAGAAAAAAGGGTTGGATATGCGGAAATTCAATTTTATTGTAATTTTTGGAGTTTTACCTGAATAAGAATCACCAAACACAACCAAGTTTTTCACCTTATTAGCAGCAATTATACCAATGGGTAATAACAAAAAACAAACGAGTGAAAAGATCATCACAATTGAAAAAAAAGAAAAGGAGCAAAGGAATAGAAATAATAATAATAATAATAAAAAAAGGAGACTTTTACGCTTACATTTTGCATATGTTTGATTGGCTTATAGGTTACACGTACGAACTATTGGAAATCTCAACATGCTATCCATTCATTTATATATATTATATATTTCCTAAATTTCTATTTTATCTATTGATTAAGTATTGTTGATCTCCACATTTTATAATCACTCAAAATGTTAATCATTTATTTAAACTTTATACACTTTGTTTTAAGAATCAGTCAGTCACTATAAACCTTGCTTCTTCTTTTTTTTTTAATTAGTAGAACAATCTCAAGTTTCTTCATTACCAACAGAATAATAATAAAAAAAAATAAATAAATGAGATTTACTTACTTTGATGATACTTTGTTACTGATGTACCTGAAAATGGAAAATATGAACTTTGACCTATCTCCATTCTGATTGGTCAGATCAAGATAGCTTTTCTATTGTCTTTTTTTTTTTTTTTTTTTTTTATCTGTCTTAACCGATTACTGTCGAGAACATTAGGCTGGACTTGTCCAGTCATTTCGAAAGGTGATCAAGCAAGCACGAAGATAGAACTCTTCTTCTGGTTTGTGGATGTGGATGAATGGTGGTCGTCTCAAGTTTGTTCAGAATGTGGATCTCGTGGCTTACAAAACTTTATAAAGGACATTTCGGAACCATTTGGTAAGTCAGAAAAAGAAAAGGTATTCTGACCCACTTTGGTGAAGCTGAATCGTTTTGACAATGATGACCCAATTTGGCAAGACTGACCCATTTTTATGTGGTTGACTCAACTTCCTACTAACCGAACCAACTGTTTTATTTTTGTAGATTCATTTTCATTTGTTACTGACCTAGCCTTTTTTTTTTTTTTTTCCTCAACAGTAGCCTCCACTCCGATTTTCCGTTCCTTGTCTAAATGATTTAGTTTTCTTTTCTTTTTTTCTTTCTTTCTTTCCATTTCTTCCCGTTTTGTTTCTTCTTTTTTATCTTTCTCTCTTTTTACTCCTTCTCTATTAGTTCCACTCTTCAATGAGGAACAATGGCGATACACAGGCACAAAAGGAACCCAGTCTCCCGGATCTTGAAGAAACCTCTCTTCCAGTCGATACTAATGAAAAATCCATCACTACCACAGATCTGACTCGTATGGCAAATGCTCCTTTGAAAGTGAAACTTATGGTCCTTTTTTGTATGCTTTTACTACCTAGTAAGTTTCAAATTAAAACAAAAGTACAGTAATCTAATCTATAAACTATTTTCTTTTCTTTTTTTTTTTTTTAGTTGGATGTCATTTTATGGAAGCTACCATGGGAACTCTCAAGACTTCATTGAAAAAAGTAAGTCAATATACAATTGACTTGTAATGAATAAACTCATTTACATATTTTCTTTATAGTCCATGCACATCAACAACACACAGTTTGGGATCCTTTTATCCGCCGTAACACTCGTTAATACAGTACTTCCTCTTTTGGCAGGTGCCTTTGTTGATGATACTACAGGTTTTGGGTCCGTCCGTGCTACCACTTTTGTGAGTTTTGTGATCTTTTCTGGTTCTCTTATTGTCTCATTGGCCGCCGCTTATAACAATTATCCAGCAATGAGTAAGTCAACAAAAGTGAGATACATAGTCTTAGTAAAATCTTTATCTTCCCTTTTTTTTTTTTTTGGTAGTTACTGGTCAAATGATTTATGGGTTAGGAGGAGGAATGATTGTAAGTAAGAATGAAAATTAGTTTTTTCAAAATATATTTTATACTAAACAATTTTTTTTTATATATAGGTGACAATGCAAGAAGCAATTCTATCGAAATGGTTTCGAAATCAACAACTGGCTATTGTTATTGGTGTTATTTTATCTTTGGCTCGATTGGTGAAATGGTTGGCTAAAATGATCTGTTATCCTATTGTTAATGCAACCGATGACGCCAATGCTCCTATCTATATTGCTACCATGATTTGTGCTGTTGGATTTGCTATGAATGGTGTTTACTGGTATATTATGTGTCATTATGGTTGGGCAACTTCTTCCGGTAAAGAATTGTCTTCTCCTAATCAAAACATACGACCAAACAATGATGATGATAATCAACATCCTTTTGATCATCTAAAGCATACTTCTTCTTTATCTCCTATGACAACTATTCGTTGGATCTATCGATGGCTCTTCTTTTTACCCTCTATCTTTTGGATGATACCATGGATTCAATTTATCATGTCAAGTGTTCTCAGTAGTTTTGATGATATTGCTACGTAAGTTTTTTTTTTTCCTCGTCTTATATATATATATATATATATATATATGTTTATATATGTTTATCTTTTGTATATGATTAGTGAATATGTTCAATTCCGGTTCCAAACAACTACAGTGATGGCTGGTGTAAGTACTACTTGTCTTAAAATATTCGATCTCGACTGATAACTTTTTTTTATATAGTATCAAAGTAGTTTGTCTCAAGTTGTACCTATTGTGGTGGGACCTATTATGGGTATTATTATTCATCGCTTTGGACATCGAGTGACAAGTTGTAAGTTGATCATGGGATTCAAAAAAAAAAAAAAAAAATTTACACTGACATTTCCATTCTTTTAGTATTCGTAGGAACTCTATTTTTGGTGGTGTCAATGATCTTGATGGGTTACACAATGATCTCGCCAGCTGTCGGTATGATTCTTTTCTCCTGTGCCCTTGCTTTTGGCCCCGTATCTGTTCTCAGTTCGACTGCTATGTTATTACCCCATGGATTAGTTGGTATCGGTGCAGGTTTACATAAATGTGCTAACAATATAGGGACAACTATTGTAGCTGTCATTGTAGGATACGTTCAAGATTTAACTTATCATGATGGAAACCCTTCCGATGACAATGCAGATCTACAAACTGAATATGATGGTGTCATGATTTTATATCTCTCATTGGCCTGTGGTTCGACTTTGATAGCAGTGATTCTTTGGTGGATGGATCGACGTCAATTGATGGGATGGTTACAAGCAGATAAAAAAGATCGAGATCAACGTTTGGAAGTATTAACATCAATGGAACCAAATAAATCTTGTTCTAATCTTGCTGCCATTGGAAGTCAAGTACGAAAAACCAAATCCTATGTATATGTTGGCATCTACTGTTTTTGGTTATTGGCTGCTTGGGTTATTTTCTTTGTTTTTGCCTTGATGCCAGTTTATATGAATTACGAATAAGTCATCTCCTTTTTTTTTTTATGTGTATAATTAGTTGTTTTTATTTTATTCTTTGATTTTTTTTTTTCAAAATACAATTATCTCCCCCCTCCCACTTTGTATATAGATATATTTATATAATAGCATTTTGAAAATAAAAATAAAATGAAAAAAACGTGTCATCCGTTTCAAACTCTTTTTATTCAAGGATTATTCAAACAGGTAACACAAATGACATGTTTCTTCCTTTTTTTTTTTTTTTTTGTTGTCCAGACCTCTTGGTCACTTCTAATCAATCGATCATCATTATAGAATATGGTTGTATGTATTCTTTCCTCCCCCCCCCCCTCTCTCTACCCCTTCCTTCTTAAAGGGGGTGTCATCAAGACATGATTTTACTGCTTCTTTCTCCCATGCATGTCTATAGTTCGTTTTTCCACGGTTTTCACTCTCCGCCGAAACTCTCTGGTGTTTCTTAAAGTACTTCGGTATCTTTTCTTTTTTTTTTTTTATTCTCTTTTTTTTTTTTCTTTTCTTTCATTTTATTATTATTATTATTATTATTATTCTTTTTTATCAGAGAATACAATGACATCTCCATTACCAACGAATGCGAAAAGGAGGGATCAAGATGGAAATGGTTATGATGATCTACAAGAAGCACCACTTTCCAGTTCTCTTGACAGAATGTCGTCCATGGCCAGACTTCAAGCCAGTGGTGCCGATGTGTATGGTAGTTCACCTCATTCTTATATTGGTCATGATCTCACTCAAGTGTCTTCTCATCAATCTTTGGCTTCTCAATATTCTTCTAATGATAACAAACTTGCCCGTGCTGTCAAACGTCATTTAGCCGATCCCAATGCTATTCATCGTTCCTCTACACCTGTCTCTTCTGCTTCGTCCGTGGTCGATCTTCCATCATCTTATGCCAACAGTGGTGATGAGGAAGTGTCAGTACAAAGTGGCAGCAGCAATGGTAATCATTTTACTGGCAGCATTCATCAACTTCCTGGTGCTTCCATTACTCATGATATCTATAAATGGACTGACAATATCGATGAACAATTGGCTCGCAAGAAACGGTCTCAATCCTTTATTCATCCCCGTAATGAACCCATTGATCCTGCTTTGGCTCGACTCAAGGATCCTGGAGGTTTCCGACGTCATTTTGTTGTGGATAAGGCTGCAAGACAAGGGAAAGCTCCGCCTCATTGGATGACAAACACATTTGTAGAATTCTTGGCTCTCTATGGTCATTTTGGTGGTGAAGATCTTAGCGAAGAAGAAGAAGAAGAAGAAGAAGAAGAAGGTTTTGTTCGTCATGATTTAGGTGAACGTACTCCTTTGATTCGACGTCCTACTGAAGATCAACCTCATGGCAATGTCACTGCTTCTAAAGCCGTCTTTTTACTCATCAAGGCCTTTTTCGGAACTGGTAAGTATAGGAAAGAAAGAGAGATTTAGACTGAAACGAGTGAGGAATTTTTTTTTCTTGAAACTTATTACTGAATGTTCCTCTTTTTTTTTTTTTTTTTTTTTTTTTTTCTTGTCTTAGGTCCTATGTTTCTTCCAAAAGCGTAAGTTACAAGATATCAATATATGAATATCAAAAAAGTAACTAATTTACTCTTATTATTTATAGATTCTCTAATGGTGGATTATTCTTTTCTTGTGCACTATTGACCTTTATCGCCATCATATCTCTTTACAGCTTCCTTTTATTAGTTGAAACAAGAAACAAAGTACCATTGTCTTTTGGTGATATTGGTGGACATTTATTTGGTCCTAGTATGCGATATTTCGTTCTTGTTAGTATAGCTGTGTCACAGGTAAATGAAACAAACATTTTATTTTATTTTTATTTTTTTTGTTGACTATATACTTTTATATATATATATATAGATCGGATTTGTCTGTGCTTACATGGTGTTTGTGGGTCAAAATGTACAAGCTTTAGTGGAGGCCCTGACTGATTGTGAAATGATTGTCCCACTTTCTTATTTGATTTGGGGACAAATTGCCATCTTTGTGCCACTTGCGATGATCCGAAAGATTCAAAAACTCTCTATTTTCGCACTTCTTGCCGATCTGTTTATCTTATTGGGTGTATTGTACTTGTTCTATTATGACTTTTGGAGTTTGACTCTCCGTGGAATCGGTCAAGTGGATTGGATCATTAATCCTGCTTCTTTCCCTATGTTTGTTGGTACTGCTGTTTTTACTTTTGAAGGTGTTGGTCTTAGTAAGTATTTTTTTTTTTTAAAAAAAAAAAAATAAATTATTTACATTATTTTTATTATTATTTGTCTAGTCATTCCAATCACTGAATCAATGAAGGATCCTAAACAATTCCCTAAAGTATTATCTGGTACCATGATTGGTTTGGCTGCTGTGTTTTTGGCTGTGGGTTCTATTTCCTATCTTACTTTTGGAAAGAATGTACAAACGGTGATTTTACTCAACTTGCCTCCAAATCCTATTGTCAATACATTACAAGGTCTTTATGCTTTGGCCATCTGTCTGTCAATCCCATTACAACTCTTCCCTGCCATTCGTATTGTTGAAAATGCATTGTTTACTCGATCTGGCAAGCATAATCCCATTGTGAAATGGCAAAAGAATATGTTACGCTTGATGACGGTGATTCTCAGTGCTGGTATTGCTACGGCTGGTTCTCAAGATTTAGACAAGTTTGTATCTGTGATTGGAAGTGTATGTTGTGTGCCTCTTTGTTTCTTGTTCCCTCCATTATTCCATTACAAGGCCATCGCCCGCTCCGTCAAAGAAAAAGTCATCGATATGTTGATCATCGTCTTTGCTGTGATCTGTATGACTTATACCACTTGGATCACCATCTCTCTCTGGTTCTCCGACAATCAACCTGACTCACCTCCTCCCACTCGATGTATCCCTCATTAGCTTATAGTTTTATCTATATATACATCTTTTTATCTATATACCGTCCTTTTTTTTTTTTTTTTTTGTCATTACTTTTTTGTTTTCCTATAAATTCACTTCAAATAAAATTTCAGTTTCTCTGTTTCTTAAAAAAAAAAAAAAAGAAGATAATAATAATCCAACAATGTCTATTTATACTATTTTGATGGCAGTCTCTTTATCTACACAATAGAATTGATTTCTTGTTACTGAATGATATCATGAAATTTCTCGCATGATCATAGATTGCATTTTTTTTTTTTTTTTGTGCGATATGACACTTGTATCCACCTTCGTTCTTTTCATTCCACCATCCCATTTTTTTTTTTTTTAAATCAAACTGTAAACCTTTATTGAGAAAATAATAAAAATAAAAAATAAAAAATAAAAAAAAATACTACAGATTACAACTACAATCAATGCAGTAATAATATATAAAAACCAACTAATAATAACAAGAATGAACTTTATTGATCCAATAAAAAGTTGGTGGCCTTTTGTACATCGTAATCATATCGTTCCAATGCTTCTTTTGCTTGTTCAATAGTGAAGCCCATGTTGGTCAGCGTAGTCATGGATTCACTATCAGTACCAAAATCACGTAGATTGGCCATGACTTCTTGATCCGACATAGCAGGTAAGTTTTCCAAAGAAGGAGCTTGTAAATATGGTTGGGGATGTTGTTCACTTGATGATTTGTCTTTCTTGGTCGACTTGGATTTGGATTTCTTTCCTTTTTGTTTAGGAAGCATGGATGATAATGAGAATAGTCCTTTGTGTTTGGTCTTTGTAGATTGGCCTTCGTCCACAGGTTTTGTTGTTGATTGTCTATCGGTAGATAAGGATGGTGGTGGCTGCGATGGTTGATCTGACTGCGTTATGGACGCCGTAGACACAGAAGGTGATGCATCTACTGCTGATGTGGCCATCACTGATACAGGTTGTGTAGTGGATGCTGTTTGGTTATGGATGGCTGATGATTGGTTGAATAGAGAGGATTCGCTGATAGAAGGTGTCGATCCAATACCCGTGCTGTTTCTCCATTCATCAATGGGTTGTTGAACTGTATCCTTCTGCTGAGTGGTTGGTTGAGTAGAAATCGTCGTTGTCTGTTGTTGATCTTTATCAGCAGTCCAATGGTGTTCAAAAGATGGTTCATCAAATGGATTGGATTCAACAACTTGTTCAGGAGAAGTCACCAGTTCTCGGAAATTGCCAAAAGTAGGGATAGTAGAAGAGGTGTTGCTTTGTTGATCGATCTTTGGGATATTCTGAGATTCAGTCGTGATAAAGTTATCGGCAAAACTGTCAGAAGACTTTCCAAAATCCTTTGGTTCAACTGTAGATGAAGGTGTAAAAGCATCGGCAAAAGCATTAACATGTTGATCACCATTCATCACTCCAAATGGATCATTGTTGACTTTGTTGGATTGTTGATCTTGTTCAGCTGGAACGGTTGGTAAGGTTTGTTGAGGAGTTGGATTGAACTTTTTGGGTCCAAAAGCTTCATCAAAGTCGTCATCGCCATAAAAGTTACCACCAAAACCCTCTGGAACTGTAGTAGATGTTGTTGCACCGGTAGCATTGGTAGTCGTCGTATTGGCATTAGAGGAAACCATCTTGGCATCAGGAAGTGTTTCAGAGAAAGCAGCATCAAATTCATCCATACCTTCGTCATCAGGTCCCATACTTGCAGACATAAAAGAGGATGATGTAGATGCATTTTCCACTACTTCGAAATCATGGTCGTCACCTTTCAAACTACCTGATGCTGTTGTTGTTGCAGTAAATATTTCTGGTGAACCAGTTGTAACATCTTTGCTGCCCCCTTCAGTGTGGATGTTGTCTTCTGTCAGTTGTTGTTGTTGTTGTTGCTGTTGTTGTTGTTGTTGTTGTTGAGTATCGTCAGATTCAGATCGCCTAGTCTGTGGATAAGCTTGATCTTCGTGAGTGATAGTGTCATCAATATGTTGATCTTCCTTTGGCTCATCCTGGTGAATTGTTGATGGCTCGATATGTTGATCATCATCCTTCGATTCCTTTTGGTCTATGCTTGTGTCCTTCTTGTCCAAAAGATCCTCAGTAGGAATATGTTCGCCATGATGTTCATCCTTTGTAAGTGCCTTCTCATCATCAGTTTTTTTTGTTGATATTATTGTTTCCTTGGGTTCATTGTCAGCTTCCACAGTTGTTTCAGTTCGGGTAAGGTCCATATATTTGTTATCATCACTATCAGCCAACAGTGAAGTATTCTTTCCACGTCCAGTTTCGTCAATATCAGCGACAGGAATAGATTCCTCAGGTTTACTAATATCACCAGTTCCCATTGCGGTATCCTTGATGGTGTTGTCTGCATTTTTGTTGTCAGTTGCTTCCTGTGGAATATCCTTAATAATATTGTTTTCGTCGTTGTCATTACTAATTTCTGTAGGCATGTCCTTGATATCGTTGCTGTTGTCGCTTATGATAGCACCCGATGATGATTCCTTGCTGACATTCACAGTTTCAAAATCAGTAACGTCAGATGGTGTATCCTTGCTGTCGTCCTTTGCGTCGGTGATGATTGATGTCGCTTCTGCTGGAATCTCGTCTTTCATCACTGGAGTAGTTTCTACACTATGATCCTCCTTGTCGTGGCCTTCTGTATTGTTGAATTTTTTATCCATATCCATATTATTGGGAAGAGTTGCTTTGTCATTCTGGTCCAGTGATTCGTATACAGGAGCTTGTGATTCTTGTGTATCCTTCGTAGTATCGACAGAACGTTGTTTGTCAGTTTCACTTTGTATGTCAAGTTCAGATGTCGTGGAATTATCTTTAAGAGAAGAAGCAATGACGTTGCCTAATGTTGCGGAAGCTACCACTGAAGCAATACCAGCTGATACAGATGCTGTAATTGAACTTGGATGACCGGTTTCTGATCCAGTTTCGTTGGATATTGGTATATCATCAATATTGAGAGATGGTGAAGTAGGTGAAGTAGGTGACATTGGAGAACGTTTCTTTTTGGATGGAGGTGGTGCTGGTGGCTTTTTGGCTGAAGAACCTCCAGTAGGTTGAGCACGGACACTTTGAGTACGATGATGACGACTGGAAGGCGGTGGTGGAGGAGGAGCATCGTTAGATTTGGGCGACATATCTAGAAAACAATACAAGTGAATACAAAAAAAAAATCTTTCTTTTTTTCTTTTCCTTTTTTTTCTTCCATTGACTTTATTATTACCTGCAAGTTTGTCAAATTGACCAGCTTGAGCAAGAGCTAGTTCTTCTGCTGATTTATTCCTGAGACTTTGAGCGGCAGCCAATTGACTATCAGAAACCCCAGCCATAGCAAGCTTTTGTTGATATATCGTTTTCAATGATATCAGTTGAGTTTGTGTGTTGTTATATTCCTTTTCCAGTATGGCAATCTTGTGACGTTTATCATGTTCTGATTTGTTGAGTAAATCCAAAGTAGCCTGCAGATCTGATTTTTGTTTAATGGCTTCTTGTAGAGATTGCTCCAAACTAGTCATTTGTTTTTGAAGTTCAGTCACCACTGTATCTTGTTCCTTGATATTTTGTTGTAGTTCAGCTGCTTTTTGTTGTTCATTGGTGATCGATTGTTGTAATTGACTGACTTTATTTTCCAGTACTTCCTTGTCTTTAATATGTACAAAAAAAAAAAAAAAAAAAAAAAAAAAAAAAAAAAAAGAAGTGTGAATGAACTATTGTTGTCATTATATTTGTCTTGATTACTATTTTTTTTTTTTTTTTTTTTTTTTTTTTACCCTGGATTTCGTTATGGGTAGGTGACAGCAATGAGTCAGGCAGGATAGCTGGAAGGGAATCACCAGCTCGAACTCGTCTGATAAGGTGCATAGCAATAGCAAATTCATCTTGATCTAGTTTACCACGGTTTTGAGTGTCAGCCAAATCCCAAATCGCGGCCAAATCGGAAGGGGACAAGTTTGAATGATTGAAGAATCCAACAGCTTGATTACCTATATAAAAAAAAAAAAAAAAGAGCCAAGGGATGAGTAAATCATTTATAAAATGGCATCCGTTCTCCTAATATTACCTTCAATATAACCTTTGTTTTGACTATCGATCCTTTTGAAAGCATCAATGTAACCATGATATTCAGTGTTATCCACCTTCCAAGGATGATGATGAGGCAAAGGAGAAAAGAGTTGAGAATAGTCATCAGAAGTGCGAGAATGAGTTTCAGGAATAGGTGGTGGCGATAGAGTGGTACGAGATGGAGAAGTTGTTGTTGATGCCAAGGAAGGAGGTTCACCACGTGCTGATACAAGAATAGAGTCTGGAGCATTCGCATGAGGTAAAGTGGTATTACCAGACATACATTTTGCTACGTAATGCATTGCAATCACAAATCCAATCGAATCCAATTTACCTTGTCGTTCAATATCAGCAAGATTCCTAAAGAAAAAAAAAAAAAAAAAGAGGTTTAGTAAAAAGATGATGTCATTTTCATATTACATACCAAATATGACTAAGTAATGATACAGGAAGTTTTGATCGCATCAAAATCTTCATTGCCTTGTCACCAGGGATTAATCCATCAGTAGGACCTGAAGCATGAAAAATACGTAGATACTTTTGTCGATCCTTAGTAGATATAATTTCATAGTCATCAAATACGGGTAAAGGAGTATCTATAAGTAAAAGAATGAGAAAAAAAAAGTTCAAATCAATTAATATTTATTATTATTATTATTATTATGACTTACTTGTAGAAAGAATTGGACTTGAAGGATTGATACCATTTTGGGCACAGGCAATCAATTTCAAAGCAATAAAAAAGGATTTTTTATTATTATCTTTCTGCTGTTTCATATTGGGTTGGAATGCAGCACCTAATATCTATTTAAAACAAAAAAAAAAAAAAAAAAAAAAAAAAAAAAAAAAGAAGAATATACCTATGAATACCAACTATGCACCTTTCTTTTTTTTTCCGTCGACATTACCTGGTTTAACTGTTGAGCCGATATATCGCGAGCTTTTCGTAAGAATTGAACCATATCATCTTGAGACTTGTTTATACATTGGTATTGATATAATTGTTGATAATAATCTTGATCGTTGTCCACCAAACTGTTTTCCCAGTTATCTATTTATTTTTCCCCAATCAATCAATATACATTGTAAAAACATAAGTTTCCATTCATGGTTATCATTTTTTTTTTTCTTTTATACTATTCTTACCTTGGGAACTCATTTTGGATGAATAAGATATAAAAATAAATAAAAAGAAAAAGAAAAGAAAAGAAAGAGAATAAAAAGACGAGTTTAGTGAAGAAAGAAAAGAAAGGAAAAAGAGAGAGAAGAGATTCGAAATATTACAATAGAAATCAATTGAGTCTCCGAAAGTTTGGAGACGGGGAGGCCTTGGCTGGATGAAAGAGTTCTTCGTTCCCTTTTTTTTTTTTTTTTCTTTCTTTCTCTATCCGCAGCGCACACAACTGTCATCATGGTAACTATCCAATAAAAGAAAAAGAAGAAGAAAAAAAAAACAAGACTTATTATTCTTTATTCTTGGCACTCATTCTCTAAATGCATTCTTGGCATTATCTTTTTTTTTTTTTTGATATAGTCTGCCATCTTCAATTTCCAGTCGTTACTATTGGTCATCCTGCTTTTAATATGTACTTGTACTTATATTCGTGCCCAAGCTCCTTCATTGATTGATCGAAATAAAACTGGGTAAATAAAAAAAAAGAGCAAAAACTATTATATAATGAAGAATCGTGATCTTACATATCACTTTATTAGTATTCTAGGATTATTTTGGAAAGCGGCTAGGATAGGTGAAAGACTCAGTCCTTATGTATCTCTTGCTTGCATTATTATGGCTATTAGTATCATGATCTCTTGAAGGAATACTTACTATATCCCATCATTCCAAATTATATTCTTTTCATAGTGAAATACTCATATACATCGTACACCTCTACACTCTCTCAGACACACACACATATATACATACACAAATATATATATTATACACAATTCTATACGACACAGTTACCATCCAAAACATTCTATTTTTTTTTTTCTATCATATCTCTTTTTTTTATATATTATTATTATTTAATAATAAAGTAAAATTCATGAATAATCACTATACAAAATAAAATATTTATATAAAAAAAAAATCATACTATGACTAAAGGGGAAAAGAAAAAAAATATACAAATAGAAAGGAAAGACAAAGATACCAATAAGATACTTGACCAGCTTATATGATATGGGAGGAACCACCATTTACATAAGATGATTCGATAGTTTTCTTCAGTTTTTCATAATGGGATTCATCTGTACAACAAGCCTTTTTCTTCATTTCACTACAAAGCGTATCAATATCAATTTCATCAAATCGAGGATGCTGCGCAAGTTTGTCCCACACTTGAGTCAAAGAGGATGCTTTTTCAATTGGTGGTTGTTCTTGTTGCTGTTGGATTTGATTGTTGCTGGTGGACAATGGAGATTCGGTTTCGTCATCCATCACTAATAGTTGATCTAATAAATCGTTTGTAGTAGATTCCTCCGCTTTGTTGATATTTGTATGTGTTACTGTTGCCGGTGATGACGATGATGATGATGATGAAGGTGACGATGATGATGATATGGATGATGATATCAGTGTTGTATCAGTAGGAATGGTATCAAAGAGTCCTTGATTGACCGCAGTAGAATCTAAATTGAATGGATTAAATAGCTGTTGGGTAGTGTCGAATGAGTTGAGGATATCAGTGGGAATGCTGGATGAGATGAAAGTAGTATCGTTATCATGAGTGATAGATGGTGTAAGAGAGGAACTTTTGGTTGAAGAATCACTGGTCAACGAATGATGTGGAGCAAATGATAATGATTTTTCAGATGAATCTTGTGTAGTAATTGCTGAAAATAGTGTTGCTGAGGTATCATCCCCAATAGATCGTAATAGTTTTTGTGGTCTCTGTGTTGAGTCGTTACCATTATCATCTGTCAATTGGGATAATGGTATATCAAATGATGAAGCTGTACCACTAAGGATAGCATTCTCCAACTGAAGTTGTTGTATGATTTGCTTGAGTTTTCGATTTTCTTCCAACACTTTTTCAGATGATTGTTCTTGATTTTCTTCTAATACTTTGATACGATCTTCCAATTCCTTGACATAGTTAACTCGACGTTCTCGAAAAGCTCGTTGTGCTGCCCGATTTTGTGCCTTTCGTTTTGATTTCGGATCCATTTCAGACTGGATGGGAATAAAAAATAAAAGGAGATAAAAAAAGAAAAAAAAAGTGAATAAAAACCAATAAAGTAAAGCTTATTCAGCAACTCATAAGTCCGAACAATATGAATATAATTGGGGTTACCTGTTTGAGTTGATCATCTGTAAGAGGCTTTCTTCCTGGTCGACCATTCATTTTGTCTATTATATATAAATTTGATGATTATTTAACATATATTCTTCTTTTTTGTAAACTATTTTTTTTTTTTTTTTACCAGAATTTGTATCACTACTAAGGGAGTCTTGATCTGAGGGTGAACCAATATCAACTATATGAAAAAGAGAGAAAGAAAAAAAAAGGTTATATATGTGTTTCTAAAAGAAAGAAAAGCATTCTTCTTTTTTTACCTGAAGTTACTAGTGATTCAACTTGATCAAATTTGCGTTTATCTTTATCTTGAGTTACTTGAGATGTTGAAGAACTTTGTTGTTTTGATGCAGATAAAGCCAATAAGAATAATTGTTGCATTTGTGGATTATCTTTTATAAGAGTCAAGTCGAAGGGTTTTGACAAGTTGTTTGGTTTTGTGGAAGGATTATTCATAGTCAATAAAACCTGATAATATAGAGTAGAAAGTAAGTAAGAAAAAAAAAAGGGAAAGAAAAAGAAAAAGAAAGAAAGAGAAAAAGCTTTGTGTTCTGATTATTTTTTTTTCATTTCCGCTCGGCTAACTACTAGAGTTTTTCCTTGTGAATTGGGTTTGTCTTCTTCTTTTCTGCGCTATGATTAGAGATCTTGTTTGCACCAGTGCTCGAATAGATTTGTGATGATCTTTTTTTATTTGTATCGCGGGATTATGAGAAAAGGACAAATGGATGATGAATGAGTTACCAAAAAGAAAAAAAAAAGAAAAAAAAGATAGCTAGTAGAGTTCAAAAAAGGAACACCGTAAACGGGTATTATAATAATAACAATAATATGTATGGAGTTTCCTTTATTTTCCAAAAAAAAAAAAAAAAAAACTAGTCTAAAATAAAACAACCAAAATCAACCGAAAAAGAGAAAAAAAACAAAAGAAAAGTAGAAATAATACAACTATCAATAACAATATATATATATATATATATATATATATATATATATATATATATAAGTGTCTATTTGGAAGAGGGGGGATTATAAACACCAAATCTGTAATCAAGATCTAAAAGAAGTTTCAAAGCGTTTCTTGATTGTAAAGCACCAAATCGTTGTTGTTCACTTGATGATACAACACTAGAAGTAGCCGAAGTAGCACCAGGAGTGGCAGCAGTGGTATGACCAGGAAGAGGGAAGGCTTGATGTAATAATTCATATACTGTTAAAGTAACACCAAATTGAGGGGATGATCTGAAAATACGTGCAGGACCACCTTTAAAGAAAGCCTTGAATCCTTCTTCAACATAAATCTTCTTTGCAGCATCCTTGATTCCTGTATACGAAGTCTGTCCTTTCTTAGCTTCTACTTGTAAACGAGTCTTGATCACATCAGCAGGAGTAGTAAAATAGGCAGCAGGCATACCAGCAATTGCACCAGCAGTCAATAATTCAGTAATGGTCAATTTGTGATCAGGGCCTTCATGGAAAAGATCCTTCTTCAAATGTGCATAAGCTGGGAAATAGATGGCAGAAAAGGGTACATCACGTAATAAACATGCACTGACACCTTTATACAATCCAACAATACCGAGGTTTTTGACAATCCAAATGGCTGAGCGACGAGGCATATCAGGATGAGTTTTAGCTTGTTCGCCTTGTACTTGAAGTCGAATCTTGACAATTTCCAATGGATTAGTAAATACTACTTGAGAAGCACCAGCAGCTCCACCAGCAATCATTTCTTGCCAAAATTTGATTTCTCCTGTTTTCTTGTTAGCCAATTTATTTCGTACAAAATCATTCACTGTCAATTTGATGGCTTTTTCTGGAGCAACACCCTATATTAAAAAAAAAAAAAAAAAAAAAAAAAAAAAAAAAGAGTAAATAAACGTTCTATTTTTATGATGATGATGATGATGATGATTTATTTTTATTTTTATTTTTTTTTTAGTACTTACCACAAGTTGAGGACCCAAACCACGATATAAACCCAAAAATCCTTCATTTTTAACCACCTTTTTGAAACAATCCAAACTATTCTTGTAAAGTAATTCACCTACAACTTTGGAACGCTGATTTTGCATTCTTGTCTTGACCAAATCAATAGGATAAACAGCAGTAGCACCAACAGCACCAGCAATAGAACCCAATACAAATGAATAGACGTTACCAATGATTTCCCACATCACACCATGCTTGCCCTTTGCCACATCCACTTTTCCTTTCTTATCCGATGATATCAAATCCAATAATCGTTCTTGTTCTTGTTCAGTAATAGGTCGCCAACGAGGATCCAACATCTTTTCAAAGTCTGCTAAACTCAATCGACCAGAGTTTTTACTATCGACAGCAGCAAAATGGAAAATAATATCAGCTTCCATAGGAGTAAATAGAGAGTATCTACATGATTTGGCAGCTTCACTAAGGAAATCTTGTTTGGTAATCGTCTTTTCCGGATTTGATCCAATAGCACGTCGAATCACCAATTCTACCAGGTCAATATTTCGAATAACATTGTGGAAGGCAACCATATTGGAGAAGCTAATAGTAGTACCACTGCCTGTAGCATAGAGATTGCATAGAGTAGGAAGATGATCGATCACCAGGTCAGAGAGTTTATGCTTAGCAATATCCAAGATAATCCTTTTGAAGTTTTCTGTAGAAATATAGCCAGTTTGCTTTTGATCATAATGTTTGAATTCTTGTCTTAATCGTTCACCTTGGAGTCCTTTTAAAAGCTGAGAGAACTCTTCATATGTCAATTGATAATGACCATCTTTACTACCAATATAAAGTTTAAGCCAATCACAATCAAAGTCAAAAGGAACAGCATCACTAGGCAAATTGCTGGAAAGGACTTGTTTGAATTGGTCAAAAGTAATCTTGCCAGTATTGTTGATGTCAAATAACCGGAAAGCGACTTCATATTCAGCATCTGGTTTAGATAACAGATTTTGAAAGATAACAAAATCATTGAAAGAGATCAGACCTTGGTTGGATGTATCAGCAATCTTGTATAAAAGACCAAATTGTTCACGTTTGATCTTTTCAAAATCTTCACCAGGAGCAATAGCAGCCAAAAAGTCATCCTTGTTCATATAATATTTATTATCCTTTTCCACTGAAGCATGTTTTTGGAATAATTGACGATAATATTCAGCTGCACCTTTCGAGGTTTCCGTTGCCATGATGGATGAGAAGAATTTGTTCCTTTAAGAACCAAAAAAGGGTATGAAGGAAAGAAAGAAAGAAAAAAGAGAGAGAGAGAGAGAGAAAAGTGTGGGGAAGGGAGAAAAAAAAAAAAAAAAGAACCACACACAACAACAAGTAACCTGAAAAGAAAGAGAAAAAAAAAAATAAGATTCGGAGTTGAACCTGAAAGGGCAAGACAAACAGTGAGTGAAAGGTTAGAATTGACCAATCGGCTTTTAGGAAACCTTTTGTTCCTTTTTTTTTTTCTTGATCGTCAATTTCGTATTCTTCCGTTCTACAGTTAAACCTTTTTTTCTATTCATAACACTTCTTTTATTATTATTATTATTATTATTATTTAATATATTATAGAACAAATCATTATAAATAAAGATAAAATAAAAAAAAGAAAAGAATGTAAACTTTTCTTTTTATTATATATATATAAATATAAAGTAGTAAATTGACTCACTCTTTTCCGCCCCTTTCTCGGTCAAACACGTGAAGACGGTTGAAAAATCCTGAATTGTCGGCTTACTTCTTTGATTCATTGGTTCAACTCTAGTTAGTCATTCAGGATAACTCCGACTCGACCACTTCAAACTTACTCTTTTTTTTTTTTTAACAGTTAAACATAGGTCACCAAAATGGAAATGGGTCAAATGAATTTTAATTGGGTCAAGTTTTTCAATGTGGGCCAACTCCGCGAAAAAGTGAGTCCAGGATCAGATCATGCTGTATTTCAGTCTTTTTTTTTTTTTTTCCTCTTATCTTTATATCTATCATGGCACGTACCGTACAAAATTTCATCAGAAATAAAAAACTACAAAAACAACAAAAATTACTGCAACAAGAGCAAGATGCTGATACAGACGATGAACAACCAGGTATGTTACTTTTTATAATTCTCTTTCTGAATCAGCTAATATCATTTGCCCTTTTTTTTCCCATTATTTGGTAGCGAACAAGCGACAGAAAAAAGCTATTTCTAAACAGACTACCAAACGACGCCAGTCTAAGGACGAAAAGAAAGAAAAGCAAACTGCCAACAAAGGTCGAAAAGAAGCTCTTCAACTAGAAAACCCAAATCGCAAACCGTGTCCCACATGTATCGCTGCTGGGCGTCATGAATTGGCAAAAACTCATTCACGCTCCTCAAGTAATTTATGTCCTGATCAGAAAAAACGACAAAAGGTCAAGAACGAAGAACTTTCTGGTGCTCCTCTCCGAACTCACACGATCAAACATGGCCTGCATGGTTTACTCCTAGATATGACCGATGACGAAAAGACTCAGTTTGTTCAAGGTGTGGAAACTGTTGTGGACTTCAATCGCCAACTTGTGATCAAGGGTCATCTCTTTTTATTATATTTCTTCACATATCGTCTTGATGCCGGGTTACCTTTGCTCTCATGTTTCTTTCAACAAGCTTTCTTCTATGGTATCTTCCAGTTACTACTAGGTGGCAAATTCACCAATCAGTCGACTTTCGATGATGCAACACGTGATAATATCAATTTTGTGTTTCGTCGATTTATCCAGCAATTTCCTCTGGCACGATGTGAAAAGGTGTCCTCCCCTATTGGTCGATCTCCAGTTGCTTTCAGTGGTGTTCTATCCTCAACAGCACAAACCTATTCAACTCATCTCATTTCTCATGTTGTCGAAAATTTTGATGGATTCTATATAGCATATTTACAAGGCCGCCTTCGACGCATGATTCCTGTAAGTATATCTACAAGAACAGTAAAGGCAAATCAGTACAAATCTTCTCCTTCTCATCTCTTTTTTTTTTTTTTTTTCTCCTGTGTAGGAACTGGCACAAAATCATGCTATGCATTTTGCTCACTTCGTTTACCAATCCACCGTCAATGATGACAAGTTCCCTCCAGTTTGGCCAGAAATTGAATACGATCCAGCTATTGACGACAAGCTCAATGAATCACTGTTGACCATCATGGATGAAGCAAGTACCGAATGGAACAATATACATGAATTGATTACTACAGAAGAAGCTCGACGTCGAAGTGTACAAGCATCTCGTGGCTCGTCTATAGCTAGCTCATCGACAGACCCACTCCCGGAGTCAATGGACATCGCGTCTCCAGCCTCAAGTGTAGGAAGTATAGGTATGACACAACTGGACCTTGAAACACCAAATCCTGTACATTCAGCGAAATCTATTACGACTGCAACAATCTCCTCCTACCCAGAATTTTTCTTACCTGTCATGTTTGATATCTTACGCAAGATGGAACAATGGAATCAAATAGACTCTCAACTACCGGCCATACCTCAGAATGAAGCAAAACGCACGTGGACATATCATCTTTTATCTGGATTGCCTGAATGGACACGATTAGACCATCGCCGCCGATCATCGTTGACTCGCGCTATTACAAATATTATCAATGAAGGTGCACGATTTATTCCAGAGAAATTACCTGCTGGCTTCAGCGCTGAATCTATTATGCATATACAAAACGCCATTACTACAGCACAAACAGAGATTCGCGAAGGAAGATTTGCGCCACCAGTATATCTGACAAAGCAGCAAGCAAGACTATTCACTATCATACCCATTCCAGGACTCACACGCAAATATATACACATCGATCATCAATCTCTTGGAACAATACTAAAACATTTTGGTCTAGGACGTTTGGCTAGTCCATCTTCTACACCGATCCCACCAAACCAGCCTCACCCGAATTTTAATATGTTTGACTTGCGGAAGCTTAAAAGGTAAGAAAAAGGAGAAGAATGATCTAGTACTAATCTGGTTTTGTTTCATTGAACTAGACATGGAATTTTCGAAAACAGTTTTATGACAGATGGCTATGCAACCTCCTTTCCCTTCAAAAAAATAGTGAATCAAGACCGATTGCCTTCTCTTTCGATTGACGATATTACCAGCGAAGATATGCAAGAATGCAAGGTATGGGGGGTAGACCCTGGGGTTACTGAAGTCTTCGTGGCTGTCGACAATAGCGATCCTTCCGAACGACACCAGGTACGAAAGTTTTCCTCAGCAGAGTACTACGTGAAAGCTGGATATAAAAAGACGAACAACACTATTTGTGAAACAAAACAATCTCAAAATATCGATCGACTTGAATCTTCAATACCGTCGCCCAAAACAAGCAGTATGGATGGTATACAATTGTATATTGAACGATTACTTGATGTTTTACCCCAATTGGTCCAATTCTATGGCACTGAAATACAACGGCTGCGATTCCTCAATTACATCGGGAAGCAGAAGGTACAAGACGAAAGGATAAATATCTTCGTTAATGGCGGCAAGAAATACAATCCGGATCCTGATCATCAACCCAGTGAAGCAGTTGTCATGGCTCGAACTAGAACAGATGGAACGACACGAAGAAAAAGAAGACGTCCACCACCGCCATCCTCTTTTGACGATCAACTACCACCATCCTCATCTGATGAACAGCCTCCATCTACAGCAAAGGAATCAAAATTGTAAGTAGTCTTTTTTTTTTTTTTTTTTTTTTTGGTAGGATCGAGGACAGATAGACAAACACCTTTTTTTTTTTTTTTTTTTTTTTTTTTTTTTTTTTTTTTTTTTTTTTTTTAGGAACAAGTGGAAAAAGCTTCCTTTCAGCCAAACACCAAGCAATATAACCACTGTCGTATGTGTAGGGGATGGATCATTTGGAAGACGCATGTTCAGAGGGAAAATACATGGTCTAGCAAATATTTTTCGGAAGCTTCTTCGCAAGGCAGAACAACAAGGAAGATTGATAGTGGCTAACATCGATGAATATCTCACTAGTCAAGTTTGCAGCAAATGTGGTACTAAGTCCTTGGAAAACATAAAAGTTGGTGAATCTAAGTTGCATGCCGTCCAATCATGCACAAGTTGTGGACGTCTATGGCAACGGGATCATAACGCAGCTCGTAACATCTATTCTCTGGCGATGAACTATATCACAACTGGATCTCGACCTTCGGTGTTCTCTCGGTTGCAACAATAATCCGGATAACAAACATCCGCGACGGTTAAACGCCTGCGTTGTAAGTATAAAAAAAAAAAAAAAAAAAAAAGTAGGATTTGAAGGCTCTCTTATTTGGAAATATCTGGTAAGTGCATGATTGACCCAAGTTGGCAAGATGAATCCATTTTCACTTGTGTGATTTCATACTAACTGTCCCATTTCTATTTTGTAGGCTCATTTTCATGTATGCTGACCCAATCTTTTTTTCTCAACAGTAAGGGAATTCTTATTCTCGCCTTGATTCTACTTTTGACATCTCCCTCCAGTTCCTCCCTGATGATGGATTTTTATAGATAAAATTTGGTTGAGTAGCCAGGAAACTATTCTATTTGTTCATCATGCATTCAAATGGAAGAGTAAACTTTTTGTTTTTTCACTTTTCGTTCAAAAATAACCATCATCGTACATAGACGAAATCATTCTGTTTTAATTGTCTCAATAACAGTTTATCTCTCAATTTATAGAATAAAATATAAATAAAAATAAAAAAAGAAAATACATTTAAAAATGATCATCAACACTCCAAAATGGGATTAGACATAGATCCTGTTTCAGTTTACATAATGCCACTTTATTATACTTTATCTCTCAATTTATAAAGTAAAATTAAAAATATATAATTCAATTCAGTCATCTCTTATCCAATAATGATCATCATCCAACAAAGTGACTATCATTGGATTCTTCTCAAGAAAGTGGTCTAACATCATCTAACCTCATTTTATCACTTATCTTACTACCTAATGTGCAGTGAATACCAAATCAATTTCATCGACCTTTTCGTTAAACCTGATCATCCATCATCCATTCCTACTGTCAATCACTGTGACATAACATTTATCATTATTCCATAATTGATTTCGAAAAAAAAGAAAAAAAAAGGCTGGCGAATAAGGCATCCATACTGTAGTCAAATTATCTTTTTATGATGAATTGGAGAAAGTTGTTTATTATGATTCATTTACTTTTTATTTTGTATTACTGATTAATGTACCGTAGAATAAAACCAAGTCGTAAAGGTATCCATGCATTTTTCATTGACAATAAAAAGTAAAAGAGTAGGCGAATCAAAAACATAAAAAGAGAACCGGAGGTCAAATATTTTTTTTTCTTTCTTTTTTTTTTTCCTTCTTTTTTTTCTTTCCTCTTATTTTTTTTTTCAGTAGTTCAAATATATATTATACATTCCGTTATGCATAACGCCCATCCAACAAATTCACCTTATGTCAATGAAGCCAATACAAAAGTAGTCACCATGCTTGCAAAAGAAGCAGGTTTTGAATCAATCGATCGTCATACTTTATCATCCTTCTCAAATCTACTTGGGACATGTAAGTTTACCCAAACAAAAAAGAGAAACCTTTTTATCCCTATGTAATACTCATATCTACCATATATTTATTCTTATTATGATAATAGATCTTGAAACTTTACTTATATCTACACATTCCCTTGCAGAACTAGCCAATCGAACACGAGTGAATTATCATGACATTCAACAATGTTTTCAAAAGAATGGTATTGATCTTTCTTCACTTGAATTATACTCTGAACAATACAATAAACAAAACATTCAAGGTAAAAAAGGAAGTATAAAAAAGATGAAAAAAAAAAACAATTATATTTATGATTATTATCTTTTTTTTTATTTATATGAACAAAAAGCCAAAGGCAAACAACCTATACACATTGATCGATCCAAAGAAACCACCATTGAAAAGATACCCGAATTTTTGGCTTCGGATGAAGACGATGACGATGAAGAAGAAGATGATGATGAAAAGGACTCTGCTGATGAATCTATACATGGTGCGTCCACTTATGTACCTTCTTATTTACCACGGTTTCCAAGCAAACATTCGTTTAGACAAACTCCCGTAAGTAAAAGAAAATAGGATATTATTATATATAATGTTATTCACTCTCTTTTGAAGGTATATATCGATCGACCTGATAACCCACAACGTGTACGTGAATTGAACTCTCAACAATCAAGAACTGTAGAAGAAAATCTGAAACGCTTGATGTCTGCTGAAAGTGATATTTTACGTCAACGGGAATTAGGATCCAAGGGTGCTGTTAGTCCACTGGCGGATCTCAATACTACACCCATTGTCAATTATGAAACCAATCTACAACGAAGGAAACGTGCAAAACGGGGAAAACTAGAATAGATAATAATATATTAGTTTAGTTGATCGTCCATCTTTTGTATATACTCTTTTTTTTTTTTTATCAATCTTCTTATTATTATCATTATCATTATTATATACAACAATTCCATGAACATCCTTTTTTTTTTTTATGGAAACGGTGGTAAAATGAATCAAATAAAAATGTTGACAACATATACTATCTTATAAACAAAAACATTAAGATAATCATAAAAACTTTGATTTATTGACAACAACAACAAGAAAAAAAATGAAGAACTAAATATAAACAAGGATTTCTATTCTACAGATAATATTTTCTAAATCATTTTATTGTTTCTTATCCTTGTTGGCATAAATCATGGCAGTGAAGGGACTAGAAAGATAAAAGTAAGTATTAATATGAAGAAGAAGAAAGAAAAAAAGAAGTTTCCTTACCCTTCATAACGTAATGCCACTCGATAAACAACATGTACAACAGAAGTCAATAACAGACCAGCAGGACTAGCATACCTATGAAGACATGTAAGTATATCATCACCCTTTTTTTTTTTTTTTAGGATCTTACCATAAGGCTGTAGCCAAAAAGGTCAAAGTAGATCCAGTATACATAGGATCTTCACAAACATTGAATGGAAACCCAGTAACACGCGCATCCATCAAGATACCAAAATAATCACCTAATCAAAACAAAAGGATTAATAAATTATTATTATTTCTGAGAGAACTTACCTAAATAAGTACCAGTGAAACCCAAAGCCCACATGGAAGATAACACCAATATATTACCGGTTAAAAAGAGAACAATAGCGACGGCTTTGACAGCATCGATTTCAAGAAGAGGATGAATAGGTTGGAATTGTAAAGCAATCTTGAATAGATAATCACGAAGAATACCAAGAGAGAAGATAGAAAAAGCAAGAGCAGCACATCCACGATAAGCATTACCTCCGGCCAATTTTGTCAAAATATGACTTTTATATTCTAATATATATATTAAAAAAAAAAAAAAAAAAAAGAAAGAAAGAAAAAGAGTGAATAGAACAACAGAGAGAAAGAGAGAGAGAGAAAGAGAATAGTCTTGTTTACCTGCTCTAGCGGCAATGTTCCAAAAAATAGGGTTGAATAAAATATTAGCCAAAGCATAATAAAATGAAGGTTGTGAAAAGTCAAAGTAGTTTAATACAGCTTCCATTATATATTAATAAGAAAGGATAGAATGAAAAAGAATAAGAAAGAAGGAAAAAGAGTGCACCCTTTTTTTTTCTGAACTATTTTCAAGACCAGCATCTCATCTTTTTTTTTCACCACTCTTCCCCACCATTTTTAAATTTAGACTAGCGATTCTCTTTTACATTTCATATGTTTTACAATGACCCAAGATGTACCCTTCCTTCTATCAATAAAAAAAAAAAATAATCATTCCTCTTTTATAAATTTTGAAACTAAACAGGGAGTAAATACAATCAATGTTGGGGAGTTTTTTTTTCTTTTCCAAATGAATTCCATAGACTTGCATGATTTTTTTTTTTTTTTTGTTTCTTCATTACTCACATTCAATTACCGCGTTGGATCATTACAAACATTGATTTACAAACAACTTCAAAGTTGGTTTATTGATGGAATTTTTATACAATGAATAATACTAAAACAAAAAGGATAAACAAAAAAAAAATCTATTCATCTTCTTCACTAGTGAACACTATATATATAATAGAATAAATCATTAATATATTTCATTTTCATTGATTATCTTTTTTTTTTTTTTTTACCTTCTTCACCACGTTTACGACGTTCCATACGTTCCTTCTTCTTCTTTCGAAGTTCCTTGGAAGTCAACTTGACCTTTTTCTTTGTTGCTTTGATGATATTACCTTGAGCATCGACTTGATCTTCTTCTTCCTTTTCTTCAATTTTGGTGGTACCACTACCAGAGACCCAATTATGACCCGATGCTACCAGATGACCATTATCGACTTTCCATACTTCGGTACAAAGAGCTTCTGAGAATTCACGGTTGTGAGTAACGATGACAACCCCTCCTCCATATTCTCGGATGGCAGTGGCCAAGGCACCTAATGATTCACGATCCAGATAATTCGTAGGTTCATCCAACACCAACATGTGTGGTTTATTCCACATGGCAGCACCAATCACCAATTTGACTTTTTGTCCACCAGAAAGACCACGAATACGGGAATGAGTAGCGAATTCAGGATCCAAACCAACCTCTGTCAAATGCTTTTCAATTTCCTTGGCCGTCAATGGTCGATTCAAACCCAATTTGGCAGCTTCCAATGCATCCACTTCGGCAATCTTTTTGGAAAAACCCATGTTTTCAAGTTTTTGTCGAGAAATCCAAGTGTTGTCTACAGATGATCGTCCAACCCAAGATACTTCATATTCATACGATTGCTTGAGTTTTCGACGTCCTACCAATTCTTCCACCACTCGTTTTTCACCATCAATCACAAATTCTTGATTCATTTGTTTTTCTTCTTCTTCCGTAATCACACGATCCACTTTTTCCAATTCTTCACGATCTTCTCCTGTTGCATACCGCCATTGGATGTATTCATTCGGCGTAATGTCCAAATGTTTTTCAATATGATGGAAAGCATGTTGTGCAACATAGGCAATACGTAAATTTGGATGTTTCCACACGGTACCAATATCAGATTCAATTTCACCCGTTAATAATTTGATCAATGTGGATTTACCTTTTATTATTAAAAAAAAAAAGTTAGTAAGTTCATTCATATTTTTTTTTTTTTTTTTTTTTTTTTTTTTTTTTTTTTTTTTTTACTTACCAGCACCATTAGGACCAATCACAGCAACCCGAGAAGATAAAGAACATTGCATACTAATATCAACCAATTGTTTTCTGTTTGTACCAGGGTATTGGAAGTCCACATTCTTCATTTTCAAAATAGCACGTTCTTTAGTCTTGATACCTTCCAAATAGCCAGGTTCTGGGAAAGCAAACTTGATTTGAGTAGCATCCAAAGAGTAATAAGAAGCAGCCTTGGGTACTTTTTTCACAAATTCAGATAAATTGCCACGATAACGCTTGAGTTTGTAATTGCCTTCATAGTGAATAATATCAGAGCACACATGATCCAAGAATCCAGAGTCGTGAGATACAATCATAGATGTCACAGTCTTCAAACCCAAGAGATAATTTTCTAACCACGCCACATTGACAACATCCAAGTGATTCGTAGGTTCATCCAATAATAAAATATCGGCATTCATCAACATAGCACGAGCCAATGCCAATTTCATTTTCCATCCACCAGATAAAGCACCAATAGGCATAGAAGTAACCATTTCTTCGGTAAATCCATAATCACGTAAGATCTTGCGTACTTGTTCGCGATCCTTCGTTTCTACACCATCAGAAGCAATGATAAAATCAATCAAAGAAGTATCAGCTTGAGAACCATCAATATCATGTTCCACATAAACAGTTTTGAGAACAGATTTAGGAGGGAAACCTTCCACTTGTTCATTAGCAATAGCTCGCATCAAAGTAGATTTACCTAAAAAAAAAAAAAAAAAAAAAAAAAAAAAAAAAATTGAATGAATATTCATCTTTTTTTTTTAAAAAAAAAAATAATCATAATAAATAAAAAGAAGGATTGACTTTACCACAACCATTGGCACCACAGAGACCATAACGACGACCACGTTTGAGACGAAGAGCGGTACGATTCAATAAAATCTTGGCACCATAAGCAAGAGAGAATTCACAATTACAGAGTTCTTCACCTTCATCATCTTCTTCTTCATCAGGATCATGGATAGCCACAGCTTCTTCACAAGTTGCCAAAGCAGCCAAAGCAAGTTTTTCAGCATGTTGATCATGTTCAGGACCCCATTCTTCAGTATCACGACCAGTTACAAAGAGCCAGGTAGCAGCATGAGGACCAATGGCTTCAATCCATTGATCACGACTAAAACTTTTTGCAAACACCAAAGCCAAAGCGAGTTCAATCATATACTTTCGAATAGGACTATAGAAACCTTCCAATTTGGTTGGCATCAAATGATCGAGAGTCTTGGTCACTTTATCACGTTTTTCATCACCAGTAAGCACTTGTTTATCCGCACCACCCACACGCTTGAGAGTTTCCAAAGCTTTGACAACTTGACTACGACATTCAGGATCAGCCACCACATCTTGTACATGTTCCAAAGCAGGTAGTAGCAATGGTAGGAAAGGAGCGGCAGCATCAGGATCATCCACTAATTTGCACATATTATCAATAATCACTGCCGATTTTCGTTTGATAGGTGTTTGACGTTCCTTGAGACCACGACCCAATAAAGGGACCATGAGAGATAAAGTAGCAGAATCCACTTCTTGAACAAAAGTAGTAGCACCCAATTGATGAATAGTTTCTGGTACCTTTTCCGGTTGATTGATACATTCGATCACAGCAGGAATAAATCGTTCAATATCTTTATTGTCCAAGAGAGAAGTCACGGTGGTCATCGTCTTGGTTGCTTGTTTCTTGACATCAGCCTTGGTGTCCCACATACAATCAGATACAACAGGAATGATATCTGGAATACAGGCCAACAATTCCATAGGATTGAGTTCAGTCATTTTTTCGATTAGAAGAAGAGATAACATTTTGGTTTGCCATTTCTTAGAGTTTTCAAGACCTTCCAAACAATGAAGAACGATATAACGAGTGGCCGCTGGATTCAAAGCACCAATTAATGCGTAAGCAGTTTTAGCTGTAGCTTCCTTGATTTCCTTGCTCTTATCAGCTTGAAGTTCCAAAAGTGGGGTCAATAACGTAATCAGGTAAGGTTCTAAAGCACCACGGAAAAAAGGATTGGCTTCCATCAACTTGTCTAACAATTCCAGCACCGCCAATACATTTTGTGGTTTGATTTTTTTCGCATAAAGTTCACTTGTCAAAGCTGGGTACAAATGACATGTCTTGAGAGAAAGAATTCCATATTGGCTAAGAAAACCCGAGAGTTGGTCAACAATATCCTTGCGTTCATCCTCATTGTCGGTTTTGAAGAGTTTGTTCAGTAAATCCTTGGCTTCTTTCGCTTCACTTTCGCTGATCCGACTCCTCTTCACCTTTTGGTACTTTTCCATGTTCAATCGTTTCGTAAGATCAGCATGGTTCGCTGCTTGATAAGCCGATGTGATGGGTGTGTTCGACATTGTTGCAAACTAACAATGAAGAGTTTAAAAAAAAAAAAATAAAAAAAAAAATAAAAAAAAAGTGGGAAGAGAAAGAAAAAAATAAATTATGAAGAGTCCAAAAAAAAAAAAACCATTCAAAAAAAAAAAGTTAAAAAAGAAGACCATTTTCAACTCCGAGTACTAAAAAATGAGAAACATATCATCCAATTCTTTATTGATTTTGTAAACGTGAGATAAAAAAAAAATTTTTTTTTCTTTCTATTCTAAACTACATGGGTTTTGAATCTTGTTGTTGCTCCATCATAATCGAGTAAATAGCACTAGCAACGCCGCTTTCCAATCCAAGGTCACTGAGGAATTGATCAGGTGGTTTTTGATTCAACGCCGCTACATTATTATTGTTGTTCCGGTTATCGTTATCATCTTTATTGTTATTATTATTATTATTATCATCATTGTTGTTGTTGGATTTATTTGTTGAATGATTGTTATTGCCACCACTACGTTGAGGAAAGGTGGAAGGAGTAGGACTTGAAACTGAAGATGACATGACAGGTGCAACAATATCATATCCCACACGCCCCGAAGTAATTGCCGTTTTTGGATGTTGATCAGATTTATCGTTCAAGTGTTTCCATTGGTTGTAATGATTATTATTATTATTATTGTTATTATCGTTGTTGTTGTTGTTGTCATAAGATGATTTCTGTACTGAACGATAACCACCAAATGGACTATTTGATCCACTATTTTCTTGTTGTTTTTGCATATCTGGTATAAAAGGTTTGTTGTCCTTGACATGTTTCAAAACATATACTGGATTCAATTTGGCTTCCTTCATTTTTTGAGATATCCGGAGTGGTTTTTCATCATAACCTAATAGTCGTTCTAAAAAAAAAAAAAAAAAAAAAAAAAAAAAAAAAAAAAAGGTTGGGATTAGAAACTAAACCAATAATCATCCAATGTTTATACCAGAAAAATAAAAAAAGTTTACCTTGAGTATTCTCATGCGTGCCATACTGAATCCATAATGCATATTGTCGCCAATCATCCACTACATTGTATTTTTTCAATGCTGAAGTAATCACCTTGGAACAAGGATCATCTAATAAAAGTCGTACATTTTTCGATGCTTCCAATTCCACTTTGCTGCTGTTTGATATCTTTTCCCCATAAACCTTGATTGCACCACCATCGTTAATTGTCACATTAGGGGCAAGTTTGGTCTACAACAGATAAAAGAGAAGAAGAAGAAAAAAAAAAGATCAATCGATTATATTTTTTTTCTTTCTTTATTGCACATACATCATCCATCGCCAATGTCATATCAACATTCCTTTTAGTAGGAGTAGTATCTTGATAAGTCCCATAAAAGTAATCAGAAGTGTGAGAAGTAGTTGGAGGTGTAAGCATATGAAGTGGTTTCAATGTGTTGTTGATACCATATCCATAATTTTTTGTTGTTGTTGTTGCTGTTGTTGTTGGTGGTGATCTATCATTATCGAATAATGGTAATGGCTACATAATATAAATATGTTTTTTTTTCTTTTTGTAAGAATATATATATATATATATATGAGTCATATTAAAAATTCATATTTTTACCTTCTTATCTTTAGCATATTTCCAAAGTTGTATCATATCTTCCCGCATTCTATTCATATCACCAGATATACGTACAAGATCTTCAGTTAATTTCTTCAAATGGATATCTATGTTGAGTAAAATAAAGATTAAATATTATTAATCTTGAATCATTATCAATGATTTTTTTTTTTACCTCGTTCCTGGAAAGCAGCTTCAATTTTTCGATAATCGGCCACACCATTTGGTCCAAGATAATCCTATGAAATAAGAAATAGTTAACTTTAATGAATAAATCATATTTTTTTTAACTTACATTTTCATAAATTACACCTTATAAAAAGTAATCATAAAGAAGGAAAAAACAAAGTAAATACCTGGTTGATCATATACATCTATAAACTTACTTGGTGGAATATAGTCCCATTCATTAACTGGTAATCTTTGAGAAGTTTTCAAATGGTATATGTTTTTAAGGATATCCATACGTTGCCCAACCGAATGAACTGATAAATCCTTAAGAGTATCATGATCAAGGTTGACTAATACATCCCCAGTAATCCCTTGTTCTACAAAAAAAAAAAGGATGAGTACCTATCAAAAACCAAAAAAGTTTATCCATTTACCTCTAAACTGTGCTTCAAAACAAGAATATCCAATAGAAGAAATCCACTTGTTCACTTTATGTTCATCCCAAACTAATACACTATCCATGATAAGTATTTATAATATTAAAAAAGAGAGAGATAAAAAAAAAAAAAAAAAAAGAGAAGGAAAGAGTTCTCCCAATGTTGGGAAAATGAAGTGTCATTGAAACCCCGAATATTATCTCTTCTATGGAAAGAGGTTTTGTGCATAGTAACAATAAAGAACAAGTTTATTCAATGGTGAGTACAAATATAAAAAGAAAAATCATAGAGTCTTTATTTTCAAATTATGGTAAATAAACCTAACTGGAATATTTGAGTAATAATAAAATACTAAACTATCAGGATAAGTTTCAGGAATATAGGTGAGATAAGTCAATAGGCAAAGCTATATAATAAAGATAGTGAGTGAATAAAAAGAAAAGAAAAAAAAAGTTGAAATTAAAAAAACATTGTATAACTTACAACATCCAGTTTCAGCACCAGTAGGATATCGTCGTAATTTTTTTTCAAAAGGAGGAGGAGGAGGAAACTCTCGTTGTGAATGAAAAGTCCATTTTCCTGCTTCAGTTTGTGATGGTTCAGGTATATCAATATCGAGAGTTTGGTAAGAAGGTTGAACATTAATGGTCGAATGACGATAAAGTGGCGATGCTCCATTACTTCTTATTGTATCAGACGAACTTGTTCCTAAGGTTCTTCTTGAAGTATCCGGTCGTGTTGGAGGTGGAGGTGGTGGTCCTCGTCTTGACATGTTTGTAACCAAGAAAGAAAAAAAGGGAAGGAAGCGAAGAAAGAAGAAATGTAGTCAAAAAAAAAAAAAAAGATATATCTCAAATAGAAAATCGATTTAATACTCCGAGTTTACTTTTTCTTTTTTTTTTTTTTTTAAATGTATGAAGATGGTGAAGATATGTTGATACGTTAGGAAATGACAAAGGTAAAATAAAAATAAAAATAAAAATACAATATATCATATTCATCAAGCTGAGCTACAACTACGAAAATGATTGGGGAAGAAGATAATACACTTGTAAACCGGAGCTGATGGCCGGAAATCAATGGAGTCACGGCTCAAAAGGGATGGGGCAAAAAAAAAAAAAAGACTCCCTTTTTTCCTTTTTTTTTCTTTTTTTTTTTTATTTTTTTCTTTCACATCATTTATACGCATATTATATATAGTATATTATGGTAGTGACCTTTCTACTGATACTTTTATACTTTGCAGTAGCTGTTACCATACTTTTGACTATTCTATTATATGTCTTTCAATGTGATCTATTATACGCGGCAGGGTTCCCCACTGGTTCCAGATCAGTTGTATGTTAATAAATATTATATTTTGTTGATATTATTGATACTAACCTTTTTTTACGGATAATATTTCTTTTTTTTTTTTGAAAAACAATAATAGGTGGCGAAACCTTCACAGTATGGATTACCAGATAAAGAAGTCATTCTAATGACAAAAGATGGTGTCAAAATACGCAGTTATGTCATGATACAACGTGGAGAAGAAGTCGCTATACAATCGCCCACTATATTATGGTTTCACGTAAGTTCTTTATTACACGTATATTATTATATATTTATAATTTGATTAAAATTATTGTTATTATTATTTATTTTGTATCTTAGTCACATACTGGAAATATGGTAAATTGAAATAGATTTAATAATAAAAGGTAAACAACTAAATATTCAACAATTTAGGGTCATCGACTTCCAATAGCTGAAGTCTTTTATAAAAAATTCGGTTATAATGTCGTCATGTTATCTTATCGAGGGTAAGGAAACCAGAACAAAACTAGATTTTGATATGACTAATAATTTATTTTTATAAATCCATAGATACGGTTTGAGTGAAGGTAAACCAAATGAAAAAGGGATCAATGTGGACGCTCAGGTAATAATGATAATAAAAAAAAGAAAAAAAAAGGTGGAGATCAGTTTAAATGGGGGAAATGAACTATAAATCAGGCACAAATAATAGAAAAAAAGGACCTTGAAAAAATTAACCCCATTCGTTTTTCTTTTTTTTTTTTTTTTACTTTTTTAATGCTATACTTCAGACGGCTTTGGACTATATTTTACATCATCCCATCTTACGACATACAAAACTTATGGCATTTGGACAATCTCTTGGTGGTGCTGTAGCACTCAACCTCGTATCAAAAAATGAAGACAAATTTGACGCACTGATCATCGAAAATACATTTTTAAGCATGGTAAAAAAAAAAAATTCACCACTTTTTTTTTTTTATGAACATTGTACTACTTTAATACAATTCGTACTCAGCATATTTTTGTTTTATTTTTATCATTTAGACATTATTGATTCCGCATGTAAGTAACATAATTATCAATGGTTTTTTTTCTAATATCATGATACTCTTACTGTTTTTCTCATAGGCTTTACCTGCATTGAGGCATCTTGTATATCTATGTCATCAAACTTGGCGATCTTATCGAGCAATACAAAATATTCATCGTATCCCAATTTTGTTTTTATCAAGCTTGAAAGACGAATTGGTTCCACCTGCACATATGGCAAAATTATATGATATATCTCATACGACAGGTGAAAAAGTTTGGAAAGAGTTTGAAAATGGCACTCATAACGATACTTGCATGCAGGTAATATAAGTTAATATGGATGAATGATAGATATATCAATTGATTCTAATTTCTTTTTTATTTATTGTATACAGCATGGTTATTTTGAAGCAATTGCTGAATTCGGTAGGAACAACGTTTGGGATCTTGACTAACACTATTGGTGATGGCACATTTCTCTCTCTCTCATATATATATATACGCGTTCTCTTTCTTGTAATACATCATCATCATCATTATTATTATCATCATTATCATCACCATCATCACCATCATCATCCTCTTCTTTTTCTTTATTATTATTATTACTACTATTATTATTATTTTTATTATTCTCTATTAGTTTCAAAGTTACCCTTTCCCCTCTTCATTTTTGTATACAACCCCAATAAAGCACTTTTTTGATTTCTCATATTGAAATTTGATTTGTTCCAGAAAATAAACTTTAATCGCCGGTCATTTACCTTTTTAGATATCAGCTTTTCGATCGTTTTCCATTTCGTTTCTTTTTATCAAACCATGTCTTCAGCTTACGGAATAATTCCAAAACCCGTATCAAATATCTCTTTGGATACCATCTTACCTATCAGCAAAACATTACGTAATGGTACCAAGGCAACATTACAACAAGTAGATCCCAACAACCAGGCACTGGTGTCAGTATTAAGACATTTAGTCAATTATGAAATCAACATGGGGTAACAAATAAATAAAATAAGACAGTTGACTCTTAATGACGTTTTCAACAATTTCTTTATCTTTGTAGATCAACTTATCCTCAAGAACATGAATTAGACGAAGAAGGTTTTACCAGTTACTTTTTAGCGTAAGTCAAAAAAAAAAAAAAAAGAGAGAAAAGGTTAACCGTTATACACTAAACCCTTTTTAGATATGATTCTTTTGTACTTGTCAAAGATGATCCCATTGTACCTGGAAAAGAATATGATATGCATGATAAAGTTTTAGGTTGTTTCTACGTCAAGCCTAATTATCCGTAAGTCAAAATAATAGATCATCAATGACAACAATATTAAGCTTTTTTTTTTTTTTGGTGGTGATTCATCTTGTTATTAGGGTAGGAAAATGATAAAAAAAAAAAAAGAAAGAAATACCAATTCAATGACGAATGATTATAATCAACTAACTAAAATTCTTTCTTTTTTTTTTTTTTTTTGTAGGGAAGATGTTCTCATATTGCAAATGGTGGATTTTTTGTATCGACAGTTCATAGAGGATTTGGTGCTGGTATAGCCATGGGTGAATCATTTCCTCAAATAGCCTCGGCATTGGGATATCAAGCATCTGTTTTCAATCTCGTGTTTCAAAATAATGAAGCATCTATCAAGATCTGGCGTCGGTTGGGCTTCAAAGAAGCTGGTCGCATCCCTAAGGCTGGTCGCTTAGAAAATAGTCCTGGGAAATTGGTGGATGCAATTATTTTTTACAAGGACTTTACAGAACAAAATGAAGAAACTGATGTTGACAAATAATAGTATATATTAGTAGTTTGTATTTGTAGTTCTTTGTTGGAATATTTAATCATCTTTAGAAATTATTATTATTATTATTATTTTAAATTTATTGATTTACTTGAATACAGTGTCTTTGTATCTACTATTGAAATTTTTATTTTTTCTTTTCCCCTGAGAATTGATAACCTATTTAGTTCAAACCATTTGTCATATCAAATTGATTTGACTCTCCGCATTAAAGACACCTCTTTAGCTTTTTTTTTTTTTTTCTCTTTCTTTCTTTTTTTTTATTTTTTTTTTTTCCTATTTACTCCACATTCCTTATGTCTGGCAGCAACTCATCAACACCAACAACAACGACAAATGAATACAGAGAAGATTTATTAATGTTGGCATCGTCATTCCTATCTTCCAGTAAAGTCCAAGCAGCAGAGAAATCAAAGAAAATTGCCTTTCTTAAAAGTAAAGGACTTACTGACGCAGAAATAACAGAAGCCTTCAGAAGGTTGGATCAACAAACATCCATATCAGAAACTTCACCACAACCGTCATCAGCTTTGAAATATACTTCTCCATCTACGTCTTTGATACCTGAGCAACCAATGGAACCACTTATTCTTTATCACCCTGCGCCCACTGCTCCCATAGTCCCGACTCAACAAACCTTTGCTTTGGCTCTTATCTTTGGTGTTGGTCTTACTGGAGTTGCCTGTGGGTTGATTGGCATTGTCAAGGTATTTAAAAAAAAAAAAAAAACTAAGGACAATACCTTTTTTTTTTTTTTGAGAACATACACTTCATTTTAATATTGTTATTTTTTTTTATTTTAGCGACTATTATACCCTGTGTTTGCAACCTATGCTGGATACAAACATAGTCGATATCAATACTATACTGGTGTGATCAAAAAAGTGAAAGAAGTATTAGACAAGGATATCAAGGAGGAAAAAGATCAAGATGAACTGGAATCATTAGATAAACCTGGAGTATATCAGTTGATTTCGAAACAACAGTCTTTAGCCGAACGACTCGCCGATATTGTTTTCCAAGTACAATCACTTCGCCCAACAAAGAAATCACAATTGGCCAATCTTCATCAATCCTTTAATGCACTATCGGAATCACTGACTTTGGATCAAGAACAACCTGCAGTGTTGATGGATATGAAAGGGGAACTGCGTCGCTTGAAGGGAATATGTCTCAATAGGCGTCAATTTTAGTCTTTCATTGGTTATTTTGTTAATTAGATCATATTGCTTGGTTCTTTTTTTTTTTTTATGGAAATAAAATTTACCAAGTTACCTTTATACTTTTGGAAGTTGATTCTCACTACAACCTTCTATTTTTTTTTTTTTTTTTTTTGCGCCTCCATGTGTAATATCGATCATTCAGGTGATAGGGAGTGTGATGACGGTGGATGATATGTGATGATGCGTTTTGATAAAATGGTTGGATGCTACAGTATGTGGTGAATGGACGATAATATGATGATGATGGATCCTATGTGATTAATGAATGGATGATACAATAATAATCATGGGTGACTATCACATCTTGTGTAAAGTAGCATATTATCAATGAATTTCCTACAGTAACTGATTAGTTTTGAACGATATTCATAATTAATTCCTTTGATGATTATTTTATGGTAAATATATCGATATTCTTTATTCATTAAATTAAAGCTCTTTAGGGAAATTTGGATTAAGAATAGAATAAAATTTCGAAGTCCTTTTTTTTTTTTTTTTTTTTGTTTCTTTTATTTTTAATACACTTAGTTTTATTTTTTTTATTTTTCTTTCTCCTTTCTTTTTCTCTTCCATGAACTTTTTTTTTTTTTAATCAATAAAGTTTTATTTCATTACAACTACTTTGTTTACATGTCAATAGAATCGATTCCATCTGCAGAATGTACTATTTATGTATGAATGCATTCTTTTTATTGTACTCATGTGTGAAATAGATGTGGAGTTACAGAATAAAAGAAAATAAAGACAAGAAAGTCAATGAGCTTTTTTTTTTTATTTATTTAAAAAATTGTTTAAAAAAGGAGACGAAGTATCTACACAAAAAGTTTTGTTGGCCTCATATATAAGTACGTCGTAATCATACTATATTTAAGGTTGGTGACCAAGTTTTCTTTTTTTTTTTTATTTTGGTTCGTAATACTGTTATTATACAGGGCGTATAATCTTATTAATATTTTATTTCTTATTGATGTGATATTATCATCATATGTGTAATGATTTAATCATGATAGTTGCCCTGGAGTGTTTATTCATTGATATATATCTTTCCTTGGTAGTGGTTATGGATCATCAGCATGATGATTTTCAAAGTCCGTATTTTATTTTATTTTTTAGACGTGTGGTAATTTTTTTATTTTCTTTTATTTCTTTCTTTTCTTTATAACAGTTTTAATCACATTGTATATCAATTAGTGATCTATAGTAGTCATACTTTTATTTAATAAAACATTTATTTTTATTCCTACTACTTTATTACATGTTATTGTAGTTGATTCCATCTTCTGATGTATTTTTTATTTTTTATTTGTGAATGCATTCTTTATTTTATGGATATGGTTACGGAATATGCTGATACGACAACATAGTATATCAATTAGTGATTTATAATAGTTATACTTTTATTTAATAAAGCCTTTATTTTTATTCCTGCTACCCTATTACACGTCAATGTACAGTAATTGATTCCAACTTGCAATGTATTTTTATTCTTTGTTTATGAATTGCATTCTTTATTTTATGGATATGGTTACGGAATACGCTGATACGACAAATATTCAAACCCCAATGCAAACAAGTCTCTAACCATAACGCAGAAAAAATAAACGCACTTCACAGAAAAAGCGGGCATGAAGATTCAGGAGTTTTTTTTTCACTGCTTTTTTACCAGAAAATTGTTCAAACTAGCTAAAAAAGGATAATTTTTTAATCTCAGACGTTTGGCTTTATATGTTAAATCACGGTCTATAACAACCATCTGGGGATCTAGCTCAAATGGTAGAGCGCTCGCTTAGCATGCGAGAGGCACTGGGATCAATGCCCAGGTTCTCCAATTGATTTTTTTTTTTACTGATCTTGAAGTTCTATTTTTATCTCGAGGTATAATTGGTAGATATGATGGCTGTTTTTTTTTTTTTTTTTTTTTTTTTTGTAATCCGTTGGGTGATTTTTTGGTTTATAGGTTCAAAATTGAAAAAGTAATCAGGATGATTGAAAGTTAATAATGAATATAGTGAGCACCAGTACTTGATTACGCAAGCACACGTATAAGTAAAGAAATAAAATAAAACAAAAAGTAAAGTAAAGAAAAATAAAGTCTTGTTCCAAATTTGGAAAGTAGAAGTAGAGTAAAATTGTTCTGACTTTAAATATAGAACAAAGTGAGCCAATCAAAATAGATAATCCACAATACAATCAAGTAGGGATGAAAAGTAAAGATTTATTTAAAAAAATATATTGATGATTAACTAACTATCAAAAAAAAAAAAAGGAAAAGAAGGGGTATTTATATTATTTGGAATTTAAGGTTAAAAAAATATAATATGAAAAAGAAAATGAATACGAAAAGAATAAGTGAAATAAAAAATAGGAAGGAAGGTAAAAAACGGAGGTATAAATGAAAATAATTTTTTTTTTTTTTATATTATTTTTTTTTTTTTATATATAATTTTTTTTTTTTTTTTCATTCAACAGTATTTTAATCATATCAAAATGATACTATTGTTATGGACTTTTTTGTTGCTTGGTAGATGATTGATTAATAGAATAGATAGGTGATATTATTAAATAATAATAATATCTATGATGATTGATTTGTAGTGAGTACCAGTTTCTTTTATAAAAAGAACAAAATAATATAAGGTAAATTTAAATATACGTTCCAAATATGGAAATGAATGTCTTGATGATATGATCACTCAATAAAATTAAAAGAACTTGAAAATAAAAGCTTGTTGATTGCTTGAGAAGAACAAAATAATAATAAAACTTAGGATGATTGACTCCTTAAGGGTGGCCAAGATGATTTGATTAGATCTTTTAAAGTTTATTAAGAAAAAAAATTAAAGATCTATTTGACCAAGCAAAAAATAATCATAATAACTAGGTGCTATTTTATAATAATAATAATAATAATAAAAATAATAAAAAAAAAAAAAACCAAGTTGAACCGATAAAAAAAATATATATATAATGTGAGAATTGGCAAAATGACAGAAAAAAGAAATAATTCTTTTTTTTTTTTTATGTTCAGCTGGTCAATGTAAATTTCATTGCCAACACACTATTATAATAATAATATTGATGATGATTGTGTAGTAGCTCTAAATAAATAGAACAAAAAAAAAAAAAAGACACTTTAAATAGTCAAAAAAGAAAATGCGTATGATCACTCTTGATGATGAGCGAAAAATAAAGTTAACTTGAAAAAAAAAAATAAGCTTGATGATTACATTGAATATAAAGATAAAAACTTGGGATGATTGACTTCCTTCATGACAAAGTGATTTGATTTAATGAAAATCTTTCGAATGGTACTATACTGGTAAATCCGAAAAGAGTAACTTCCCAATAGAGTATGATTGGTTCTGTGAATGAGTGGTTTCTAAATGAAAATATATGCCTCAAATGTGAAAAAAAAGCCTCATCCTTTTTTTTTTTTTTTTTTTTTTTTTTTTTGATTGGACGGACAATCATCAATGAATAATAAAAATAAATAATAAAAAAAAAAGATATCTTTTTTTTTTCTTTATTATCTTTTTTTGATTATTTTATTTTTATTATTATTGCCACTAATGTCATATAGTAGTAATCATCATCATGAATACTGAGGATCATCGGCCTTCATCTATTTTATCTTTTTGGTCAGATAAGACAGTTGTAGATCAAGATTTGACAGAAACAACTGATCATCATTCGTCAAGTGTATTTGATCTTACTACTACTAATCATCATCATCATCGTCGTCGTCAATGCTTGATTGTCAAACATATAACTCGAAGACAATCCGAAACTCATCGTGCTTTCCTCAAACGCGTCAGTAATGAATATTGTATCACCTCAGTATTATCTCATCAAAATGTAGTGGGTAGTCTTGATTTATTGATGGAGAATTATCGTTTTTGTATGGTGATGAATTTGGTATTTAAAAAAAAAAAAAAAAAAAAGAAACTATTTTCAAATTAGGAACATCCTTCCACATCAAGATTTACTTTTATTTTTATTTTTATTTTTTTTATTTTTTTTTTATTTTTTTTTTTTATTTTTTTTTTTTTTAAAAAAAAAGACGGAGATGGGCGATCCTTTATTATCATTGATTCGTACTGGTAGTGCATTCAACTCTAAAGTCGTAAAGAAATACATACGGCAACTAGGACAAGCTGTTCATTATATTCATACATTAGGTATCGCACATCGAGATATACGGCCAAGTAATCTATTGGTGATGCCTGATGGTGTACTCAAGCTGACAGGATTTCACGATGCTCATGTATTTCAATCACCTAGTCAACATCATCGTCTGAAAAGTCAAGGTAAATGTGGTGAGCTTCCTTATCAATCACCTGAAGTTCTTTTTTGGTGGGATCATGATCACACATCATCATCATCTGTTAAAAAAAAGAAAAATACGTGTCAACAAATGTCATCTTTATCTCATACTGATGATGATCATCTGTTTTATTGGGCTACTGCACTAGATATATGGTCTATTGGTATCAATCTACTTTACTTCATTCGTGGTGAAATCCCATGGTCTGTCGCCTGTATTCATCATAGTGCTCGTTATTCAGATTATATACTACATCGTCAATCATCTATCATGCCACCTCTTCCCCATTCTTTTGAACATTTTCTTCATCGTATCCTTGATCCTGATCCCTCCAGTCGAATGAATATCGAACAATTGATAAATGATCCATGGTTGATGATGCCTTAGTATTCTCTATACCCCTGATTTTTTTTTATTTTTGTTTTCAATAAATATACTACAAAACAAAACTATCTAATTCTATCTACATGTTAAAATCCTAAATAACTGTATTCGCCAAGATGTTCTGGAGATGCATAATCATTGTCAGCATAATAAGGGGGTGCTGCAGTTCGTATAGCTTCAAAAGTATGATCGGCTGTGTGTTGATCTAGAATTGTCAATAGAAAAAAAAAAATTAGTTGTTTCATCCTTTAGATAATTGAGATTTCTTTTGTTATTACCATTAGTAAACGTTCCAATTGCCATACACTTGCTACATAGATCCACCTCTTCAGTTTCATCACATACGGTACATTTGTAAAGAACACCTACAATAGGTTCAACACTACAAGAATCACACTAATAAATAAATTTGAAAATCAGTAAATACATTATGAGATATATGGTAAACTTACGGCAAATCCTTCATGAATGACGGTCTCTGTTCCACTAGTAGACAAATCATTGTCCGAAGTAGGTTTGGCTACACGAAGCATTGTTTGTTTCACTTTATCATCCACTTGTTCATCGTCAGACATATATACCGTTGGCAATACCGCAGAGCTATAATATCCACCAGATACCCTACAATAAAATAAAAAAAAAAAAAAGAATAAATCGATATAATTAATATCATTTTCTTTTACAATAAAGAAAAAAAAAATAGGTCATCGTATGTTTTCCTAACTTACTTGTGATGTGTGAGACCTCCAGATATAATAGAGTTATAGCCCATGCCTGATGTTCTTTGTCTACTGCTGACACCTTTGATTTTCGAACGACGACCTCTGATTCTACTTCGACCACCACGTGTTCCTTTGGTTCCAGATGAAGAAGTTGTTGACTAGATTTAGTTGATCATAAGTAAATGTAAATAAATACATATTATCCATTTTTTTTTTTTTTTTTTTTTGGTTATTGTTACTTTGTATGACTTACAGAAAGATTAAGGCGTCCAGGAATAGGTAATCCCATCTTATTCAACTTGATAAAGTATTTCTGTATTCGACTTGCAACTTGACGTGGCGTTCGAGTACCTAAAGCCTTTGCAATTTTATTGAAGCGTTGAGCCTGAACCGGTTCATCAGGGTATATTTCTAAAAGTTGTTCAAGATGTCGCTATCAATAAAAAAAAAGTATCATCTTGTTAGATTTATTCATATCCTATAAATTCTTATTTCATTGCTTACCTGTTCTTCATCAGTCCACGGTGCATTGAAATTTGGTAACTAAGAGAGACAAAAATATATATATGCGATATTAATATCATTCTTGGAATAAGATTATATTCATCTTCTTTCCTGTACCTCATGTTCCGGGATTTCCGATTGGATTTTGTTACTACTGCTACTACTACTACCATCACAAGGTGATGAAGATCTAAAATAAAATAAAAATAAGATATTTTCAGAATAAGCATACCATTTTCTTCTTATATATATTTCCAATGATTTATTTACCTTTCTAATGTTGACGATGATGATGATAATCCTACAGGAGTATATTTGCCCGCCATACCAGTTTGTGAAGAGACTCTTCGTTTACCTTTTCCATTCGGATAGCCAGAAGGTTGATCATCATCAGAATCAGATGCTTCAGATACAGCTGCTGAACCAGCACGCGAAGGAATTTGTCCTACAGCCTCCATTCCTTTTGCTAATTCACGTTGTAATTCCTTGACTTCTGCCGATGTGTTTCTTTGTGTTGATTTATTGATAGGACGATCTGATGTCATTGGTGTATCGAGAATAGTCTATAAAAAAGGAATATTTTTAAAAAGATAATTCAAACTATATGTAAAAAAAATTAAAATTATTACCTTGTACATTCCAGATCGATTATAAGCATTAGTATATTGTTGTGTCAAAGCTGCAAGTGAAGCTATATGTTGATAGAATGAGTCAATTCATCTTTTTTTTTTTTTTTTTTTTTTTTTTTTTTTGCATTACCTGCTTGTTTAGCAAATCGACTCTCGGGCATAAATCGATACTTTGTCCAATCCAATTCTGGTACACTAAGCACTTTTTGTAGACGAGGGGCCCGTTTCAACTTTTTCTAATAAATATAAATAAATAAATAAAATAAATAAATGAAAATATAATAAAAAAAAAGTCGAATACATGATTTACCTTTGATTTCAAATCAAGTACAAAACCAAATGGGTCTTCCATAGCATCCTTTTTTAGTTGAGTCAAAGTTTCAATATCCTTGGTGGCACGATTAAGTTGATGTTTGAGTACATTTAATACTTTAGTCACAGCTTGATAACTACCGAGAATGAAATAGAATATATATAAATATATTTTCAGTATATGAAGCAAATGATTCCACTTACTCTTCGTTGGATTCAATAGCATCGCGAGTTTGATCAATAGATTTATCAATTTGATCAGTTTCTTCTTTCTGTTCAGAGTTTGGTGTCGTAATTGTTGTTGTTGCTGTTATTGAAGAGGAAGATTCGTTGTTGTTCTTGTTTGTATCCTTTTCCAGAGGTGGAGTTGATTGAGGAGTCAAAGTGGAAATAGACTGCTTTTCTGGTGTTTTAGTAAATACATTATCTTGATCTGATATTTGTGTTGGCATGATACTATAAGATAAAGCATATGAAAGAATACTTTTATTATTATTATTATTTTAATAGAAAAACAAAAAGAAAAACAACAAAAAGCCATTTCAAATGTTCTCTTTTTGTCAATGATATTAAAACACCGCAGACACTTTTTTTTTTTTTTTTTTTTTGAAACTCGAAACACTCATTCCCTTAACAATTTTTTCTTGTTCTTTTTTCTCTCTTTTATTTTCTATTTTCATACATGATAAACTCATTATTTGTCATTAATCCGCAAGGGTAAATAATAAAAAAAATACTATAATAAACCATATGTCTTATACTTTTCTTCTTTTGTCTTTGTTAGAAAGATTATTATTGAAAAACATTGGCGTGGCATTATATCGCGACAAATAGTGGACGTATTCAATGATGAAAGCTTCAAATTTATGAACTCACCTCCAGGAACATTGGATAAGAATGACCTCGGTACGAGTGGAAAAGAATCCTTTTTTACTAAACAAGATATCCCTCCTGTATTGGAATCTAACAAGTTTTGGCTTCTCAACGTTTTCAGAGATGACTTGACATGGTTATGTCCTGTGGATAAAGAAGGTAAAATAATATATATATATATATTGAACTTTTCCTTTTTCTTATATATCATTATATATCATTATATATATATATATATTTTACATTATAGTTGATCCTATGCTGGTATTTGAATTCCTTCATCGTATTATTGATGTTCTCACAGATTATCTAGGTGATATTTCTGAAGCTTCTATCCGTGAAAATTTTGTTACTGTATATCAAGTAAGAAATAAAAAAAAAAAAAAAAATAAAGATATGTTAGAATGATAAATGATACTGATTATCTTTTTTTTTTTTTTTTTTTTTTTGTAATAGTTACTAGAAGAGATGATGGATTATGGCTATCCTTTGACGACGGAACCAAATGCATTGAAGGAAATCATCATGCCACCTACGATGATCAATAAAGTAATGACTACTGTTGGAGCTGCTGCTGGGTAAAAGAAAAAAAAAAATAGGATCTTTGATTTATTTTTGAATTGTTTTTTTTTCTTACTTTCCTTTTTTTTTAATGCTATATCAATAAGTGTGGCTCCCAAATTCCCACAAAATATGTCCAATATCCCATGGAGAAAAGCAGGTGTCAAATATACACAAAATGAAATTTACTTTGATATTATAGAAGAAATTGATGCCACTGTTGCAGCGTAAGTGAAAGGGAACTTGGTATTAGAAAAAAAAAAAAGAGGTGATTTCTAAATTTTGGATATATAATTAGGAATGGTACAGTTGTCTCTTGTGAAGCTCATGGTACTGTGGTGGCTAATAGTCGATTGTCTGGGATGCCTGATTTGACTCTTAGCTTTACGAATCCTAGATTGATTGATGATGAAAGTTTTCATCCTTGTGTCCGATATCGTAAATGGGAAAGTGAAAAAGTTTTATCCTTTGTACCTCCAGATGGTCATTTCAAATTAATGTCTTACAGGTAAAAAAAAAAAAAAAAAAAAAAAAAAAAAAAAAAAAAAAAAAAAAAAAAAAAAAAAAAAAAAAAAAAAAAAGTAATATGAAAATAGAAAAATCTCCAACATTTTTTTTTTTATTTTATTTATTTATACAGGGTTGCATTATCACCTCATCAAGCAATGCCATTACAAGTCAAACCACAAATCCTTCCTACCAAGAATGGTGGTAAATTCGACATATCAGTACTTCCACGATCTACTGATGGCAAACCTATTGAACGGATCGCCATATCTTTACCTATGCCAAAATCAACGACTAGTGTTAATGCAACTTGCAATGTTGGAAATTATATGTATGATCCAGTGACAAAGGTAAGTAAAAAAAAAAAAAAAAAAATCTTGGAGGGAATGAATTGATATTTTCATAATTGGGATAAAGAGAATATTGAGAGGAACTGATTCTATTTTTTTTCTTTATTTGGATTTTTTTTTTTTTAAAAAAAAAAAAAGACTATCAACTGGGAAATTGGAAAATTACAGCAACGGGAAAGAGCTCCTATGTTATCTGGTACTTTCAATACAAGGTAAAGCAAAAAAAAAAAAAAAAAAAAAAATGTATCGATTAATTGATTGATTTTCTTTATGATATTGAATTCAAAGTGACGCACAACCTGAAGTAAGTCTGACTGTTGGTGTGGATTTCCAAATTAGCATGTATTCTGTATCAGGATTGAAAGTCGATAGTCTGCGTTTATTCCATGAAGGCTACAAACCATACAAAGGAGTGCGGAGTATGACCAAGGCTGGGAAATTCCAAGTACGTGCATAGTTTGACTGTTAATTAGTTAGTTAGTTATTGTAGATCTCATCTGTTTATTTTATCCCTTCATATAATAAAAATGATCTTTGTTTTTATACCATAGACTTTAGCTAAATTCATCATCATCAATCATTGTCATCATCAAACGCTATCAATAAAAACAATTCAGGGCCGAATTATTTTATTATTATTATTTTTTTTTTTTCAAATACAACAATCAACATTATTATTCTAAAAAAAAAAAAAAAAAAAAAAAAAAAATTAAGACTAGATAACTGAAAAAAAAAAAAAAATCAACTAACTAAACCTAACTGATACGTATTGCCAAAAATGGAAAAGCATGAATCACTTTACTTTTGTAAGGTATTGGTGGTATTTGAGTAAATCATTGATGACGCGATCCTTGAGATTTCCAGTTGCTAAAGACACTTCAAAATCATTGATCAATTTCCGAAATGTTTGAAGACCCATATCTAAAGTAGAGGGAGGTGAAGAGGCTAAGGATGTGAAGAAAGAAAGCCAAAGGGATTGATTCCAGTATCGTTTGGGTTGATTATGCTTTGCATTGACCATGGGACCAGAAAAGAGAAGTGAATGAGCACAATTGGCAATACCCCAATAATCCAGTTGGTAAGGTAACCAAGGTAAACCGGCAACAATAGAAGGCATATCATTTTTCACTCTTGGTTTCCAGACTGCTTTTGCTAAGATTGGTGTTCTTGTTGCATTGTTGAATAGATCCAGATTCAACGCTAACCCGAAATCGATGACCTTGATGGAAATATTTTGCCAGAAAGGATGGGACGAAGTGTAAGCTGGAACGGGACCCAAAAAAGTATTATTGTTGTGGTTGTTTTGTTGAGTTGGCGCCATACCAGGGAGAGAATAATCCATCAAGAGATTATCTAACTTTAGATCCAAATGAACAATATGAGCTTCATGTAATACATAGATGGCTTGAAGAATCCGCAATACCAGTAATTGAACAAGAGCTTCAGGCACAGCTCTTTCATCCAGTTGACGAAAGACATTTAGACATTTCAAAAGAGTTCCTTGAGAAGCATAATCCATGATACTGTAACTGTGGTGATGATCTAAATAAAGTGCATGAGAACGAAGGAAGAACCGATCAGCCTGTGGACATTGTTGATAAATAAATTGATGCATATAATGCTCCCACCGGTCAACCTGTTTATGTATCTTGAGAGCCATAGGACGATTTCTCCATTTCACCACGTATACTGTTCCATATTTCCCTTCATCCAAATATCCATGAACATCGATCATTTCTTGTCCCAAAGAAAATGGTAAACCTTGACTAGTGAATGGAATCAATGGTTTGCGTTTGAGAATTCGAAGAGAATTTTGAGAGACAGAGTTCACCAGATCATAAGTTGTATCGTTCATCAACTGAGATACAACCAAACTCTGCTTGTCCTCGTAAGCCAATGGTACGGAAATGATGATCGGTTCTTGTTCACGTGTATCAATGTTTTCTTGTTGTTCTAGTTCAAATCGTTCCAAAGATTGTATCATAGATCGATGTTCCAATGGTTTTGAATGAGTCTGTTGATTGATCACAGGGGATTCTTGCAGAAAAAGAAGATCTTGTTGAGAAATATCTTGATATTGGTCAGGTTGAATTATAGACTGATGACGAGGAGGCTCCTGATGATCATATTTCCGGTCAAGTTCTTGTTTGATGGCAACTAGATTTTCTAAAATAAACAAAAAAAAAAAAAGACAGAGAGGTATTAGGTGATTGTGAATTATACACTATATTATTTATTCGTATTACCACTTTCAGTCACTCGTGGAACGTGTAATAAAGCACGACATTCTTCAAAAGATAAGTCATAATGTTGACAATAGCGTAAAGTAGCCATTCGAGAAGTTTGACGAATATAAGCTTTCATTGCATCCAACATTCCAAAGATACCATTAGATTCAAGACTGATAGCCAAAACTTGTTGTTGTTGTTGTTTAGGGAAGACACATTTGATAGAAGGAGGAGAGATATATATTGAGTGTGGTCTATTAAGATTCAATAAAGCATGTTGTAGGTCCTCCTGAGGTTTAGCATTGTGAGTGATACCTAATAATAGTATTTTTTGAGCCTCGTCTTTTCTAATAATAATAATAATAATAATAATAGTAATGAAAAGTATGAGAATAGTTGACGATAGGTAAAAAGATATGAGTTACCTTCCAAAGTGAGCATGATAATAAGCGATATCTTGATAAAGTAAAGCAAAAGAGGTACCGATATGGTTATCAAGGAGATACTGATAGATAGATAAAGGAGACTTGACCAAAATAGCTAGATAAAGCCAAAGTCGTAGGTAACGTAATGTTTTATATTCATTTCTACATACTTGAGTTGCTTCTTTCAATAAAGTTTTCACTTGATAAATAGAGGCGTCTTGTCGAATAAGATATTTTAACTTTTTTTCATAATCAACCACTGTTTTGGATAGAAGCATGAAGACTATTTCTGTAGTAAAACATGTATTAAAAAACAAAGAGAGATTTTATTCAACAATGAAAAAAAAGAAGAAAGAGGAGAATCAAAAAGATATGCACGAAAATGGAGATAATGATAGAGAGAGAGAGAGAGAGAGAGAAAAAAAAAAGAAGAAAAGAGGCGGGTAATGAAATAATGAAAGGGTAAAAAAAAATGGTTTAATGCAAAAATAAAGTGTAATTATTATTTGTTATCCAAGAATTGATAACCAGTATTAGCATCCCATAAAGAATCATTCACAGTTTCATCTTCAATTGAAGAATCTAAACTATCACTACTTGTAGTGGAAGTACGACGTTTTTGATTAGCCAAAAGTTTTGAGAATTCAGACCAAGGTAAATCCATAAAACTTGAATTCTTTGGTGTAGTAATACTTGGATCTTCATTAATAAGATTAGGAATAGTTTTAATATGTTCAAGAAGCTTGTAACCAGGATCCATCTTTTTTTTTTTGTGATAATTATTATTAAATAAGTAAAGAAACAAAAAAAAAAAGAAAAAAAAAAGAAACCCTTCTTATTTATTTTGAAAAAAAAATTCAAACCTTTTTGTCCTAAAATGAATATGCGTGAGATATTTATGCCCAATTAAGTATAGTCAGTTGATTCTCAACACGTTTTTTTTAGTACCAGCTGTTTGTTACCCATTGTTTTCCCATTGGAGAAAAAAAAAAAAAGTGTATTCCCCTAGCTCTCGACTAAAAATAAGTCAACTCCGAATGTTAGTATTTAAAATAACTTTTATTATTGAAATAATTTTATATATATATATATTTATCATCAATATATATATATATATATATATTATGCAGTCTACATAACGTATGTTTTTTAATGAAGATGGCACTAGTTATTTGTTTATTTTTTTTTATTGAATAACGAAAAGGAGACAAGCATGAGATTCCGCGGAACATATTTATTGGTTGAAAATATAAATATGGTAACCGGACATTGAATGATGACTCACTTACTTTTCACTCGACTGGATAAAACCATTATCCAATTTTCTTTTTTCCTATTGAAATCAAAAAAAAAAAAAATAATAATTCAGGAACAATGTAAATAATCATCCATCTTACTTGTCATTCATAATAATAATAATAATAATAATGATGATGATGATGATAACTATGTATAAATATTGATAAAGTTGATAAACAATGAACAATCAAAGTTAAATGACTATCTTTTGTTTTAGTTGACCATTCATTTTTTTTTTTTAATCTTTGAAACCTGAATCATTCAGAGACTTATCACAATTTTATTTGATTTTATCCATAATGTAAGAAAAGTAGGTTTTTTTTCTTTCTTTCCTTTTTTTTTGGGATTGTTGACAAGAGCCAAGTTTTTTTTTTTGCTTGGTCAAGTAAGAAAAGAAAGAAAGAAAGAAAAAAAAGGGAGACAATTTGATTGGCTGATCACTCACTGGGTTCTATTTTTACTTTTTGCAACCCAAAGCGTACCTCATATTTTTTTTTTCTTCTTTTCTTTTCCCTTTTTTTTTTTTTTTCTCTTTTCAATCGACGACGCCAAGCAAAACTCAAATACTTCTTTTAATATCAATAATCTTGGATCATTATCAATCTTTTCTTGTTTCTTCTTCTTCTTCATTTTATTCTACGAAACATTTTTTTTGTACGATCAATTTATCTTTTAGACTACACTGGAATATTACAACAATAATATCATGGCCTCTAGGGTAGAAACCATGACACCTCGTTTTGCTGATGCTTTCTGGGTAAAATAATAATAATAATAATAATATGTCATATAATAACTCCTTTTTTTTTTATTATTATTATTATTTATCTTAGGACGAACATCATTATGGAGTTAGTGCTATAGATCAAAGACTTATCAATGCAAAACAAACTTGTGAAGAGATCAAAAAACTTTATGAAATCAGGCAAGTATATTGAGGAACTCAACTTTTTTTTTTATTTTATTTTTTATTTTTTTTTATTTATATACTTGTGTTACATTTTTTTTAAGAAAAACTGTTATTGATTTTTGTGTTTGATTTTATAGATCACAAATGGAAGGTGATTATGGTGATCAACTTTTGAAATTATCTCAACTTATAGTAGGTCAGGATGAGGATGGTACTTTAGCTGAATCTTTATCACATATTCCAAGTGCACTTGAAACTACAGCTAGAGCTCATATGGATTTAGCTCAGCAGCTTCAACATCATCTACAATCTCCTCTTGACAACTTTATTAAAGAACAAAGTGATTTATATACTGGAGTAAGTATATAAATTATTATGATTTTTCTTTTATAATTAATTTAATTTATCATTTAGAAACAAAAACATATTCAAGATATCATTAAGACAAGAACTGAAGCTCATGAACGTATGATTCAGGTAAAATTCACCCCATCAAACTTCATTTTATATATAATAAACATTTATTTTGTTTTTTCATATAGTTGAAAGGTGCTTATACAAGTGAATGTGTCAAACTTGGTGAAATCTATCGCTATTTAGAAGAATCTACAATATCAGCTGATGATCGAACACAGGTAAATGAACATTTTATATATATATATATATATATGTAAATGCTAATTAAAATTTTCATTCCAGGCTGAAAAGGATCGTGATGCTTGCATAAAGAATATCGATGTGGCAGAACAAGAATACAGACAATCTATCGACAATTATAACAATAACACCATGATTTGGATGGATGAATGGAGAGCTACATGTGACACTTATCAACAATTGGAAGAAAAACGTATTCGATTTGTACGAAGTAGTTTATGGGCGTAAGTGTATATACATGCAAATATTATTCCAAACCGATGACTTATTCTTTTTTTTTTTTTTTAGATTCGCCAATATGATGTCTAGTGTCTATATAGTCGATGATCAGTGTTGTGAAAGGATTCGCACAGCTTTGGAATTGACGGATGTTGACAAAGATATATATGCATTTGTGGATAAGCATGGTACTGGAAAGGTGTTACCTGGTAAGGAAAAAAAAAGGCTATTCTTTTATATACATATCTTTTTTTTTTTCACTTTTCACTCATGATCCATTAATGTATATCTTTTTTTTTTTATGGACCAGAATTTGCTGAATTTGAAGACGCGTTACCTCATTTCTCACCTCCTCCCACTGCATTACATACGATGGATTCGGATAATGAACGTCAAAGTAATATTGAAATCAAGGCCTTGCCTTCTGATCCTCCTGCAATGAATCTCAACGGTGAACAACATTCTCCTCAACAACAACAATCAGAATCGAATCCCAGCATACATGATCAACAGGAAATGCGCTCAATTTCATCTCATCAACCTCAACAATCTGAAGCTATGGTGTTTGCTATGCAGGCCGTGGAGAATATGTTGCAAGACGATACTATGATGAATACTGAAAATCATGACCCACCAGTTACTTTATCGGAACATAAGTTATCACCTCAGCAATTACCAGCAATTCAATCTTATGACAACACTCTAGAAACTTCCAAACCACCAACTACACCTCAACCTGCAGTTTTGGCAACTTTAGCTGATACCAAACGTCCATCCTCTGTCCAATCTATAGACTCTAATCAAATTCGATTCAAACCTGTTCCCAATCCGGCTTTTTCACGCAAGAATGATTCTACTGTTCTTAACGATCCACCTGCTACCGACAATTCTATCAAGAAAGAACAACAACAACAAATCTCCTCATCTGACGACAATGATCATCAATTAGCCGAACTGATATCAACAGCAGCTTTGGTGGCTGCAGGAAATGATGATGACAATCAACAATCAGATATAGCAAAGAAAGAGGATGATGCTATCAAAGACGAAGTTGTCAACAACAAAAATATTACGAAAAGCAATGATGACCCAATCAATTTGACGGATGATGAATCAGAAGATAGTTACAAACTCCCTGTACGAACTCCTCCCAAAGACGAAAAATGGGTAATATCATCTATTCGACGCCCTCAGATGGTGCCTGTACGATCTACGAACGCCCGTGTATATGATGGAACAACAAATTCTCGTGGAAGTATGATTCGATCTAGCGCTATCATTGATGCCAACGTAGAACAAACACAACAATCTACTAGTGATCAACATTTACCACAGCAACAACAACAACAACAACCATCACCGGAAGCCAATGTGACAGGAAAGTTGAATCGACCTCATCCCCCTCTCAAAATCGATATTCCCAACAAAAATGAAACCAAAGCAGCTGCACAAGAAGCCATTGCAGCAGGTCGCGCACACACTCAACATCATTCTCAATCTGCATCTCAACAAAACCATACTCAATCTTCTAATTTTCAACACCATTCTCAACAGCAACAACAACAACAACAACAACAACAACAAGAACAACAACAACAACATCATCATATGCGGGATGATACTGTAGGAATAAGACCACCCCCATGGCAACAAGAAGGCTCATCCGCAAATCAACCTAACTACAGTCAATATGATACACCCAGCTATAGTCTACGATACTCGCAACAACAACCCATGTACAGCCAACAACAACAACAACAACAGCAACAACAACCTGAAGGTGGATTACATCGTTATGGAAGTGTATCTGGTCCTAGAGTGGCTCCTGATATTATCGCATCAGGTATAGATACTGATATTGGTGGAAAAAATAGCAGCAAAAATGGAAAGGATTTCAGCAAATTCATGAAGGGTGTACTCAAATCTAACGATGGTCGACCATTTTCAAGTGACGTTACAATGAACAACAAATTCAACTCATCACAAGATCCAAGTCAAAATAGCAACAAGAAGGAAAAAGGTGGTCGATTCTCTCTGGGTATTTTTGGCAACAAAAAGGATAAGAAGAGCAACAAGGAAAGTCGTGATTCTCTTCAGCGTCTTACTTCAAATGATATATTAATCAGTGGGCCTCCTGGTGGAGGACCTGTTGTCATGGATGGTAGTGCGAATCCCTATGTCAATAATAATAATAATATCAATACAAACAACAGCAATCCTAATGGCATGGCGACATCATCATCCAAATCATCTTCCATTATCCCAACTAGTCAACCTATTATGGATACCAGTATACCAAATGCATCAAATTATCCTCAACAATCGAATAATAATGACACAACTACAAAACAGTCCGATGTTGCCTATGGTTATTCTGAAACTTCTAATCAATTATCTGATGGTACTCCAATCATGCATTATGCACGTGCAGTATGGTCATTTACAGCTACGGTAAGGAATTATATTAAAAAAAAAAAAAAAAAAAGAAAAATAAAATGATTGATTTTGTATATTATATAGATTCCTTTGGAAATGTCATTCTCTGCTGGTGATCGATTGGCTATTGTGAAGAAACAAGCTGATGGATGGTGGGATGCTGAATTACAGGGTCCAAAGAAAACTCGTGGCTTAGTACCTGGAAACTATATGGAAACTGAATAATATGTAGCATCTCTTTTTATATATATATATTTTATATACTTTTTATTATTATTATTATTATTATTATTATTTTGCGCGGGGTGTCTTTTTTTTTTTTTTTTTCTTTCTTTTATTCTACTTGACCAGTGCCGTTTTACTTAATAAAGTTTTTGTTCAATTTTTTTTTCTTCTCTTTTTCCTTTCTTTCTTCCTCCTTTTTTTTTTTTTTTTTTTTTTTTTTTTTTTTTTTTTTAGACCATGAAAATATTATTGTTTTTAACCATCTTTGCTTTTATTTCTGAATGTTATTCACATGTGGTGCAACTAACAGATGACAACTTTGACCAGTTAGTAAAGAAGCAAGATCAATGGGTTTTAGATTTGTAAGTTTAAATATAGAAATAATGAATTGTCTCTCACCTCTTATTATCTAGCTATGCCGATTGGTGTGGTTATTGTCGTCAATTTGCGCCTAGATTTGATGCAGCAGAACAAGTCATCCGCACGTCTCATTATCAACCCATTTATTTTGGCAAAGTCAACATTGAGGAGAATCCTGCATTGGCTGCTCGGTTCTTTGTTTCTCGTTTACCTACACTATTCCATATTGATCGACGTCAAGTACGCGCTTTACCTATACCTAAAGATGTCCCCAGTTTTGTTTCGACATTGAGTAATGAAGAATGGCGAACTATTCAACCTATTGGTGGTTGGCGATCTCCCTTTGGACTTTTGTAAGATATAAATAAACTTGTAAAAGATGAACAACTGAACTTATTTTTTTTTTTAAAGAGGTACTATTGTAGGTTATGTGGGTTATTTTGTGAAGAAATTATCTACTGTATCTCCTTGGCTTGTAGTGGGATTATTATCAGGACTTTTGGTATGTACCATGGGATTGACCGCTTACTTTTCTCGTCCATCTACTACTACTATTGATGATGCTGATGATACTGTGACCCAATCCACCTCTACTGCTATCAATAAAAAGTCTCCTTCTACCCAAAAACGACGATCCAAACTTATCAAGTAAAAAAAAAAAAAAAAGGATTCATGTTTGTAGTTCCAGTTTATATATATATATATATATATTGTTTTGTTTTATATTTTTTTTTTTGAAATAAAATACATTCATTTTTTTTTTAACTTTATGCCTTTATTTTATATCGATGCTCATCATAATGGAAATGAGAGGAAGATTATCCATAGAATTGATCAAGTAGTACTTCATTGAATATTGGATTGCGCAGGATAGATTATGCTACTTGACGTGTTACCCATTACTGGTCGCTCTCATAGTGACTTTTAAACCTCACTCAACATTGCCCATATATAGGCAATACTGGAAATAGTCAAATTGTAACACAAGTTCTTTCCTTTTTGAATAAAATGCTAGTCTACCCCCCCTCAGTATAATGGAATTTAGCAAAAAAAAAAAAAAAAGAAAAGAAAAAAAACGGCGACAGTTTAGAACAAAATATTGTACCACTAACCTGATTAAGTAAAAGCAACAAATCTGAGGGGTCAAATTTGGGCCCTCAGATTTTTACGTGGTATTGCCTATATATGGGCAATGTTGAGTGAGGTTTAAAAGTCACTATGAGAGCGACCACTGTTTGGCGGAATGTGAAGTTTTGAAATCATTCCATTTGTAAAGAACATTAAACGTATTCATAGTGTTTTTCCCCTTTTTGATGATGATGATTATAGATGATAAATATATATATATATATATGGTTTCCATAATGATGATAACTGACAGTGACTGATGATGATGACTGGTTTGAAGACGGTGGATGATAGCTAATGGTAGAAAATGATGATGAATAAAAATAGTCATTGGTTCCTTTTTTTTTTTTAACATAAGTAATCATCCATGTTCTTACCAAGAGTACTGTGAAAGTGCCCTTTTCCATTCCATGTATATACAGGCTTAATGATTTATTTTTCTCAGAAATAAATAAATAAATAAAACATAAAACATATATCTCTTTTGCTCTTGATCCACATATTTTCAGAAAGAAGAAACGAATATATTGGTTGTTCATTTGATATATTGGCTTTCCAAGTAATCATTCTTCATTTGAATTTAATAGTGATACTGTGAAATAGTTCGATTAAGAAGTTCTTACACAATCTCAAAAAAGTAAGTATCGATGATTTTCATGCAAGGTTCTCTCTCATTTTAAAGCTAATCATTGTTGATGATATCAAGGTTAAATTCTATTTCCTAAAAAAAAAAAAAAAGAAAAAAGATGTTGAGTGCTCATCCAACAACGCTGTGTTTCAATTGCCAAGTCTTGGTATTTTTCTTTTTTTTTTTTTCTTTTGGAGAATCCAAGCTTTTTTCGTTCTTTTTTTTCTTTTTCCTCTTTTTTTATTTATTTTTATTTAACAATTAGTTTTACATAACATGTCTATGGCAGTAAGTGCTTATATTTAATAGAATAAATAAATGAACTTTTTTTTTGTTTATTTTTATTTTCTATTACCACTTTCTTGGTTACTATTTTTAGAGTCTTTTTGGTCTTTCAACACCTGTGGATATACAAGTGGCATTCACTGGCGAGAATGAACGAAAACATGTGGAAGTCAAAGTGGATAAAGATCAACGAGAGAGTTTACCTGTGTATCTTGATGGTGAAACTGTTAGTGGCACGGTAAGGAACTATATATAGGATAGAATGAGCCATCAACTCTCATTATCATCTTGTATTTCTCTTATTCATCCAGGCGACTATTAGACTAAAGGATGGAAAACGATTTGAACACAATGGTATCAAGGTCGAATTTGTTGGTAGTATAGGTAAAAAAAAAAAAAAAAAAAAAAAAAAAGGAAGGATGACTTTTTTGTGTTTATTAATATCCTGTTTTAAACCATTTTTATAGAACTTTTCTATGATCGTGGCAAGTCTCATGAATTTCTTACTCTCTCTCAAGAATTGGCAGCTCCTGGAGAATTACGTCAAAGTGCTACTTTTGACTTTGAATTTAAAAATGTGGAAAAGCAATACGAATGTTACAATGGTATCAATGTCAAACTACGGTAAGAGAAAATAAGTTACATACAAAATATCCTATTTTAACTTTTTTATTATATAGATACTATGTTCGTGTTACTGTTGCTCGACGTATGGCAGATTTGATTCGAGAAAAGGATATGTGGGTATACTCGTATCGTATGCCTACCGAAGTCAGCAATTCGATCAAAATGGAAGTGGGTATTGAAGATTGTCTACATATTGAATTTGAATATAACAAATCCAAGTAAGATGACAAGAAAAACTGGAAAACAGATCTGGATGCTAAAAAAAAATCTTTTGTTTTAGATACTATTTGAAAGATGTCATTGTTGGGAAAATCTACTTTTTGTTGGTTCGAATCAAGATCAAGACTATGGAATTATCTATCATTCGTAGAGAAACTACTGGAGCTAGTAAGAACAATTCAAATATAATGGAAAAGTAAGTTATTAACTATATTTTTCTAGTGCCTAATGTATACAATGAAAGCGAAACAGTGACACGATTTGAAATTATGGATGGTGCTCCTGTGAGAGGTAAAAAAAAAAAAAAAAAAAAGAAAAAAAAAAGGGTATTGATTCTACTTTGCTATTCTTCTTAGGCGAAACTATCCCAATTCGATTGTTCTTGGGTGGATTTGAATTGGCTCCTACATTTAGAGGTATGATATTTTTTGAATAGAAAAATATCACTTGTCTATTTTTTAATGAAATCTCTCTATTTATATTTGATTTCTATAGATGTGAATAAGAAATTCTCCACAAGATATTATTTGAACCTTGTACTGATCGATGAAGAAAACCGTCGCTATTTCAAACAACAAGAAATCACCATGTTCCGACGTAAAAGTAAGTTTGAACACAAATTATGCTGATCATCATTGGATCTTATATCCTTTTTTTTTTTTTTATCATTATATAGTTGATGATGGTTACCCTCCCGATGAAGAATAGGATACATGATGATTTGGAATCTTATACGATATATCCCCCCTCTCCTTTAGTTTTAGATATTGTTTATTACTCTCATCGTATTCCCACTCTGACAATCCCTCTTGTTCCGTCTTATTCATATTACTGAATCAAATAAATAAATAAATAAATAAAATAAATAAAAAAAAGACAATTGTATCAAAAAAAAAAAAAATAAAAAATAAAAAGATTTATTTTGAAATTTGCACAGTTTGGAAACTAAACAAAAATAATAGTATTCTAAAAAGAATTTGTTCCAATGTTTAAGCATCAGCTTCAAGCACATTGCGTTCAGAGACGTAGATACCATCCAAGAACTTACGGATATCCTTCTTCTTGACCAAACAGGATTGTTGAATATCAGCAGCAGATTGAGAGACGGCTTCCAAATCGTTACCAGTCAAAGTCAATTCATCCTTTTGGTTGGCAGAGGTAGCAACAGTGACACCTTCACGCATTTGGACACGGAACACGACCTTTTGACCCAAGAAGTTACGGATTTCAACGTCCTTGCCATCGTTGTTGATGATACAGTTGATGGGAAAATGCGCATAGACGTAACGCATCTTGTATTGGAATCCTTTGGTGACACCGGTGATCATGTTGTTGACGAGAGAACGAACAGTACGGATACAGGCAACATGCTTACGACCGCCATGGTGAACAACAAACTTGAGCTTGTCCTTACCAGCAAACTTGATTTCAATGTTCAAATGACGCAAGTTCTTCTTCAAGGTACCACGGGGTCCGGTCACAGTGACATCGCGAGCCTTGATGGCAACCTTGACACCTTCGGGGATGATGAGTTCGTCGGCTTGGTAGATATCCTATAGTAAAAACAAAAAAAAAAAAAAAGGAAATCAATGTTATTTTGTTCTTGTCAATGTGGAAATATTATGTTACCTTCATGTTGTCAAATGGAGCTATAAATCCCTAATGAGAGTAAAAAAAAAAAAAATATGAATGAGTATATTCAATGTCATTCATGATATATTCTCCCATCCCATCCCATCCATCCATCCATCCATCCATCCATCCATCTATTCGTTTATCCCATCCATCTATCACATTCCATATATAGCATCCGAATAGAATGATCCTTTCGTTCGATTCATATTTTTTTTTGTAACCTTACGTTGAGTTAAGGACGTTATGCAAAAGAGAAGGAATCAAATCGTTACTGGTAATTCAGTCTTTTTTTTTTCCTTGCCAAACCGATCCACCACCAGATTTCTATCGGGACTCAAAACCTTTTTTTTTTTTTTTTTTTTTGGATGATCAGGACATTTGCATATCAAGAACCATTTTCGTTCACCATTATACAATAATAAAAATAGAGTGATTTTTGTTTATTAATGATCCAAAAAAAAGAAAGTGAGACCAAATCTGTATATTATCCTATACTGAGTATTTGAATAAATAATCATAATGATGATTAAAGACAACCAATATTTAAAACAAAAAAAAAAAAAAAAAAAGAAAAGAAAAGAAAAAGCCTTTCTTTATGAATCTTGTGAGATGGATTTTTGACAGCTTGAGGTGGTGACAGTATCCAAAATGGCCGGTGCGGCATAAACATGAGAGGAAAGGTGAACACCAGAGTAAGCATGGTTTCCAGGAGACACACCTAATTTTGGAGAGTGAGAGATAGAATGTGATGATACTGTAGGTGATGGTTGTATTCTTTCTATGGGAATACGAATCGTCGGCTGAAGTGTCAAATGATGTTCTCCATGTTGGTCTATTCCTTTTTGTTCTTGATGTTTTCCATTGGTTGATGATCCATTATTGTTACCATCAGATCGATCTTTTCCCTGTGCATAAGATGATATTGATAACACCGATAATGACGTTGGTCCGGAAGTCACTGATGTTGTCAAAACGGCTTGTATAAAGTAGTGAATATTTGGTAACGTATGTCGCAAATCCATGACAATCAATCCATAAGCATTCATCATCTAAAAAAAAAAAAAAAAAAAAAAAAAAAAAAATCGAGAAAATAAGTTCAACGTATTTTTCTCTTTTTTTTTTTAAAAAAAAAAATTACCTGTTCAATGTTTTTGTTCAATAAAAACACACCAAATTCAAATCGATATCTATCAGTGCCTTTACCATAAAGAGGAAAACTAGTAAAACAAAAAAGTGATCAGTAAATAATAATATTACATCCGTTCCTTTTAAAGAAAAAAAAACTTACATGCGAGATCCATGAATCAGAGAGACAGGATCATAGATAGTTGCTCTTGAACCCATAGGATTAATTGGATATCGTAATGGAATAGACAAATAAAAGGCTAGCATGGAAACCAAGTGAGCAGTAAAACCAAGGGCAATGGCAATAGATTCTTCATTACAGCCAGTATATACCGAGTTTGGAAGATAAACACCACGGATTCGAAACTGCGTGAAATCGTCAAAAGACTAAGTTTTTTACACAATCAATCCCAAAAAAACAATACACAAATTCATTTGTACATCTCTTTTTATTGCTTTTTTTTTACCTGTTCAATGGGGTATATAGAGAATAAATCAGCAATCAGTTCCTTCTTTCGTTCTGTTAGTTTGGTGAAGGTATCATTATGCATTTTGATATTTTTCTCCAATTGGGTATCATTGTTTTCCAAATCATCCTTTCCGTGTTGAAATCGTTCTTGAGATCTTTTTAGTTCTAGTTTTCGTTTGTCAAGTGATTGTCGAAGATCATTCACTTGTTTCCGGTCTACCAAAAAAAAAAAAAAAAGAGTCAAATTCTATATGCTCTCATCCTCTTTTCTTTTGCTTCTTTACCATAATCAACCTGTGCTTGTTGTTCTTGAATCGAGGTTTCCAATTCCTTTAGTCGCGTTTCTTTTTGTGCCCTTTCTCGTATCTAGCAAAAAACATAAAAATAAATGATCAATCCAGTTATGATTTCCTCTTTCTCAAATCGACCTACCAAGCGAAATTTGTTTTTATCCTTTTCGAGTATTTCATTGATATTGAATTGAATTTCGTCTGCAGATACTTGTGCATCATATATACATTCTTTGAGAGTATTCAGTCTACATTTTTTTTTTTTTTAAAAAAAAAGAGAAGCAAGATGAATACTGGCCATCTATATATCAAGTATTTTGAAAATCTTACTTCATAATATGATGATATGTATATGATCGTTTTGTCTATCAATGAATAAGAAACAAAAATTAGTATCAATTATTCATAATCAGTTATTCTATTCACTTACTCTAGGAGAATAAACCGACTCAATACTAGCACTATCTAAATCTAATTGCATATCCTGATGACTTGATCGCTTATGTTGGGTAAATGCAAAAGCCTAATGATAACCAAAATAGTTAGTGGCACTAATATTAAAAAAAAATGCAAAAACTTAAAACTTACAACAATATCTGGAGCAGTATAATATCCATCATCAAGTTCAAATAGTAGTGTATTGGTTGGCCATTTGTATATATCATGTAACTATATATCAGAAAAAAAGAAAGGTCAATATCAAATAGTCTAAGCATCATTCATTCATTTTTTTTTTTTTTACCGATTTCCCAATAAAGATAAGTTCATTCAAATCCACTGACCATTCGATCAATAAACGATATGGGTGTTGAATAGCATTATGAGATATTTCAGTTGTAATAACCGAGTGGTTGCCTTGAGCATGCACAGGATCTGATCTTCTTGCCAATGCTGCAGATTCAGGTTGAGAATGTTTTGCCCATAATCTGACCACTACTATATTCTGAACGCCGTCATACCAATCTATCAAGGACATATCTGTGCGAAACACCGGGTTGGTAGAGTTGGGTATTGTTTCGCTGGTATAAAATAATAATTGTTGTTCCATCGTTGTTGTATTTTTGGTATACTTTGATGATGTAAAAACACTTTCACTACCACCATCATCATTATCATCATTATCATTTTTGTTATTCTTGGAGTTGTCATGGTCGCTATCCATACCATTTCTTAGTTTTGGCAAGGACATGGTCAAGTATGTATCCAAAAGACCCTTTTCTTTCCATGATAAAAGATCTTCATCATTCTCCAGAGATAATCGTCTTGAATTATTATCTTGTAGTGTTTTGGTATTTGCCAATATATTGTTGTTGTTGTCACTGTAATTACTAGTTGTTGTCACGTCTGGTGTTTTTGACTTTCGCTTATATGCATTTTTTGTCAAGGATGAATCCGCTATTGTATGGGTAACCAAGTTGTTGCTGACAACAAAAGCAGAAACACTTTCGGATCTTCGCATGGCTGTTTGACGAGTTGGCTTGTCTTCCAATAGAGGTGCAGATGAATAAGAAGAGGAATAATAGAGTTGAGGACTAGTGCGAGGGATGTTCTCATTTTTGCTGCTACTGGTACTACTACTACTACTACTGCTGCTGGGTTGATGATGAAACAATTGTAGAGATTGACTTGCTTGTGGTGCAGTGGAGAGAGGAGGTGGGGATGAGGAAGACGAGGATAAACTGGGAATGTGGAAGTGTGGTGTCTTTGGAAAAGATAATGAAGGAGAAGGAGAAGATGTTCGAGAAGCTGTCCGACTGCTGTCCACGCTAAAAGGTAGGTTACGTATTTGTTCAGAAGAATCAAGAGAATCATTTGTGTTCCATCCAATATTCCGACCTACAATCGCTTTGATGTGTCGTATGCGTCGCTGTCGTTATATATATATATATGTATATATGTATATAAAGATAAAAAAAAAGTAATATCAATTAAATCAAAAGATCTATCCGTAGTATATTTGACATCATTGTTTAAACTTACCTGTTTTCCAACATGCATGTATTTAAGGTAATAAAAAGAAGAAGCTGATAAAAAGGGAAGAAAGAAAGAGACGAAGAAAGAAATAAGGAAAAAAAAAAATAAAGTCGGTGAGCGGAAACAAAAACACCTATTTGTCACACATACAAAAAAAAAAAAAGATATATCTTTTATTTTCAAAGAGCAATACAGTATACAATAATAAAAAAAAAAAAAAAAGAGAAGAAACTATGTAAAATATAAATGAATAAACTACACTAGATCACTTGAAGATGTTGGTTTGATTCCATGCAATATCTGACCAGTCCATAGATGATGGTATGCCAAAGAAAGGATTGTTTGGATTATAACGGAATGCAGTATTGCCATCTTGATTGTTATTTTCCATAGGGGCTACAGTAGTCATAGGTGATACTAGTTGAATCACTGATGAAGGATTATTTGAATTGGTCATTGTTGATTGTGATGGATAAATACCATAGTTTGTTGTTGATGATGCTGCTGATGATGATGATGTTGTTGTAGTTGTTGTTGATGGATGTGATGCTGACGATGATTGATGTAAATGTTCTTGTTCTTGTGGCTGTTGATCAAATAATGGCAAATTGCGTGAAACTTCCGATTGTCCTAATTGTGATGATGATCCATTTAGTACAGGTTGTGGTTGTTGATCAGATTGATATCCAGGCATTGGTGGTAAATAGTTCATCCTTGAGAATGCAGATACATCTTGCATAGTGAAATCTAGTTGGTTAGGATCTCCCGGAGTATCAAATCCAAATTGTTTCAAACTAAATGCTTCCGTAAGTGAGGTTGGTGATGGAGAAGTAGACATTGCTAAATAATATTAATAAACGATATTAGTATACAATCAATAAAATAACATAAATAAATAAAAATAAAAATAAAAAAAATAAGAAATATGTATTTTGATGATCTTACATGGTATATCAGCAAGTGAACCCATTTCCAAAGATTGTTGAAATAAAAGAGGCGTTGTGAAATTCTGCATAACAGGAGGTGATGATCCAGTAGTTTGAGATGTCCGTGAAAATCGTTGCTGATCTTGTAATGTTGGCGATCCTTTTGGTGAAGATCCTAAAGGCATCATACCTCTACCTACATCAGAAATTCGAGATGGTACTATATTTTTGTTGTGCGTGTTTGTTGCTGTTGTTGTTTTTGGTGATGTTCGCTGTGATGAATCCATATCATGATTCTGATTCAATATGATACTGTTGTTTTCCATGATCGTTTCCAAGAGACTATGTAACTTGTTGGCATTATGAGACATTTTTTTCAATCGATTGATCAAATTAAGACCAGTAGCCAAATCCACCTTTGCTGGTCCAGCGATTCTAGTGTCTGGGTTTTTGGTGTTGTACATATGAATCAAGCAACATTGCAAGACAGGGTATAAACTGAAAGCATAAGGAAACATCAAAAAGTCACGAGGTTCCATTTGAGAGGCAATTCTAATTCCACGAGTAGCTGCACTACTTCCAATTCTAAAGGATGAATATGAGGGTGTTGCTTTTGATTTTCCAGTTCCAGCACGTTCAATAAAAGGTCGATGAAGAAGTACTAATAAGCCATAATAGCAGATAAGTATGGTAGCTAATCAAAAAAAAAAAAAATAAAAATAAAAAATAAAAAAAATAAAAAATATAATAGTAGTTAGTATATATCATGAAATTTTACATATAATTATTACCTATGACAGGAGACAAGTAACCAGTATTTTCATCAAAGTCGCCAAAATTTGTTCGTTGTAATGCCTTGGGGAATCCAAACCGCCATTCAGTCAATTCATGATCCAATCTTGTAACAATAGCATCGCTACCTTGTTCATGACTAAGTCGTTGTGCTTTTGGTGTATATAACCCCTGTAAAATCCGTCCAAGTATTTCAGATAACTTGACCAATTGAATAAATAATTGATATATTTCCACTTTTTCAGTAGCATTTTCGGGTTTGTGAGTTGCAGAAGGAAACCTTGGTCCATCACAATCTTCATCATCATCAGGTTCATCCATTACTTCTTTCCAAGTGGTTGATGCATCAGGGTAACCAGCATCTGTATCTTCATCACGAATACTGATAGGACGACCAAGTGAAGCAGAATGGAATCTATCTGTCACATAAAGTGCCCACCATACACGTTTACGAGTTTCCTTTTCACTATCAGGTATATCCCATTCTTCACAATCACGATATAATCCAAGACCTTGAGCCTATAATAAAGAAATATAAATATAAGAATATATATATATATATATATATATATATATATATATATATATATTTGTTATAATAGTATGAACTTACCAGACGTACAGCCTTGAAAATAAAAAAATAAATAATATACAGATGAGTGATCTATATTCATCAAAATTATAAATTAACACTTACCAAACCACCTAAAAGCCAACAAGCCGATGATTTTGAATCCAAATTGCCACTATGATTATGAATCAGAATAATAGATTGTACCTTTGAAAGTGTAGCCAGAGTAGAAGTTTGAGTGATAAAGGCTTGAGATTGTTCAAAAAAGTGATCAGACCAACCAAGCGGTACATCCCATACCATATCAGGAGGCTGAAATTGATTATGATCGCGATATTGAGATTCACACTCCACAAATCTTGCTGCAGCACCAAACATAGCATTCAATAAATCTGGTGCAGGATAAGAATCACACTGATCTCGATATTGTTTCAAAAAGTTTGTTTTATTGACCACAGGAAGAACTGGATGTACATTTGCAAAATAACTATATAAAAAGAGAAAAAGAATAATCAGTCATGTTTTTTTTTTTTTTTTTTTTTGAGATAGTTTGTAATTTACATTTTAAGTAATCGATCACTTGTATGATTATCAACACCAGAAACAGAATATATCCAATTGTTAATATCTTTTCCAGGAAAAAGAGTTTTGATTTTGGGTACAGGAACCATATATTGACCAACTTCATTAGCATTTAATTGAGATGTTTCCATATCACCTACTAATACGACTTGTTTTCCAAATTTACGTATACGTTGACCTTTCCAAATCTTTTCAGAACCATCCAGCTTAATTTTATTGGAGAAGAATTGAAAACTTGATAGATCACCCAAATATTGTACACTATCTGATTGACCACCAGCTGCTGTCTTTTTATGAACTGGAATCGATGCATCTTGTTGAAACTCATTGACTGTTGTTTGGTTTGATATCGAAGGTGTAGATTTGTTATTGGGCATAGAAGTAAGAGCTGATTCAATTTGTCGTATTCGTTTTTCTAAAGCTTCGATATATCCTTTCGGTGGACCTCGTTTTTTTGCTCTATATATTAAAAAAAAAAAATTAGCTTAGTAAGTTCATTTAATTTATATTTGTATAGAATCTTTCTTTTTTTTTTTTTTTTTACCCATCATTGAATTCACAAGTGATACCATAAGATACACAATTTGTACATGCCTTTCCGGGAGTGAAGTAACATTTCACTTTTTTCTTTCTACAAAAATCACTATAAAAAAATAAAATAACTTGTCAGATAAAACTATAAACTATATCGTGAAACCTTACCAAGCTCTTGTTATCCGAAGTCTCTTTTTGTCTTTAGCTTCTTCCGATAAATTGGTTTCTTCAATATGATCGTCTTCCGAAGTTGTATATTGTTGTTCTCTTTTCATGATTATAGACATTGAAGTGCATAACCATAAATAAAAAAAGAAATAAAAAAAAAAATAAAAAAAAATAAATAACATTGAATGGAAAGCTGGAAAAACTATTTTGCATGGCCTGCCTTAAAAATTGAGAAGAGTGAGCCAATCAGATATCTATAATGATACTAACAAAAAAAAAAAAAAAAAACTATATTCACTTTGTAATCTGTCAATCAAATCCTCCCTCACCCACAGAAAAATAATAAAAAAAAATAATATTAACTGTAATCAAGTTCAAAATGAACAATGAACCCTTAATAAATAGATGTAAAATAGTAACAATTTACTTGTTACAACTGCAGCGGGTATTGAATTCTATAATGACTGCAAAATCAAATAATAAAAAAAAAAAGTTTCTTGTCTCCCTTTTTTTTTTTTTGACCCTTTCTTTTTTTTTTTTTTCTTTTTCTTTTTTTGTATTCTTAGAATTCTTATACTTGTTTGTAGTTGGACACTTTTTTTTTTCTTTTTTTTTTTTTTCATCTAATGCAACAAGTGAATGGAGTTCAAGTATATAATTCTGATCCTTCACTATTATATGAAGGTTTAGATAAAGAACCTACTTGGTTTAGTGCTCAAGGTGGTGTATATCAATGCTATGAACGATCAAGTCGCCGACCTATTGCCATCAAAAAATATTTGGTAGAAGACAACAATAAACATCCTGATATGTTTGTTATGCCTCAAGAATTAGTAGAAAACGAAATTTATACAATGACAAAGTGCAACCATACCAATATTCTTAAACTTTTATCTGTTCACCTTCATCAAGAATATGTTTATCTTATTATGCCTCTTTGTGGAGGTGGTTCTTTACAACAATATGTATTTGAACATCATCTCAATTATGGACAATTGGCTCATATTGTTGCTTCGGTAAGTCTCCTTTTTTTTTAATTTATTCCCTTTCAATTTTTATTGTTTATATGACAATGGTTGCACTAACTTGAACTACTTCTTTTTTATATATTCATTGTTTAGATTGCAGCTGGATTAGAGGAAATCCATCGTCACGGGTACATTCACCGGGATATCAAATGTGATAATATATTTTTAGATGATCAGGCAAATCAAGTTGTTATTGGTATGTTATTAATGAAAAAAAAGAAGTATAAAACAATTCTTTGATCTTTTTTTTTCTTTTTTTTCTCTTTGGGACCGTGTGATCTTTTTTTTTCTGTAGGTGATTTTGGCGTGGTTTCTATTACTCCTGCAGCTGATTCAAGCTTGGAAGAGGCAGGTGTTGTTCTATTCTGGGCTCCTGAACTTGTGCAAGGCAAATTGGTTAATCGAAAAATTGATATTTGGGCTCTTGGAATTGTCATTTTAGAAATCATCAATGGTGGTCGTGCACCTTATGAAGATGAAAAATTGGATGAAGAAGAGGTAAATCATTGAAATAATAGATTATTGTCTTTTTATTTGTTTGTTTGTTTGTTTATTTTGTTCTCTAATGATACATTTTTTTTAATAGATTAAACAACGTATTTTGACAATTGGAAAACCAGCATATCCTGAAGGTTTACCCTCTCGATTATTAGATTTATTGGATTGTTGTTTGAATCCTGACCCACGTGCTCGAGCATCTGCATCTGACATTCTGAAGGTAAAAAAAAAAAAAAAAAAAAAAATGAAACAATGCTTTTTCTGATCATATTATCTTTCTTCTCATAATATTAGCATCCATTTCTCCTTGATTATGATCATGAACCATTATTTGCAACAGCAGCATCAACGACAACAACAACAGCTACAGAAAGTGATGACTACTCAGTGTTGTGTTCTATCGATCCTAATGCAGTAGATGAAGGTTCAATGCTTAATGCTCTCAAGACACTTCAAGACATGAAACCTATGGATGAATTGGACCTCAATTTGGAATCTACAGTTCCTGATCTCTCTGATACTTCTGATTCACTCTCTTCTTCACAATCTCATCGCATCGATCCTATAACATCACCAGTACCACGACGACAACATGTACCATCTCGTAAATGTCGGTTACCCGTAGCATCTTTTGTTTTGAATGATGATTATGTTGATTCCATTCCTGCAAAAGACAAGATTGCTCATGTACGACAAAAGCGACAATCATTGACTGAAGAACATCGTAACCAAGGATCTCGTTTACCTATGCTGAAAATCATTTTGGCTGTACCTACTTCACCCTCACCTCCACCAACCCCGGGAAAGAAACTTAGAAAGGCTAAATCGGTCCGACTTTGTGCAACTTCACCTGTTACACCTCAAGCATCCAACAACCGTATTCAACAAAAACCTGAAAGAAAACCATTACTACGATCTCAAACTCTTCCAACACAACCTAAACGAGCTTCACCTTCCTCTTTACCCAAGAGCACCGAGCATCATCGACAAACGACAACAACAACAACAGCAACAGCAACTCGTCTACCATCTCTAGGAAAACCATCGACACCTGTTGCTGCTACTCCTGGGAAAAAGAAATCATCACTCACTCCACCAACTCAACCGCTAGCTTACCGACAAAAAAGATTACCGGAAAGTCGAACTGCTCGTTTGATGATGGGTATCAGTACCACTGGTCGACGAACATCCAAGGCAGATACTGCTACATTATCACCACCTACTCCAGAAGTCACCAAAACAACATCAAAACGTCTATCATCCGCACTCGCAGCATCTTTGTCAAGCAAAAAAAGATCTCAAGAAACAAAACAGCGGCCATTATCATTCTCTGGACCAAAGTCAACCACGTCAGCGGTAGCCATGTCATCATTCAGTACCCATCGACGAGAATATCCATTACCGCCCCCTTTACCTGCTTTACCACAATCCTATGGACGATATCATCAAAAAGACGACGAGCAGTATCAAAAATCAGCATTGACACCTCCTGTTAGTCCGGCCAAACTGCGTCGGCGAGTATCAGCACCATCATCAAAACATGAACCAACATCACCAACATCACCAACATCAGGCAGTTCTTTTGGAAAAAGCAACAATCTCAAAGGGATGAAGGTTTTACGAGCTTATTGACGTTACTTCTTCTTCTTTATACCCTATTTATTTTTAGTTTCTATATACTCATTATAACTTATGATATTTTTATGATTCCATTATCTATTATCTATTTCTTCCTCCCATTCCATTTTACTTTTTTATTACTATTATTATTATTATTATTTATCTCTTCATCACTATTATACATTGATTTTCCTCGTTATTTATACAACACAATAAAAATCACATCTTTCTACATTCCAATCCATTTTTTTTTTTTTTGGATTAGAAAGGGGATACCATCATCATCATTATCTCCTTATCCTTTATATATATATCCTTCAAACTTTTGACTTCTCATCTTAGTATTATTCGATTGATAATTTGGAATAGTGAAAAATCTTAATAAAAAAGAACATATTCTTTAATCATCATCATCATCATCATCATCATCATCATCATCATCATCATCATCATCATCATCATCATCATCATCATCATCATCACGATAGGAATAGTCAACTAAGTATAAAAATATCATTATTTTTTTTTTTTATCGTGGACATTGTTATTTAAATCATCAAAGGTAAATAAATAAAAAAATTTAATAATGACAATGATAGTAATAAAGACAACTAATCTAAAGGGGCTGACTATCTACGGAATGAATCCTTTTTTCCTTGCCAATACACCAGCTTCACGTTCAATGTCTAACAAAAAGTCATCCAGCGAATACTTTGGAGACCAACCGATAGCTCTGCACTTGTCTGCACTGACACGAGTGTTCCCGCCATAGGCAAACTTGAAAGCCAACATCTTGTATACACGAATGAATTCATCATCGGAACGGATGATGATTGGGAGTGGAGAAGGGATGGCACCCAGAGCATGAAGAGTTTTCGCCATGACTTGATAAGCTTGCTGCCATTCATAGAATCCAGACTCAGGAAAGAAATAACCAAAATGATCAAGTTGTCCATCCAGCCATTGATCGATCACCAAACCATACAGATCCACCAAATCATCAATATGCACCAAACTCCAAGTATTTTTACCATCACCCACTTGATGAACAGCACCATGTTGAAGAGAGACTGAGATTGCCCAAGGGATTTGCATCGAATGAGGATTAACACCTAGGGTGGTGGATGGTTTGCCAAAGATGGTAGGTGGGCCTATCAACACCAGATCAAACGTATTAGATTGAGCCATCAAGAATGTATCAACATGACGATGAGGTTGTGTATCGGGTAATGCATTCAACCTAGCTGTATCAAGATCACTAAATACATTATTCTCTTCTTTCATTGCATGTCCATCTGAGAGTGTCGTCGTTACTACACCTGACCCTGTCGTTTGCACCAATAATCCACGTTGTCCCAAGTCATGTTTACGTTGCATGCCTTTCACCACCGCCTGAGCTTCCGTCAAAGAATCGCAATTGGCTGCCGTGATCGTCACATCATGTTCAAACACCAAATCTTCTATCAGTTTACTGTCTTCTAGACTTCCTATCACTGTCCGGATACCAGCTTGTTCTAATGCAATGGCTTTGTCTTGACTTCGCACCAGTGCCGTTAATTTGTATTTTTTCTTGCTGGCCAATAACTTGGAAACCACCGCACCACCAATGTAACCTGTCACTCCAGAGATATAGATGGAAGTTGGCATTAACAGAAAAAAAGGTAGATCAATTGGATAATACCATTAGTGTATCAGGGAAAAAAAAAAGAAAGGTATAAATACAAAAAAAAAAAAAAAAAAAAAAAAAAAAAAAAAAAAAAAAAAAAAGGCACTGGCATTGATTACCAAGCGAAGGAGTTTGGAAATTGGATTTGTAAGTCAATGATAAGGACGTGCGAATATCGTATGATCAAAATCAAGTTGTATATCTAATAGAAACGATGATATTAATCTGATGAAAATAAAAAATAATTTTTTCCCAGGAAATTTTTTAAAGAAATTTTTTATTTTAAATAGTTGAACATTGAAAAAAAAAGGACGAAAAGAGAGGAAAAAGAAAAATTAAGATGGATCATCAAACAAAATTGATTTAAATAAACTAGATAAATGTATACATAATGGTAATAGCCATGGCGAAGAATGAACCAACACCAGAAGAGTAATCCTTAATAAAGACAGCCGATGATTCATCACCAAATGAGCCTTTTCCATTTCGAATACCAGATTTAGGTTTTGCCACTGAAGATTTACAAGCAAAAGAGTTCCCTTTAATGACACCTTTTTTCAAACTATTGATTTTATCGCATGTAAATTGATTACTTGATGTTTGTACATTGAGTCCTCCACGTACCTATAAAAGATATGATGATGATGATGATTATTATACAAAATAAAAAAAAAAAAAAAGAGTACTTACATCAGCTAATGCAGGTAGATCCACTTCATCAAAATTGCCTACGATATCCAAAGTACCATCCACTTCATCCAATTTAGGAAATGCATTCACAGAGATTAGTTCAGTATTTCCAGAGATAGAAAGAGCTCCTCCAAGACGACTCAAAGAAGGAAGGGACAAACTGTTCAATCGGATATTGTCAGCAATGGTTAGAGTACCAGCGATTCCAGTGACAGAAGGTAGTTCCAATGCAGTAAATGTATTTGTAATAAAAGATATGTCACCAGCCACTTGACGTAATTCTTTCAATGAGATACTTGCCAAGTTTCTAAAGGTAGCTACGTTCACTGCTTGAATGGATGACAACTAATACAAAAAAAAAAAAAAAAAAAAAAAAAAAAAAAAAAAAAACTAAATGATTATCTCTTTTTTTTTTTTTTTTTTTGATACTTACATCAGCGTTCAATACAGGAGAATTGGCAGAAAGGGTCAAGTCACCAGTGATACGAGTCAAATTGCCAACAGTCAATTGTTTCAAATAAATATTGTTGGTTATAGTCAGATCCTTGAGAGTAGATACTTTCAAACCTTCAATACGAACGACAGTTGTATCGGCAACGAGGAATTGTTCAACTTGATTCAGACCAGCAGGGAATTTCACCTCATTGAGTGCAGGATGAACAGATAGTTCAAACATACGTAAAGCGGAAAGAGCAGGCATTTCCAATGAGTTGAGGGCTCTGTTATTGAGTAATCGAAGTTGGCCATTAACAGCTTGTAATTCCGGGAAAGAGACACGTTGAAGAGCATCATTACTTGAAATGACAAGATCACCTTCTAATAATGCCACGCCAGGGAGTTTCAATTCCGTCATGCCTGTTTGTTCTACCACAATGTTGCCACCATATGTCTTACATGTCTTGAGACCATCTAAATCTTGTTTTGATTTGACATGCACATCACCACGGCAAGACGATCCTTGTACATCTTTCTTCATCATCATCATCGCCACACCGATCGTCAACACAAAGTGCTTCAATAACATACTATCAAATCTATGCTAGCAATCAATATAAGAGAGAGAGAGAGATAAAAGAAAAAAAAAAGAAGATAAGGAAGGAAGGTAAAGGAAAATAAATAATAATAATAATAAAGAAAGAAAGAAAAAAAAAAAGAGGATGAAAAAAAAAAAGTAGAGACAAACGTTTATTTTCAGGGTAAATCCAAAAACAAAACATAACAGTGAATAAGAGAGTAAATCTAGCTAGGTGGAAGGAATAGGAATACAAATAATAATCAAAAAAAAAAAAAGTAACAATAATAAAAATTCAAATATAAACCACCAGATCCATCCGATCACCATATCTAGTATTTGCCGTCATCATTGAAGAATAGTCCGAATAAGGTAAAAAAAAAAAAAAAAAAAAAAAAAACCGTGCTATTAAAATGGAAGAGTTGTTTGTACGCAACTTGATTGTCGATCAAATTGTTGTAAAGCTGATTTAAATTGATGCGTTGTCACACCTTTTGCTGGATCCACCAATACAAAATGTACACCTAACTTTTGGACTTCTTTATTGCGTAGTTCATCATCAAAAAACAACATATCTTCACATTGAATCCCTGAAGATTGTTCCAATTCTGTCAAATGTTGTATTTTGCGTCCAGGATAGATTTCCATATAGTCTATCAGATCATACATACTGCATCCAAGTTCAGGTACTTGAAAATATTTTAATGCCATTCGCGCCCTATCCATAGATAAAAAAAAATAAAAATAAAAATATTGATTATATTATGCTTTATGTTAACTTTACCAGTCAGGTGTACCGGTTCTTGAAGCAATGCCAATCTTGGTATCAGGAAAACTTCGAATCATTGTCAATACTTCAGTGATATTCTTGAATAGTTTCAACTTTTCGCCTTTCCTATATAAAAAAAAAATAAAAAAAGAGAGAGAATTGGGCTTTTGTTCGAAGAAGAAGAAAAAAGGGGGAAGTCGTTACTTGTCAGTCAGGGAATTGGTTTCTTCATGATATACAAAAGGAGGCCCTAAAAAAAATAATAAATAAATGAGGTTAGATAAAGAGAAGCATATACTTGCTATGTCATCCTTTTTTTTTTTTTTTTTTTTACCATAGGTATAGTCAATCTAATGCAATTAGAAAAAAGCAAGTTTGAATAAGTTTAAGAGTAAGATTTTTTTTTTTTTCCTTTTTTACCCAAGGTGTCCAAAGAGTACAGTCCAGATCGAATACAATAAGCTTGGGCAATCGCTTAGGCAATTCAAACTCTTCAGTCTTCACCATGTTGACTGCGGGAATAAGAGTGAAAGAAAAAGTGTCAAAAAGAAAAGGAAAAGAAAAGACCGCCCTAGAAATATATATATAAAAAGAGAGGGGGGAATATCAGCAAAATGGTGGCCAATCATATTTCGATGGTTGTTTAACGCCAAGTCATCCAAATGTGGTATACAAAAAAAAAAAAAAAAAAGATACAGTGTTTTCAAAGTTTTTTGTCGGGTCACAAGAAAATGGTTTTCGTGATGTTATAAAATAAAAAATCGTACTTTCCCAAAATGAATGTCGCATTACCACTTTTTTAGATATCGCTTTAGAGATGTTGGTAGAGTATGTCATTGATTGATGATTGATGATTGATGACTGATTGTTAGCTGATTCTTTTCAACAGGCCATATTTGGAAAAAAAAAAGAACTATATTTTTTATATTGTATCATCATCATATTCACAGTTAAGACAGGGGTATACTAATGTAATATTCATATCTTGTGATGTTGATGTGAATTTGCATAATAGTTCTTTTTTCTTTTTTTTTTAAAAAAAAAATCATTTACTGGGGTCTTCTTTGTTTATTTTCATTAACTGAGACATTCGATCGATCGATAACGAATGTAAATTTGCATAATAGTTCTTTTTTTTTCTTATGAGATATTTTTGCTGGGTTTATTTTATTCTTTGATCAAGTGAGAGATATAAAAAAGTGCTATTTTATTTTTCTTTTTTTTTCTGTTTCTTCTTTCTCTTTTTTTTCCTTTTTTTTTTCTTTTTCTTTTAATTTCTTTATCTATTTTGATATCAATTTTTAAACCAATTTACAAACTACAAGACCTTCATATACATCCATACCAAATACAAGTTTATTTTTTTTTTCTGGACTACAACTCTATCATAATCAAGACGGGCCTTTAGGTCCATTTGCTTTTTTTTTTTTTATATATATACTTATTGGACTTCCTTCTCTCTGTACCTTGCTTAATAGTAAGTTTCTTTTAATAATAATAATAATAATAATAATGATACAGTATATTAATCATTCTCTTTTTCTTTTTCTTTTTGAAATCTCTTTTGGTGTTTCCAATTTCAAAGTGAATATCAAACCTGTAAACAGCAACATATAAAAATATGTTATCACCTCTTCGGAGGATGTATTTAATGCTTTCCTACAGGTAAGTTAAAATAAATAAATATAAAAAAAAATGGATATGTTGACTAAATAATATTTTATTTTCTGTTATTCAAAATACTCAATGGAACTACTACCACTCCTTTTCTTCTTGTTCTTTTTCTTCTTATATTCTCTATTTGATTATGCGACAATTATATTTTTATTCTTCTGTCATTTATTTTCTATCCTTACGATATTTTATTTCCTATTTTTGCGCCATCTTATTCTTTGAATTCCGTCAATTATTATTGAATAAAGTGTACTGGTTTATTTATCTCCAATTAATAGAACAGGGTAATACAGAGAAGGAGAAAGATAACCGCAGTTTTCTTTTTTTGGGGTTCAAAGTGCATATTGCTGCGTAAAGTAGTCCAAGTCATTAATGAGTAGAATGGGCAGTTGCAGATGACCACAATTGGACCAAGACATTCGCATTGATATCAGACTCTTCAACGTTATCCTTGTAGGTTAAGATCCCTATTCATAAAAAGGGATGATTTTTTTATTTCAAAATAATAATAATAATAATAATATAACTATCTAACTATCTCTACTAGTATCTTGACTTTGCCGAGATTCAGCATTTCGTAGTTGATGTTCACGATATTGTTGGGTATTTCGTTTTTGGGAGAATTCAAAGACCTCGGTCACGGCCTCTTTGAAGCATTGGAAGTTGTAATCGATCAATCCATGTTTTTCAAAATTATCTTGTCGTAAAAGACAAATCAGTACCAATAATCTAACGCAGTCAGATCAAAAAAAAAAAAAAAAAAAAAAAAAAAATGAAATGATTCAGTATCCAAAAATAATCATCATCATCATCATCCATCTTTTACCTGTTTACTTCACGCATATACAAGACATCCCCATTATCCAATCTGATCAAACTAGAAGCTTCATTTTCAGTATCAGGTTCTTGTGGTTGATTATCAGTTTCCAATTCACCATTGTTATTCATTTCATTATCGTTCCCATTGAATGTGCCCTCCAAATCATCCGTCGACTGAGGTGATTGTACTAGAGATCCTTTTCCCTTTCCATCCGCACCATCCGTCAATAACTGTAAGTCGTTGGGTGTAGAGTTTTGTGTTCGATCTGCGATCCTAATATAGATAAAATAAAAAAATAAAATAAAATGTTAGTAAGGTTGCTATATAATCAAACATGTTCACTTTACCCATAAATGCATTCGATATCAATCGCTACATCAATCATATCACTACATAATTCATAAGATTGCATATCTACAGGTGAACTATCAGTAGCAATATATATCTTGGTCAAAGTATCAAATAAATAAGCCTTGTCAATTCCAGAATTCTGTAATAATAATAATAATAATAAAACGATCAGCAATTTTATAATCATTATCATCATCCACTTACAGAACATAAAACATTAAGTAAGTTTTCCAAAGTGGGTAATTCTCGAATGAGTTTTTGTATGATTTTACTAAATGCTTCATAAATTGAATGATCGTAAATACTGGTAAGGTAGTAGGTCAAATGGATATGATCAGATTCCGCATCTTGTAAAGCATCACTCATTCGTTGTTGTACATCCCGTTGTGTATCTAAGGGATAAAAGAATGAATAAGATATAAACAGTTATATATGTAAATTTCCTTACCAATCTTGTAATCATCAGATAAACCATCCACCTTGTGTAATAACACTTCAAAAGTAATGTTTGGATTCACCTTGTACGCACTTGTCACAGTATAAAAAAGTCGATTGAGAGCCTCACTATAATCATCTTGAGCATCAATCACAAATATCAACGCACCCACAGATTCAAAAATATCAAGGGAATCATAAGTTGGATCAAAAAAATTGATTTGCCCGGGAAAATCCCATATTTGAAAGTCTATGAAAGAACGCCTATACATATATATATGTATATATAAAGAATGATTTCGATAAAAAAAAAACATTGTTCTTTTAACTTACGTAATGTCTTCCTTTTGAATCTTGGTTGTGCTTTCTAGATAAAGTGTATCATTAGGTGGCATTTTTCCAAACACCACACGTTGGATACTAGACTTGCCACTTCTAAAAGAAAGAAAGTAAAGGTATTGTCAAAATGTATGTGTGAGTATAAAAAAAAGAAAAATAAAAGACAACAATAATGAATGGTTTTGGTTCACTACAACTTGTGCTTTTTTTTTTTTCTTTACCTCTGTAGCCCCATCAAAAGAATACGTGGTTTGTCAGATCCAATTGTATCCTCGATAATGTCTCTACAAGAAATAAAAAGAGTTTGTTGTTTCAGTCTTTGTCTTTCTACTAAATAAAAAAACCTACCCAGTATCATATTCAGACGGATGTGTATAGTCAAACTAACCAAAAAGAAAATACAAATGTAAGATATCAACCCAAGTTTCATGACATTATTATTATTTTATAAAAGATATCTTACGTCCATCTATAGATATATATATATAAAAGAAGAAAAAGAAAAAGAAAAAAGACAACACGGAAAAAAAGACGTAAAAAAAAAAAAAAAAAAAGATAGGCTTTATTTGATTTCCCGAAAATCCAAACTAATACAAAAACTTTATATTTACATAAATATATGATCTACTATTCTTTTTGTTCTTCTTCATCCTGTTCTTCTGGAAGATCATATTCAAAAGCTACATCCCAACGAGAACCTGGAGCACGTGCACTGACATACTTGATAAACCGCATAACACCTTCATCCCGTAGTACCAAAGCCAATTCATTTTCACCAGCAGGCATGGTCAATAAAGCTCCTTCTTCATCAGCAGCCTTATACACAGCAGCATCTTCTTCTTCATCATGTGGAGCCATATAACATTCATATCCACCATATTCACCACCATCCCATTTCTCTTGAGCTTCATCAGAAGGCATAGACGCCATACAAAACGTCACATCCAAAACACCTTGACCACGAGTATTTGTTGTTGCCAATGTATAATCATGACCAGGTCTAAATCGTCTTGCATCGCCACGGTACCCAAGAGGCAAAAGTTGTGTCACTACAGCTAACCAATGTCGGAAAGGTTCATCAGAGAATTTATGCTTAAGATCACCTAATAAAGATGAACTTGATTCTTGTTGTTTTTTGTTGTCAGAATTCACCACCATATAACGATGTCGATGAGGAGGTCCTTGACATTCCCAATTTCCACGTTGTGTCCCCGTACCATGTGCCATCATCCTTTCCTTGCCAAATCCATCTTGTTCATCTGCTTCCAAGGTGGCTTGTTTGATCTTGTCATACCATTCCTTGTTGAGGATATCCTTGCATTGTACTGCCGATTCTTCCAAAAATTGTTCTGACATTTTGCTTAGAATTGTCATGTTCAAATAATGAGGGTTCATCCATTCTGCCAATGATATTAAATCTTCTTCCGTCAATCCTTCCGTTGCATCGTCTTCTAATGGTGTTTTGTATTGAGCAAATTTGGTACTAGAGTCTGACTAAATTGACAAAAAAAAAAAAAAATAGAACAAATATACTGTCAATGGATGATCTTTCTTTTTTTTTTTTTTTTTAATAATGATAATTTAAATTTAATATTTACCTCTTCTTGAAGTTGTTCTAATGATGATTTTGCTTGACCTTCTTCTACTAGAGCATTATAACCAGGTTCACCTTTTTGAGGAATATGGAACCATCCAGAGATAGACAGACGAGGTTTACCTTGAGGAACCACTTCTTCCACCGAATGAAAAGAATGACCAGGTTGGACGGTAAACATAACAAATTGATTCCATTGAGGAGGAATGATCACAGTAGGTTCCACCGCCGGAATACCTTTTTCAATCACAGGGTAAAGTTCCAGTGCGCCACCATCTTGAGGGTCCCAGCGTTGATCAGGGTCAGTGAGATAAAGAATAAATGAGACACGGCGAGTACCAATCACATCGTCATGATTCAACAAGTGGCAACCTTCATTATAACTATTGATACTCATATCCGTCTTGGTACCAGAGAGAGGACCACAATTGGTGACAGAAGAGATAAAGTCGCGGAAATCTTGAGAATAGAGAGCATTACGAAGTTTGAACAAGTGAGAAAGTTTTGCCAGTTCGTCTTCAGGTAAGCCATCCAAATTGGCCAAGTCACCTGTTTGCCATACTTTATAGATATCGGTTTCCTTGACAGTAAAATGAAGATTTTCTTGGATTTCCTTACGGACTGAACGAAGAAGACTATCATTCATCAATTGATCGATCTTGCAATGAAGGTAAGGTTGAGATGTTTGGAAAGCTTTGTGGATCTTTTCAATCGTAGTTTCCTCTAGTAAACCAGGGTGAAAGTTTTCCTTTTGTGATTGAAGTCTAGAACGTTTGAACGAACGTTCTTCTTCGTTTTCTTGTTGTGTTGACATGATTTATATATTGTATGAACAGTAAACAAAAAAAAAAAAAAGGAAAGTGCAAATTTTTTTTTATACTGTCAACCCTTTTATTTTTTTATATCTCCGCCAATAATCCGTTTCGAGGCACCAATTTATGCATATCACTCTCTCTTTTTGATCAATCCTAATCAAAGATGACCTTTTTTTTTTAATTTTATTTTGTTTTCATCAAAAAGATGATACAACATTTTTTTTTTTTTTGAGAACAGGATTTATTCAAGTATAAATAATCCCACTATAGTTAAAAATGAATGTTCTTTTTTTTCACATGTTTACCACTGATTTTTCCATCATCATCGTCATCATCGATTTATTACTCGTTTACTACCCGTTAGACGAAATGTTACCTAACAATAATAAACACTCATTTCATGTGCATGTTGAAACAATCTCTTGTATATTTCAATCAATTGATTGATAATAAAGATACAACTTTAGATAATAATACATCCAATCCTTTTTTTTTTTTTTTTTTAATACATACATACAAACTTATTCTTACTCTCAGAAATGACAAATTATGAAGATTTTTCTATGTTGTTTCCGATTTGGCCATTGGTAGTGATTGACAATACAATGGACGAAGGAACTATACAAACAAATGACTTGACTTTAGTATCTGAGAATCATCAATGCTATGATGATGAATTAAATTTTTTGATCAAGCAGTACTGTCCTCAAACTAGCTCTATGTTGGATGTGCCCGCTTCAATGCCAGATTATTTTTGTATGGTTCCCTCATCATCATCATCATCATCATCATCATCATCGACGTTTATATTGGAAAGTCAACACCATCCAACGCCTAGTACACCCCCTGTCAAAAAACGTAACACGAGAGTGGGTTATTGTGAACATCCGAAACATGTTTTTTACCGCCAATACCCCCATCAAAGAAAAGAAGAAGATAAAAAATGGGATGGAGTGATGAGAACACCACGTCGTGGAAGACCTCCTAAAGGCACAACATCAACTGATTGTCATTTATCCTTATATCAAATTGCCATGACCACCCGTCCTCTTCCTAAACGATTGGAAGCTGTTGTAGGATATTCGAATATTCATGTCTGTTTGACTTGTTTAAAACGATCCGATATGGATTTGGATTATTTGATGCATCCTGCTTATATAGGTCCTCAAACTACACGTAAAACAAACCCACACTAGTTAATTAAATAAATAAATAATAAAAAACTTTTTATGATTAAAAAAAAAAAAAAAAAAAAAAGGAGAGGAAAAGACCAATGACAAGAGAGAGAGACCTACTTTTGGTAACATCATTGGTCCTTCGTTACCCAAAAAAAGAAAAAAAAATCAATTCACTTTTTTTTTTCCCAGATTCTTTTCCCTTTGTTGTTATTGAATCCTTTCCCATCATTAGCTGATCATCATGGGTTCAATATAATAATCCAAAAAAAAAAAAAAAAAGCAGATAGTAAAAAAAAGAAAAATAGTTTATTAAAAAGAACAATATGTAACTATAAAAATAGAAATCCAAAGATTGAACCGAGTTCTGGCATCCAATTTCGATAGAGATATATGATGATGATGATGATGATGATGAGTTGTCCCGAATAAATAATTTCTACAAATCGGATGATGATGATGATGATGATGATGATGATGAGTGAATTGTTGTTTTAGCTATAGAGTCATCTTGATCAACCATTCCATTCCGGTATTGTTGTAATCCATGCCTACTACTATTGCCATTATTATTATTATTATTATTATTATTATTATTATTATTTTCATTGTTGTCACTACTATTGTCGTCCATGTTTGATTGGATAGGAAGTGCCAATATTTTTCTTTTTTTAGTTTCAGTCTGTGGATATAAATGCATATGATGATCCTTTTTCGCCTTTTCTGTGGTATGCCTTGTTCTGTCCAAAATATCCCGTATGCCAGTTTTTATTGTGTCAATGTCGTAATCATAAACTTGGGTATCAATGGTTCCATCTTTACTACTGAGATGACCGTGATGATGATGATGATGATAATGGTGATGATAAAAGTGATGGTATTGTTGTTCTTGTTGTCGTCGTTCATCTTGATGCCTATGTTCACTAGGATCTATATCATTATGATTATCATTCACCATTGCAATCACTGTATCTCCGATAAAAGAACAAACAAAAAGAAGGGGGGGATGAGAAGTGATTAATAAAATAAGATTATTTGTTAAAGTTTTATATTCATGTCAACTTACAATGATCATCAGGAGTCCTAGTTTGTCCCGCGGTTTGTAAGGGTTGAAAAGCTAAAATAAAAATTTAATCTTGAATATGATTGTTTCTAAAAAAAAAAAAAAAAAAAAAAAAAAAAAAAAAAAAAAAAAAAAAAATAGCTTTTTTTTTTTTACATATATTCTTACCATGATCTGAATTGATGTTGGAGATTCTGGTAAGCATTTGTAATAATTCTACAACAGACTTTCAACATTAAAAAAAAACAAAGTCAATAGTAATGCACTGCACTGTTAGAATGTGACACTTTTTTTTTTCATTCTTTTTGGGTCCTTTTTCCCATCCCTTTTTTTTCCCATCCTTCCTCCTTTTTTTTTTTTTTTCTGTTCCTTAGTTACCTGTTGTTGTTTGGCCACATGTTGCTTCAAATGAGTAATTTCAGTGTTCAAATTGGATGTTTTTGCTTGTAATTGACCAAGTTCACGTCTAAGTAACATATATGATTCAGATCCATTCCGCCTTTCGTCCATAGTTTCATTAGTTTGATATTGATTGGATTGAGAATAATAATCATCGTTGTTATTACTTGTGTCGCTGATGTCAGTTGTACTTGTAATGTCTGCTGTTGGCGGGTCATAAAATGAGGTTGTATCTTCGTCATTATAGTCATCATCATTCGAGGATAATAGAGAGGATATTGGCATGGATGATTTGGTAGAAGAGGAAGTGGAAGGTGGATTTAATATCTGAAGTTGTTGGTGTTTTTGTTCTTGATGATGTAATGGATCCTGCTGTGGATGATATTGATATTGTTGTAGATAATGATCTCTTTCTTGTTTCTGTTGTAATTGATCCTGTTCCTGTTGTTGTATTTGACGTGGAGAATGGTGCAAGAAGGGATCTGTATTGGTAGAAATTGATTTCCTAGAATTTCGTCGTATCTTTCGTAAAGCATTCCGTCCATTTCGGTAAAACATGGGATGGTGGAATTCGCAAATCAATTGTCCATGTCTTGTACTAAAGTTGTCGTTGACCTTATGAAATCCATACACTAAAAAAAAAAAAAAAAATTAATGTTCCATTTTATTTATGTTTTCTTATATGAATGAACATACTATTGAGTTGCCTAACAAAACTTGGCCAGTTGCTATGCTTAAAGTATTGAGGAAGTACCACTTTGGAAAAACCAGGAATATCAAAGACACAAAACCGTTCTCCATCTTCAGACCATGAGATCATTTCTTGTACAGTTTGATCGTTCACCATCCTAGAATAAAGTAAAAAAAGATAAGAAGAGTTAATTACAATACATTATAATAAATATTTTTTTAACTTGCATGCAGAGTTTTGTAATGAATACTGGAACAGAAGTAGGTTCAACACGAAAAGTGAAAGTTTCAGCAGAAGACGAAGCTTGGTTTTGGTCAGCATGTTTAATAGTTGGTTCGTATTGAAACGCCATAAGAAGTCCCGTCGAGACTTTTGGTTAAGAGAATAAGTAAGATAAAATGTATATAATAATAATAATAAAAATAAAAAAAAAAAGGAACACCTATTTTTTTTTCTTTTTAATCTAAAAAAACAAAATAACCATGTATGGCTATATTGTATATAAATTGAATAGAATAAAAATAAAAAAAAAAAAAAGGAATTGGATAACAAAGAGAATTGAAAAAAAAGGGTAGTACTAAAACTAGTATATATGGAAAAAAACTGAGACGAAAAAAGCAAAAAAGGTATAGAAAAGGAAAAGAAGAAGAAGGATTAAAAAATCGCCAACACCTTTCTTTGAAAGTTTTAAGGCTCAGATTTATCCATTAACAAACAAAAAAAAAAAAACTACTAACAAAACCAATAAGGATAAACCCAAGCGTATGGAGATTCATCTTCCGTCTCCTATACATAAAAAAATCAGGGGTTTGATCAAAATCGGAAACTATTTATAGTAAAAAAAAGTTTTCATTCATCAATGATTCTTTTACTTCTCTTTTTTTTTTTTTTAATATAAATCATAAACAAATATGACTCTTTATTATACAATTGTCTTTGTTATATTAGTTATAGAGGTAATATGAAAGAACCAAAAAAAAAAGAAAAAGAGAATCATCCATCGGGCTTATATTTTATTGTTACACTTTCCTTATGCTAACTGAAGAACTTCTAATTTTTTTTTTTTTTGTTTGATGCCATTTGACATGTATATCTTTTTCTTGGGTGATGATGGTTAACTTTTAGATTATACTTTTTTTCTTATTAATGGTAATAATAACAAAGTATTATTATTAACTAACTAAATAACATTTTGTGGGTAAACTTTTATTGGACCAATAGTTGCCGTTACCATTGAAATACCAAAAAAACTTATTTCATTGGTGGTCTACTTCTCTAATGGTAAGATAAAAGAAAAAGAAAAAAATTGTTCGGATAGACCTAAATTCAGATCAATGATTAATATATATATGTTCAGATGAAATATATCAAATATGTTACCAAAATAAGTGACACGTAAGTAAATCATCATTATATATAATACTTTTTTTTTAAAAAAAAATAACAAAAAAAAGAATCTAGTTTTATTTTCATCTTATTATTAGGTAAAAAAAAAAAAAAAAAAAATACTGATTATGGTGAATGAAATTTCTTTTTATGTTACACATGGATCATACTTTTTTTTTTTTATGTCAGATGCCATCTCAAGAATTTATGTGGGGAAACAAGGAGTAGATGATGAAGAATCTTATATAAATCCAATGATATCTCATGATATGGATACTATTCTGTTTGCCAGGAAATTTTATGCTCAACGGAATGTGTAAAGAAAAAAAGAAAATAATATTTTATTTTAACCTTATAAAACTAAACTATTTTCTATCTAGATATTTATGTGGATCCACATTGTTTTTAGATTTGTAAAAAAAGAAAAAAAAAAGAAAGATGTTCTTATTATACAAAATAGGATATACTAACATACCCTTTTTCTTTTTTTTTTTTTAGAATCTTACGCCGCATCTATTTCCTTTTAAGAGAGAAAGTAGCTTTGACTGAAGAGATTATTAAGTTGGAACAAGTAAAAAAAAAAAAAAAGAAAAGAAAAAAAATCCGTCATCTATTACATATCATATTAACCAATCATATTATTACCATTTTAGATGAATCATCCATTCAAGAAAAAAACATAAAAAAAAAAATTATAATCTTACAGATTGATATGAAGGAAATAAAAAAAAAATCATTCTATACATTGCATTATTCTTATTGGATTAAATGATGATGATGATGGTATAATAATAGTAATTAGTTATATAAAAGGCATATGATGGATGATCATCGTATAACAAATCATGACTTGAATCCATTATGATGATAGGGAGAAGGATGACTCTAAATACAAATGATAATCTATGAGTGACTTTTAGGTATATTCTGGTTAAACCTTTTGGTACGATGATGATCATGATTTTTGAGAGAAATACAAAAGTATAAAAGGGATGTCTAATGTGAGCATAATGTAGAGGCATTACGCGTCAAATATTTCTCGCTATGGAATTAAACTAACCAATGAAGAGTTCATTGTTAAGCTACTTTAACAGAACAAAACACAATGGTTCGAATTTTTTAAATGGCATTTTCTCACTATGGAGCAAACTAACCAATGAAAAAGTCATTATATATGCTTAAGTGCTTTTTTTAATAGTCCAGCCAAAAAAAAAAAAAAAAAATTCCATCCCATTTTTTTTTTTTTTTTTTTTTTTTTTGGATTTCACAGCCAAAATTTTCCAACTCCCCAGCCAAACTTTAGCTGTAAAAATAAATCGTCGAGGGGTCATCAGGCAAAGTTTGGAAAAATCGATATTTATTTATTGTATATTAGCTCGCAAGATAAGTGATGAAATGGTATTAGATGATATTAAACTACTTTTTTAAGAGGAATCCAATGGTGGTAGTTTTATTGAATGATGATCATTATTGGACGAGGGATGATTGAATTGATTCTTATTTTTTAATTTTACTCTACAAACTGAGAGGTAAGGTATAAACTGTTATTAATGCAAGTGGAAGAGAACGTTTTCAGGTATGTTCAATTCAAATTCGGATGATGATGGTCGTTTGTAAGAGTGTTAAAAAGGTATAAAGATGTATACCCCATATGATGGTACAGTGCAAAAAAGACAGGTAAGATTTTTTTTAAAAAAAAAAAAGGTTTTTTGTAATTGTTATGATGATGTTGGTTGTTACGACGGCTGTGACACGAGCATGGTGGAACCGGAGTTCCTGATGGTCCCTTCTTTTTTTTTTATATTATAATTTATATGTTTTAGAGTTGCGTAGCTACTTAATTTAGTTGACAATATTTAACTATATGAAATAAAACATACCAAGTTTATTTATACTATCTCTTTTTTTTTTTTATTTTCATCAGTGTCAATAAAAAAAAAAAAGTCTCTCAGAAATACATATAGGTTATTTTAGTGATAATCGCCAAGAAAAAGAGACAAAATAAATCTTCCTTTTTGAGAATATAAAATCAACTAAAAAAGAGACAAATAGTTTCGGTTAGTCAAATGAAAAAGGTTACCTACCAATGAATGGTTACACGACTTGACGATGTTTTCATATACTTATATATAAGGTTGTTCCTTTCTCTTTTTTTTTTTTTTCTTTCTCACTTTATTATTGATAGATACATAAAATGACTATTGAAGAAGTTCAAGTAGTGTCTGATAACAATGATTTCGAAATTAACTCCGTCTTGGAGGAACATATTTCCACCAAAAATCACGAGGAGCTTATGAAGGTATCTCTTTCTCTCCCACCTCTTTTTTTTTTTTTTTTTTATAAATCCTTTTTTTTTTTTTTTATCATGTCGATAGGCTTTATCAGTGTCTGTTGAAGAAAGTGGAAAGGGCAACTGTAAGTTTTTTTAATAATAGTAATAATAATAATAATAAAACTAGGTGATAAACTGAATACCATTGTTATTTCTCTAGTTCATCAAGGTATTCATACACCATCAGCCAAAGCGCCTAGTCACTGGTATCGACGCAAACTCACAGGTTGGCTCCATCATCATCTTGTACCTGAACATTTCCGATTGGCAGTAGAAAAGAAATTCGGCGTGTTTATTGTTCTTCGCGACACGAATGAATACCATTATGAAGAAATGCCTATTTATACTCGTATTGGTATGCACTTGTTATTTGTCGGTCATCACTATCACGAAAAGTTTGTTGACAGTTCCATGATGCACCGTCTCTTCCTTCACGAAAGCTTGAAACAAGGCACTTATTTTACTGATCCCAAATCCGTCTCACAAATCCCTTCATTCATCAACCACTACTCGATCGACATGACTGACTATGTTCAACAAGACATATCCGCTTATGCCAACTTTAATGAATTCTTCATCAGAGCCATACGTCCCGAGGTTCGTCCTATTGCTGATCCAAACAATTTGGATGTTCTTGTCTCTGCTGCTGACTGTCGTTTGAATGTTTTCCATCATATCACTGAAGCTACTGAATATTGGTAATGATATATTTTTGGGATTAGATTCTTTTTTTTTTTCTAATTTTTTTTTTTTTTTGTGAAAAGGATCAAGGGTAAGAAATTTACTTTGGCTAATCTATTTCAAAATGAAGATTTGGCCAAATCATTGGATGGTGGGTCATTAGCCATTTTCCGTTTAGCCCCTCAAGATTATCACCGATTCCATAGTCCTACTCGAGGTACTGTCCAATCTATTTCAAACATCGAAGGCACTTACTTTACTGGTAACTTTAAAAAAAATAGATCTTTTTGTGATCATCCATTGACTTTTTTTTTTGTTCTATAGTCAACCCATGTACTGTTCGTGAAGAATTGGATGTTTTTACGGAAAATCACAGACAAATCATTCAAATGAAGGATTATAAGGATCGTCCTTTTGCCGTGGTAGCAGTAGGTGCTTTACTTGTTGGCTCAATTCAACTCACCAATGCAAAGAATGAAGGCGCGACGCTAGACAAGGGTGAAGAAATGGGTTATTTCCAATATGGTGGGTCTACTGTGATCTGTGTGTTTGGCAAGGATACTGTACACTGGGATCAAGATCTTACCAAGAATTCTACTCTTTCCTTTGAAACCTATGTGCGCATGGGTGAACGTATTGGTACTTTTATTTAAAAAAAAAAATAGTCTGTTCTCTTGTCCACGTGGAATAAAATAAAATCATCTATTTATTTATTTATTTATCTACAAATATACATATATATACAATATCAACCTAAACTATAATTGTTTTTGTTTTTTATGGAGGATTTTGCCAAGACTTGTCAAAAGAGAATGTACTAAGATGAAACAACGGAGAAAAATCAGTATCTATGGTAAATTTTATTTTATCTTTTTTTTTTTTTTTTTTTTTGTACCTTGATCATGATTGCTATGCCAGGTCATGCCGATAATATCAGATGCCATTTTTAATGCAGCTAGAATTTGTATATAAACACCATCTTCTTCATGATCAAGAAGAACAGGATATACATCAAGGACTTGTTTCATCAATGAGATGGCTTCCATCAAAACAATTTTCCTATATGATTTTCCATTAAAAACCTTGTCAATTTTTTTTTTTTTTTTTTTTTTTTTTTGCTTACGATTCTTCAATGGGGACAGATTCAAAAGGAGGTTGCATACCTTCTTGAATACGTAAACATTCATTATTGAGGATATAAATGGCAGACATAAGAACCAAATTGAGTGTATTGTCCAAAGAAAGAGGAGTTGGATGAACTGACATGATCTTGCTATATATCCCCATCGATACTGATCTGATATCATACCACTATAAAAAAAAAACTCAATTATGAGTATCATGTATTTTCTTTGTTCCCCCCCCCCCCTTTTTTTAAAAAAAAATATACCTCTAATTCAAGTTGATAACAGGGTCTTGGAGAAGTCATAAGGGCTGATATGTTTTTCAATAAAGGTTTGTATTTCTCTTGATATAGCCAACTTGTGTTCCCTAGAGCAAAAAAAAATCATCAATCACGAATATTCTTATCATCAGCGATATTCATACCATCCAGAAGTAGAGCATGTATTACTAAGAGAGCTTCGTTAGCTGTAGCAAGTGGTTTTCGAGTAGTAATGATATCCATGAAGCCCTTTTCATCCAATAGAAATAAGAATCTATCAAAATATAAACGAATCAGTACAACTAACTTTCTATATTTTTTTTTAAAAAAAAATACCTTTTTGCTGATTGAGAGTCTTCTATAAACTTTTTCCCACCATTGTTACATAGGTAAAAGATCACATGAGTGAATAATTTCAGAATGTTTGAAGTTGTTTCTTGTGCTTGAGAGGAGGTGACACCTGTCAATAACATTTGAGCATCAGAAGGTCCGAGCGTATAGTCTTGTAAAAGATTCTTGATTTTGTGGTACTCCATTTGGTTCATATCCGGTAATCTCTGCAGAAAAATAGACTCGCAAAGTCCTTCATCCGCATTTCTAAGTGGTAATAGTACTAATCCTTTGGCCAGATATTGAAGTGTAGATTGATCACCAGCTAAAATAAACAGGAATAATCAATTCAGCCCTTCATTGATATATATATATATATATTGATTGTATACTTACCCCCAAGCATTTCTTGAAGAAGGTGTGTAATGATATGATCAGAATATTGCATCACTAACACACATAAAAGATCCGCCGCCCGTAAAAACAACATATGCTAAACAAAGGAAAAAAGGAGGAAAAAAAAAGTAAAATAGATGAATAAGTGTATAATCGTATTCTTTTTTTTTCCTTTTTTGATAATTACCTTTTCTTCTTGAACACAGAGTTTGGTATAAAAACGCAAGATCACAAGGAGCTGGGATAATGTTGGTTTGACGCCTGTCTCATTCACCCGAGAAACACATCCAGATATATCATAGGCAAGACCTGTCAAACTGGCGTCCGTTTCTGTAATCATTTGAGGTGGCCTAAGACATTGAATAAGACGATCTTGTATCTCTTGAATTCCCAAATGAACCTGTCGTCCTGGTTCTTCACGTTGTACCTGTAAGACCGTCAGTTCGTTCAAACATCTGATGAAATCCTGTATCAACAACAACAAAAAAAAAATTTTTTTTTGTCAGTTTGCAAGTTTACAAAGCATATATGTTATTTATTACATCTGGCATATCTTGATCTTTTTTGGTTATCTGTGGTACTTCAGTATTGACAGCTCTATCGATTGATTGTTGGTTCTTTTCACGTCGTCGCTTTGTTTCCACTTGGGAGAGATGTGTTGCCACAGGTTGTGACACTTGTGATGATATAGTGAATTTGGGAGATGTTGAAGTTGGTTCAATCTTCACTGATGTTGTTGATGCAGGTGATGGAGATGTTGATAATCGTGGTCGCTTTAACCCAAAAAGTCGATTATTCAAGGAAGGGAAACTTGAATCTAAAAATAATTAAATATATATATATCAATATTTAATGATTTTTTTTTTTTTACTATTATTATCATCCATCTACTTACATCGTTTGTTTTGGTTGTTCATGTTGCTACTTTCTGATTCCGATCCAGGGTCCATAATAGTGGTACTAGTAGTAGGATTGGTAACTGGTTTTGTCGGTTGATCTACATCCATCCAATCCTTTTGAGATGCTTGTTGTAATTTTTGTTTGGCTTCCCTCAGTCCTGCTTTTGTAGTTTCTAATTCTTGTTCCTATAATGATTTCTATTAATATCTAGATCAAATAGAAGAAGAAAAAAAATTACCTTGAAGGCCAGCTCGGCACGAAGTCGGTCTGCGTTTCGTAGTGCCGTTTCCAATTCTAATTCTTGCATTCGTTTGTATTGTAATTGTTGCGACTGTTGAAAAGTTGTGTCCATCTTTCCTGTTGTACTTGTATGAGTCTAAATAAAGAAAAAGAAGAATCAGACGATAGCCTAGCAATGAAAAACAATTTTTTTTTTTTTACCGGTGCATCATTAGTAAAGTAATTTAAAGTTTCACTGGGTTCCCAGTTCGATCTTGATCCTTCATCGATTACACGTTTCTGATCGATAGTAGTCGCGTGTTGTTCGTTGCAAGTATCTTTGTATAAAGAGATTTGGTCGGTATTCGTAGTATTGGCATAGACTTGGTGTCTTTGTTGCAATTGTCGTTGTTGTTGTTGTGTGTTGCTGTATTCTACCTCTGCTTGTTCTAAAATCCTTAATAGGTCAATGTCGTCATTGAAATGCTCCTCGTCCTCTTCCATAATGGAGTGAAGAGGGAAAGAAAAAAAAAAAGAGCGTAAATCCTAATTGATTGGCAAAATGGGAAAGGAATTGAAAAAAAGAAAAGCGTGACTCGAACAAAATAAACTCTGATTGGATGTTACCCAATCCAAAATGGGAAGTCAGCTCCGTTCGATATTTTTTTTTCCTCTCTTTGTTCTTTTCTTCTTCCTCTTTTCTTCTTTAACTTTCTTGCTGTCGTTTTGTGTCAACTTTTTTTTACCATTTACCCTTTTATTATTATATCCAGAGAAGTGACCAAAGCAAGCTTGAATCAAAAACCATCATGTAAGGAAACGATATGAAGAATCAATAACAACCAACAAAAAGTTGTACCTTTATGGAAAGATCTATATCTACTGATGACTACTATATCCATTTCTAACTTTATTTACTCTTTATATATATATATGTACTTTACTTGTTGAATAGATCATTTTTATTATTTTTTGAACATTTACTCATTTTGAACGAATTCACTTGTACAGGGTAGTTTAGTCTTCCAAGGACTATGGTAAGAATGAAAGGAAGAAGGGGTGACAGAAAAAAAAGGAGGGATATATCATGGAATAGAATTGACTCTATTTTTTTTTTTTAATGGATACTTTTAGGTAGATCCCAGTCTTGATATCAAAATTACATGTCAAAGCAGTATCAACCCTGGTGCAGCAGCTATTGATGGTCATCCATGGCGAAATTGGAAAATACGATTAGTGGCAATGGAAGGAGGTAAAGAACATAAAGGAAAATTGACTCATGTATTGGATCGTGTGGAATATATATTACATCCTACTTTTGAAAATCCTCGTCGTGGTAAGTAATTAATTTGTCGTTTCATTGTACATCAACTTATCTTTTTTTTTTTTTTTTTTTTTTTTTTTTTTTTACTTCAAACTCTAATTTAGTGGCTAATTGTGAACCTTATATGCTACAAGAAAAAGGATGGGGTGAATTTGATTTACGTATTGTACTATACTTTAAGGATAATTTGGTATCTCCTGAAGTGATCTCGTTTGATTTGAATTTTCGAGCTTCCACTTATTCTGTGATTCATAAAAGGGTATGTAATGAATTGAAGTAGGAAAAGAAAAAAAAAAGGGGGGGGGGAAGGTTGTCATTATATTTAAATTTATATATTTATATTATATTGAATATAGTTTTTTCCAGATGCACCACCGGAATTCATGTCTTTACTATACAAGCAAACACTTTCACCTACTATCACAAATAAACGTTCAAGTCCATCTATGGGGGGTAGATCGATCAATAACACCAATGGCAGCAATATGAATAACAGTAACAACAACAATGTCAATACATATCATCGAAATAAAATCAGTACTGGTTTGGCGGCAGGACCGTCATCGTCCTCCGCAATTACAACAACTTCAAATTCTTCATCACAGCAAGCATCACCATCATATCATACGTCTATAACGTCATATGATTCACATCAACAACAACAACAACAATTGGATTCATCATATGATCGCTCGAAAAGAGGAAGATACGCACGGACAGCAAATGTTACAAACAATGACACAGCGTTTTTCAACAAAGCAACAGGAAAACGGAGAGATGGTTTGATTGTGGACGATGTATATACTGAACAAGACCTGGAACATGTACATCCTATTCATCGATCAAAACTAGAACAGTCAACAAGACAAGCTTGGGGCATTCCTATGGATTTGGATATGATAGAATTAGCTACTCGACTTAGTAGAATGACAGATGATCAAGTAGATGAATTCCAATCCATCATTCAAAAGACGATGACGAAGGATATGACAATTGAAGAAACAGATGGTAAAAATAATAGAAAGAGAAACATATATATACATATATATATGGGAACTTTATGATACTGATTTTTTTTTTCTTTTTTATTTATTTCCTTGGTATCAAAAAAAAACAGAAGAAATCATGGTAGATTTATATTCTCTAGGACCGCAATTACTGAACTCTCTATGGCAATACACTGAAAAATTCGATTCCTCTCCGTCAATGACATCAAGTACTTCCAAAGAAGCTGACAATAATATGAATGGCTATAACGGGCTCTTGGATACATGATTGTGTTTTTATTCTTGTTATTTCTTACTATATATATTTTTTATATTATATATATTTCATTAGTTTACTATTTATACATACACATCTTTAGTTTTGTTTTATCCATTTTTTTTTTATCTCTTTTGATTATATCCCTACTCATTTTTACTTTATCATTTTTTTTTTTTGTATAATAAACCCATTCTCCTGATATCGATGACAAACAGTTATCGAATAATAAAAATTGAAAAAAAAAGTAATGATTGAAACGAATGACATGGAATTAGACAAGTAGATGGATGATGGTATGATGATTTATAATGTGTTGATATGCTTACATGACGTGATGATATGGGACGTTGGATGTTACATTTAAAAAAAAAAAAAAAAAAAAAAAAAAAAAAAAAAAAAGAAGACAATATTTATTTCAAATACAAGTAAAATGGTGAACTAACTAATGAAAAAAAAAAAAAAAAGAATATCAGGTAATCATGTCAGGATTGGGATAAAACACAATACTATTAGGATCAGGGAGACGAGGGGCCAAAACACCTTTGATAGGATCAAAAAAATAGATAAGGATGTTAAAGGCGATCCCGGCGACCAAGAGACAAGACCATACAACGACAGGAAGGGATTGCTTGACTTGACACCATAAGATATTTTCACGCTTTCGTTCAGAAGCAGATCTAGCGCTCGTACCCCAACCCACATCCCATAGAGAAATCAAGGCCCACAGTTTGGCAGGAACCAAGCCGATGAGGTAATAAATAGAATAGAATGGGAAAGCAAGAAACCGTAGCGATCGAGACACCATCACAGAGTAGACCATCTTGATCATGGCAACCATCACCAAGGATACCAACCAAATCAAAAGTACCCAAGGAGAGTGCGCCCATAAAATATAAAAAATGGAGAACATCAGAACAAATGGATACATCCCTTGATAAAACAATTCTGCCGCCATCCATGGACTATGTTTATGTAGACTACGTGCATTCCATAATAATTCTCTATAAAAGCTTTTGGACCATCTTGTCTGTTGTTTGAACCATCGAATAAAAGTGACAGGTGTTTCCGTTTCACAAAACGCCATATGATTGTAAACCACCTTTTTTCCATGAAGAAGAACTCTATTTGTCAAATGTCTAAAAAAAAAAAAAAAAAAAAAAAAAAAAAAAAAAAAAAAGAAATCAATGGATCATCAAATTTTATATTTTTTTTTTTTTTTTTTGGAAATACCTATCATCACCATAAGTACATTCTAGACCTAAAAACCTTTGAGTCACCCAATCATCCAAAATCTCACGCAAGACGGAAGCACGATAGATACCCATGGGACCAGAGACACAAGTGACAGCACGATTGAAACTTTGAGCAGCACGTTCGATATTAAAAGCCATCCAGTAGCGTAAAGAGGACATGAAAGACAAGGCACTATCCATAGTATTCCAAATGCGTACATCGCCAGCCGCCGCACCAATGGAAGGGAACCAGTGAAGAGCACGTTCAAGTTCCAAAACTGCACGAGGATCAAACTTGGTGTCTGAATCTGTGGACACAATAGATTCACAGCCTACTGCTAACAGGATACGAAACGCTGTATACATGGCTTGTCGTTTGCCACGATGAGGTTGCATATAACATACTATCCGGGTATTCGAAGGCAGGACGGTATAATAATGAAGAAACTTGTCAAGAGGATCCATTGTTGGTGTTGTTGGGCATGATTCAAGTTCATAATGTCGACCTTGCAACTTTTGACGTTGTCTTTCCTGAACAATAATTTCTATTTTGGATGGCTTTTTCTTCTTCTTCTTCTTATTGTTGTTGTTGTTGTTGATAACAATAGTGTCGTTTTCTCCTTTCACACTCCTGTCGGTAGTTATGATACTGATATTTTCCGAGTTATCCTCATGAGTTGATTGATTGGCAAGAGTAATTGATTGTGAGTAAGGTAAACCTAATTGTTTTTGAACAAGTTCCAATTGTTGAGGATGTCCAGTAAAGAGATCAGATAAAAGATGAGGAAGGGTCACGACAGGTTCTGTAGGAAATATTTTTTGGAACACCGCTGCCATTTCTGCATCTTGTGGATCGTTGCCATCGATCACCACGACCATGATGATAGGATCAGGATATTCTACATGACGAATGGATTCCAAACAAGCAGCAAACAAACCCGGTTCTTCACGATAACCAACTACAGCAAGGCCTAATTTGGATGCTTTACGTCTTTCGCATGATGATGATGATGATGACACGTTATTTTCATTTTTTTCAAATGATGAAGAAGAGGAGATAGGATCAGGTTGATTTCGTCTATAATAAGCGACCATACATCGATTCAAAGAGGCAAAGATCAATTGTAAAACAACAAATGAAAACACAACAAGACCATATACACCCAATGCCCAAAAGGAATGCCGAGTGAGCTGGACATGAAGTATGTAACCGATAATGGCTGGGGCAACGAAGATACAGGATATCACAAATGAATATATTATCTTTAGAGGTGTTGTCCATATCATTTCTTGCTAGTGATTAATTATCTATAAATAAATTAAAGAATACATTCAAGAAATACCGAGAAAGATTAACATCACTAGATTTCCCAGTTTTCGATTTTGTTCTTTTTTTTTTTTTTTTTTTTTTTTTTTTTTTTGCTACTACGTTCCGATATCAAACAATACTGTCTCACTCAATTGATTAAACTGTATATATGTATTCGGTGAAACGATCATCTTATACCATTAAAAATAAAAATAAATCATTTACCAAGTTGATCATAAAAGAAAAAACATCTCCGAGGTCAATAAATCAAACTTGTTAAAGAACGACAACAACCATAAGAAGTATAATAAAAATGATTTTATTTTGATACACGAAAGAAAATAACAATAATGAGGAGCGAAAGGAAAAAACAAAATAATGTATACAGTTGGTGTTGATTTCATACTGCTTAAGCCAATCCAGCTTCAACCATAGCCTAAATTAACAAAAAAAAAAAAAAAAAAAAAGAATTAATAGTGAACATCCGTTTTTCATTTTTCTATTTTCTATCTTTTTTTTTTTTTTTTAAGAAAGGACTTACTTCTTGAAGGGTAACACCCAACTTGGCAGGAGAAGGAGTAACACGGACACCAGCATTTTCAAGAGCCTTAATCTTATCTTGAGCACCACCCTTACCACCAGAAATAATAGCACCAGCATGACCTGAAAAAAAAAATTATATAAGTTCAACCTCTTTTTTTTTTTGGATGATTCTTCTTACCCATTCTACGACCAGGAGGAGCAGTGACACCAGCAATGAAGGAAACAACAGGTTTGGGCACAGCACGGGTTTGATTGTATTGTTTAAGGAAATCAGCAGCAGCTTCTTCAGCTTCACCACCAATTTCACCAATCATGATGATACCTATATATTTTGAAATTAAAAAAAATAAATAATCAAAAATAGAATTATTATTTCTTTTTTTTTTTTTTGGTTTACCTTCGGTTTTATCATCTTCTAAAAAGACGCTAAGACAATCAATAAAGTTGGTGCCATTCAAAGGATCACCGCCAATACCAACACAGAGAGTTTGACCAAGACCAACATCAGTGGTTTGTTGCACAGCTTCATAAGTCAAAGTACCAGAACGAGAGACAATACCAATCTTACCCTTCTTCAAGATGCTACCAGGCATGATACCAATCTTGCATTCTTCGGCATAGATCATACCAGGACAGTTGGGACCAACCAAACGAGTTTTGGATTGAGTCAACAAGGCTTGCTTGACACGGACCATATCATGTTGAGGAATACCTTCAGTGATAGCAACAACCAAAGGAACTTCAGCTTCAATAGCTTCCAAAATGGCAGCAGCAGCACCAGGAGGAGGAACATAGATTACACTAGCATCAGCCTTGGTTTCTTGCACAGCCTATAAAAATGAAAATAATATATGCTTTTAGTTTCCTCCTATCTATGTATAATCCTGCTCCTTTTATCAGATACTTACTTCACGGACATTGGCAAATACAGGTAAACCCAAGTGAGTTTGACCAGCCTTCTTGGGAGACACACCACCAACCATATTGGTACCGTATTCGATAGCTTGTTGAGAATGGAAAGTACCCTATAAAAGAAGAAGAAAAAAAAGGTTAAAAAAGTGAACAAAGAAATAAATCCATCTATCATTTTCTTCTTTTCAAAAAAAAAAAAAAAAAAAACCAAAATGACTAACCATCCTTTCCAATCCATACTATCTCCCCCTTTCCTCTCATTTTTCATCTTTTCTCTTTTTTAATATTATAGTAGTTTACCTGTTTACCAGTGAAACCTTGACAGATAACCTTGGTGTTCTTTCCAATCATCAAGTTCTTGGCAGTGGATTCATAACCGGTGGTAGCAAAAGAACGACGAGCAACTAAAATGAAATAAAGAAAAGGTATAAAGTCATTAGAATAAAGATTTGATAGAAACACGATATAGAAACAAAAATAAGTAATTGTTTCTTTCTAATAATATAATAATAATAAAGTACTTGTTGTGAAGGGGGAGAAAAAAAATAAAAAAAACTTACCGGCGGCAGTGGATCGCAAAAGAGTAGAAGCGGATGGGAACATTATTGTATATGTCTAAAAGTGTTCCTAAAAAGAAGAAGGATTGGTGGAAAAAGGGAATAGAGAAAAAAAAAAAAAAAAGAGTGGAAAAGAACGGAAGAGGGAAGAAAAAAAAATTTTGTTATTGAGAAAAAAAAGTCGAATTCGGGATTTCAATATGAATTATGGGAAAGTCAGGGAAAAACAAGTTAAGATATTTAAAAAAAAAGAAGGTTTTTTTTTATTGATCAATAAAAGAAGTATGTAAACTACGTGATGATGAAATACCATTCAATTTTTTCATATGATTACTACTACTATTATTGTTACTATCCATTTCATCCAAATTTTCACTAGTACCAGTTTGTTCGGTTGTTGATGATGATGATGATGATGGTTGTGAAGTCGAGTTGTTAATCATATTGATTGAGGAAGAATGACCCATATTTGATGTTCCTACTAAATTAGAACATTGTCCACTATTACTATTTCCATTGTTACCACTATTACCATTCATGATCATCGATGTGTTGGAAGAACTAGACCTTCGTCGTTGATGATGGCGGGCCCAAATACTACTAGTGGATGCTGATGTTGAAGACAATGTTGTTCCGGAACTAGCCGATGCGTTGCCATGAAGAGCGGAACCTAAATCAAGTCGAGACAAGTCGCTACTGAGATTGCCTGTTTCACTGGATTGTTCACCATATAATAAAAGTGCATGTGTGGAATCTTCTGAAGATGGTATACTATTCGTTGGTGCATTTGGCTGTTTGGACGATGAAGAGGATGTTGACGAGGTCGATGTGGTTGATGAAGGGAATAAGATAGAGCTGGAAGGTTCCGTTAAAATACAGCCAGTGCTACTTGAACAGCCTTGTTGTTGGGAATCATCTTGGCTATAGTCAGTATCATCCAAATCTTCATCAAATGAAGCAGAAAATCTTTGTCGCTTGGCACTCATCAAGTCATTGCTTGAAATTCGTCGATGATGTTGATGATGATAACGTGAATGAGTTTGTTGCTGATTTGATTGGGGTGATAAGGTAGATGACGAGCCAGATGATGAAGTACCATTTTGTGAACTAGTTTGTGACATTTCCAATGAACGATCATCAAAATGAGATGTTGTACGATGAAGATGATGATGATGGCAATGATGATGGCGATGATGACGTACCAAATCGTCAGATGAACTATGATGATCCATTGTTTGTTCGTTATGATTAACAGTTGATGATGTTGTTGGTGTTATTGTAGTAATAGTAGTAGATGTAGAGGATGATGTTGCCGTTGATGATGATTTTGGTGACGTTGTTGTTGATGTTGTTGTTGTTGGTGTTGTCGTTGTTGACGATGACAATAATGATGATGATGACGATGATGATGATGATGATGGTGATGGTGACGGTGATGATGGTGTATCTGATATTATTGTCGATAAAGATGTTGTTGCTGTTGTTGTTGTTGTTGTTGCTGTTTGAGTATTACTGGTATCATCTAAATGATTTCGCCGCCTTCGTCTCCAATTCAATTTTGCACCGAGTGTTTCCCGTTCACGTCTAGCAGCTTCTTGTAACATGATACATTTCACCTTGTAATCGATATTGGCTTGACTTTGTAGGTACATGAAGAACTCTGATAACTTTGAAAAATCCCAACCATCTGTAAACGCTTGAAGAAATCGTTCTCGTTGATGTTTTTGAGCAGTAACATAAGGAGGAGTGGCAAGAATGGTGGTGATAAGAGTAGCAGTATATTGAGTTGCCCATGTTTGTGTCAGATGTCGTAAAAGTTGTGCTCGTCGCATGTCACCTAAGTCAAATGAGTATCAAAAATAAATAAATAAATAAATAAATAAAATCAATTATTTTAAATAATTAAGATTTTTACCTTGTTCATCACACCAACCAACAGTGATATGACGAACCAAAATGCTTGTACTTTCCCAACGCCAATCAGCCACTAACCATTTCACAGCATTGATGATACGATCCAGAGAATATTCATTGGCAATACGATGTAAATACATAGCGGTAACTAGAACATTATCTTCAGATTTCAACCAAGAATAAAAAGTAGCATCATATAATTGATCCATTTGCTTGATATTTCTATGTACGTCTTTCCAATCTTGATTCATTACCAAACAAGGTACTGTTCCTATATAAAAGAAGTATGTAAGTTTTATCATTTCTATTTTATTCCATTTCAGTATACTCCGCTAAGATATCCTTTCTCAATAAAAAAAATTCCTTCTTACTTTTGCTAGTTCTATCAGCCCATTCTGCCACAGATAGATCACGTTGATGGTTAAAAATATCAGTTGTAATTGTTGATAATGCATTAGTAGAAGTTCTATGTGTTTGTTGAGAATCTTGAGAAGTAGGCTGAGAAGTTATTGTTGTTGAAGAAGTAGGAATATCGATAAGACTTGTATGAAAAGATTCCATTAAAGAAGTCGATGATGTATGAGTAACAGTAGACGAACGAGGTGGAAGCATAATAACAGGAGTGTTTGTCATTATTTGCCAACAAGACGAACTGCTTGCTAGAAAACAAGCAAAAAAAAAAAAAAACAAATATGAAGAAAGAAAGAACAAAAAAAAAAAAAAAAGAAGGGGGAAAGGAGAAAAAAAAAAAAAAAGTGATGAGAGAAAAAAAAAAAAAAAACCTGTGACTCAATTGACTCTCCGCTATTTTTTGGTTAAGAAGGGGAAAAATTCAACTGGTAAGTTAATTCTCGGATTCAAATAAGCTTCTAATTTATTTTAATATGGTATCATTTTTAGATAAAACTAAGATAAAGATATATATTGAGAGAAGAAGGGTTCTAATACTAATTGTTGTCTAATTCTATCTATTTTTTCTAATTGCCAATCAATAGAAGGTTGATATTGTAACTCTTGTTTTTCTACAATCAAGCGTTGGGAGATACATTTAAGTAACCGATCCAGAATTTTCCAATTCCATCCACTATGAACCAATAATAATTGTTGACAAGTAGTTATAAATTCCATTGGATCCATATCAGTCTTGAGATTATCAATAGATCGTTCCACGTCTTGTAAATCCTTCACCATGGATTGATAACATTGTTCTATATTACATGCATTAAACCAATTGTGATTGATGGATATTGTTCCTCCAATATTTTCAACCTATATATATATATTAAAAAAAAAAAAAAAGGATTCATCAATCATTGACTGAAAAAAAATGATTAACCTTTTTTATTACCTGATGATACCATCCACTTGGTACAAATATTGTTTCACCATCTTTTTGATAAATCACCATACGTTCTGCTTTTGAGAAATTGGGAAAAGTTTCTGGAGATACATGTCGTATATCATATACCATATTTCCTAATTTGTCCTTGTATAGTTCTTCTTGGCCTGGAGGAAAAAGAGTCCATTTTTTGATCCCACAGATATTACTTGACCAAGAATAAGACCTAATATAGATAAGTTAATAAAATAAAAATATATAATTCCATAAAACTTATATTATTACCTATATACATCAGCATGGAAAGGAGTAAAACTACCATCACCACCCATATAAGAAAATCTATAATCATCCTCTGTTTCCTTTTGCCAATATTCGTTCATCCAATCATCTAAAATATAAATAATAAAAATAAAAAAAAAATGAATAAATAATAACATTTCTTTTTTTTTATTTATAAACTTACCTGCAAATATATCAGGTACTTTATACATAGTTTGATCGGGGAAAGCTTGAGCAAAGTGCCAATCCTTTAAATAATAATGAGAATGTTGATCAATCGTAGTATTTTGCCATAGATCCACAAAAGCATCAAAGGTCAATTCCGTACGTTTTTGATCCGTAAAGTCTCTTTGGTCACAATCAGCTACTTGTACAAGTGCCTTTCCAAATTTTTCACGAAGATAGTCATAATTGGGTTGTGATTGAGGTTGAGGTATATTGGGATCATGGGTGGTATAGTTGCTAATTGGTTTGATCCAAGTTTGTCGGGCCTCCCAATGATCTATAAGTCGAGGTCCAAATATTGCAGGTACATTAGGAATGAGATGATGCCGTAAAAAGTATTCATACGTTGGAGGATCAGTATAATATGGAATGGTAGTGTTTGTCATAAAAAAAAAAAATATATATTGGAAAAAAGAGATCAAATAGAACAAAGAAGAAAGATTGAACGTATTTATATATATATATATATATATATATATATATATATATAGCTTGAATCTGGGTTTCAAAAAAGAAACATTAGGTTGCCATAATTCGTTTCTTTTCCATTTCCCATTGGTCTTCCTTACCTTTTTTTTTTTTATGTCAAAAGATACCATTCATCGTTCAAGTAATCAAGGTAATGAAAAAGAGAAAACGCGTATTCATTCATTTTATTTAATACTAACAGTCATAATGCAAAATGTTTATGCGCATTTTCCTTCCAATTAGGTGATTCTCTACCTCTCAACGTTGAAGATCTCGATCCTACGACTATCATTGCTTTGGATGCTTTATCAGCCATTGCAAAACGAATGAATATTGACCAAGATAAATATAGTAGGTTCGTGTTATCTACGATACTAAGTTGATATATTGAATTGTTTTTTTTTCTTTACTCGGTTTTTATTATTATTGTTGTTGTTGTTGTTGTTAGCTACGAAACGGGACTTACACACACACTCATGACTACTATGGACTTAGAATTGGAACGCCAAGATTTAGAAGAATTGAGTTGGGTTGTTCAAAAACGTAAGATATTAGCTGAACGGGAACTTGCTGCGTTAAAAGAGTAAGTACAACAAAAAAAGAAAAGCAATAATAGAAAATGATCGTTATTCATATTTATCTAAATGATGATGGACAGACTTTGGAGTTGTATGCGACAACAAAGAGACGAAAAAGAGCAACCACAAGTACAACAATGGCAAAAAGAAACATCTACTATTAAAGCACAACTAGAACAGGATGCCCACGAATATGAAAAGGCCATGGTAAAAAAAAAAAAAAAAAAAAAAAAAAAAAAAAAAGGGAACTTCACATCTATGATTTACATCCTAACCAATATCTATTATCATCAAGGAACAAATCAAAAGTAGAAAAGACGATACTGATGTCACTGCCGTTAGCTTATTGGAACAACAAACATATCAACTTGAAAAGCAACTTGACAAAACAACACAACATCTTAGCCAATATAACAATCTTCCAGCGGTAATGCCAATAAAAAGATAAAATACAAAAATAACTAATTCGATTTTTTTTATATATATATTGATACATGTAGGATATGGATTTGGCGACAACTATGTTACAAGACAAACTAGATGACTCGGTAAGATAGAAAGAAAAAAAAAAGCACATATTGTTTTGTTGACAATAAAATGAATACTGATCAGATGATACCTTTTTATTAATGCATAGACAAAACTGGAAAGGACCCGGGATCGGTTACTAGCAGACATAGCAAGTAGCATGTATTGATAGTTAATAGTTATGTAGATAGATCAAAAATAGTACAATATAATAGTTTTGTTTTATTCTTTATTCGATATGATAAAGGGTTGTTGTATATATACAAATGGATGAATCAAAAAAACATAAGTATGTTACTATGAACTAAATATGTACGTTGGTACGAATGTGTACAAAAAAAAAAAAAAGATACAATGAGTGGGAAAAAAAAAATGCTAACTAACAAGATGTGGTCTCTAAATCGGATTTGGGGGTAAATAGCTGTTCAACAAGATCTTGAGGGGAAGGATCATCAGTAAAAAAAGGCTTGTTTCTACAAAATTGAGGCTAAAACAATAATATCAATATCAGATTATGTATAAATATATAAAAGAAAAACTTACAAGTGATAGAGTTGATTGAGATTTCAAAATTCCATTGGAGTGATGTTGCATGGAACGCTCCGATGTGCTACCAGATATTGAATGAGCTATATTATTATGGAGTTCGTTAGTAAAATCTAGACAAAAAAAAAAAAAAAAAAAAAAAAAAAAAAAAAAAAAGGATCACATGACGAAATATTACCTATGGAGCTATCTTCTTTTTTCTCGGAAGCAGTATTTGAGATCATAACTGATATATCCGTTTGTCGAGGTGGTTTAGTCAATGGAGGTCTAATAAAAAAAAAAATTTATGTCAATTGGCTTAGAATGATGTGTAACATTGATTTCCACTTACACAGAAAAAGGTTCATCAACGTTTGTGATTTGTTTCATTTCAATTGACAACTAAATAAAGAAGTTATTAGAAGGAGTTTATATATATATATATATATATATATATAACGGTATTATATTTACTTTGATGAAAGAATTGAATTTACATTCTTCCAATAAATAACGTTTTGTAATGAATCCAGAAGTAGCATATTCAGATAAGTTAATAGATAAAGAGCCCATTTGTTTCGCATTACTACCACCAACTTGTTGAAATATTTCCAGTTTCAGTTCACAAGGTGTTAATAAATGTTGTTTACTAATAACTAATTCTGCTGTTGTTGTCACAGGAAAAGACCATACTACACAATGTTCTTTAATATGTTCCCTATATTATATATATAATTTATGTATTTTGTTAGCCTATTTTAACTATATAGAATAATAAATACTTACTTTGTCGTAATACCAGTTGATTGACTTGCTTTTTGTAATTTCCATTTAACAAAATATGATCCACTAACAAGAGGTACATTGGTAATATCTTGTATAATAAAATTAATTTCAAAAGCTACCTTTCGATGCTTTGATACAAAAAAATTGGAAAGTGGCATTGAAATTGGAAAAATAGTAAGAAAAAGAAAAAAAAAAAAGTGAAAAAGAGAAAAGAAAAAAAAAAAGAAATAGAAACGGAATTGGTAATGAAGAGAAAAAAAAAAAAAAAAAGTCGGCATTTGAAAACTATCCCAATGGCCCTTTCTTTTTCTTTTGTCTCCCCATACTTAAAAAAAAAAAAAGAACGCTTTCTTTTTTTCTTTTTCTTTTTCTTTTTCTTTTTATTTTTTATGATTCCCTTTTTTCATCTTTTCACCAATTTCATGCCAACATTAACAGCCACACTTACAACAAATGCTTCCAATACTTCAAATACAACTATACCTTCTATTAAACCTCGAAAACGCAAACTAGTTATATCTTTTGTATATCATTATCTATCTTTAGTTTATGAATTCGTTTATACCTTTTTTATTATCAAACCAAAACAACACTTATTATACAAAAAACAGAAAACCAAAACAAAACTTAATCAAACAACAAATACACGAAATAACAATGCTTTACAATATTATAAAGGCAAAACTCTTGTGCTCGATTTGGATGAAACTTTGGTTCATTCTGTCCGTTTAGGTTCTCAAGAAGCTAATTATAATGTTAGTCCTTGTATCAAAAGAAAACAAATTGAAGTTCAAAATGAAAAACAATCCTTACTTTATCAAGTATATAAACGTCCTCATGTTGACTTTTTTTTGAAAACGGTAACTCCTTATATTTCTCCTTTACTTTTTATTATTATTGACTTTTTTTTTTTAATTTAATTTTTAGATTAGTCAATGGTACAAAGTGGTAATATTTACAGCATCCATGTCAGAATATGCTGATCCTGTTATTGATTGGTTGGATCAAGATCAAACAATGGTATCTCATCGATATTTTAGACAAGTAAAGATATGATAAATTACAATAATCAAAAAAAAAAAAAAAAAAAAAAAAAAAAGAGGGGATGGCGGAACAAAAAAAAAAACTGGGAAATCTCACGATCATCTTTACAACCTTTGGGGATCTCTTTTTTTGGGGAAACACTTTTTTTTTTTAATTCATTTTTTTCTTATTATTATTTATATATAGTCATGTATATCAAGAGAAGATGGTAATTATCTAAAGAATATCACTATGGCAGAACCCGATTTGTCAAAAGTATGTTTGGTAGACAATAGTCCTGTAGCATATGACTTATTTAAAGGTAACCACATTTGTCATCTATTGGATGAAATCAAAACTCGATTTAAACTTTTTTATTTATTATTATTATAGATAATGGAATCCCAATCACCAGTTGGCTTAACTCACCCAATGATGAAAGCTTATTAGACTTACTACCACTTTTGGATGCTCTTCGATTTACATCCGATGTACGGAGTATTTTACGATTACAACAATTTGGTTTATAATGAATGCATCAATTGAAAAATACCCTCACACTTTTTATTATTTTTATTATTATTATTCAATAAAATTTATATTGTGTTTATTATTACTATTATTATTATTGATATGTCTATCATGGGGTGTTACGCAGTAATCGTCATAAATCATTCTCTTTTTTTTCTTTGTTAACAATCACTATAAAATATTTGCCACATGGTGATTATGTTTTTTTTGTACTACAGATTTTCCACTTTGAGAGATTAAAAAAAAAGGGAAAAAAAAAAAGAAGCACCCTAGCCTTTATTATTATAAAATAGTAAAAGAAATACTTTCAACAGCCGATTCCTTTTGTCAATTACATTTTTTTTATTCTTCCAATGTCATCTTTCAAGAATGAAAAGAAGATTAAATCAGAGAATATACATATAAATAGATTTCTTATTTGATGGAATAGAAAGGAGAAATCATCATCTAGATATGACCATAAGATACCTTAAAAGAAGATGTTGACTGCGAAAAAGAAAGTCGGTGATCAAAATAGTAAATGTCCAGTTCGCAGAAAAAAAAAAAAAAAAAACACTTCTTTCTTTCTTTCCTTCTCTCCCGACCCCTCTCCTTCTTATTAACATATTTACCTTTTTCTTTTGTACATTATTATAATTATATACAATTCACAATGTTCTCACGACAACTCTTTAACTCAAGTGTTAAGGTATTTTGAAAAAAAAAAAAATAATCCACTTGTTTGCCTATAACAATTCATATTCATTAAATGTTTTGTTTAACATGTATGTCTTTGAATTTCATCATAGACAATGACTAGATCTTCCTCTTTGAGATCTCCTGTGATAAGATCCTTTGGTCCAGCCATGGTAAGAGAAAAATAAAAAAGAAGATAGAATGAGCTGATTAATTATTGTACCCAACTCATTCGTTTCTTTTTTTTTTATTTATTTATTACAGTGTATAAAAGGAATCCGTTTTGCAAGTACCAATGAATCTACCACATCAGAATCTTCAACTATCAATCGTCCCACAGGTAGTAAATATAGTGAAGTAACGAAAAAATTAGTATACGGTATGGCGCATCTTCTCGGTTATTATTCCAAAGGCTCTACTGCCATTCGTGCCAGTCATCAACTTTATAATGTATGTGCTCAACAAATGGAACTCAACAAAGATTTTTATGTCAACAGTAAGTAGATGTTGGATGATAAAAAAAAAAAAAAAAAAAGCGGAGTAGAGGATCATGATCTTCCTAAACAAGAGCTCATGTTTTATTATTATTATTATTATTATTATTATTATTATTATTATTATTATTATTATTATTATTATTATTATTATTATTATTATTATTATTATTATTATTATTATTATTATTATTATTATTATTATTATTTTAGAATGCAATCTACCTGATAATTTTCAATCATGGTTCTCTGTGACTCAGTTACATGTTTGGATGTTGATGGTACATTTACGGGCTCATGATCAAGGCAAATTATATATTCAAGAAGTGGTCAATCGACTTTTTGAAGATTCTGAAGCTAGAATCCGAGAACATGGTGTAAGAATAAGAGAAAATATATAAATAGGAAATGTGATCTTCATCTTTTTTTTTTTTTTTTTTTTGAATAGATCTCACAACAAAGAATGGTAGATAGTTATATCAAGGATTTAGTGGCACAATTTCATGGTGGTGTGGTTGCTTATGATGAAGGCATGTGTAAGGATGATCCTGTTTTGGCAGCTGCTTTATGGAGGTAAAAAGTTGAACAATATATATATATATATATAATATAAAACTCAATTTATTTATGTATGATATATAGAAATTTATTTGCTCCTACTTCCAACAATGCAACCGATTTGGCCTATGTAGTTCAATTTATTCGTCAGGAATTGAAAGCCTTGGAAGCCTTTGATAGTGATAAATTAACTTCGGGTGTTGTACAATTTGGTAAACCTCAAGCTTCATTCAACTAGTTTATTTGTTACTCTTCCTCCCATCCCTTCCTTCTTTTATTAGTCTTTTTTTTTATATATATACATATATCATTCCCTATCCTATTCATCCAAATTATAGAAAGATTCAAAAATAAACAAAGAAATAATAAATTCATCATGTCAAAAAAAAAAAAAAAAAAGATAATATTTTGTAAACATATTCTATTAATCAGAAAAGAATAAAAATGATGGAATTCTTTTTTTTTAATAGTGTATTCTAATATTTTGCAGACAAACAATAGGAGATCAGAGTTTAAAAAAAAAAATGTATATATAAAATATGTATAACTGTATATATATATGGGCAAAAGTAGTGTAAGTATATAATGTAAGCGAGGAGGAAAGGTGGGGGGGGATATCTGGACTAATCGGGTAACATAGAGGCTTGCTAAAACTAAACCATTTCATTTCATTCATTGGTAGAGGCACCATTGCTGCTATTGGAATTCAGCGCACACATCCATATTCTTGTTTTATATGTTTTGAAAAGTTCTCGTACCAATTCACGAAAGTCAATACGTTGATCAGCCAAAAAATAAAATGTAAGTTTGCGTCGATCCCTATCAAAAAAAAAAAAAAAGAAAAGAAAAAAAAAAGAAAAAGTCGTAAAATGACGATATAGGTTCCACAGGTTCACCTTTTTTTTTTTCTTACCATTGATATTCTGCATTAACAACTTGCATCGGTAATTGCTTTTGCTGGATCTTTGTTTGACATACCAATAAAGCCTTTTCTTCATCCAATTGTTTGGTCGCCAGAGAAATCACTTCATCAGCATCAGCCAATCGGTAAAGTCTTTTGACATGACACTTTAAAGCAGCAGTAGTACGTGTCTCATCCTCTTTTTCTTCATCACCAGCAGAAGGTTTATCCAATATGTCAGTTGTTAAAATTGAGTCAGTGATGGCATCTACATCAGAAGTTATTCCAGTTTGTACATCCTTATCCATAGTATTATCATCAGTCACAGCTGTTGCATCACCTGTAACAGAAGAAGATGATCCTGTTGAACCAACTGTGGAATCACGATCAGTTGTTGTAGTTGCACGGTCTTGTTGATGATGATGTTTCATAATATCGTTTGCTGTTTGTATAGATGTCACTTTACCAATATCACGACCACGATCTGCTTCCACAATCACTAAATCACCCACCTGCGGTTCAATATTATCACCTTGCATGATATAACATATATCTGTACGTCCAGCCTTGAATTCTACAGTGTATAACATGGTATTGCTATCCAAAAAGTGATGTAATGGAATCCCCTTTCCCATAAGTACGGTAGAGCATCCAAAAGTAGCTGCATCTCCACCAGCAGTCATTGTCTTTCCATAATGTTGATTTGCAAGAGGTACTGTTGCCGGTGTAGGTCCATAAACATGTTGATATTGATAAGGATATTCATTAGATCGATAAAATGGATTTGTATTGGATCCATACACATCAGTCATTCGTCCAGCTTTTCCAGTACCACCACTACCACCAAAATATTCATCAATATGATCCAAAACACCCTTGTTCAAAATGAGTTGTTGTTGACGAGAATAAAGTGTGTTGGCATATAAATCATTTTCATCTATGGCTTTCATACGATGAGTAGTTGTCATTCCAGGATAAAATTGTTGTGTATTATCTTGTACCCATCCTTGCATATTGTTATTGGCATTATATAAAGTTGGTTTCTTCATAAAAGGACCTGCCACTGAATGTCGTCTTCCACTATTAAAAAAAAAAAAGAAGAAGAAGAAAAAAAAAAAAAAGGAATATTAGTTATGTGGCGTACTTTTTTGTATATTTTTCTTCTTTTTTTTTTTTCTTTTTACCTTTCTGCATCATGTTGAGTTTCAGATAAAAGGGAAGACCAAGGACTAGAGACAGGAAATTCAGATAAAGATGAACGTCGTTGATGAGATTCTTGTTGTTCTACTGGACCAGTTGACCAAATGTTACGTAAAGGATGACGTGGTTGTCCATCAGACCAATATGATGATTGATCTGGAGTATCATATTGATCCATCAAAGGTTGATATAAAGAAGAAGGACGACGAAATTGTTGTGATAATAAAGAAGAATGTTGATTTCTATAATCAGTAGAATTTGGTGAAGTTGGAAGAGTATTGTCCAAATAATAAGACCATACTGAGGAAGATGAATTTTCTTGACTGTTACTCCAAATAGAAGGTAAAGAAAGTCGAGAAGGTTTCATAGAAGATGAAGAAGAAGAAGATAAAGAAGTAATGGTTGAAAGAGAAGAACAAGGAGAAGTATTATTATTATTATTATCAGGAGTAGAATTGTTCATCATCGCCGTTGTTGTTGTTGTTGTTGTTGCTGCTGCTGTTGTTGTTGCTTTTGCTGTTTGTTGTTGATCTTTGTCAAAGTTCAAGTCATCCTGAAAAGGATGCAAAGGCATCACTGCTGTTGTAGCATCCGTATTCATGAATATTAAAAAAAAAAAAAGAAAGTAATATAAAGGAAAAATAAAAGAAAAAGAAAGAAAAAGAAAGAAAGAGAAAGAAAGGGAGAAAGCGAAAGAAAAAAAAATGGGCGTTTTTTTTTTTTGTGAAAAAATCGCTGGTGGGAAAAAAAATTAAACTACCCAATAGAGTAACACAAATCAACTGGTTAGCATAAACTTATGTTTGAAATATAAAAAAAAAAAAAAAAAAAAAAAAGAAACCTCTTTTTTTTTATACTTATATAAAATAGGTACGATATTATTTACATATATTTATAATTTATTACTTTATTAATAAAAAAAGAATAAAAAGTTCATTCTTGTTATATATATAACGATGATGAATATGCCAACTTGCATGATTTTGTGTGAGAGAAAAAAATGTTAAAATATTTTATCACATGATCCAAAAATAACCAATAATAATAAACAAAACGAATAGGCTTTCATTGATCAGCATAAAAGAAGAATAAAAATAAAAAATATAATATATATAAAAAATAAAAATAAAGAGTAACAGTATATTTTATATAAAAAAGAAATATATAAATCTAAACTAAAGATCCTTCTTATTACGAGTACCATAGAATTGACGTTTTTCCTTCAGGAGTTTGAGAACCGACAGTGACCTTGATGTGTCAATAAACTTGAGTGATACCCTTTCTTTTTTTTTTTTTTTTTGAGAACGTTTCGTATGTACAGTCATAGACTTGCGAAGACTTAAGTAGACCTTCAGTACAACTACCCTTGATCATCACAAAAGTCTTCATTCACCACACCATAACGAATAAATCCATCCATAGGAGTAATTGATTGCTCTGTCGCATCATATTCAGTAGATCCAGACTCGCTATCAGATCCCTTTGCAAATACGATATATCTTCTTGTTCAATTCAGTACGACGATGAAAACCATCAGCAATATATATGCACACTTGTTTTTTCATTGTTTCTACAAGATATATATATATTAGACGAATTGAATAGAACGATTCTTTTTGTTGATAATACTTACGATTCGATATATATTGAAATATATTCGGTACAAAGCTTTTTGAATTGATCTTGTCTACTATTATTCATTTGCCAATAGTTGAAAGCGTGTTCGTTGAATCTATCATGAGAAGTACATTTGTGTTGCTGCCATTGTCACAAGTCCACGCTACTTCTACATCCATATTCCAATGTCGTCACTATATGAAGAAATAATACAATTTGTCAAGTTAATTTTCATCTCTATTTGCTGAAATAAAAAAAAAAAAAAAAAAAAAGAAAAGTATATGGATTGTTGGATATAATTATATTTCTTCTGGAAAAAAAAAAATACTTACAACACTTCTACCATTAGGAAAGGACCATTCAATCATTACCATTACACAAAATACAGTAAAATAGAGCCAATGTAAATATACATATCAACGTATCGATAAGGATACATTTGTCCATTGGAGGGGAATAAATGTATAATAATAATAATAAAAAAAAAAAATAGAGATGTCAATAGTAAAACATGAGATAATAATATTGGTATCAAATGAATTGCATTTATATAAAGTGATAATAGATAAATAGATTAATAAAGTTTATGGAATGAAATAGTAAGAGATGTATAAATAAAAAAAGTAAGAAAGAAAAACATTAAGTGAATAATGAAACTAAAAAAAAAAAAAAAAAAAAAAAAAAAAAGGAAGGAAGAGGAAAGGAAAAAAAAACCAGCATAAAAAAATTCTCAAAAGTTTGTTCAAATTTGTTCAAACTACAGCTATTTGAATAAACTTTTTTAATCACCGACGTTTGGCTTTATAATAATGTTTTCAGCCCACATTTCCAGTGAGGAGCGGTGGCGTAATGGCAGCGCATCGGATTGCAGATCCGCAGGTCGGGGGTTCGAATCCCCCTCGCTCCTTCTATTTTTAGATTTTTTACCTTTTTTCCACTTAGAATTGAGACACTTTTTTTTTAAGTAATAAACGTTATGGTCAAATGTTTTATCTGATGATAACTTGGAAGATTATTTTTACTGGTTATCATCTCCTGTGTATGATGATCAATGTTTTTTTTATATGTAGTGATCATTCAGTTTTTATTTAATAGAATAAAAAAAAAAAAAAAAAAGAGAAAAAAGTATCTATGATGATCACAAAAGTGTTTCCAAAAATGGTAATAGATGGATTGAAATATGTGATCATACTTGATAATTCATCAAAAATAATAAAACAACTTAAAAAAAAAAAAAAAAGCTTGATGGTGAGCAAACTATCATGATTGATTGATAGCATAAATAAATTTCAAGCTATTTTTTCCAGGAAAGAAGATCAATCGTATTGATTTTTTTTTTTTGAGTAAAATATACTGTATGGTCGTGTTCCTTGATAATCAACTTTTTCATTCAATATATTTCATATTATTGTATCTAGTATCACGCCATCATCGTACTGTGATCATCACACACGTTAGTACAAGTGCAATACATTAAATAAAGTTTTATAAGCCATTGCCATTCATCCGGTATAATTAAATGCTCAAATAACAGTATTAAAGAGGTACTGGACTTTTTTATTATTTTTAATGAATGACATATCAAAAAAAAAAAAAAAAGAAGCTAGTTAATAATATTCAATTGAAATGATGGCTCACTCTGATCATTTACACATGTTAGCACTTCCCTTGAAATGAAATGTAGAAGAGGTATTTCATTGGCCGTGAATTTCTTGCAACTGTTTTTTTTTTTTTTTTTTTTTTTTTTTTTTTTTTTTTTTTTTTTTTTCTTTTCTTTTCTTTTCTTTTTTTCGTGTCTTTTTCTTTTCCCTTCTCTCTCTCTCTCTCTCTCCCTTTTTTTCTTTTTTTCTTTTTTTGTCCGTCACGTTCACTCAAATGTCTTATAGTGAGTACCTTGATATTTTATCGCCTACTTATGAACAATGGAATAAATGTATTTGTCGACTCCTATAGTAAACGTGGATATTACCTCTACAAATTCAACAACCATCGAACTTCGGCAAACTCCTTTAGTTCCATGGAATGACCGTTTTGAATGTTGAACATGATGCTGGTATTTGAAATGCTCGAGGTATTTCTTTTTTTTTTTTTTTTAAAAAAAAAGGAAAAAGAAAATAATTCATTAATCTACTTTATATATTTCTCTTAGTTATTATGATGGTAATCGCAATTCTAAGAACTACTATGATAATCACCTTTTGTGTTCAAAACTTCATCCTACATGATATTAACAACAACAACAACAACAACAACAACAACAACAACAAACTGCTTGGGCTTTCGATAATGACGTTCCTACTGCTGTGCCTGATGCTTGCAAAATGGATATCGCACTTACTTATTCTTCTCCTACACTAGCTGGAACAAAAAAATGGATGATCTTACTATGTGAAACAGGCAGTGATGACTTTGGTATGACTATTGAAACGCGACGACGATACTGTGACCTATTTAACCTTTGCACCTGCTGAAATAAGCTCGATAGATGGTGATGAAGATTCAAGAGATACGGATTGTACCTTTTACTGATATGGTTCAAACGCATCAATGGTTGTTTATTTTTTGGTGAACTTGATTCTTCTTCCATGGAAAAAGTAAGAATACTATCTCAAAAACGAATCAACACTATTGGAAGTAGTCAATCCTTTTGATCGTATGGCAATATTGGGTCATATCAATTATCAGATGTGGAATTTGTGCTACTTTTCTATTTTTATTTGTACCTTCGATCATTGTGCGATTAGAATTTTTTTTTTTTGGACACTTGTATTGGACATTATGCGTCATATCACCAACGGTTCTTCTCTCAATAATAGAATAGGAAGGCAAGTTGAAAAAAAAACTATTGTTTGTGTGTTTATTCTGTATTTTTAATTCTATTCCTTTTTTTTTTTTTATCGCTATTTCATCCATGCAACATCAACTATCGATTGTATTACCGTAAGATGTGTGAACTAGCTACAATATCACTATTAAGGTAGGTTCCAAAAAAAAAAAAAAAAGAACTACTACTGTGGTTGGTGCTTTTCAATGTTACTTTATTTCTTTTCTACACGAATAGTTTCAAACTTTATTATTTCATCCATCATTTATCATCTAACTCAAATAATATTTTTTTTTTTTCCAAAATCCTTCCTCGTTGGCGCTATAGACAGCTACTAGTACACAACGTAAGTCTAAAAAGAAAAAGAAAAGAAAAAAAAAAAAGACGAAGAAATATTGATCCATGCAAAATTACTCACCATGATTTTATACCCATAGAATATGACTAGATGATTATACAACAAGGTCAACGAAACGAATGGACGTACAACTCGATGAATATACGACAGGATCAATATACAGAAGGATCAATATACAGAAGGATCAATATACAGAAGGATCAATATACAGATGGATCAATATACAGATGGATCAGCTATTGGACAAAATCTCTCTTCTTGATTATCTCATGATTTTGGTTGGCTTCTCTGTCTCCTTCTTTTTTTATCATGGATGATTCTTTTACGGATAGTTACAATAATAGTAGTAGTAGCAGTCATAGATAGTGTTGTGCATAGTGTATCATCTTCTCAATAAAGCCTTACCCATAATCATCAATAATCTCAAGCATTGTCAGCAATTATCAGATAAAATAGAGCTAGACAATCAATGTATCTTTTTTTTTTTTTTTTTTTTTTTTTTTTTTTTTAAAAAAAGAAGATTGTACCATCATCGTCATCATCATTGGTGCAGTCGCTATAAATATAGATTTATAAACTCGCCATTATCATTACCAGAACAGCTTTAAATATTTAAAGTTACCCATTGTACCCCAGGTGACTCTTCAAAAATAGTGCCTATTTAAAGTCATTCTCATTACCAACGTCAATATGACTGAATGAAACAAATACATCATAAAAACAATCACCAAGGAAAAAAAATGACAAGTAGATGTTGAAAACAATGGTTTATACTTGCTTGGACATATTTTTTTTAAATAAAATCAACTGAATAAAAGAAAACAAGAATACGTTATTCTTTTTATTTTATTTTCTATAGTAAAAGGAGGAGGATGAAGGGTAGTGATGGTTCTGTTAGCATTGAGTACGTGTACATATATGAATAACAGTTCAACCAAGGTACAAAATCGGAATGCATTGATGCACTAATGATGGTTGGGAATAGATAATGATTGATGATAGATGATATCTGTTTGAGAAATAATAATTGATAATATTAGAATGACAATAAATAGTGATAACGAATATGATTTTATTAATAAAAATGTAAACTAAGTATGATGCTAAACTACGAGTAAAAAGAATCAGTAAAGATTCTTGCGAGAATAAGAGAAAAAGATCAAGAAGATACCTCCAATTGATTGTAAAGTCGGTTCCAGTTGAATCGTATAATATTATCTTGTTCATCCATGTTTTCCATCTTATCGTAGTACTATGTATTCATTTCATTTATTCCTGTAATCTACTGATTCTGTTGATCCTACTGTATGTTCATCCATTTTGTTGATCCTATTGTATATCCATCTCTATTTCATTGATCCTTCTGTATACCCATTATACTAATCCATATTATTTAGCCATTTTGCGTATTATTCTATTGATCCTAAATTTAAATGATCAGTTTTCGAGTATCTAGATTTTTTTTTTTTTTTTTTTAGACGTACGTTCAGTAGTAGTAGTAATAGTAATAGTGATTGTCCAGGATACCAGATAGGAAGTCTGAGAAGAAGAAAGAATGATAAGTCCTAGATGGATAGACGTTGCAGTAGAAAGTAAAAGAACAAGAAGAAATGCACCTTTTTTTTAAAACTTACCTCTAAATAATCGTAGATACTGGTAAAACTACAAAGACAAAATGAGAAGGATATAGTAAAGAGGTTGTAATCTATTAAAAAAAAAAGTAAGGTTAGAAAACACCAGAATCAATGTCTTTTTTTTTTTTTTTTTTTTGACTTACTTTAAACAATCGTAACTATATCTAGAATAAAGATTCAAATAAAAAAAAAAAATGAGATCCATATCATATAAAATTGATGATCTAATGAAATGGCCTTACCTTTTATCAAACATGAGCAACACATCATATAACATGCTGAAGATACTTGCGTTCGCTTGTTTTAACTAGAAGATATCGCACACCCGACAAAAGAAAAATGATTCCATTGGAGATGTAAGCAAAAGATTAAGAAGTACCATCAGAATTTCTACCAATAACGATAAGACCATATTTTCCAAGATGATTGCCAAAAGTGATCAAGCATATATGTATCTTCAGTTAAATCCGTATATCACATCAAAAGTTGTTGAGTGTATCCAGTAGTTACTTTCCATTGTCGTTTTTTGGATGATCATCAAACACGTCCTGATCGAATTTACTGCTGCATTTATGCTATGTAGATATATCCAACCGATTATATTATTTTCACCACTATCCTGGTTGTCGATATTGTTGCTATTGTTTATCCCGGAGTGTTGCCAGAGGACCAAAATATTTTGCATGTCGATACATTTCAAGTTGTGATGTAAATAACATTGCGATCGATTACCTTTTCCATCAACAAAATGTACCATGGTTTGAAAAGTAAGTGCACGCTGAAATCTGATATGGTCGTGATCACGTATATTTCGAGGATGATAATTGACCATGATGATGACGATAAGCAATGAGAAACAGGATGAGTATCGCGATAAATATCCTTTTCATAGTTTGCATGCTACCCTTGATTCATCGACGATATTTGTTAATATTAACAATGTTTCTTGAGTGATACTACTTGATGAGATTCAGATTTGATCATGGTGATTATTGAAAATAGCTTGATCCAGGAAAGTGATGCAGCCTCTTCTAATGTATCTATTACCAACAAGAAGAATCAGAGACATAATTCTAGATGGATAAATATTT